ATACAGTTGGAAGCTACCTTGCAGCTGCCGACCAGGTTTCATTGGAGACGGAAAAACGTGTTCTGATGTGGACGAGTGTGCACAAAACACAAATTCGTGTGATAAAAATGCTAGATGTATGAACTCCCTTGGCTCTTACGAATGCATTTGCCTTCCAGGGTTCAAAGGCGACGGTGAGACTTGTGATGATGTCGACGAGTGCGCTGGTTCAATGCATAATTGTGGAAGAAATTCAATCTGTGTGAATGAAAAAGGCGGCTACAATTGCAAATGTAAGCCTGGCTTCTTCAAATATGGACTCCTTCGTGCAGCAGGAGATTGCCTCGATATTGACGAGTGTATGTACAAGCAAGATAACTGCGACGAAAATTCATCCTGTGTTAATACAAAGGGTTCTTACGACTGCATTTGTAATGAGGGATTTGTGATGAATGGAGATAAGTGCGTCGATGTCAATGAATGTCTCGAAGGAACTAATAATTGTCATGAAAATGCTTCTTGCATGAATACTTACGGGGGCTTCACCTGCACCTGTAACAACGGTTATTCTGGTGACGGCGAAACCTGTAATAACATCAATGAATGCTTGAAGGCAAAGGTCTGTGGCAATAATGCCATTTGCACTGATCTTGATGGAAGTTACAGCTGCTCTTGCGATGATGGCTTCGAGGGAGATGGTCAAAACTGTGCTGATATCAACGAATGTAATACTGGCGATCATGATTGTGACAGTAACGCATCTTGTACTAACAGTTCTCCTGGATTTGTGTGTTCTTGTAACGAAGGCTTCAGCGGAAATGGAAAAACTTGTCGAGATATTGACGAATGCACTGCGAATACAGATAATTGCCATGCCTCAGCGGATTGTAAAAACACTGTTGGTTCTTTTGAATGCAGTTGCAAAACTGGGTTCAGAGGCGATGGAATTGAATGCGATGACATTAACGAGCGCTCCGAAGGACTTGATAATTGCCACGCCGTCGCAAGATTTACGAACACAATCGGAAGCTATAGTTGTTCTTGTCCCACTGGCTATGAAGGTGATGGTTTCTCATGCTCAGATATTGATGAATGCCAGTTTTCGCCATGTTCTGCAGATGCAACTTGTGACAATACAGACGGTTCTTATTTCTGCCACTGCAACTCTGGTTACATGGGCAACGGATACGAGTGCAAGGATATCGATGAGTGTATTCAGACTGATATTAGAAAACACAATTGTGACGACAATGCCAGATGTATAAATAACAAAGGAGGCTTTACATGCTCTTGCTTAAATGGATATTCTGGCGATGGAAAGACCTGCGTTGATAATAACGAATGTACTGATGATACACACAGATGTGATGAAGTCGCTGATTGTATCAATAACGGAGGATCATACAGTTGCCAATGTCAAGCCGGTTATTCTGGAAGTGGCAAAATCTGTAACAATATCAACGAGTGTATCACGAGCGAACACGATTGCCATGCTGATGCGACGTGCTCGGATACTTCTGGGTCGTATGTCTGTACTTGTAACGCGGGCTTTGATGGAAATGGCCAGAGTTGTTCGGACGTCAACGAGTGTGACACTGAAGTTGATGTCTGTCACGAGGATGCAATGTGCCTCAATACTTTTGGTTCCTACTCATGTTCTTGCAAAGCTGGCTATAAAGGAGATGGAAAGGTTTGCTCGGATATTGACGAATGCAGCATCAATTCATTTTTCTGTCCTAAAAACTCTGACTGCGTCAATACTGTTGGCTCTTACCAGTGTGCTTGTCTTGGCGGTTACGAAAAGAAAAACGGCAAATGCGTTGACATCAATGAATGCACCACTGGATCACATGAATGCAGCGACAAGGCAAATTGTGATAATACTGATGGGTCTCATACCTGTACTTGCAAATCCGGTTACACTGGTGACGGTTTCACTTGCAGAGACACAAATGAGTGCGAAGCTCTAACTCACGAATGCAGCCCAGACGCTTCTTGTGAGAACTCTATCGGATCATATTACTGCTCTTGCTCAGCTGGCTTTGAAGGAAATGGATTCATGTGCTCTGACGTCAATGAGTGCGCTACTGGTGAAAATAATTGCGCGGCAAATGCAGAGTGCATCAATATTCACGGTTCGTTTGAGTGCGACTGCATGGACGGCTTTGAAGGAGACGGAATCGAATGCTCGGATATCAACGAATGCGACGCTAATTTATGCGATGAAAACGCATCCTGTTCTAATACCGTAGGCAGTTTCACTTGTTCCTGTAACGAAGGATACGATGGAAGTGGACTCAGCTGTTTTGATGATGATGAATGTCTTCAGGGCTCACATAACTGTCAGAAACTCACATCTTGTGTCAACACAGATGGATCATTTAAATGCGAATGTTCTGAGGGATTCTTCGGAAATCCTGAAAATTGCAGAGATGTTGATGAATGTAGCAACGGCACTCATGATTGCGATGTTGCGTGTTTCAATACTTTTGGCTCGTACAGTTGCGATGACAAAGATGAGTGCAAAATGGGTCTACATGATTGTTCCGAGCACGCTACTGCGACAATTCTCAGGGATCATTCACCTGTACTTGCAAATCTGGCTTTGTCGGTGACGGAAAGAGCTGCGACAATGTCAACGAATGCGCTTTGAACTTAGACGACTGTCATACGAATGCGAAGTGCACCGATTTGGAAGGCTCTTTTAGCTGCAAGTGCAATTCTGGATACTCTGGAAACGGGCTTTCTTGCGTTGATATTAATGAATGCGCTTCTCCATCGACTTGTGGATCGCATGCGACATGCAAAAACACTATCGGAAGTCATGAGTGCATTTGCGATTCTGGCTTCAGAATGTCTTCTTCTGGAAAATGCATCGACATCGACGAATGCCAAGCAGGAACTGACAGCTGCGACAAAAATGCCAACTGTCTAAATACCCTTGGTTCGTATGCATGTCAATGTAAATTGGGCTATTCTGGCGATGGAAAAGTTTGTCAAGATGTTAACGAGTGCGAATCCAACAGACACAATTGTCACGAAAAATCTGATTGCTTCAATACCGCTGGAACATATGATTGCATCTGCAAAGATGGATTCAGTGGCGACGGTTTGTCTGCATGGACCAGAATGAGTGCTTGCTTGACACTCACAGTTGCGATTTCAATGCTGACTGCGAGAATACTTTCGGTGGTCATAAGTGCACCTGCAAAGATGGCTACTCTGGTGACGGAACTTTCTGTACCGATATAAACGAGTGTGCTACTGGAAAAAATTCTTGTCATAAAAATGCGGAGTGCCAGAACTTTGACGGATCTTACAGCTGCCAATGCAAATCTGGATTCGATGGCGATGGTAAAAATTGCCTCGATGTCGACGAATGCACGTTTGATCCTTGTGATGAAAACGCTTCTTGCACAAATTCAGTTGGTTCATATTCGTGTACCTGCAGAGATGGTTTTACCGGTGACGGGCAACACTGCACCGACATCAATGAATGTGGCAACGGTAGTATCTGTGGCCAGAGAGACTGCCATAACACTTTCGGCTCGTACATTTGTCACTGCAAACCTGGATTCATGGAAACTGGTGATCAGTGCAGAGATATTGACGAATGTAGTAACGGCGATCATCGATGTGATGTCAATGCTGCCTGTGTGAATACTAACGGTGGATACGAATGTAACTGCAGATCAGGCTATGCCGGTTCAGGCGAAATATGTACTGATATTGACGAATGTGAATCTGGAGAAAACTCATGCTCCCAAATGGCTTCTTGCAATAATCTTCAGGGAGGATATGAATGTTCTTGTCTTCCAGGACTTGAAGGTGACGGCTTTTTCTGCAATGATATCGATGAATGCTCGACAAAAACAAGTGACTGCGGCAAAAACTTCGACTGCCAAAACACAAAAGGTAGCTATTTCTGCCAATGTGCGAAAGGATTTGAAGAAATTGACGGAGTCTGCAATGACATTGATGAATGCAAGGGAGTCAACAACTGTCATGAAAATGCAAACTGCATTAACGATAATGGATCATACTCGTGCAAATGTAACGATGGCTATCAAGGAGATGGCGTTTCTTGCTCGGATATTGACGAGTGTACGGATTCATCAACATGCCAAGATAACTCTAATTGCTTGAACATGCCCGGTAGTTATGAGTGCATCTGCAAAGATGGTTTTGTCCTCGATGACGGAAAATGTAACGACATCAATGAGTGTGAGAACAACCCCTGCTCGGCTCATGCTAGCTGCACGAATTCCGCGGGTTCATATTCGTGTCTTTGTGATGATGGATTCTCCGGTAATGGCGTTTACTGCGAGGACATAAACGAGTGTGAGAACGGGCAAAACAAATGTGGCGAGAATTCTCAGTGTGTCAATACTGCTGGTGGATATGACTGCCAGTGCGATGATGGATACCAAAAACTTGGCGCTCTTCAGTGTATCGACATTGATGAGTGTGACGAAGCACAAAGTGACTGTAGTCCAAACGCTGTCTGTAACAATTCTCCAGGTTCTTTCTCTTGCACCTGCATGAGTGGTTTCATTGGCAATGGACAATCTTGTGACAACGTTAACGAGTGTGCTCTCCAAAGAATATCTGTGGATCAAATAGCATCTGTTCCGATACGGTTGGATCCTACGAGTGCTCCTGCGTTGACGGATACGAGCTCGTCGATGGAAAATGTACCGATATTGACGAATGCAAGATCGAAAATATCTGCAACGGGAATGATTGTTTCAATACTCCTGGATCACATGACTGCATTTGCCCCGATGGAACTATTGGAAATGGAATAGAATGTGTCGACATCAATGAGTGCGAAGAGAATCCATGTGACGCCAAGGCTATTTGTAAAAATACAAGCCCTGGATTTGAGTGTGCTTGTAAACCAGGGTTCACTGGAAATGGATTGACATGTTCAGATATTGACGAGTGCTCTCTAGCTGATGCTTGCCCAGATAATAGCGTGTGTACTAATACTGTTGGATCCTTCGACTGCAGCTGTGATGCTGGCTTCGAAATGATCGCTGGAGTATGTCAAGATATCAATGAGTGTGACGAAGGTTTTGCTGACTGCAAGGTTCGAGAAAACTGTGAAAATACAGTTGGCAGCTTTTCTTGCAGCTGTAAAGCTAGCTTCAAGAGAGTGAACGGCATCTGCGCTGATATTAACGAATGCATTGTCGATCAGCCATGTTCTCTCGTTCCCCAATCAGTCTGTTCAAATACAATCGGATCTTTCTCATGTCAGTGCATCCCAGGATTCAGAAAAGACGGAGAAATCTGCATCGACATCGATGAGTGCGCTCTTGGTCTATCGGAATGTGCATCTGGCGAAAAATGTGTAAATTTCGCAGGTGGGTCAAAGTGTGTCTGCAAGGACTACTGGCAGAAAATCGACGGCTCCTGTGTTAATCCCGCTGCTTCCAACAGAGCTGTTCTTGAGTGTCCAACACATTCGGATGCCTCCGAAATCGATGGAAATATCGAGTGCATTTGTCACGATGGCTACACTCTTTCAAATAGTGATTGCGTGGATGTTAATGAGTGTGATGATGGTACTCATAAATGCTCGTCTAATGGAGCTTGTTCAAATACGTCTGGTGGTTACTCTTGTTCCTGTAATGCTGGTTTTACTGGCGACGGATACGCTTGCGAAGATATCGATGAATGCGCAGTTGATAGCAGTTGCCCCATGCATGCAGATTGTGAAAATATCCAAGGATCATTTGTCTGCTCCTGCAGAAATGGATACGCAGGCGATGAATGTGATGATATCGACGAGTGTTCAACTCAAGAGGATAACTGCACCGGTGATTTAGTTTGCAGTAACACTGACGGAGGATTTACATGCGTCTGTCCATCTGGATTTAGAAAGAAGGCAGCTCATGTGCAGATATCGACGAATGTGCACTTGGACTTGACTCCTGCACAGAAAACGCCAGTTGCGAGAATAATTCCGGATCTTATAATTGCAATTGCCATCCTGGCTATGGCGGTGAAAACTGCGAAGATGTCGATGAGTGTTCTGAAGATCCTTGCGACAGCAATGCTTCTTGTAAAAATACAGTCGGCTCGTTTGTTTGCTCTTGTTCTGATGGCTATGGCGGTAATGGACTACAGTGCTTTGACATTGATGAATGTAATGCTCAAACAGACAACTGTGATGAAAACGCGAAATGCGAGAATACTGAAGGAAGTTTCAAATGCGTCTGTAAAAAGGGTTATTCGGGTGACGGAGTTACCTGCGAAGATGTTGACGAATGCTCTGAAGAGAATGCTTGCCAAGCACACGCAGTCTGCTCTAATTCAATCGGATCCTTTGACTGCACTTGCAAAACCGGATTCGAAAGTGATGGTGAGAAATGCAAGGACATCAATGAATGTGCCGGTGAAAACATTTGCAGCAAATATGCGGATTGCTCCAACGTTGCCGGAAGCTACGATTGCACTTGCACCGACGGTTTTACCGGAGACGGATTCAATTGTTATAATGTCGATGAATGTAGAGAAAATGATAGTGTTTGTGGCGATAACGAAGTTTGCGCTGATACTTTCGGAAGCTACGATTGTGTCTGTGCCCAAGGATTTATCGAAAACAATGACGGTTCTTGCGAGGATGTTGATGAGTGTGCTAAGTCTGAGCTCTTCTGCGGTGTCAATAGCGTGTGCAAAAACACCCCAGGAAGCTACACTTGTGCGTGTGTCACCGGTTACGAGGACAATAACGGATATTGCCAAGACATCAACGAATGTGAAAACTCTCAGTGTGGTTACAAAGCTTACTGTGTCAACAATATTGGCTCATTCGAATGTTTCTGCCCTCCTGGATTCGAGAAACAAGACAACGCTTGTATCGATATCGATGAATGCGCGATCGACAATGTCTGCGGCAATGACAGTATGTGTTCGAACGTTGAAGGCTCTTTCGAGTGCGACTGTGTCGAGGGATTCCGAGACTTTGGAAGCGGATGTGAGCTTGAAGATCTTTGCAACACTGGCAATCATGACTGCGATTCTAACGCTGATTGCAAGATGAAAAAATACGGTAGCTTTAAATGCAGGTGCAAAGATGGTTACGCCGGAGATGGTCAACAATGCAATGACATCAACGAATGTATTGATGTTAATACTTGCTCTAATCGTGAGAGATGTATTAATAGCGAAGGATCGTACAACTGTGAATGCCTTGCTGGATACGCTGGAGCTAACTGCGATGATATCAACGAGTGTGTTGAAGATGCTGATGTTTGTGGTCTCTTTGCAAACTGCCGAAATACCGAGGATCTTACGAATGCACGTGTGAAGCTGGATTCGAGATGATTGACGGTTCTTGCACGGATATCAATGAATGTGACATCTCTAATTTATGTGACGGAAATGCTGATTGTGTTAACACTTTCGGTTCTTTCAAATGCACGTGCGATTCTGGCCTTTCAGTCGATGGAAAATCCTGTGACGACATCAACGAATGTTTAATGCCATTTGTATGTGGAAACAACCAGGAGTGTACTAACCTCTTTGGCGGTTTCTCGTGCAGTTGCTCTGAGGGCTTCTCAATGATTAGCGGAGAATGCATTGACATCGACGAGTGTGACTCTCATCCATGTGGCAACAATGCAAATTGTGAGAATACAAGCGGCTCTTTCATTTGCTCTTGCTCGGATGGTTTCGCCGGTAACGGTATTGATTGCGCTGACATCGACGAGTGTGTTTCCGGTGATAATGAATGCTCTGCTTATGCAAACTGTATCAACACTTCTGGAAATTACAGATGCGAGTGCGATACTGGTTACAGTGGTGATGGTTTTACCTGTGTCGACGTCAACGAATGCCTTGAAGATGCTTGTTCTGGCCAATCTATCTGTACAAATACTGAAGGCTCCTTCAAGTGCACGTGTAAAGGAGGCTTTGCCGATAGTGGAAATGATGGTGATTTCTGCGTTGATGTCAATGAATGCGATGAAAATCCATGCGCTGAGTTTGCTCAGTGTACTAATACCATCGGTTCTTATTCTTGCTCTTGTCTCGTCGGATACTCTGGCGATGGAGTAACCAACTGCAAACCAACTGGAAAGTGTGCGACCAAAAAGGCTGATTGTCATAAATCCGCATATTGCGTCGATTTGAACGATAAGGATTTCGAATGCAGATGCGTTGACGGTCTTGAAATGGACAAGAAGGGTAAATGTCGCGACGTCGACGAATGCAAAAATGGCTCTCACAATTGTGACGAGAATGCGAAGTGCAAAAATACTGAAGGATCGTTTAAGTGCAAGTGCGAACAAGGATTCCAAGGAAACGGTCAAATCTGTGTCGATAATAATGAATGCTCTGATGGAAGCCATGAGTGTGATAAGAACGCTTCTTGCGCTAATACAGATGGATCTTACGACTGCATGTGCAATGAAGGCTTCGAGGGCTCGGGTTTCACTTGCACCGATATCAATGAGTGCTCACTTGTTAACTCTTGTCACGAAAATGCTTCTTGCAAGAATACAGAAGGAAGCTTTTCTTGCGCCTGCAAAGATGGTTTTGTCGGAAACGGGTTCGTTTGCGCTGATTTCAACGAATGTCAGGCGGACGATCTCGTCATTCCAAAAGGTGGAAGTTGTGAAAATAGACTCGGAGGATTTGAACTCACTTGCGAAGAAGGTCATGAGCTTGTCGACTCGAAATGTGTTGACATCGATGAATGCGAAGAAGAAGATTCGTGTCATAAACTTGCTCAGTGCAAAAATAGAGACGGATATCATAAATGCAAGTGTCCAGATGGATACGAAGGTGATGGGTTTAAAAATTGTGATGACATTGATGAGTGTGCTAACAATCCATGTGGCGACAATTCCGACTGTACCAACACTCCTGGATCTTATGAATGCTCGTGTTCTGCGGGATACGAGTCTGTTTTAGGCGAATGCATGGATATTAATGAGTGCTCACAAGATAAAAATACTGTGGCAAAAATAGCATTTGCAAAAACACTGACGGTAGCTACGCGTGCATTTGCGTCTCCGGATACATTATGGTTGATGGTAAATGCAAGATCAAGATGAGTGCAGCACGTCTCAGCATAAGTGCCACCCTGAAGCAGAATGCATAAATACTGTTGGCAACTACATCTGTAACTGCAAACGAGGCCTTCGAGGAAATGGTTATTCATGCCAGGATATTGATGAGTGTGCTCTTGGTATTCATAATTGCGCTGTGATTGGTAGCCGATGCCTGAATGAATTTGGAGGATTTTCATGCAGTTGCACTAACGGATACGTTGGTGATGGGCGATCTTGTGTTGATGTGAACGAGTGCTCTGTTGGCATTGATTTCTGCGCCCCGTCAGCAGACTGTGTCAATAACAACGGAGGATTTGACTGTCGCTGCGGCAGTGGCTACACTGGAGACGGATTCACCTGTTCCGATATCAACGAGTGCGCTCTTGGAACTCATCAATGCTCGCAAGACTCTAAATGCCTCAATACTGACGGCAGCTATGAGTGCGAATGTAAATCTGGCTACTCTGGCGATGGATTCATGTGTGTTGATATCAACGAGTGCGCGGAGAAAATCGATAGCTGTCATAAAAATAGCCGATGCTTGAACACTCAAGGCAGTTATAAGTGCTTCTGCAATGAGGGGTTCACTGGTGACGGATTCAACTGTATGGATGAAGACGAATGTATGCTCGGAGCTCATAAATGCAGCGACCTCGGTTACTGTTCCAATAACAAAGGAGCTTATCAGTGTGACTGTTTCGCCGGACACAAAGGAAACGGATTTTACTGTGCACCTAAAAAGAAGTGCAAAAAGACGGACTGTGGTGATAACGCTTATTGCTACAAGAAAGGCAGTGATGAGATCTGCGACTGTAAATCTGGCTTTGAAATGGTTGATGGAGTCTGTGTAGACATTGATGAATGTGCTACTGACAACCCATGCGATTCAACAGCTGATTGTGTGAATTCTGAAGGAGGATTCAAGTGTACGTGCCCTGATGGTTCATTCGGAAACGGCAAGAAATGTTTCGATATCGACGAGTGCCGAGATGGTACTCACGGATGCCCTGCTCAATCGACTTGTAACAATCTGCCATCAACTTTCGAGTGTCTCTGCGACAACGGTTACAAAATGAATGATGGAGAGTGTGTTGATATTGACGAGTGTGCTAATGATGCCCATGACTGCTCCGAAAATGCCTCTTGTGAGAATACTGACGGAAGCTTCACCTGCCAGTGCAAACCTGGATTCTTTGGCGACAGCGGCAAGTCATGCGAGGATATCGACGAGTGCATCAGTGGCATACATTATTGTGATATTAACGCTGGATGTACAAATACAGATGGTTCCTTTGTCTGTGGCTGTGATGATGGCTTCGTTGACAATGATGGTATATGTGTTGACATCAATGAATGTGAAGATGCATCTATCTGTGGCGACAATTCTGATTGCTTTAATCGAGTTGGTACCTACAAGTGCACTTGTAAACACGGCTTCGTCAAAAATTCTGATGGAGATTGCGTTGATAACGATGAATGTGCTGTTGGAATCGACAATTGCGACTCTGATGCAACTTGCGTTAACCTTCCTGGATCCTTCAAGTGCGAATGCTCTGACGGATTCGAGGGCTCTGGAACTTATTGCCAAGATATCAACGAGTGCAAGAAGGACACACATGAATGCGATCTTGCTACTGAGAGGTGCCAGAATACTAAAGGAGGATACAACTGCATCTGTAACACTGGCTTCGAAAGCAAGAATGGTGACTGTGTCGATATTGATGAATGTTCCGGAATTAACGAATGCCATGCGGATGCGACTTGTACGAACACTTTTGGCTCTTATTCCTGCTCTTGCAACAGCGGCTTCTCTGGTTCAGGAACTCATTGCTCTGATATCAACGAGTGTATGACGACAGAAACAATCTGTCCACCGAATGGTGTCTGTAGAAATACTGAAGGCTCATTTACATGTGATTGTTTGAGTGGTTTTGCTGGTGATCAATGTGAAGACATTGACGAATGCCTTGGCGGAAACAAATGCACCGGTGACAATGAAATCTGCCTAAACACCATCAGCAGCTATAAATGCGTCTGCAGCTCAGGATACAAACTTGGAAAGGCAATGACTTGTGAAGATATTGATGAGTGTGCTTATGGCATTGCAAGCTGCCATTATCGAGCAACATGTTCGAACACAGATGGAAGCTATGAGTGCAGCTGTGACGCTGGCTACGAAGGAAACGGTGTTAACTGTGCTGATATTGACGAATGCTCTACTGGAACTCATAACTGCGCTTCTGAAGGGTCTATTTGCAGAAATACTGACGGAAGCTTTACGTGCTCTTGCATCGAAGGATTCTATGGCGATGGTGTGACCTGTTCAGACCTAAATGAATGTGAGATTGGCTACGACGAGTGCAGTTTCGACTCTGTTTGTGTCAACAGCCCTGGTTCTTATATTTGCGATTGTGGAGAAGGTCAGGAATTTAAGAATGGAAGATGCGAAGATCTTGATGAATGTCAATCTTTCGATCATGAGTGCCATCAGTATGCTATTTGCACGAATACTATCGGCTCTTACTCGTGCCTGTGTCCAGATGGCTTTGAGGGAGATGGTCTCAATTGTGAAGATATCAACGAGTGTGATCTCACGACTTCATGTTTGGGAGACAATCAAATTTGCGTCAACTTGCCTGGATCGTACCAGTGCCAATGCGAGGAAGGCTACGAGATGTTTAGTGGCAAATGTGTGGATATCGACGAATGCGCACTTGCTCTCGATGATGATTGCCGGCATGATGACATCTATCAAGTGCTGTGCGTCAATATTCCTGGCTCCTACACATGTCAGTGCCGAGAAGGCCTTGAAGAGAGCTTTGTCGAGGTTGACGAAAAGCAGATTCTTTCATGTTATGATCCAACTGACGAAGCTGAGCGAACTGAAGACTTCGACAAGATCTCAAGTGCTAACTCTGAAGATGCCTCCGATGACTGGCTTGATAATTTGATCGACCTTGAGCTCGGTGAACTTGACGAGCTTGTTTCGGGACTTGATGATGATGCTGTATCTGTTCTTCCTCCTCGACCAGTCCGCCGTGGAAAGAAGAAATCTGAATCTCGTAAAGAATACAGAGAATACCTTGAGAAATACCGAGAGATGCTCAGTAGATGGAGAGAGCTTCTCCAAGAGATGAACTTTGAGTTCCCAGATTATACGACAACGACTATTGCGACTACCATTGCTTTTGAAACGACTATTATCACAACAACAGGGGACTACACAACTAATCTCTCGCCTACAGTCGATTACACGACAACTGAAGGTTACGCTACAACAACTCGAGAGCCATTTACAATGCCAATGCCAACACTGAACCTTCCACCGCAGCCGACAAGAAGACCAAAGTATGCTGGAGAATCTCCGAGCCGATACAGCTCTTATTTGAATGAGTTTTCTCAAAAACTTCAACAATGGATGGCGGCAAAGCAAGAAGCTGAGCTCAAATACCAAGAGGATATGCAGGTTTACTATCATGCACAGATCGAGTACCAGAACTCGAAAACAACTAAAGCTCCAACCACTCGTCCAAAAAGACCAGACGAAAAGGAATCATTCGTGTTTGAATTTGATACGGGAATCATCGCTCCTCCTGATGACCTTCAGCCGCCATTCCTCCCACCTAAATTCCAAATGCGCCCTCAGAGACCTAACGAACCACATTATCAATACGAGCATTACAAAATGCTTTTCAACAACCGTTTGAAAATCCAGCAGCAACGAATCGATGCTACTATGGATATTTATCTCAGAGCAGTTCTCGATTACGAGCGAGATCATGGCGTGCAGATCGATTTCAATCCAACCGAATACAAGAATTCCAGAGGATATCAGATCTTCACCACTCGAGTACCATACACAACGACTACAACTACAACGACGACTACAACGACAACTACAACAACCCGCAAACCTATCGGCGATATCAAATTCGAAAAACTTCCAAAACAACCCGATTTCCAACAAATTCACTACAACTATGGCGCCATCCAAGCATGGAAGGAGGATATCAAGGCTCAAGCGCAAGGAATCTACGATCTGGTTGCAGAGAAAGTCTCTTACATGATCAACGATGAGCTTGCAAAGACAGAGGATAGATTCGTTCCTATTAAACCAGAGCAGATCAATTTCCCATCGATGCCAGTTATCCGAGATATTGCCCCGATTGAAGCCGCACTTCAATATGGAAATTACTTGAGCGCTATGGCACAGGAAGTCGAGCAGTGGTACACTGAGTTCTATTTCACTTATGAAGACTTTGATCAGAAGTGGAAGCAGATGATGCCAGTTGCCGAGGAAGAAGACTTCAATACAGGAATGAGTTTTTATTCATAAATTGATACCAATCGACTTTTTGGACTTTTTACCCAAATATTTGAAAATATAACTCGTGAAAGGATCTGTTTCGCCTATTCACAAGGACGCTGTGTCATTTTTCACAGACAATTACGTCAACAACGCTCCTGAATTTGACTCTTCATTCTCATCCTCATTCTCTGAAAATCGACCAGCATTTGAGACATCTGACGATGACTTCCGCGGAACCGGATTTGACTTCAACGAAGATCGAACTGAGGCTTTCGACTCGCCAGAATGGGTCACATCGATCAAACCATTCGAGGGTGTGCCCCCTCAACTGGTCAAATATCTCACGCCTCAGGCTAAGTATGCTTTGCTCAAGCAAGCTCTTGGAGTTGAGTCCGAACACAATGTCCGAGCAAACTGGGGCAAGCAACGAGCTGTTATTCTCATGGACGATGACGATATGGAATATGGTTAGTTTTATTCTCTATTTGCTGATGCTATAAGCGTTTTAGACCGTGGAACATTCTACGAGCGAGACCCAGATACTGGCAAGATCATCATCGATGAGCTCGAACCATCTCAGCATAAATGGGCCTTCCCGCGTTTTGCTGAGCGAACTGGCGAGCCACAGACAAGCTGCTGGAGCGTAAGTCTTTTTAGTCAATTTCATTCAGCAAAAAAATGTTTAGTGTGTGAATGCCAAAACTTACGAAGAATGCAGATCTCAGGGTAAGGAACAATTCTGCGCCAAGGAGCAGGACTCATGCTTCATCACTACGCAAAAGAACTTTATGAATATGTCTGCCTTCGAAGATGAAGTTTATCTCGACGGAAATGTTTATTCCGGCCCAGATAACCTTAAACCAGATCCAGATAACCCAGCTTTCCAGGTAAATCCAGCTCTGCTCATGGTATTTTTACGAATTAATTAAGGTCGTAACAATCAATATGGGTTGCAAGGCTGCTGTTGCTTGCTACAATAATAAAAAGCAGAACTTCCTCGTTCGAGCAGCCCAACAATGTTTCCCATCTTTGCGAACTACGTCCACTTGTCATCAATGCTGTCATACAAACAACTGCAACAAAGACATGGACCCGTCGGACGAAGCGGGCTGGGTTACCGACCATGAAGGATCAGAAGACTTTATTGGAATATACTTCTCAGATGAAAATTAATAACGGGCTACAAAGCAAAATAATTTATTGGCAATAATATATCATGTAATAACTTAAATTTCTGTGCTGATTTATTTACTGAAAATTTTTATACAGCTATTTTTTCGAACTGTAAATAAAATACTCAAATTAAAAACAGACGAGCCCTAAATTTTAATATAAGAAATCTAATACGCTCGGATATCTGAAACGACACAGAAGGGAAAATTTTCATCCTTCTGCTTGCGCACTTTCCCACTAAACAGCCAGGGGAGCGTCACACTGTTGCGATCAGCGGGGAAACACTAAACGACCGGTGGATTTTGCAAAAGACCGCTAAATGAGAACCCGATACGCATATTGACTCACTCGTTACAAGAGCTGGAATAAGTTCAGAGAAACATTTTTATGCTGATGGAGAACGTAGAGAAACGGCCAGTTCTAAATTATGTCCTGCTTTTGGTGCTTTTTATGGTTTGTTACTTTGCGCTAGAATTTTCAGTCAAAAATGTTTAGCTTCCTTTTGATCGGCAACCTTCAAAGAGCAGTAGAAGATGATCCAAACTTTGACCCTGATATTCTTCGACTAGACAATGGAAAGAATAAGTATTTTCTGAATGATCCGATTCCAGTAGCTGTAGAAGGCGAAGTAGATTCTGAAGGCTATCCAGCTTGGTACGGCCGGTCTATTGAAGACCTGTTGTTAGATGCTAGCTCTATTCAAGGTCAGACATAATCATTTTCATCGTTTTTCAATACAATCCCAGAGCTTCTTTCCAACCTCGGAATAACCCACGAAGAATCAGCGCGAACATGCAGGCCACATCGTCATATTGTCTTTCTCAAAAGCACAAATGTGCGAGCTCAACTATCTTTGAAATCCTCAATCGATTCAAGAAGAAGCATAAACTTTATGCCGCATCAAAGCCTCTCGCATCCTTTGTTGGAGGATATCCTGGAAAGTTTAAGCCTGAGTTTGTTGCTCCACCACAGGTAAAGTTTTAGAAACGATGAGATATTCTGATGCTAATAGGATTCAATTGCTATTAGCATTATCCGGTTAGCTAATCGTCTGACCTTAAATATTCTTTCAGACCGACAAATACGACATCATTTTCAACCATTTCCGCTGGGATGAGTCTGCAGTTCGATCAGTAACGCACGATGATACAATTTTCCTGACCTCGATTCGCGAGCCTCTTAGTCATTACAAATCTGTATTCGACTTCTTTTACGGATCGTACAAGAGAGAAAGTGGAATGGTTGATCATGCTTGTAACTTGGCCTGTGAAGGTCAGCCATTTCTCGCGATGCTCGGAAAAGCCGGCGAGCATTTCGAAAAGTACATGGATTGTATACCAGGTGGGACTTACACGTGTTTCAGGACCCAATCATGATGTCATTTTTATAGAATGCTACAACGCTTCACTTCCCTGGAGCTTCCGAGCACGAAACTTTCAGACCTTCGAAATGGGACTCGATGCTGGGCCGAACTTCAACTCTGACCTTGATCAGTTTACAAAGGCGATGGATTTCGTCATGATAACGGAAAAATTCGCAGAGAGTATTCTAGTTATGAGAAAATTACTCTGCATGGACTTTATGGATCTCTACGTCCAGCCGAAAAAGTAAAACACACGACGAAGTTCAATTTTCGACAAAACAGAAAGCACGATTCTACCAGTTCAATAATTACGACATGGAAATGTATCACCATTTCAACAGCTCTTTTGATGAGCAAGTTGAAAAACTTTATGGAAAGAATAATATGGAAATCGACACTCGAAGGTAACACTTTCTTAGCAGTAGACAAAGCTAATGCTGACTTTAGATTAAAAATAATCCGATCTTATTGTGACAAGAAAGAAAATATCAAAGAGTGTATCAACCAAGCGGATAAGACTCGGTTCACTTACAGTGGCAAAGATGACAGAAAATACTGGCCAAATGATATCGACTGGCCAAAGTTCGCCAAATACATGGCTGATGCTGGAGGAGCATGCCCTTACGGCACTTTTGGATCGGTAAAACGTCATTATCTACTGACTAAATTAACTTTCCTCAGCTTTTGAAAAATGAGATTTTGCCTCAATGTCGAGTTTACCAGTGGAAGATCTCCCAAGGATATCCGTCAAATAACCTAAACGACTTTTCCGACCAAAACAGTGATGAAGATTCTGAAGATGAGGATGATGACTCTGATTACCGATAAATACCGTATTTTATCCAAACCTAACCTGCAAAACTACTTCACTATGTCTACTAAGTACAATAAATATATATTTCATAACGGAAAATCACTGAGTAAGGCACAAATCTGAGAGCATTTCTCAATGTCAGAAAACAAACGAACTCGTCCTACGACGTAAAAATAATGACTAATTCCTTTAATGCATACTTGTGACCGTCAGTAATCATTCTATGCAAATTTGCTATCAATTTTGTATAAATACCACCTCCCATCGCATGATCTTTCATTCAAATCTAATACATTCACTTTACTAAAAATGGGTCTTCTCGGTGCATTAGCTGTTGGTGGTGCCGCCAAGGCTGTTTTTGATAAACGAAAAGACAAGAAAGAGAAAAAGAAAGCTGCGAAAGACGAGGCTGCTCGTGAAGAGCAGGAGAAAGCTGAAGCCGAAGAGCAGGCTCAGAAAGAAGCAGAAGAACAAGCTCAGAAGGAGGCCGAGGAACAAGCAAGAAAGGAACAAGAGGAAAAGGAGGCTCAAGGTTTTCTATTATTTTGAAACTTCAACTCACAAAATTCTAAGAGCAAGAAGAACGGCGAAAGGCCCAGGAAGAAGCCGATCGCCAATTCGAAGAGGACACTAGAAAGGCCCTCGAAGCCTCACAAATTGAAGCTCAAGAAGCTGAAGTTGCATCTGCTCCACCTGCGGAGCCCAACGTGATAGTCTGTGCTCCAGTTATTCAGCAACAGACTCCTCCACAGGCTGCTCCAGCACCCTACCCACCTCAGCATGCTGGCTATCCTCCTCAGCAACCAGGTTATCCTCCTCACCAACCTGGCTACCCAGGTTATCCACCAGCTCAGCCAGGCTATCCTCCTCATCCTGGATATCAACAACCTCCTGCCCAACCTTATCCTGGCTACCCACCACACCCAGGTTACCAGCAGACTTACCAACAAGTTCCTCCACCACAGCCTGCACCTCCTCAGCAAGCTGGCGACATAGGAAAGGGTTAAAATAAAAGCAAGTGAAATTATATTTTTCGTGAATTTTCGTTAACCCAAAACAGTCATCGTCCAAACAGGGCCAAGTCAAGCTGAGCTTGAAGCCGCCGAAGCTCAGAGATCTAACCGTGGTGCTCTTCTGGGTGCAGCTATCGGTGCTAGAAACGATAATGCTCTCGCTGGAGCAGTTATTGGCCGACGAATGGCGCGATAAGCAAACGAATAAAATACGACGTCAATGTTTTCTTTATGCTGTTTATTCAATTTTTTGAAAGACTGTTTATGCGAAATTCGCAGAAATAAAGGACTTTAATGCTTTGTACAGAGAATTATTTCTAAAAATAAAACTCGACTTGCTCGTCAATATATTCAATAAAAATCTACCTTCAAGCAAGTAAAGCTTACAAAATATCAGGTGGCTTGAACTCAGCGTAGTAAGGAAAAATATTTTGGCACCATTTTGGATGCAAAATGATGCATCAAATAGCAGAAGTATTATTGGTAATTGAAAAAATACGGAAAGCAGAATTTTGTTATTTGAAAGGCCTCATTTCGCTCGTTTTCTGAGCATGAGGAAAGCAGATTTTGTGGATCGGAATTCAGAAGGAGCTTTTGGTTGGTTCGAGTGGGGGTACGATATTGTGGGGTAGAAGTTTTTGAACAATGAAAGGTAACGACTGGCTATTCACAATATAATAGATTATGCAATCACAATGAAACGTTTTTGTTTGTTTCTGGCGCATTGTGGTTGTTGGATTGTTGCGGTCGTTGTTTTTGACGATTTTGAAGGCACACTGGTAATCAGGTATTCGACCGGTTCAGCTTTATATTCATTTAATTAGGTTTTTGGGCGGATAGGGTATTCATCCATCGTAGGCATCATTTTCACGGCCGGCGTAAAGATCTGCCAATTTGCGGAATTTCGGCGAGCTCCAGTTGTCCAGGTTCATGTCCTAAAAATAAAGTTAGAATCAGTTTTGATGATTCTATCTTACATCGTCGTAATCAGAAGCATTCGAAGCAATTTCGGATAAATCGCCACAGATGGAGTTGCCTCCTTCGTAGTCAAAGGTGAGCAGCGAGTCATATGGAGGTGAACTTGGATCTTCATCTGCTTGACCCTTTGCCTAAAACATGTGTCAAATATATGCGGGTCAAGGGGCCAACTAACCGCGTTGATGTATTGACCAATGTCTTCTGGAGGAATTCCAGGGCCGAGGAGGCTGGGTTTGACGGGACGAGTCTTCATTAACGAGTTCTTCTGGTGCTTGGCGCGAACGAGGGATTCAGGATCGTAATCGGTCTAATTTTTGATGTTAGAGATGAAAAGTCGCGAAACAAAGTAAAGTTAAAGTAATTAATCTTTACCTGGTCCTCTTCTCCACCACCTTCGTGGTGGTAAGCCATGATGTTGGCACGTTCATCATCGACGTCATCGATAAGAGCATCAGCCTTTTCAGGCTGTCGTCTCATTTTGATGAAGATGAGCAAAACGACGATTGCTAAAATTAAAATTAACAAGGAGAACTGGTTTCAAAGTAAAAGAATAAATCATGCAAAGCCTTTGTTTAGTGAAGAGCTAAGAGATTTTAGTAATTACACTCACAGGTAATGACGATAACTGCCATAACAATGGCCAAGAAGGGGCCGACAACGCCTCCTCCTGCAGCGATGGCCTCGTCAAAGCCACAATCAGCTTCGTCGAAAGCAGATTTGCATCTAGGATTAGGGTTAGTTAGTGAATCACAGCAAGCACTCGATTGAGAGGGTTAGTAAAGGAACTAAAATGCAAAAAGCAAAACTGGTTTTTACCCAAAATGATAAGAAGCGCGGCCATAACAAAGAACCACCACCATGGAAAGCCCGACGTCGCAACGACAGGGCAAGCCACGGTTGGCGAGTCACTCGATTTTTGACAACTACGGTAGTTTATTAGAACGTTCAACATTTTTTAGAGGAAAAGCTATAGACATTCCTCGAAGCCACCCAAATTATGCGCCCGTGAGAAAACGCCTTTGAGCTCTCATCCGGATTTGGTAAAAGGGAGGCATTCCGCCTTTGTTGAAAGAAATTGGGGTGAAATATTTTAATTTATTATAACCCCTTTCCGCACCAAGACAAGATAAACTCGATGGGATCACTGTCAGGGATTCATTTGTCTAACACAGCGGGTTGCCCTTTTGTGGCGAATTGAAAACAGCCCTGTCAGAGCTTGTGAGTCTAATTGTTATTAAAATCCTTACAGAAAATATTCAACCGTGACTAGTAATAATGAACCATGGAATTTATCGACATTGAGCTGGTTAAAAATTGATACGGAAAACATGTGGAATTTTTTGGAGAGACGTTGGTTTCTATCGACAAGAAGAGCCATATGCCCCCGACAGGTTGACAGATCTAAAGATTAGCTCCGATATCGGTGCGATCCAGCTCAGTCAGCTCCCCTGAGAACAGCAGGGAGAGATGTGTCAAGGAATCAACGGGAATAAGATTAGCTTTCTAAATTTAGGCGGGCTCAAATTTCACCGATTTTACACCCTGTTGCTTTCGTCAAGCGTCTATCCGGATAAGCTTCTAGGCCTGATTTCCTCAAGCTATAATCCTAATTGGCAAGTTTCAGCGAGTCCCAGTGATAAAATGAATTATTGAGCGCGATGGGGTGGCGATATTCAGAAAGAAAGCATTGCCACTTGCCAAAATTAACACGCTATCGGAAATTAAATCAATGGAAAGAGCAAAATTCAATTATTTGTTGGTAGAAAAAACTATCTAAATCGCATTTCGAAGGGTGCTATTTCCGAAACAAGCCTCATCATGTGGTGGTGAATAAGACCGCAGATTACCGCCCGTTGAGTCACGCTTCGGTGATCTTTCCCCCTTACTACACCGCCACCACCACGGCCCTGGCGGGAGAAATTTATGCATGGCCGAACAAAAATAAATGAAAGTCCACCCCTGTCCAGTAGGGATTAACCCAATTTGTATAAAGGCTCACCTGCAGACGTTGAGAGTGATGACGGAGTCTTGCTTGTTTCCTTCGTGGTCGGTGCCGCTTACTTGGATGTGCATCGTTTCTCCCACAGGGAGGGACTTTTGCGGAATGTATCTGTTAACAACATTTAGTATACGAAAACCACTGAACGTGTCCTACCGAAGTTGATAAGTGTCATCGTCCTTTTTGTACAAGTCGAACTTCTTGCTATACTGGCCAACGATTTTGATATTGAAAGGACCACAGTGGTCCTTTTTGCAGTCATCACGGTCGATAGCTTTCAGCTAAAAGCAGAATTTGAGTTTTCATAAGGTTTAAATTGGTCTATTTACTAGTCAGATTTCCAGATAAAAACAAACTTGGATGAAATATAAAACTGGACGCGATCGTAACTACTCAAGTAGTGCGATCTTGTTTCCGTTAATACTGTAGTTAGACTTACGTCGGTGGAGCCCTTGATAACGACATAGGAGCCAGAATCGAGGATGTTGCAGACGGGTTCGTTGTATTCGATTCGTGGTCCCTCGTCGTTGATGTCTTCGATGAAGATGTAGTGGGTTTTCTTGGCACAGAGGTTCTCATCATCGCAGGCTTCGAGCTCGAGAGCGTAGGTTCCATTCCTGTAGTTGCAAGCTGGCGATTCACATTCTCGATCTAGTGGAGCAGCCTGAAGCAAAGTATTATACCTGACCCTTTTATTTTGAACTAACGTGGACATATGTAAGAGTGCCAGAGTTGCGATCAACATCGAAGAATCCAAGAGGGTCCTTGGTGATTCGATAAGTAACAGGAGATTTTCCACCAAAGTCTAAATCCTTCGCTCGTGGGTTGTCTCGCAGCGATTTGGCTCCGTTCGTGTCTCCTTCTTTGAAGATGATGTTAGTATCGTCCCAAATTGGGGGCTCGTTTTCATCCAAAACATCAATCGTGATAGCAAAGTTGGCATCTTTGCCACGATCAGCAGCATCTTTGTTCTCAGCGACGACCTCGATGTTCCATTGCTTCTGGGTTTCGAAGTCGAGACCAGGTTTCGCGATTTGGAGAAAGGCTGTGTTATCATCTTTGTTCACAATCTCAAAGGGGCTAGATTCAGACTTGAGCCGGAAGGTAACACGGTTGTTTTCTGGGTCGACATCCTTAATTCTATGTTAGCCTGAAATTCGACTGCTTGTATATCTTACCGCATCAGTAGCTCGGAAAGAGTACTTGCCGCCGAAATTTTCGGTTCCAATCGCCGAACCGACTGGTTTCAGCTCGCCGACTTTGATGACCTTTTCATAGTCAACGATTCGAGGAGGGTTATCGTTGACGTCTTTGATGTAGATTGTGATCTTTTCGGTGACTGGAGGATTTCGCGCTGATTTACCAGGTGCATCCTAATTTGGCTCACTAAGTGTAATGACTAAACTGAAGTTTCAAATCATAGGTGAGAATGGACAACAGGCCGCGTAGGGGATTACAAGACATGGACAGCTGTCTAAGCTCGGCCTTAAAAATATGCCTACTGTCCCAGCTTAGAGAGCTTGGGAAATAAGATCGTGTCATCGATCTCAGATCCAAAATTAAGGGGATGAAGGGTTCCACGGGCGGCGATGGCCACGCTCCGATTACATTAAATTTGTCACGATATATAAAACACAAACGATCGATCAAAGTTGCCAATTTGTGAGCCATTCCTGAGCAGTTACTTCGATCTCGACGAATTCGTACGATTCAGCGTCCCAATAAGAAGGGCCGGGATTGTTCAGCGTGATCTCACCAGTTTCACTGTTGATGTTGAAGATTCCCATGCTCTTGGTCTCCAGATCGCCGCCTCGTCTTTTCCATGTCTCCTGGTTGGGCAGAAGTCTGTATTCGACTTCGCCAGCGTTTCCAGCGTCAGCATCGATTGCTTCGACTTTTCCACAGCTGCCGCCAGTTCGAGTGCTTTCATCGCATTGAAGTTTGGAAGATGCAGCGGTAAAGATTGGAGCGTTGTCGTTTTCATCAAGAACTTCGATAGTAAGGGTGTCCTCTTCTACCTGGTTGCCGTTTCTGTCTAATGCCGTCACTAAATTGAAGCGTTATCGCTTGCTTGGCGATTGATTTTTATTCATCAAAAGCGTGAGGGGCAATAGAAAAACGCTTATCATTTTACAGGCGACGAGAATCCTGCCTTTTTCAAACTTGAAAAAAGCAAAAATCAAGTCTTGCAATAACTCCTGCAGGAGCAAATTATAGCGCTAAAGACAGCAATAAACTCGTAATTAACTCACATGTAACTTTATACGAGTCTTTCTCTTCTCTATCAAGCCTGATTCCTCGTTTGAGCCACAGGATTCCGCAGACATTGTCACTGCACAAAGTTTCATCTCTCCTTGATTCGACATAGAACGGTCCAGAATCGACTCCAGAAATTTTGTATTGATCAGCACCTTTCGACGAGAAGATTTTTATGTATTCGCCAGAGTCCCTAAAAGCGATGTTATGAAGCTGTATTGCATTTAGAATTGCAAAACGCGGCAACCATGATTTAGGAAAAAGGAAAGGCAAACCACTTTGGGGTTGAAGTGCCGCCCGGTAAACAACATATTTGGGTACTTTGAAGTGTCGATTTTGTTTATTTCCTGTCCGGGATTTCAAGCAAACTTTTTTTCCTACGCGTTTCGTTTTCCGACATCACATATTTTTCAATAAATAACTAATGACATCGAGTATATAATGGAACTAATGATAGCCCTATTAAAGCTCTCAACAAAGGAATTCACTGTAGCTAATACTTTTTTGAAATAATTGGGCGCGATTAAAGATCGCTATCACGAAAAGAGCGAACACTTGGAAGGTCGTTCCGGATGGCTGACTTTCAACTTGCTTCGGTCTAGGCGGGCAACCGGTTGGAACTGAATTCGCCACGCTTGACCTAGCTACTTTTCGATCAAGCTCGAGTTTCCTCCCCGAAAAATGTCTCGGTCAAAATTTTCAATCAGAATCGTCACCAAAACGCCGCCCAAATCACCTTCAGAAAGCCGCAAATCCATCCGCACATGGCAGGGGGTCGGGGTGACAAAATCGCACATCAAAAACTATGCTCGGGTGTGAGGAGCCCTACCCCGAAAGCTGACGGACCACTGATCGATTCGTATTTTATCGATCATCTGTTTTTCTATAACTATTTCCCCCGGAAAGGAAGGCGGGCCCGGAAACAGGATTCTAAGTAACTATCATTTTATATGTCGCGAGGAATCAAACCGTATTTCCGATTAATCGTAAATCTAACCGACTCATCCCCTCCCAATTCATCAACTTACTGGTCGTAGAGTTCGTTTTCGCTGATTTTCTCGGTCGTCAAGGTCCAACTGTTCGCTAAATGTAGCCATAAGGCTATACTTTTCCAGCCCATCTTCGTGCCGGTCTGTCTTCGTCAGAAAGTTACTGAGCGTCTTCGTTCAGGAAAATCTCTATTCTTCGTGTCTCTTGTTTAGGGTTTTTGTCACTGGGTTGTCTTCTCTCTTTCTCGATTAGTGGGGGTCCTTATCGCTCGGCAGGGCCTATTCACTACTCGGTTTGGTAAGACGCAGTGAAAGAGTGACTCGGAGTGACTGCGATATTCGAATTTTGACTTGAGGGGAGGTCACCGCTGTTTTGTGCAATAAGGCTCCGTGCGCAGCCGCAGGGCGTCGAATCTCTATCTCAAGCAGTGGCAGTAGCGCTCACTGTTGTGAGTTTTTTTGCGTGGTGCGCGCGCGCTCTTCAACCTTTTCGTCCAAGTGTAACGCGTTGAACCACGCGCCCGCTGCTCCCTAGCGCGCCGAGTGTTGCGCCACTTCTTCTCTGTCTGTTACTCTCAATCAAACTTCCACTAGAACAGACCGTCTTCAGAAGATTCAAAGAAAAGGCTGCCTTGAAGACCAGGCGACGTAGTAAACCGTCAAATGCAACAAACGGGCGCCAGAGGGCGCTCCGAAACGACGACTGCTAATGCTGCTACAACATGCTGGGCTCTCGTTAGCTTTTTTTGTTGTTGCCCAGTCAAGTTCAAGGGTCTCTGTTCTCCAGCTTTCCAAAATCACTACACACTCGAGCTGTGTGATTCAAGCTCCAATTCTTGAGTTCAATTGTCTCGCACTCTGCCCCGTGAAAACACAACCGACAGATTTAAATGACGGCGTCTAGCAGAATCGATAATTTTTAACTTATTTCTTAGTACTCAAAAACTGATTTTATCGACTTTATGACAACTTTCTTGGATGTAATAGGATTCGAAATTTTGATTTCGCTCATAAAAATCAGCTACGAAAGATCTTTTTCAAATTTTGAAGAGGTTCAAACAAGGGGCGAAATAATTGCATATTTAAATCTCTCGATCTCCATACGGAATGTCCGTTGAATATCGACCGTCTTTGCTTTTCAAACGGAAGTCAAATAGGCTTAGGCCCTTCATCAGCGGCACCATCGATCGGCTAACAGGTTCAGCCCGGCCCCTCGCGCGACCCAGATCTCGGAATAACAAGATCAAATCCGAGTCTCGCGTAAAATCGCCCTCGATACAGGTCAAAGGGCACCCATGCGGAAAATGCCTTGGAAGTGCGCTCAAATCCTGGGTGCAAATCTGACTGTAGTTTGACAATGTCAGGCACCCCATTGTGCTTGATTCTTCATCAAACAATAACAACACAAAAAAAACGTATTGGCGCTTTGTTGGCACTAGCATTAGGCAAGTTTTTTAAAGTGGAACTTCAACACAATAACTTGCTCCTTTAGTTTCAATCTTGCTACAGTAATTGGACATTTTAAACTTTCCTAAAAAGCGTCGAAGCCAAAATAACTTGCCAAATTAACGCCCTAAAAATCTAAAGGCTGCGGTAATTTTGAAGATGAATTAGCTGACAGTTATGAATATTGCTGAGCCCCGCGGATAATGAATCCGTTCCCAGATAATCACAAAATGACAAATGCACCTGTTTCCAGGCCAAAAATTGCTAATAAACGATTTTAGTGAGCTCGCCTGCGAATTATACAAAGAAGAAGCACTCGTAAACAAATATTTCTTGCACCAGACATAGACAGGTGCACCGTCAGATGCCCGTGACGATCAGATGTTCCCGGGGAATATTTATTTCCCGCGAGAAAGGATCACTCTCGCGTGAAAAGGGGATGATCACCGGCATCGTCAGGATTATATTTTGTTGCAGGGTTCTTTTCCAACCCATTGGTCATGTTTGAGGGATACAAGGTACAGTGCGGAAGTCATCTTGCAGTATTTTTTGTTGTTTGAAAGGTAATAACTTATTACTAATAAGCTTGGATTTTGATTAAGGATTTCGACAATTTGTATCTAATAGGATCATCAAGATAGTTCTAGTTTAAAAAACTGTTGCCAGTTTGCCTGCATTCGTAGTATTCTGAGCCCTGTTAACAATACGGCTTTGGAGAGCACTTGAAGTCTTGAAAAGAGTCTCGACTAGGATCAAAAAACGTGCCAAGAAAGAAATAAATTCAATCCCAAGAGAGGCGCTCAACAAAGACACCTTGCTCCAGGACCTTCTCTTTTCTGAAGTTTAGTGCTACTGTAGAATTTCCTACTAGAAAAAGGAATAACGTCAGAGTGGTCGGCCTGATGAGCTTTCGTTTTGGAAATATAAGCTCGTTTTGATAAGAGTTTTATTTGATCGTTGATATGGTATAAATTGATTCTTGTTTTGGGCGTCCGGATTTTTCAATAGGTCAAAAGTAAAAGATACAAGTTGAACTCGAGCGATAGAAGTTGGAACGAAGTTTTCTTTTGATATTGCGATTCTTAGTAAACTAGGTTTGAAATCATTGAAAGAACGAAGAAGAAAATAAACATATGTACAGCTTGTTTAAAAACGAGGATTAAGGAAGTATGTGGAAGTAGAGAATTAAGAGGCATTGGAAGGCAATGATAGAGTTTAGATTTTTGCTGTTCAAATTAAAAGTTTTCTTAGTACGCAGCAGAGGGTCAGAGCTTATCGCCTGTCGGCAGCCAGTGCGAGGTACCGCTCAAGGATTCGACGATTTCGAGCACCTGCTCGCGAACGTGCTCTTCTCCGTCTAAAATTGAGCATTATCAGCAGCATTCAACGACAGTTTCTTTCAATACTGTAAATTCGCGTTCTCGTGTTAACTCGATGGGCGCTTAGCACCCCGGCTTAGTAAAAGAGATTCTCAATGAGGGGTTACAGAATATCGAGCGAGCTCATAATTAATGACCTCAGCAGGCTAGCCCTTATATCGTTCATTTTAAGAGGGTACCCTTATTAATCTCAAAAGCTTATAGCTTCCGAATAAACCGAATTAATCAAAAATTTTTCATCAAATTCGGAAATTACGAGAGTTTATCAGAGTTCTAGAGCCACGTTCGACAGACTGATCCCTTGGGTTATCATTACGGAAATCCGAACGCTTCTGAAGGGCAAACGATTACCTTCGGCTTGAATCACGGCAGTGAATTGTTCGGCGTAATCCGCTTCGAGTCGCTGACACTGTTGGATTATTTGAAGCGCCGCCTGTTCGGATAATCTTTTGTTAGACTCCATTAAAGTTTCAACAGAGCGTGGTTTGATGTAGATTGCAATTGCCGGAAGTTGTGCATCGGAGAGCCGCCGCAAAGCGCCGCCTAATTTCATGTTTACGACGTTTTCTCAAGCAAGGATCAATATAGCATGTTACATACCGGAAACATCCAAGATACAGTGCTTATTCGTTTGAGCAACATCCATCACGGCCTTTATACTCGTTCCGTAGAGGTTATCGCTGAATTGACCGGCCTCGATGAATTCGCGGTTCTCGATTTGAGTGGTCATATCTGCTTTTGAGATAAAGTAGTAATCTCGACCTTCCACTTCGCAATTTCGTTTTGGACGGGTCGTATGCGGAATCGCTAAAATTTGGATAATTCCCATAATCCCATTTGATAAAAAATAAAAACCTTGTTGGTATTTCGATGCGTCAAGCTTTATTAGCTCGTCGGACATTTTTTCCTTCAACGGGCCAAAGATCACGATTGGCCTTGGATATTCAACTTCAACTTGCTTCACCGGCTCATATGATAGGACCCAGTCATCGCCCATTTCGAATTCATCATCGCTAGAACTGCTGTGAGTTTCCTCCCTACAGATGTTCTCCTTTGACTTCATCAGATTCAACTTCGAGGAAAGAGCATTGACTCGAACATTCAGCCGGCCGCGACTTTTTCTAACTTCGCCGTTTGGCTGACCTGGGCGACGAAATTTGACTTGCTTCATTCGTAGTTTTTCTTTTCTTTCAACGCGCGCCTTTGACGGTATACAGCCCTGCTCAGCTGGCTTTCCCATCAGACTGAAGGGAAATTGTTAACGTTGTTTTATTGCTTCCTTGAAAATCTCAATAGGTTCAAAAGAAAATGCTGACTGTAGTGGTCTTGCTGCCATAGTTATACTCACTTTGCCTGCCACCACTCTTTGTCAGACGCATTCGTGACATGGATAATATCTCCGAAGCGAAAGCTGAGCCCTTTGGAAGGCAGCCCAGAGTCGCGAACAGCTGTGTAGTCGAACAATGCGCGCACTGTCATTTCTTTCTTCGAGGAAGTCTGTAGCCCTCCGCCTATACTGGCGCTCAGCATCTGTTGCCTCAAGTCATGCATTCGGTGCTCGAATTTAGCGAAGTTCTCGGGCTTGAAAAAGACATAAATAGATATTCATTCGGAGAGTTAGGGTTAGGCTTTCTGGAGCTACAAAATGGAATGCGACCTTCTTTTGCTTTAATTAATTCGAGTCTTGCTTTAGAAAGAGATCTTTACCTCATGTTGAACAACAAGTTCCACAGTATCACCAGAATTGCGCAGAATAAGTGCAGCTTCCTGATGCGACGCGTATTCTATGCTGTTACTGTTGACCGTGAGAATTCGATCTCCCTTTTGTAACGACTTGGAGCTGTCAGCTGGACCTCCTGCGAGGACTGAAACAAAAGTTGACACGGCCGATACAACAAAACATCGCGCTCTTACCAAAAGAAACAAAGATTCCTGGTGGAGAGTCGTTCCACTCGGGATCGATTTCCGCTTCTCCGCCGACGATGTTGAAGCCAAAACCACTTTTTCCTCGTTTTAGTGTCACTTAAAAATATCAAAGAAGCGCACTTGATAGCCTCCTTTTCAGGATCGATGATTGCCAGATGAAAAATTTTCGCGTTTTGCGAGATTTTTACCTGTTCTGGGCATGTGATTTCTACCCTGTGTTCCGTCATAGACGGCACAGCCATGTTTGATTGCGGAATCAGCAGCTGATCCAGCAGGGATTCCAAAGTCGGACACTCGCGAAACGTCGAGAATGTTCCCTTTACTCGAGGCGAGGTTTTCCGTCAACGAGATGGAACTTGAGGTAGCACTTGGAAGAACGTGATCGTCTGAGGATTCGACTTGTACGGGTGTTTCCCTGATAAGTTTGATCAAAACCGTTGGTCCGGTATTGGTCAGAAAGGCAACCGCTTGTTCGTGAGAGACACGCGCTAGCGAATTGTTGTCTTTATCGAGGTCAGAATTTATGAATCATTCTAGACCGTGTTTTCGACTTCCTCCTCTCGACAATGCCACGTGGCACTTTTTGCCCTTACCCAGGCAAATCGGAATGCAGATCATTAAGAAAAGAGAGCTTTCAGTTAATGTAATGTTTATTTTATTCAGAATGCTCCGAGTTGATGAGTCCTCTGGCTTTCGCGAAATGTTGGATCATTCGACTGAAAAGATCTTCTATCTCTGTGCCCGTTGATAATGATGCATCAGGGAAGGATCATAAGCGTGACTAGTGACATATTCTATAAAATAATTACTCGTGCTTTGAGCCTTTTAAGAAAATTAAATGTGCAATATCAATTATAGTGCAGTTATTGAATTTCCGCAATTTTGAAGTGCAATACTAATGAAGAAAGAACATGTGCAATCAAACCAAGATGCAATGCTTTACTCCATATGTGCAATACTTTCGTGCAATTTTTCTTGTGCAATAAATCAATTATCATTCATTTACCAAAAAACTTTGAAAGACAGCGGTGCATATAAAAAATGTCCCTCTGTATGTCTCGTCTAAATTTTCTGACCTTTCCTACGAACATAATTCGATCGCCCGCTTGCAGCCTGCCTTCTTGAGCGGCAGCGCCGCCGGGGATGATCTTGGTGATGAAAATCCCGTCATTTCCTTCGATATGTTGGTTTCCCACGCCGCCAGCGATCGAGAAGCCAAGGCCTGTCTTGCTCTTTTGGAGCTTGACTGTTATCAGCTCCGTCGTAGCATCGTTAATCGTTGAGTTTGAGCTTGCCAGGATGTTCTCAGAGGACGATTGAAGGAGCTCTGGTTTGGGGAGCAGAGTTGAGCTTAGTTGTGGCCTTCTGCGGCCGATTGAAAGTTCTACTGATGATCCTGAGCTCCGTAGAATGTCTAAAATTGGATAAATACGGGGCGTAAGATGTTGCCTAATTGGCGAGATGTAAAAATAGCACCACTTCAAAAAGCGGTTGTATTTACTCACCAACACATGTTCCGTGAGTAACCGTACGGCAATCAATGTTGTTGATAGCCAGCACAGCATCGCCAGGTCTTAGTTGTCCTTCTAAATAAAGTGGATTAGCGCTACCGTACAATTGAGGAAGCGGTACTTACGTTGTTCAGCAGCTCCGCCGGGAATGATTTTAGAAATATAAATATGAATGTCGCCAGTGTCAACTGGAGAGTCGATACCGCCTGTAATAGAAAATCCTAAGCCAGATTCGCTCTTTTCCAGCGTTATTCTGAAGATGTCGAATTCGGGGTCCTGAAAAATTGCCTGAACGAGCGATGGGGAGATAACTACCTGTTGTGGGGTGTCTTTGTTGTTCAGATGGAGTTCGTAGTACTCCTGAATATCTAGCAAGGCATTGTAAAGGCGTGACTGGAAGATATTTGCAACACGAGTAGCAGCTAGTGCTACAGGAGAGTCTGAAACGTAATTGAAGAAAGACAGGACGAATCCAGATGTTTACCCTTTTCAGATTCAGTCTGAAGCCGGTTCAGGATTGCCAGAGCAGCCTCGGCGTCATCCCTTTTCACCGGCATTCTAAAGCGTCATATATTACAACCTCCCTCATATGTGGCTCGTTATCTGTTAGGTTCGGAATAATTTCACAGTAGCTATCTTAAGGTAATAAATTACACGATTAAAAGTAAGTATAATAATAAAGAATCATCGTATCAGTTAAAAATTGAGCGAAATATTGAAAATTTTCAAACGTTGCGAAAGGGATCCGTCGATTTCTTGATGTTATTGTTCTATTTCCTCGTCATCGGATGAGTAGAAATCTTCGGGGTAAATGCTTTGAAGAGGTCGAGGTTCAAAGGTGTGGATTTCCGTCCAGATTTGATTGCGAAGATCAGCGATGGTAAGATTGTGGCCTTCTGAATTGTCTACGAAGGGAGTGGCGGTGGGCTCGTTTGGTGGATCGCGCAGGTCCCCAAAGAACGGGTGCTTGATTGCTTCTTCTACAGAAATTCGTTCGTCGGGGTCAATTTTCAACATTTTCTCGATCAAGTCTATTGCCTGAAAGAACATGAATAGAAAAACGGGCTTCAAAGGGGGGCTTACTTGGTCGGAGAAACCAGTGTGTATGATTCTTAAATCCTTCTTCTCTACTTTTGTGAAGCCACGAATGCATTTCCTTATATTTTCGCCTTCTATTTTGTCAATAAACTTATCGTTCGGCGTCCCACACAGGTTTATTATCTCATCTAAGAGCTTTTGCCAACAGTCGACCGGAAAGAGCGGTTTGCCGGTCATCATCTCCGAGAAGATGCATGCGAGGCTCCAGATGTCCGCTTTTTCGTTGTAGCGCATCCATCTCAGGATTATCTCTGGTGCTCTGTACCACCTAGCCATCACATAGCCGGACATATAATCATCTACATGGCGCGCCAATCTGAAAGGATCCAAATCTAAAATTCATACAAAGCGGTTACCCAAAATCGAGAATCTGAATTATGCCGTCCTTCTCTAACACACCAATATTGTCCGGTTTCAAGTCACGATGCATGACATTGGCTGAGTGGATATGCTTCAGAGCGCGCACCATTTGGTAAACTAGGAACTGTATCGTTTCCTCGTCGAACTTTGTGTTGTTTTGATTTGCAGTTTTGATCGCTTGGTCCAGGGTTCCGTCGGCTTTTTTCACCACGAAGTATATCTTTGATTGGGTCATTTTTTATTTCAATTAAAATCCTGGAGAAAATTATTAATTTGAATGAGGCAATTAGCTCCTGAAACTCAAACTTGAATCTTTTCGTATCATTTTTTGTAAAAATATAAATAAGGACCTTTCCTCTTCCATGTCTTCTGGTCCATAAGCAAGTGGCGTAAAGACATCAATTATTGAAATTATATTCTCATGGCAAAAGTGCTTCATTAATTTCAGCTCTCGTAGGGCTCTGCGGGCATAATCAACCGTTTTCAATGGCCTTGTCAGCTTTTTCATCGCCACACACTAATAAATCAATGCTCGACATCGTAAGCTTACAGTCTGATGCTTACTTTGTTGTATTTCCGGTCGAAAGCCGAGCAGACTTGCGCGTAAGCCCCACAGCCGAGCTGTTTTAAATCGCGGTATCTCTGTGGCACTGTCCACAGGCCGTATTTCACATGGTGGGTCTCGTAGGCACTCATCGAGGCATCCTCATCATTATTGTCTAATTTGAGAGCTTCTTGAACCTGATTGAGATCCAGCTCCATCAGCAAGTTTATATCTCTCTGAAAACAACAAGGAGTAAATTTAAAAAGAAGAATTTCAGAATTTACGCTCAAAATTCGAAAAATAAGGACAAACAGAAAAGAAAAAAAAACGGAAGCCAAATGAATGATCCTACTATGTTAATAGGATAATAGAGGTAATCTTTTTGAGAAGTTGAAAAAAGAAGGATTTCAGGCTCCAGGTTCGGGGAGGGTACTTTTTGCAGAATCAAAGTGGATAAGTAATGTGTATAAATAAAAAGCTCACAATGCATGTATTCAGGTGAAGTGAAGATTGTTTCATAAATAAAGATAGAAGCAAAATGATAAGATCATAAAACTGAATTACTCAATTTTTCAAGGCAGAACTGAATTTGATTATCAATAATAGTTGTAGTAGGAACTAATAGTTATTTACATGGAAAATAAAGACAAGGTACAATCAGGTCTGGGAACTGAAAACTAAAAAGGAAGACAAACAAAAATTACCTGAGACCTGATCTGAAATTGCATAAAAAGAAAATAGGAGCAACTGTAGGAAGTCTATTCTCTGCGTGCTCAGAACTGGCCGACTTCTTCTAATGCCGGCGGCTCGAAGCTCTTCAACTCTTCCCAAGTCAATTGTCTCAGCTGCTCGACAGTCAGATTCTGATTCTCGTAGACGTCCTCGAACTTGTCCGCTAGAAGCAGAAAAATAAGTAAAAGAAGGGGAGTTAATATGCTCAATATTGGAGAGAGAAGCTCAGATTTCTGTCGGGTTAAATTAATTGTTACGCAGTCTCTTGGGAATCCGCTCTGGGGAGAATTAATAAAGCTCTGAAGTTAAACAGAGCGGCGATTTATCAAAAAGCGGCAAAAAGCGACGCATGAGAAAGTTCGGGAAATGATAGAAATCTTTGATAGGTCTTCGATTTCCCGTGAAAGTTGAAATCGAAGCTCTTTTCCAAAATTCAATTTCTATCTCTTTTCCTAGCGAAAATGAGCGCTCTCCACAAAGCTTTTTACCCAAGTCAGGATCAACGAATCGGTCTGAGAATTGGTAAATCCAAATGTAAAGCCGATTAGTAAACTTTCGGCAACATTCAACAGTCGGGATTATGCGTTATTGGAACAAAATCAATGATTGTCAAATATGATTTGACAAAATAATAGAAAATTAGGATAATCAATACCTGTAGGCTCGTCATCTGGGTCGTGGTATTCAGAAAAGTACTCGTGTTCTAATGCTTCTTCAGCTGTAATTCTTTTATCTGGATCAAGTTCCAGCATGCGTCGTAGAAGATCAATAGCCTAAATAATTCATCATCAATAATTCCGACGATCATTCCCTTTTTTCCTCTTGCGACGTAAAATCTCCCAAAAGTACAAGAAAAAGAGGCCGATGCCAATTTAATCAAGAAGTCTTTTTTTCAACATAAAATATAAATTAGTCCTTACATTCGAAAGAGCATTAATTTGTTTTTTCCTATACGTACCAAAGGAGAGCATGGTCGAAAAACTTCGCTAAAGTCCTTGGGCCGTCGCTTTTCGAGAGTCTTGATGTAGTTTTGCGCGTGTACGGATTGAATTTTCGCCAAAAGTTCGGGTCCCGGCGTCCCCGACAGATCCATTATTCTCTTTAGCTGATCAATATGATCGTCACCTAGTTCGAATTATAAATTCATGAACACTTTAAGGCCACTTTGATAACTGTCTGGGAAGACAAAGTTACTACTTTTAAAGTAATTACCGGGGAAGAGCGTTCTACCAGTAAGTAGCTCGGCCATGATGCAACCGCAGCTCCAGACGTCTACTGTCGTCGTGTATCGCATCTATACAGTGTTTAACGTCGTTGGTTCGTCTGAAAGAGACAAATACGAACCCAGTTGAGCATAATTTCTGGCGCCCGGTACCATCTTGTCGCGACATAACCTGTCATTTGTTCATTCGCGTGTCTTGCCAAGCTAAAAAATATATTATTTCAACCTCTTGAATCGAGACACGAAATTACCCGAAATCGAGAATCCGCAACTCGCAGTCTTCGTTGACAGCGATGTTGGAAGGTTTGAGATCTCGATGGATGATTCCAGCCGAGTGGATGTACTTCAGCGCTCGAAGAATCTGATAAAATGCGTTTTAGACAGTCGGTATGTCCAAAAGTAAACGCCAGCGCAAACCTGGTAGGTTAAAAACTGGACATGTTCGTCCGTCAGCCTCTGCGTCCTGATGATGTTGTTCAAGTCAGCGCCCATCAAGTGAGTGACGAAGTAAATGTCGTGAAAGCTCTCGAATGAATCATTTGGCGTAAAGACGTCTAGCATCGAAATAACATTCTCGTGGCGAAAGTGCTTCAAAAGACGAAGTTCTCGATACGTTCTTTTCGCGTGAATATCGGATTGGAAGGGCCGGGCCAGCTTCTTAACAGCAACGCTCTACAAATGAGAAAGTCAAGAGAAAATGATGGCATATTGAGCTCTTACGGCATCATTTTCATTGTCTCTCGCAGAGCAGACTGATCCGTAAGCACCAGATCCGACGTTTTGAAGATCCGTATATCGCTCTGGAATCACCCAATCCGAGTGGCAAATCGTTTCCAAATAAAAGCCCTCTGGAATTTCGAGTCGTTCATGATGCTGCATCACAACTTCCATCCCATCGTTATTTCTTTCCATTTTTTCTAAATAAAAATTTCCGTTCAATTTTTTCCTCTAAGATGGCTTGTTCATGATTAAATGATCAAAAAAGTAGTCCACAATCTTTCAGTCTTTTCACAGTCAATTTTTGAGTTTTCTCTTGCTTGGTCCAGCTAATTCGATTTCTTTCTCCTTCATGATCTTCAAATGCTTTCGTTTTCTGGCTGGTGCTTCGATTTCTGTTTCTTGCTCTAGCTCCAAATCTTCAATATCTTGCTCTTCGTCCTGAATTCAACAGTAAGGAAAATATTCTAAGTTTGTTGGAAAACAATACTCATTTACTAACACTTTCAAAGTCGGAAAAGTCTTCAACAAAAGTCGTCTCGCCGACGTCTGAATCGTCCTCGCTCTCGTCTTCATCTTCTTTCTCTTCGCCTTCTTTCAATATTTTATCGAAGCTGGCATTGTTGAAGTTGTAAATATCGTTGTACGTTCCTTTCTTCAGTCGATCAAGCAGTTCCTTTTCGATTGCAGTCTCGAGCTGAGCTGCAACCAGCGCTTTCTTCTCTCGTCTGAATTGTTTATTTAAAAAATTGAAAATCATCTGTGTGATAAAAGTCAAAACTCCCAAAGGGGAGCTGTAAATGAGGATCGTGCTCAGCAATAACCTCGTGTCTCTCTTCTCTTGTTTCCGACTTAGCGGTACGATTTCCTTGTCTCCCTTCAACACCAGTTTTCGCATTCGGATCAGGTATTGAAAGATTTTCGTGAATCGCTGCTTGCACTTGTGGCGCAAGAACCAAGGCCAGTAGATTAGCTTTTCGTCGATTTGCTCGAGCGCTAGAATTTTCCAGATAAATGTGGGTCGAATATGAAACAATTGATTATATACATAACTGGTCCAACAAGGCCGAGGTTAGGGGTCGGTTCGTCTGTACCTGTTTTGTAGTTGCGGCTCAATTTGGTCTTCTCCCACAATCTGGCTGGAAACGCGGCGCGCTAGAATCCCGGTTCAATCGGTCCACCGCAACAAAATTACCTCAATCGTCTTCTGGTAAAGATAGCAGACGCCATTCTCTTCCTTGATCGTTGCGTACTGGCTGTTCGCCAAAGGACAGGTCTGTCGGGCGCAGATACCTAGAAACAAAAATCGCTCAGGAGGAGTGAAAAACAATAAAGTTAAAGATCAAGTCTATAAAAAGTCGACAAGAATTTTGACAAAATACGTCGAAAAAGGAAATTCCACTCGTCGAAAAATATCGTATGGGTTCATTTGGGGGAGAATAAGAACAAAAAGGCCCATTTTATCTTTAGAAAAATGCCCTAAAATAGCTTACCAGTAAGATTGTATTCATTTCTACAGAACTTGGACGTCCCTTGGGTTCTTGCAGACGCTTTGAACGCACAAAAATTCTGAAAGAGACGTTCTCATGTGAATCATATATCTTTAAATTTACTTTGTTTCCAATATTCGACCAGATCAATTCGTCGTGCTGCATTCTCTTCTAAAAACGAAAAATGGTCAGTTCAAAAAGCTGAAGAAAGTTGAAAAGAACAGCCAGCCTTTTTCTGGTTCAACTGTCATTATTTATAAAATTAACATGTCTATCTAATTATGTTTGGATGTTGTGTCAACAATGAGGGAAAAAGGGCCGAAAAGTCAAAAATGGTCCCAGGCGGGCGACAATTGATTTGCTTCATTTTTGAGCTGCGTCACCACTCCAGGATTTGACGAATAATCCCTTGCGCCGAAAAGAAAAAAGCTTGGAAAAAAATTCCCAAAAATCAAAAAATAAAATAAAAAGATCAAAATTAAAGAAAAAATGTACAGAAAGAAATAATTAATAAGCGAAAAAAGGGATGACAGATAGAGTCACAGGATGAGTCAAAAATGGAGATTTGTGGGTTGAGTAGTGGAACGTTCGAAACAGGCAAAGATCGATTTTGTTTTTTTTTCTTTGAGCGAGAGCGCTCAAGGCGAAAAAGGAGAAACCATAACGGGTGGGGGCGCCGGGACGAGCCCGACTTTCATTTATAAACGCGCAAAACTTGACGCAACAACGTAGTGGCTTCGGCCCTACATATATTAAAATTGGAACGATACAGAGAAGATTAGCATGGCCCCTGCGCAAGGATGACACGCAAAATCGTGAAGCGTTCCAAACTTTTCCAAAAATTTTAAAGTCTCAAGTCGCGAAAATCAATTTTCTCTCTGGCTAATGATCATTTTCTCAGCAGTAAGCTGGGGTAATCATAAAATTTTCCTTTTTTCATAAAAGGAAAAACTTTCCTTTTAGGTCATTTTCCTTCATTTACGAAGAATATACGTAAATTATGTATGAAAATATCCTCTACGCTGATTTGAATCAGGCTGAAGCCTTTTGAAATTCACAAATTCTAATAATTTCTAGAACTATCTGCAAAAAACGATGTTTTCTCAAAAGAAAGTCAGTTTAAAAGGAGCCCGTGACGGTAAAATATGTCCGACCCTCAACCAAGAAAGTCAATTTACGCTGGTGCTGATGAAGCTCGGCTCCGAAAGCAGCGAAAGGAGCGTAAAGAAGACATGAAAACGGCGATGCTTCGAAAGCCAATCTTGAGACCGAAGTGCGGATACAGCAGAATTCGAGTTGAGGAGCTTTCACAGCCAAAAGTAACGAAGAATGAATGTTGAAAAATTGAAATATTTTAGTCTGATAAAATGGAAGACGACACCCGCCCAATTCCCATCGTTCCATGGGGAAATCAAGAACCCTCCAGCCCATTACTTCCGCGACACTCAAGGCTATCCCGTCTAAAAGAATCGAGGTAAGACTCCCTTTCCTGTAACAAATAAATAAAAAATACAGGAACTTGCGGTGCCAAAGAAGAGTTTCGTAAAGCCCGAACTGGTCCCCTACGATTTGTACGTCTATTCCTGCGGACGAAGCTCTCCCATTCAGAAAAAGGAATCTGACCAGAAGTGACTTATTTACAATAAACAAGAAATGTATTTATTAAAGAAAATGTGAGTTTATTTATTTTCAAAAGGGGCAGTGAGAAGGGCCTAAAGTTTCTCCTAAGTTGACATGTTCTTGGGTTTGATTTCTGCGTCGGCCATTTGGCGAACGAAAAGTTGAGGTTCTGGAATGTAGCGGTCGCCTTGGACGTCGATTTCGTCCAAGAAGGAGGATCCGATGGCGAGCTAGAAAAAGACTGAAGGGTTGTTTATCTTATCTGTTTGTACCTGGTCGCCTTGAGGACTGAAAGCAAGAGCAGAAACACTTGTTGGGTAGCGTCGATAAATTGCCAGTCGTTTTTTGTTGAATCCATCCCAAGTTGAAACAAATCCATCTGAGCCGCCGCTGGCGAATGTTTGGTACTAGAATTTTTAATAATGAATGAAGACTTAAATTCGATCGCCATACTTTCTGGTGGAAGGCTAGAGCATTGACGGGGTATATTTCTTCTATATCTTCGTTTTTCTGGCGGTGGCATTTGAAAGCGTAGCTGGGCAAATGTCAAATATCTTTGAATAGGTCCTAGACAAGGACTCCTAGTCTCTCCTACCGTTTTCGCTGAACTTCAGCGTCGACGTCAAAGTACTCGACAGCCACTCGACCCTCGATGGAACCCATGACGAAGCCAATTCCGCTTGGGAAGCATTTGATGCATCTTGTTTGATATTTCAAGTTCGAATCTCTTTTTTGCTCGCAAATATCTAAAGATCCTCGTTACGCTGGTCTACGGAATAAGTTTTACCCAAATTTCGCAGATCCCAGATGAGTATTTTTCGTTGCGCAGTTCCGACAACAAGTTGATTGTCGACTGTATCCATAGAATAAACTCTCTCATTCTGCGGTCTGCTCACGATTCGCGATCGTTGTCGAGGATCCCAGAGAGTGATTTCTTGATCCCATGATCCTAGAACCCAATTAAACCTCGTTCAAAATCAAAACCCAATACTTACCACTAATAATGCAGCCCTTTTCTTTGGACTTTACCAAGCAGCTGATTGCCTCTTCATGCGTACCAATGTTATCCTCCATATTGCGTTCAATATTATACCGCGTAACTCGTCTGGCAAGCCCGCCAGACCAAGCATGGTTATCATCTTCGTAGACAGCGTCAAGCAGCGGAGCCTGACTTTTGAAATCGCATTCTAGTATTCCAGCCTAAAACGATCATCGACCTCTTTTTCAAAGTAAAAACTAAATCTACCTGAGCATCGTAAATTCTCAACTTTGAGTCCCACGCAGCACACAACAATTTTCTCCCAGTTGAATCGAATTGAAGGGATGAAATTGAATCTGTAGGAGCATCGCTCAACCGCGTCTCTGTATCCTGTCCATATGACATTATAATCTCTGAAAATTTAAAAACTTATAGAAACATTTCTTTGCAAGGCATCAGGTTATGAAAATGGTCAGTGAGAGGTCAAATAACACAGCAGAATGAAGGTTGAAATTCTAGGCAGTGAGGTGTTTCGTTTTGAACCAGCTAGCACCTTCTTTGAGAACCCACTCGGGCTCGACTACTGTAACATCTCGGGCATAGACGTTGTTGGTTTCTACCAGCTCGTTGAAGATAATGAATGGCGGCTTTGCTCCAAAAAGGACAGAGGACGGGTGAAGCTTGACTGTAACAACAGCGTTAGATCTATGCACGAGACAAGAAACTCACCATTCAACTTTTGCCCGAACTCCTGATACCTTCCATCCGGCTGTAATTCGGCACAATTCATAAACATGCCCCTTGCAAACGACTCTCTAATAGCAGCTGTTGTTTTTCCCGAGTCGTGGATAAGATCCAACTTCAAACTAATGAATATCTCTCTCAATTGCTTTCGTATTTCCATGGCACTGTTCAAATGACGCGGGCTCAAGAAATGAGTGTGAGCCCAATTTCGATCGCCGTTTGCTTTTCGATATGCTTTAAAAACGTTCAGCTTTGTAAGCAAATCGCCATCTGCTGTTTGGAACTTCTGGTGGGTTGCTCGAGCTTCTTCTTTCTTATTATTAGGGCTTTAAGAGGATAAGAAAATAGACTGTCGAAGATGTACTTTTTAGCTCGTTCTTATCCGTTCCAAATAAATATATTTTCCGTAGAAAGCATCGCTGCGATTATAATCACATCTTCCGAGCACTTCAGATCTGCGGAAATCAACAGCGTCTTGCTCAATCTTGGTTCCAATGGAAACCTGGCCGCTTTCTTCCCCAAATCTGTCAATTCAATTCCGCCCTGTGGAGACCCGTGCACTAATTTGAAAATGCTCAATTCGTCGATAGCTTTTTTCAGTGAAGAAGATGGTGGAGGATCGATGAAGGGAAACTGCTCGATCTTCTTTATTCCGGCATTTAGGAGTTGGAGACAAACTGTGCTTAGGGGGCTTCTAAGAATCTCGGGTACAGTGGCGAGGCCCATTTTCTCAAATTGGCCTTTTGAAAACAACCTTGAATAAGATAAGGATAAATACAAATTATCCAATTTTACCTGTAGACATTGCCTGCCGATTCTCGACCGGCTCTACCAGCTCGCTGCCATACTTGCGCCCTCGAGCATGGACATACTTTGAGCAGCTGCATGCCTGTATTCGCGACAAATTGTTTCTGTTTGACCTTTCCCGAGTCAATTACATGTCTGATGCCAGGAATCGTAAGGGACGTTTCGGCAATATTTGTGGAAATTATCACTCTTCGTTGATCTTTTTTGTAATTTTTGAAAACTTTTTCTTGGTACTGTTGACTCAACGAAGCGTAGAGAGGGAGCAGCTCCATCTTTCTTATAATTCCTCTTGCTTGTATCGACTCTTTGATAACTGCAATGCATGATTCAATTTCATCTTGCCCTGTAAGGAAGACTAAGAAGTGCTCGTCCATTGGAACTGATTGATGGAGACTTAAAATTGTTGAAATCGTGGTTCCTACATAGTCGTCGACGTCTTCTGTTGCGTAACGGACTTGAATAGGGAAGGTTCGGCCGGTAATGTAGACGACTTTACAGCGGAAGTACTTTTCGAAGTGGTCCACGTCCATTGTCGCCGACATGACTACTATCTAGATAAACTTGATAGCACCGGATAATGGCAGCAGTGATTCTTTACCTTTAATCTTTTTTCCCCTGATTTCAGCGCCCTTCTTTCCTGAGCCATCTTCACTATTCCGAAAAGAATATCAGTATTGACTGTCCTCTCGTGGGCTTCATCGAGAACAATGCAACCATATTTTGAAAGGCTCGAGTCGCTTTGAGCTTCGCGCAAAAGCATACCGTCCGTCATATATTTAATTCGAGTTTGATTGGTTGTCTTGTCATCGAAACGAACGGAGTACCCGACTTCAAGGCCTAATTCACAATGGCGCTCTTTAGCGACTCTGGTGGCAAGAGAGATGGCAGCAAGTCTTCTTGGCTGAGTACAAGCAACAACTCCGTCAAAAAGTCTGATGAGAAATTTGAGATTGAGAGGAGCAAACTATCTCGTACCTCGCATCTTGTAAAAATTGAGGCAATTTGGTGGACTTTCCAGAGCCAGTTTCTCCCATAACAATAAGCGTGTCATTCTTTCTTGCGTGTTCTACGAGTTCTTGACGCACTAAGTCAATGGGTAACACACTGGAGGAGTTCGAATGGGACGTATTCCGCGGAGAGTTTCCATTATGTTGACTCATTTGCTGATTGCCGCTTTTGGAATTTAGATTTCCACCGTTTCCATTAATTGAGATTTTTGGTACATCATCGGGAAGACGCATTCAATAATGACAATGACAAGATTCTGATAAGCTTTGCGAAGGTGTACAATCTGACAATCTAAGCAAAGAATATTCAAGGCTTTCGTTTTTAAAGAAGTGTTTATTCCAAATATCCAGAATTAATTGATTAGGTATGGAAATGGGAACAGCATCTAAAACTACATGGTAATAGGTACAGTGTAGAAACTAAAAATATGAGAATGGAAATATTCTATCGATAAGAAAGAAAATTGAACGAAAAACGGTAGAATTATGAGGATACTGTAACTTAAAGTTTTTGATTAAATTTCACTAGAGATTGTTTTTCAAACGTACATGTATCAGTACTGAAAGAAGACATATTGCAACGCAAGGTAATATTTTTTCTAGGAATCTCTTCTCTGAAATTGGAAGGCTTCTCCAAATGCATGAAATAAGGGGACAACGCATGAAGTTCAATTTAAATATATTTTCAGAGAAGAAAGACAGACAAAGGAGGAATAGCTACAAGGAAATTTCTTCAAGTTGAGTGTTTTTTTTTCATTTTGAGCGATGTAACAACAGAAATATATTATATCCGATATTCAACCAAAGTAGTGTTTTACAAGTGCATACTTTGTTAATTCGTAAACTTAAAGTAACAAGTAATGAGGGAAATCGATGCTTATTGAGCTTTCTTGGCGGCGGTGACAGGGGCTTGTGGCGCTTTCTCCACGTATTCTCGAGCGATGAACTTGCATACTTCGTCGAGGAGGATGACGGGCAGCGAAATCTTCATGACGATTTTCCATTCGAGAAGGGATAGAGGGCAGATATTGAAGATCATAGGAAGAGGATCAATGTGAAGAATGGCGAAGTGGAGACCCATTGAGAGAACGATCGATCCTGGAAGGAGATTTAATTAATCTGAAATCAAGGAGGAATCTTACCAATAAGCCACATGTTTCTCCATGGTGGCATGACGAGCATAGACTGATTCTCAGAAACTGAGTTGAGAGCGTTTAGCATTTCGATAACAACGAGGACTGAGAGAGCAAGAGTCATTGGATGAGGATCCTGGAAGATAGCACAGTCGAGTCCTTCAAAGTTTTCAGGTTGAGTTGCGCACTGCAGATAGTTAGTCAATTGCCACCACGTCATCTGAGGACCATCGGGAGCGAAAAGGAACCACCAGGAAGCAGCGGCGACAGTAGCAGCACCGACGTAGACACCAATGATAGTGTAACGGATCAATAGCCAGGTGGAAATCAAATTGTCATCGGAGTGTCGAGGAGGCTGAAGAAAAGGATCAACAGTCGTTAAAATTGATTAATAAATTACCTTTTCCATGATATCAAGATCTGGAGGATTGAAAGAAAGCGCAGTAGCTGGGAAGCCATCAGTAACAAGATTGACCCAGAGAAGCTGAACGGGGATGAGAGCCTCGGGAACGCCAAGGGCAGCCGCAAGGAAGATGGATACGACTTCACCGATGTTAGAGGAGATAAGATATCGAATGAACTGCTTCATATTGTTGTAAATAGCTCGGCCTTCCTCAACAGCAGCGACAATCGATGAAAAGTTATCGTCAGCAAGAACCATATCTAAGAAGATTTAGTAATCAGATAGTTTTCGATAACTAACCAGATGCAGTCTTGGCAACAGCAGTTCCAGAGCCCATGGCGATACCGATTTCAGCCTTCTTGAGTGCAGGAGCATCGTTAACACCGTCACCAGTCATAGCAGTAATGTCACCATTTTGCTGGAGGTATTCGACGATCTTTGACTTGTGCGATGGTTCCACTCGAGCGAAAAGTTTGGCCTAAAAAATGAATAGAAAATGGTCTAAAAACATCTTGAATACCTTGAGAACAGCTTCTTTCTGAGCGAATGGAGAAAGGTCGTCGAACTCTCGTCCAGTAAAAGCTTTTCCAGTTGTGTCTTCATCGGCGTCGAAGATTCCAATCTTTCGACAAATAGCTTCAGCGGTAGCCTTGTTGTCTCCAGTAATCATGATGACGCGGATGCCAGCCTTGCTACACTCGGCAATAGCAGGTCTGACTTCAGTTCGTGGAGGGTCAAGCATACCGACGACGCCAACAAAAGTCAGGTCAGATTCAACATCGGCAAATTTAGTGATATCCTAAATTGAAATAAGAGCGCAGTCAATAAGTTTAAAGACTCACCTGGAGATTAAGAGAGTTCAGCGGAGCAATCTCATCGCGAGTAGCAAGAGCAAGACAGCGAAGTGTATCAGCACCGGTTCCGTATTCAGCGGTGAGCTTGGTGATCTGTGCTCGAATGGCCGGTGTGATTGGAGATGTAGAATTTCCAATTCTTACTTTAGTGCATCGGTCCAAAATTCCTTCGGGAGCTCCCTAATGGACGCAATTTAGGGTCTGCAAATCTACATATTGAATTAACTTGCCTTGACGAATAGACGGTTACCCATTCCGGCGTTGTTTCCAGCCTTGGGGCTGCAATAAACAGACATTGATTTTCGATCTCGTGAGAATTCAAGAGTAGCGTCCTTAGACATCAATTCCGCAAACTTTGAGTTTGCGACGTTGCAGAGTTGGGCCTTAGAAAGTCCACTGAAAATTTTACGTCATGAGCGATGGAAATCGATGGAATTGAAAATACCTTTTGTCGGTTCCAAAGACATTCATCTTTTCGACAAGGACGGTCAAGGCAGTTTCCGTCGCCTCTCCGACCTTTTCGTAAGTGTCCTTGACGGCGTTGTAATCGACGCTAGAATCGTTGCAGAGCGAGCAAATCATGGCTACTTCAGTGAGTGCGTCATATTCAACCGTATCGATCTTGATTCCGTTCTTTTGAATGTCACCGACAGGCTCATAAGTAGAACCAGTGAGTCCAAACTCGTCGAATGCAGCGCTATCTCCAGAGATTCCACGGACGGTGAATAATTTTGAAACACTCATTTGGTTTGTCGTTAGAGTTCCGGTCTTGTCAGAGCAAATGACGGAAGTACATCCGAGAGTTTCCACGGAGGGGAGTGATCTTACAATCGAGTTTTTCTTCGCCATTCTTCGAGTTCCAAGAGCCAGGCAGGTGGTGATAACAGCCGGCAATCCCTCGGGAATAGCAGCGACAGCAAGAGCGACAGCGATTTTAAAGTAGTAGACGGCACCTTTGACGTAAGATCCACCGTGGACGGGGTCGTTGAAGTGGCCAATGTTGATCACCCAAACCAAGATGCAAATGATGGAAATGAGCTTGGAAAGCTGTTCTCCGAACTCGTCGATTTTGATGGCCAAGGGGGTCTTTTCTTGTTCAGTTTCGGCCATTTCATTTCTAGGAATCCAATTAAGTTTCGCAACATAAAGCTTTTAACAAACCTGATTCGTCCAATTTCAGTCTTTTGGCCAATGTTGACGACGATTCCCAAAGCTTTTCCGCCTGAAACATTTGTTCCACTAAAGAGCATATTCTTCTTATCCTGATTGACAGCTCTTGGATCAGGGACGGGCTCATTGTGCTTGATTACAGAAACAGATTCGCCGGTAAGAAGTGACTGATCGATTCGGAGGATTGTCGAGCGAATTGCCAAAATGCGAAGGTCAGCTGGGATCTTGTCTCCCACGGCCACTTCAACAAGGTCGCCCGGGACGAGATCACGCGCTTCGACAGGTTAAACACAGCCTTGACAGCGAAAATGGCGCAATTTTCCATTCAATTTGTCATTTTCAATTCATTTCCATTTGTTTAACCCAGACCTGGAATCTGCTGGACTTGTTTCCTATCAGCTCGGACAACTTTTGCAGTTTCGGATTCGTATTCCTTGAGCGCCTCGATCGCCGATTCCGCGTTCTTTTCTTGCCAGATTCCAACAATGGCGTTAGCGATAAGAATAACCAAAATGACAAATGGTTCCACAAAAGCAGTGATCGATCTAAAAATAAGAATTTTTCCAACAATATTTTATGAATAATGAGCATACCCTTCTTCATCTTCAAAAAACGCAAGAACAAATGAGACGGTCGCAGCTAGCAGTAAAATTCGCACGAGGAGATCTTCGAATTGTTCGACTATAATGGCGAAATTTAATAGCCGGTATTAGCTTTTGTATAAAAAATGGGACTGTTTGCAACGCCTAGAAGATGGGAATTCTGACGTAAAAAGCGCCACTTTTCCGCGGATAAGAACATCTGGAGAGTGTATAAACTCCCCTCACCCATTCTATGTTGATGGAAACTTGAACTCACCAATCAATTCCCAAAGGGATTTTCCTTCCTCCGCCGGGAGTTCATTCTTTCCGTGTTTTGCTTCTGCTTCTTCAATTTGGTCTTTGCTTAGCCCCAATTCTGGCTGATTCAGAGGTCAAAGACGCGTTTTTTCTAATTGTCTGTATATTCAAATTACTTTTCCAAAAGAGGCAAGTGCACAAAAATCGATGATCAAGACAGTCAATCTTATCTTCATCATCTTTTACGCTCGAAAATAAGTCATTATCCAATTTATACTTGATCGTTGGTTGTAAAATCAGCCCTCCCCGGCTCAATATCCCAAGTTAACCGCTAGAATCGTAAAAATCAAATAGATAGACATTCTTCCTCTCCGTAATTTGACCTCTGCCTGTACATCAAAATACTGTAAGCACTCATCTGCCGATTTCGTCCACGACGCTTCCATTTTTCGCCGCTTTCTGGCCGCTTTTCTTCGGTTTTTCGACCTCGACTCAACTCTAAAATCATCCGATAAGCATTCCTTTAAAAATACATTATTTCATTCATCGTCTGTATCGAAATGATAACGAAGGTGGCCTTGGATGCCTGAAATTTCTCCGTAGCCCGGGCGCCATCCATCGGCCCAACGGAAAAAGGGCCAGCCTGCTTTGTCAAATTACTCAGCAAACTGCGCCCGCGCAGCTCCAAAACGCGAATCAGAAATCTCCTCGGAAGAAATCCTCCAGTCTTTCCACCACAATTATAATTCGAGAATATTCTAGTACAATCATCTGATTCATCCAAATAAAACCAACCAAAAATCAGCTCTTTCAAACATGAGAACGCCATTTTGCTAGAGAATTATTTTCGTGAGAAAAATTAGTGTTTTTTTCAAGAGAAAGATCTCATCGTTACTTTACGTCGTCATGACGAATTTTTTACAGCCAAAGAAGTGATCCTCCAAAAATAATTAGTCACTTAGTTGATAAGCTTTTGTAAAATCTATTCAGGAAAAAGTCTGAATCAGAATAATCAATATTTACAATTTGACTGTATAAATGTCATCAAGTACCCACCCCCTCCTGACTAGCAGACAAAAAGAGTCATCTGTCGAAAAATAGAGAGAGCTGTTCAAAAATTTCTTTAGAAAAGTGAGTGTTTTCCAAATCGATTTTTGCGTGTCGATTTTCACTCTTTCTCCCGTCCCAGTTTTTTTCAAATCTCAGCTTACCAAAAACTCAGATACTCTTGTATTTTCTTTGCTGTGATTTTAGAGGTTTTCTCTAGAGACGAAGTTAACAACGGTGTTTTGTTCTTGTGATGAAACCAGTTATTTTGTCTTCATTTTCAATCAGACGAAATCGTCTCTTTTCAAAAAAGGGCTTCAATCAGGCTTATATCGGTGGAGATATATGTTTTTATGGGGCAGTAAAAACAGAATTAGCTCCTGATCAGGATACAGGATTGGCGGGTTGATTCTGAATAAGGATACCTATTTCACGGTCGCATGAGCACTACTAATCGAACTTCTTTTAGTTTTGTAACTGATGATCAATTTAAAGCTCGTTCGTTTTTGAAACAATACGCTTTGACTAACATATGATGTGATCTTTACTTAAAAGTTTCTGTGCCTGTTCCTATAAGCTCATCATTACTTTTCCTACATTAAAAACCACCTTTGCAATTCAGAATGGTAGCGGATACGACGCTGTACGACACTCTCGGTGTCAGCCCAAATGCCCAAGGACCCGAGATCAAGAAGGCTTACCGTAAGCTTGCCTTGAAGCTCCATCCCGACAAGAACCCCGGTCCAGAGGCTGAGCAAAAGTTCAAAGGTTCCAATCCCTATCCATCCTATATAGAAACGTATTTATAATTATCACAATGTTGGCAGTTATCAATGAGTTAATCAGAGGTGTCTGCCGCTTATGAAGTGCTCTCTGATGAACAGAAGAGAGAGACCTACGATCGATATGGCATGGAAGGACTGAAGGAAGGCCGAGGCGGCGGAGGAGGATTCGACGGAAACGACATCTTCTCCATGTTCTTCGGTGGTGGTGGAGGACCATTCGGCGGCGGCGGACGATCTCGTGGCCCAAGACGCGGCCAAGGTACGACCGACCGATAAAACCACTGTGCTCTAAGCATCGTTTTAGATATCGGCCACGAGCTCCGAGTTCAGCTCGAAGATCTTTACAACGGCAAGACCAAGAAGCTTGCCATCCAGCGACAAGTTATCTGCTGCAAGTGCGACGGCAAGGGCGGTCAAGGAGCTCCAACTAGATGCACTGTCTGCAAGGGTACAGGAATGACTGGTAAGATCAAGCCTTCATCTTCAGAAGCCTCAATTGATTTCAGTTCGAGTTCATCGAATGGGCCCAATGATTCAGCAGGTCCAGTCTCCATGCGGCGACTGTCGAGGAGAAGGAGAAATGTGGTCGGCCAAGGATAAGTGCAAGCACTGTAACGGTAGAAAGATTGATAAAGGTACGAGTCCTTCCCAGCTTTCAGATGATCATGAGTTCTTGTAGCAAAGGAAATCCTCGAAGTACACATTGAGAAGGGTATGCAAGACGGAGAAAAGATCCGATTCCGAGGAAAAGCTGACGAAGAGCCTGGAGTTGAAGCCGGAGATATCGTTATTATCTTACGAGTAGCTGATCACGATGTTTTCCAACGAAAAGGTACTCTTTCAATGTCATTTTCGCCCCTCTAAAAAATCAAAGGTAACAATCTCTTGATGAAGATGAAGATCGGTCTGAACGAAGCGCTCACTGGTTTCACCAGGGAAGTTACGACTCTCGATAATCGCAAAATCTGTATTACACAACTCCCTGGCGAGTTTGTTCAGCATGAAGGTAGGGCATGTGAATACGACCTGTTTATTCAAATGTCATATTAGGACTCAAAGTTGCGGATGGGGAAGGTATGCCCGTCCATCGCGATCCTTTCCAAAAGGGCGCTCTCGTTATCCAGTTTGAAGTCGAGTACCCAGACAAGGAATGGTTCTCGAATACTGAAAATATTGCCGCTCTTTCCGCCCTCCTTCCAAACAAAGCGGATCAAGGTAATTCAATCCGCTGCCTTTTCAATCGCTCAAGGAAAATTTTAGCTGAAGTCCGCGACAGAGAAGAAGTCATGCTGCAAGACTTCGATGCGCACCTCCACTCTGGCCGTGGACGCGGCGGCGCCCGAAACGCCTACGACCACGGTGACGACGACGACGATGAAGGCATGGGCGGCGGCGGCGTTCGATGCCAACAGCAGTAAAAACGCCCATCTTCCACCGAAAATCCCGCTGGCATCAATCCTCAAAAACCACGAGATACCCAACATCAGCAATCTTCAATACATACCCTTTTAGTTTATGTAACTCCCTATTCAACTGACATCTAGATTTATAAATACTTTATTTTCCAAAACGAATGCGCGTAACTGTCAAATATGTTCCATACAAAAAAATACTACACATAATGCCACTTTCGCGTTCTTTGACGCCGTTATTAGATTGTTTAATTTTGCCCTACATGTTACTGTTGAAGCTGAATTCATGGCGTAAAAATCAAAAAAATTTGCTGAGAATTGGCGTACCAATGCCCCATGTATTTGGTTGTTGTAATTTTCCATCTTAATAAATGCCGAATGCTGGAGATAAAACTGGAATGAGTCTGTCGTGATTGGCGTGTTTTGTAAAGCAATCGTAGATGCAGCTATACTGTTCAATTTCGAATCTTATCAGTCAAGTATTTATTCACATTTTGATCATCTGAAACTCCATTATATCACCGTTTACAGTGACTAGCAGGAACTCAGGCTCACCATGTCCATCAAGCCCTTCGGGAAAATGCTTTCCGGCTTCATTTACCCAATCCAACTGAGCACTAATCGATGTTATGATCACTTGTTTCACAGTTTGCCCATTTGCACATTCGTATTCTGAATTTTTATGCATTAGCAAATTGCAGACCGCGAATATACTCTACCCGCTGGAAAGTGGGTGAAATGTGTGTGTCCAGAGATAACGACTTTGACATTATTCTGACAATAGAGATCCAACAAGTATTTCCGGTGCTCGAGCGGTACGGACTTTTCGAAGAACTCCGAGTCAGTTTCTTCGGAATTGTCGATGAAGAGAGGCACGTGCTGGAACACTGTCTTGAATGCATCCGTTGAGGCGAGAGTATCTTCAAGCCATTTGTTGTGTTCGTTCATAAGAGGGACAGTTTCTGGATCTTCTGATCGATAAAACTGAGTTTCGACGGAGACAAATAAGTGTCCTCGATTCCAGAAGGAGAAGTAGCTCTCTCCCCAGACTTTTTGATATGCGTCCATAATGTCGGGGTTTGGTTCTTCCAAGTCGTGGTTTCCAGCGAGCATAAAAGTTGGGATATCATTAGCGAGTGATTTTTGAAAGGCAGTTTGCAAGTCAAAAGTCTTGATTCAAGTTAGCGCAAGCCGAAAATAATCTGTACCTGTGGAGGTCGATAGAGAGGTTTGAAAGCTGGATCATCGTCAGGATTACGAACAACTGGATAGGCATTATTTAGATCTCCGTCACAGACGATGAACTCAGGTTCAAGATTCTTGCTCAGTTCGCCAAATAATTCAATTGCTTCCAAATCTTTTCGCCAGTCAGTTCCATCACTAAAATTTCATGAATACAATTCCTCAGCGAGAGACTTGGTAACGCACTTTCCCTCGACAGCATCTCGAAGGCCAAGCTGTGGGTCAGTAAAGACGATGTACTTGAAGGGTTGAATGAGGCCGTTAGGCTCATCGAGCTCGACTTCATGATTTGTTGGTTTCTTGAAGTTGAAAACAGCAATATCTTCCGCGTCGTCATAAAGTCCGAAGTACAATGCGCAGCCAAGTGCAGCCAGGAACCCAAAAGTCATCAAATACGAAAAGACTTTATTTAGGTTAGATATTTTTTGCTTTTTCGGAAAGAAATCGCAAAATTAAGTCTTGAACCTTTCCTTTCAACCGTCCACTCATTGCTCTCGTTAGCTGAAAACTCTTTTTAAAAGATCCTGAAATCAATAGAGAAACAATCTGTTCTGTTACATTGAGGAAATGCACTGCCGTAAAAGTGTACTGCGCAAACAGGCAAATTTTGTACTCAATGCTCAATATTTGTAGATGAGCCTTGCATAAAGAAATACTCCCTATTAATCAATTACATGGAAAAAATCCCTAAATACATCATGTTAACGTAACACTTTTTAAATTACCAATTTTTGTCAAGTAACGCTCTTGGTTATGTTTTGATCAGAATTGAAGATGAGTACTTACTTTACCCATGATTTGATGAAGTGTTAATGACCAGTGATTTCCGCGTTCTCAACAGATTCTCTGGTTCGAACTCGATTTCTGCCACTACTCTATCTTATATGGATATTATTGACCTGGGGCTTGGTCACGTACGATTTCGAAAGTTGATTGATATTTGCTCCATGGCGAGTGTTTATCGTGAATTTATTGGAAGGTGAATAAGAAATTCGGAAGCAAGAAAAGAAGGATAGAAAACACATCAAGCAAGTGTGATAAATTCAATTTCGTTGACTGGAATTTTCGCAACGGCAGTTTCACCAGCAGCGTGGAAGTCGACAGAGACGTTGAAAGGAATCTCGTTTGTAGAAAAGATTCCGCTTGATATCCAACCAGGAGTTTGGCCGCGCTTATAAAGCCGGATTGTAACGGTGGGTTGAGCGCCGAGAAGAGCTTTCGCAGAGCCAAACCAGGTTGTTCGATTGTGGATGAAATCAAGTCGACCGATTTCAGATCGGTCGAACGAGGTCATCGGGCAAGCCTAAAAGGGCTGAATAAAGTTTATTTAGGTATTTTTTACCTTGAAATCGCCCTCGATCAAGCGGCCTCCTGTTAGTTGTATTTTATCATAAGATCCTCCCTTGGAAAGACCGACAGAAGCAGCAGAAAGTTGCTTGTAAGAAAGTGCGCCAGTGAAAAACGATGGCTTCAGAGGGTCAGTAAAATATTGAGTCCAAGTTTTCTCGAGTTTTCGACAGAACGCTTTGATTTTTGAGCCTGTCAGGACATGCTCTAGTTCGAGAATATCTTCAGGTAGTTCTATGGAAGAATCGGAGAAGATAAGGAATCCCTCGACGGCGTTCGATTTTACGGGAGCACCGGTTGAAACAAGGTGGCTGTGAAGAAGCTTGCATTGTTGCTCAATTTCGAGAAGTGGGGATTTCATCATTTTGATCGTTGTCTGCTCCTCTGTTTCAGTTATCTTCATCCAGTCCTTCGCATCTGCTCCTGGCTTGTATTTTCCCGACCATGGCTTGACTTTGTCTTGTTCAAAACTTGCTCAAAAGAAAAATATTTCAGCGAAACTTTTAGAACGATTCCTAAGAATACAAAAACCTTGTAGTCAGTCGTGACCACAATCTGTAGTTCTCGCTGACCTTTTCCGAAAGTGTCTGCCACTCGAAGTCTTCGCTTGATCTGAGAGGCTTTTACCTTTCCTAGGTTTGTGAGATCACTGACGAAGCATTGCTCGGCTTGGCGTTGGGCTTGGACTTCAGGAAGTTCTTCATGTTTCGTTGGATTTGCTACTACGTCTTGTGCTGCTAGTCTTGATACAAAATAGTTAAAAATTATTTTTATACAGAACGATACCTGGCTCTATAGCCGCCTAGCATTTCGCTCTCTTTTTTCGTGAGTTTTTATAGGCCTCTTGTCAAAGGAATATCTCGATCAATTTGATTTTTAAAATCGAAATTCGAAGGAAAGATCAAAAGTTTTTTTTTATTTCAAAGCTTTTCGAAAATTCAATAACTTGGCTCAGATCCGAGCCAAGCATGAGACCTCACGGGCCACTGTCACGTGACCTGGAGGACCTCAGCTGGAAGAGTCAGGCTCATTGAAGAGCGAGAATCAATAAAATGTCTCAAAAACATGTTCCTGTCCGGGTTCGAACCGGAGACCTCTCGCGTGTGAAGCGAGCGTGATAACCACTACACTACAGGAACTTATTGATGACTCGAGACCAAGGACTTTTAGAATCTTCACTTGCGCGCCTTTTGGTTCGTTTTGAAAAAAGCGCGCGCCGATCGCGCTCCAATCAAGCGCTGCCACTCGGAAAGAAAACCGTTTCTCACCAGAAAATCGAGAAAATGATGAGAAAACTTTCTGCGTTTCCTACGAAAATTTACACAGGATGAAAATCTGGGCACCCTTGCTTATTCTCGCTAGTCAAATTTCTGCAGAGGAAAATTCTAGTCAAGAAAATGTCGATGATTCATTCAAAGGAATGAAAGAGTATTTTATTGGATATGGAGTGAAGAGAAAAGAGCATAGGCAGTAAGTTTATTCGAAAAAATGATCAAAAGAATTATTATCATAATTTTTAGAGCTGTGGAAGTTTGGGCCAGGTCAAAGGAGAGCTCCCGATTGGTAGAACTCGCATTCAACAGCATCACCTCGAAGATTTCCGGCAGCAAAGAAATTCTTGAAAAGTCGAATCTATCGGAATTCACTGCAAAAGACTTCGACACATCAAAACTTGGTGATGAACGAAACTCGATGTCGAGCATCTTCGAAAACATCGGTAGCTAACTTCTCCAAATTTTTTCTTACTCCCTTTTTAGCTCTTCTTGGTGATCTTGCTCGACGAGTTCCGAAGCAAATTGACGCTCTTTGGGAAGGCTTTGAAGATAAGGACTTGATTCTCTGGGCAACAGAAAAGACGAAGGAATCTTCTTTGTACAGATTCGACAGTGAAATGGTTGAAAATGCGCTTCGAAACGAAACAAGCTCGATGGTTGCCTTTCCTGTTTATGTTCTGTCCCAAGAACTAGAGCTCTTTGGCCCTAGAGAAGATGGATACATAAACTTGTATAGAGCGATTAGAGACCTTCCAGGAACGGTCAACGAAATTCTGAAAATTACGTAATTGCTGAACCGGGTTTTATCTGATGAAAAACCGGTCCTTGTTTTCAAGATTTTCGATAACCCCTAATTGAGAAAACGAAACGCAGGCAGAGTTTTCAGAGCGCCACGCAGAAATGCGCCGCGACAAGAAATTAGATGAAATCCAACGGCGAAAAGACAAGAGAAAGAAAAACGGGCTGAAACCACCAGTTGTTCAACGAAAGACTGAGTTGTGAACTGTTCTCTAGAATAGAACGAAAATGTAATTTTTGGATGCTAACGAGTGATGTTTTAGAAATCGGTAGAAATGAGCGATAGATTTGGCTTCAAAAGCAAGCTTCCCACGAGCGGGAACTTGCGATCGTCGTCGAAGGCAAACGAGCAGAAACCTACCGCGGCTAGCAAGCGCCCTTTGGAGACAGACAAGGAGAATGTTCCCTCTGTTCCAAAGAAAACCGTCAAAACTCCTGCCGCGCCGCCATCTTACATGCGCCCAACGAAAACATCGAAAACATTCTCGGCGCGAAAGTCGTTGGCGAAGGCGAAGAGACGATCGCAGATGCCCGGCAGAGGCGCAACGGCTGCTGTGAAACGGACAGTCGGAACAGCAGCTGCTACAACGAGACCAGGGCTAAAGCGAGAAGCGAGCACGCTGAGGACAAAAACCCTCACCGCGGCTACGTCTTCTAGAGTCGGAGCGCGCGCTGGAACTGCAAGAGGACCAGTCAAGGCGACAAAAGCTCCTGTTGAGAAAGTCCCTGAGGAAGATGAAGATGCTGGCCCTTCAAGGTAATGCTTATTGGTGATTACGTCGCGTTAATTGTATCTATAGTCGAGTCAAACTGACTTCTGAAGGAAAAATCATCGTCAAAGGAGTCAAAAAGTTCGACTTGAAGGAGCGATGCAACGTCCTCGAGATCGTCCTCGCAGAGAAGATCACCTCAGCAAGGCAGACAGAGCAGCATCTAAAAATGCTCACAGAGGCCGTCGAGAGCATCAAAGGCGAAAAGCAACAGGCTCAGACTCACGCCAAGGGTCTTGAAGAGTACAAGATGATGAAGGAAGCTGAATATGACAATTTAGAGGAGCGCCTACAAAAGTAAGTCTTTAAATTATCTACCGTAGTTAATCAATCTTTTCAGTGCCCAACGAGAGCTTCGAAAGTTGAAGAACGACCTGGACAGCACACAAGATACACTTGATGAAACGCAAAAGCGATTGAAATCAGTGAAACTCGAGCGTGACTCACTCCAGGAAGATTATGAGGGAGCTGGGAAGAAGATTGACCAGCTCAAGCGAAAAGTAGAGCTCCAGGAAGATGATCTCAAGAAGCTTGAGAACGAGAAAGAAGGCTTGCTCCAAGACAAATCCGAAATGAGAGAAAAAATGGACTCGATGGACGATGAGCGCCGAATGCTGCACGAAACTATTCAGCAACTCAAGGTAAAATACAGTCTTCTTTTTCTTTTCTAAATTTTCTTCAGGGAAATATCCGAGTCTTCGTCCGTGTGCGACCTCTTCTTCCGAAAGAAATCCAGGAGAACCACACCGCTGATCATATCAGCTTCGAAAACGCGCTCGACAAGGGTATTGAAATTACCCGAGAAGACAAAAAAGGCGAAAAGGCAGAGTTTGAGTTCGATGCCGTCTTCCAGCCTGGCTCGACGCAGATGCAGATTTTCGGCGAAGGTATTTTCTTTCTCAAATTTCAAGAAATTTATTTATTTTAGTGAGCCAGCTCGTAAGAAGCTCTCTTGACGGATACAATGTCACCATTTTTGCGTATGGACAAACAGGATCTGGCAAAACTTTCTCAATGGAAGGGCCGGAAGATGTCTACGAGAACGAGGAAATGCAGGGCATCATCCCGAGATCTTTCGAATTTCTCATTGACGCTGTCGAGAAATCGAAAGAAAAAGGCTGGATCTACAAGCTTGAAGCTTCTTATTTGGAAGTTTACTGCGAAGAGCTCAATGATCTTCTTGAAGGTGAGTGTTCATTTCCTTGATTGAGTCCTATTTCGTCTCTAGGTGGAGACAAGAAGCTCAAGATCGAGGGAACAGGTTCAAAGCACATCAACGTTGCCAACTTGAGCCGCCACGAAATAACTTCCAAGCATCAGCTCTCCAACCTCGTCAAGCGAGCGAATAAGCGACGAAAAACTGCCTCCACCAACTGTAACGAGCGTTCATCGCGATCTCACTCCGGTAATCAAAAATCTTATCGGAAACGACTTTTCAATCATTGCTTCAGTCTTCATTCTTTACGTCTCTGGCGAAAACACCCGCAACGGAATGAAAGTGGAGTCCTGCCTGAATCTCGTCGACCTGGCAGGTTCTGAGCGCGTCAAAGAATCAGGAGCCACCGGACAGCGATTTGAAGAAGCGAAGAAAATCAACGGTTCTCTCTCGTCGCTTGGTGATTGCATTGCTGCACTGGGCAGCAAGAGCAAGCACGTTCCGTACAGAAACTCCAAGGTATTGCAAAGACGATTACCCTTAGACTTATTCAATTCCTTTTTAGCTCACTCACTTGCTCCAGAACTCGCTTGGTGGCAACTCAAAGACGTTGATGATCATGCACGTCAACCCGCGCAAGTTGTTCGCGAACGAGTCGTTCAACACGCTGCGCTTCGCCCAGAAAGTCAATAGTACCAATATCGGTACTGCCCAAAAGGTAACACTTCTTCAATTTCAAACAGCGAACTAACTTTGCTTTAGATTGTAAAATAAACGTCATCAATCACCTCACCAAAAAATACCTTATTTACCCCTTTTTCACGTTTCCCCTAACTGTTCACTTAACTGCCCCACTTTCACATTCCCACTCTACACATTTTCAATAAAGCAAATTTTACAAGTGGAGTTTTCTCGTTGTTTTCAATATGCACATGTCAGCAGATTCTATTTCAGAATATTTCAAGTCTGAATTTTAGACCATCTTGGTTAACAATTCTTTTTACGATAGTTAGCCCATTAATTCTTTTTAATTACCGGACCTTACGCATAGTTACTTTGAACATAAAAGCGATCCAAGAGTCGCCAAATGTAAAGAGTTCTCACCTATTGTTTTTAATTCTCATTTATAAATGAATATTTTCGAGCAAGTAAATGTCTTGTGCAGACTTTTTCTCATGACCTGTGAGCGTCACTAGTTGCGTCACGCGCTACAACGTCCAACGCAGCCCTACTCTACCTGCAGCTGACACTTTCCTTTTCAGAAATCGGGTTGTTTATTTGGTTCGGACTGGGGTGAAACACGCACTGCTGTGATCAGTATCTCAATTGGGGAACTTCACCCAATCAAGAAGATTCTTTTCTGACAGGGCAAAACGGAAACACCACACGTTGAGCGAGCGAGGAGAGAGACCATCCGAAAAATACACACACAGTCGCCCAGGAAAACAACGAAGACTCACTGTGAAAATAAAACAAATACAAATCGAGAAAGAGAGAGAGAGACGGTTATCAAGTTATCGAATAACAACAGAATACAAGCGCAGTCTACAAAAACGGATGGGACGATCTCGAAATCCTGCCGATATAATTTCGGTAATGCCAAACAATCATTTCTTGCGATCAAAATCTTTTCGTTAGCATGTAGAATCAGAAAGTCAGCCGAAAGAAATTCCATGGACTTTGTTCCTCTCGTCTGATAGACGGATGATGAGAAATCTATCCAGGGAGTTGTCTAATTCACCTTCTCCGTCGCACAGTCTCAGCAACTACCCCCAAGAAGGTATTCAAACAGACGCCATTCAAGTATAATTATAAAATCTAGATTGGTCTCAATATTTGAATAAAAAATACGACGGCTTCATCCAGCTTTGCAAAGACTACCCGGTGGGAACATTCCTGGGCTCAAATCGTCAAATGATGCGCCGCGTTACAACGAAAATTTCGCACCAGTCTCAACCCCATTCCAGTGATTCGTCTTCTACTTCCTCATCGTCCAGCGATTCCGGGCAATAGAATATTCGCAGTGAAAATCGCTGCTTCTTCGTCAATCAAAAATGCCCTCCGCAAATATGTTTTTCGTGACAATAGGACTTTCAAACTGTAAACCTAACTGTAAACTAGCTTTGGCAAGTGTTCCCAAAGTTTTCTTCAACATTCAAAATGCTATTTCTTGCACTTATAGTTCTTTTAAAATTCTATCATGTCAATAAAAATTCTACGATTTTCATGATCCGACTAGCATTTCTGGCTTTTACAAAGAGTTTTAGCCAGCAATCGATAGTTTTAAGCCTCGTTTTGAATCACAGGCAGGGTTTTATGGGTGAGTTTAGGGTTTTAGTCAAGGTGCTTTTTTAGTATGGAAGGTATATTTTCTGAGTTAGCGAGGTTGTTTGATGGGATAAAGAGAAACGAAAAGGATGAAATTCTTCATTCTACAAAAGTATTATCGCTCAAGCTGAAGCAAGTGAATGAAACATCAGATTTTGGAGCGGAGAAGCTAGCCTTCATTTATAATAAGCCCTTTCAAGCAGTGATCAATCAGAATTCACAATCATCGACGATAGTCTTGGACAGCATTGAACTTTACACGTCTTTGATTCAAAAGTGTCGATTCAAAAGTCCCCGGGAAGTTATTTCTCATTTTGCTTGGATTCCCAGCTTTTCCGAGAAGATCGGCCAAAAAGATGAACCAGTGATAGAAGCTCTCACAAGCTATTTGAAATTTCTTTTTACAATACAGTGCCCCGATTCTGAGGCTTACAGGTAATTTATCAATGCATTTCTGATCTCAAAAAGATTTTAGGAAAGATCTAAAAGATGAAAAAGCAATCCAGTTTTTATCTGCTGTCATTTTTCACACAATATCTCTTGGGAAGAAGTCATCGACGAAAACGATCTTGAATAACTGCCATCATGTGATTGAAACGCTTGCGATGAAGGAAAACAAGAAGCTCATCGAATCCATATTTCCTGGATTGTTCACTTTCATAGTTCAGGTAAGCTTTCCTTCTCTACATTCATATGCAAAACAGTTCTGATTAGACAATGATGCGCCCCGGAAACCTGAATTCAAAGGAATTCAAATCATGGCTCAGTCTCCTCCGCACAGTCGTCATTACTTTTCTGAAATCAGTGCCATCAGAAAAGCTCGATAAAAATCACGTAGAAGCAATTTCAAAAGCAATTCTTCCACTTTTGTCCAAAATCATCGGCTTCAAGGATCCACCAGTTTTGATCGAGGCAAGTTCCTTGGGAAATGAGCTGTATCCATTGATAGAAGCATTCCAAAAAGATCTCTTCGATTTGCTCTGCTACTGCCGATCATACGAAAACGTCCACCCTCAAGATATTTCGGTCGTGCCAAAGAAAGAACGAATCTCAAAGAGCAGCGAATATCTCGATTTGTTCGGCAGCATCTTCTCAAAAGGAAACTTTTCATTCATTCTTCGCTGCAGTGCTGGTCTACTGGATTCACTTTCAAGCGAAGAACTGTCACTCATTATCGACATTCAATCATTCATTTCAAAATTGTTGAATGATATGGAACCAGATTTTTCGACTCTCCCACCGATCGTCGTTACAGAATGCCGAAACTTGAGAAATCAGGAAGAAGTTTACACACAGAAAGACGCAGAAGAAAAACCAGTAGCCATGGAGCTCTCGAAATTCTCCCCCAAGCATTTCTCTGAGGAAGATCTAGTTATCTTGAAGAACATTCTCAAAACAATCCTACATGATTCCCTCCATGAAGAAATTTTTGACGCTCTACTGGACGAAGCGTCGATTCGACCGTGCTCTTCTTTCTTCCTTGGAGCGATTCTCTTGCAACAGATGACCGAAGCTCCCGAAAATCTCATCCAAGTCTTCGATGGGCTGAAAGTTTCGGCTGTTCAAAACAGGGCGACACTGGGAGAAAACATTCTTTTCGTTCATTTCTTATCCGAAGCAGTCAAATTACTGAAAGACAACGACGATGACATCTGCGCGCTGCTGTACTCGATTATATTCTACTGCGCTTCGGAACATACAGTCCTCGCAAACTTGGCACTCAAATCGCTGAAAGAACTCGCTGCCCTAAGAAACTCGAGCATAAAAAAACTCCTGGAAGAATTCCTCGATCCTCTGATGTCAACTCTACTTGCAAAACTCCAGCATCTATCTCTTTATCCTTCCAGTCCGCGAGTTTTCTCCGCGCTGCTGGATCTTTTAGACGATTCTAGTGAAGAAAAAGTCCCGATTCTTTCGTCAGCGTTTTCTGAAATCGTTGGATTCATCGAAGAATCGAATGGAAACGATCTTCCAAATCTAAACTCAGCGCTGAGAGCACTGGCTAGGTTTCATAAAAGCCCGAAAGATGTTACGATGGATTTGAATGATTTGGCAGAGAAAAGGTTTGTTGGCAACGTAGACTTGCCGCTTAAAATATTTCAGTCGGACTCAGAAAGAAACGAATTTCCAAAACTCCTCAAAGCGATTGTGTGAATGCTGCATGGCCACGTTAAGTTTTGGCTTCGAGGCGAGAATTACCATTTCTGCGATGGATATTCTAGGGCACTTCCTCCCCCATGTTGACCACAGCGAAAGGCTGCCGATTGCCGCACAAGCGTTCTCTCAACTTTTGGGAAGGTTGAAATTGAATGATTGTAGAATAGCGGCCAAAGTTCCTTCTGTCTTGAAACAGCTGTTCTTGGCTAGTGGCGATTTTCTGGATGCTAGAGTCATTGATGAGTATTTTCCTATTGCCAAGACGATTTTACGATCAGGAAGGGTTAAAAATATACAACAGTGCTTCCGGTTCAGTTTTTAATGACGTAAATTATTACTATTGCCACGTGTCTGAAATTATGATTGACCTAAAAAAGCTCACAAGGAAAATTTTGACGCTTTCAGCTCACAACTGAAATTTCTCGAAAGAAATCTTGAATTCCTCGATTTCGCGTTTAGCTCAATCAGCGACGCAACAGACAGAAGAAAAGGAAAATTCACGGAAATGAAAGAAACGCTGAAAATGATGGATTTTACGAAAATGCCTTCTGCTCATCTGAAGAAATCAAAACTGCTTGAAAAACACCTCTGAATCAGAGGCTCTGACAACAACCGATTTCTTCATTTTTCTGCCAAAGTTGTGATTGTTTCTGTTTTGTAGAATAAATGTCGGAAAAGTCGAAAACGAAAAGCTTTATCGAAGGACTTCCAGAAGGCTTTGTTAAGAAAGTGAAGGGAGTGCTGGATTTTAAACCCGAGCTTTTTACAACGGAAATAACGCTGCCTGTTATTTATTTTAAATGCAAAGAAGATATCGGTGCAATATTGAAAGTAGTCAAGAAGATGGATTTTGGGAAATGGATTTGAAAGTTTCTCGTTTCTTTTTAAGAAAAACGCCAAATTGAATCCGTAAAAGAATAAAGAGGCCTCATTTCAAACACATCGACTTTCCCAAAAAGCAGATCCGCCTTTCCGCAAAATTCGACAAAGGAGAACACGAAGAGCAGTTTCGAAAGAATCTCGATCGAGGGATTCAGGTTGAATTCAGCGAAGAAGAATTTCAATTTACTTATCGCAACTTTACGGCTTCGGAAATCTTTGAAATGATCTTCCCTGAAGAAATTCAAAGGATTTCTGGCTTCGCGACAATCGGGCATATTATCCAAGGTAAAAATATGCTTCTTATAATGATAGGCTATAGCCCCTTATTTTCAATTTTAGTCAACCTGAAAAAACCGCACTTTGAATACAAAGAACTTATCGGAAGAATCCTTCTAGACAAAGTTCCAACAGTGAAAACAGTCATCGCCAAAAACGACTCGTTAACAGAATCGGAGGAGAATAAATTCAGAATATTGCCATTTGAAGTTATTGCGGGAAAAGACTCCCTGCAGACGGAACATAGAGAACATGGGAATCGATTTCACTTAGACATGGGCGAGACTTATTGGAACTCAAGGTTACAGGAGGAGCACAAGGTAATCGTCGGATTCTAAACAACTGTTGGGAATTTCTATTCAGATAATGTCTGATCAAATCGACGAGAAATCTGTTTGCGTTGATCTTTGCTGCGGAATTGGGCCATTTGCGATTCCAATTGCTAAACGAGGAATTCGAACGATTGCAAATGACCTCAACCCAAATTCGATCAAGTGGCTGAGGATAAATGTAGAACTGAACTTTCCAAGAAAACGAGGAGTTAAAAGTCAAGATTTCATATCGCTAATGAATAAAGATGGTCATGATGTTATCAAGGAAGATGTTTTAAAATTGTAAGTTGTTTCAAAACAGCCTCTTTTTAATTTAAAACTCTTTAGGATAGAATCAGAAGGAGTAAAGAAAATCGAATGCTTGGCGAATCTCCCTGGTGGTGCTACTTTTTTCCTTTCCTCTTTCAAAGGTAGACTTTGATAAATGAACTTGAGCCCACTTTCTTTAGTCCTGATAAAAATTTTGAAAGAAAAAGAGCTTCCTTTTGATCTGACTTTCCACTGCTACTTATTTGGGCCGAAGTATTCGTCAATTGAAGAGCGCTACGAAGCCAAGCTAAAAGTCCTCAAAACTCTGGAAGAATCCTACGAGGACCTTCAAAAAGATGCGAAGATAACCATCCGCGAAGTGCGCGATATTTCTGTTGATAATTTACAGTACTGTGCTAGTATACGCTGGACGAGTGAAAACTCTTTAGAAAATCGAACTCAAGAGCCGCCAGAAAAGAAAAGCCGGACGGAATTATAATTTATAGAATCTTTTAATTCAAATCTGTTTTTGATTACTTTCTGTTTTTAGAAATTTGACTTGAAAATGGGGCTTTTGAAACTGTTGCCGACGAGTGTTTTGGAAGGAATGAATGATGCGGGTGCTTATTATTACGCTTGTTATTTGTGTATCAATATCTGTAAGAAGTCGCTCTCCCTTGTTCATTTTCTGACTCTATTCTAGCGGCATATGTTCCAGTCGCACTTCTTACGTCCGTCGCAGTTCGCCACCCTCGCGTAGCAACGCATGTTCAAAATAGATGTCGCATGAAAATTCAAAACGCCCAGAAATCGGCGAATTCGCCAACCCTGAACCCTTTCAAAAAGAAACTTGCTCAGAGAGCCGAGAAAAAGTATCAGAAGCTCTTGACATTAGCCGAAGACGATGCGAAGAAATTCTATTTCGGAATTATGCTCGGGCTATTTTTAAATGAAACGATTCTCATGCCGCCTCAGGAAAATGTTATTTCGAATAAAACTGTTATAAAGAAACTTTTATGACATTGAAAAGTTGATCCTAGCGTATCCAATGACTACTCCTTTCAAAAAGCTTGTTCAAATGGTTCCTCAAATCGACGAGCCACTCACTTCCGTCTCTGACTGGTGCTTAGAAAGTGTCCGTGGTGAAATTAAGCGGCGCGAATTGAAGAGACTCGCCAAGCTCGCGAAAATCAACGGAGAAAGTGCTATCTAATTTTTATTCCTTCGACAATTTTTTATCCCGCTTCTTTTCTGTTCCAAAAAAGTTTCAGCTTTGCTATTTTCAGCCCTTTTCCTAGTCAATCAATTGTATATAAAATATACTTAATTAATAAAGTAACTTATGAAACCGCCTTCAGAAAGGAAATAGAAAGTAATGTGTTGATGAAAATCGAACGCTGGTTTCAGATAGTTTTTAAAGTCTGTTCCATTAGAGAGCCGATGTTTGAAGTGTACGTTATTCGCCATGGACAAAGTGAGGCAAACAAAGCGAAAATTCACCAAGGTAAAAATTTAGTACACTTTATAACCCTTCGATTATATTAACAAACTTGCGCAGGTAATGGATATGACACGGATCTGACGGAAGAAGGTAGGCTTCAAGCAGCTACACTCAAAACGGCACTTCCGTCAAATCCGACGAAGATCATCGCCAGCCCCCTCAAACGCGCCCATCAGACATGCCAAATTGCGACTGGAGATGATGCTCAGATTCTCGATAAAAGGCTCATGGAAAGATCGTTGGGAGAGCTCGAAGGCCTCTCGCAGCAAAGAGTCAAAGAAATCGTCGTCGAGGTACTTTCCCTTCATCCGCACAAGAATCTGACATTTGTTAAAAGATGGACCTCCTGAATCGATTCGAGCATCCAGCGTGCGAAAAGTCGGAAGTTTTCAGAGCACGAGTCATAGAAGCATGGGATGAAATTCTCTCCAAAGCTTCTGCTGGCGATAAAATATTCATATTCTGCCATGGGTAAGATTCACCTTGTTTTCCTCGATTCAAGTGACTCTATTCAGCGGTGTAATGAAAGCAATTGCGAATTATCTTGGAGAAAGAGGCGCGAGCTATGATTATATTACGATTCCGAAAGACAGAAGGAATTGCTGCATCGATTATTATAAAGTTGCTGAAGATAGATCAGTTAGAATAGAATACGTTAACAATCATGAACACATTCCCGAAGAACTTGTTACTGGATAGATTCTATTTAGTGCAATAAATTTGAACACTGCTAGAATAGGGAAAGTTTGGATGTTTAATTGGGCATTTATTTCATGTGCAGGTTTTGATTATATGTCAGTCAACTTTTTCGCCTCATCACTTTGACGCTCAGGAATATTGTTTCCATACACGGACATGAGTCCAGCAGCTCCGATGGTTCCACTCGTGGCCATTATATGAGAGCATCGCCCTTTTTCCGATTCTTCTAGTGCTTTCTTTCGATGATGGAGTAACAAACCGAAGACACCTTTATTATTTAGTTAGTTTGACTTTACAGAACGTTTATGAAGAACTTACCTAAAAGACCGAGTGCTGTGAAGATGCAAATAATCAAGGTTGTCCTGAAGAGCGGGGACGCAGAATCAGAAACAGTGATGCAAACGCCATCTGCAGTGAAATTTTCATACTGCTGGAAACCTTTTTCTAAGTTGTCCGTCAAGTTAGCGATGAAGTTTTCTTGTTTCTCTTCGACGAATTCGTCTTCCTTGCATATTTTTTTATTCGAATCTGTCAGGGCTCAATTTTTGTGCGGTAAATTTTTGAGCGTTCAGATAAAAGAGCCGTTGCCTGTGCAAAGATTCTCCAAAATTTTATTCTCTGAACTGCTGTCTGTCTTGAGACAACCCTTCTGTCCGAAAAGTCCTGTATCATGTCTTATATATTTTTGACAGCAGCCCATTTTCTTCAATAGTTTTGTGCAATGGGGAACTTCTTCCTTCAGTTTAATCTTTATTTTATAGCACTAAAGAAATTTTTATAGACCTTGATTCTGTTCTAAATCTTACCGATGCGCAGTAATATTGCGTACAGACTCCTGCGCTTGCACTGTAAAATCCAAGCAGTAAAAGCATCAACATATTAATTTTTCTCTTCCGTCAAATTCTTGAATATTGAGAATTGAAAGGCCGTTTTCTTCACTTGTGAAAAGTTATTTTAGCGAATAACTTCAATTTTTCGCTCAATATCCCCTCGTTTATCTAATCGTTTTTCAATTATCAAAATTTTCCCAAATCACAGAAATAATGACCGAGGTTAATCTTCGTCTTGGTATATAAATGGGACGAAATCGAGAGGCTTTTAAAAAATTAATTGTTCACTTGGAATAATTGTGGTTTGATGACCTCGCCAGCGGTTGGTATTTTGACAGATCAGAATATTTAAGGGAGTGTTGGGATTCTAAACAAATATTTTATTCATCCTTGTTTCGATTTCGTTTTCTCTCTCCAATTTGTATGACCGAATCTATTTTATTGTTTTCTATGCACTGGATACTCCTTCATGTTTCCATCGTTGTAAGCAAATTAGAATAAAAGAATATTCCCTCACCGTAAAGACTCTAAAAAAACAATTGAACAAAAAATACTAAATTTATTATTTCCTAAATGATAAAAGTCTAAACTAAAGGAAGCAGAAGTATTTCGTTCCGCACAAATAATCTTCTGGATAATCCATCATTGTTGGCTGGATAAGTTGTGCTAGAGCTCAGTCGATCTTTAGCTGAATTTTAACAGCTCTCACGCTCGTCTCCTTTTTGATTTCTTTCTAAGAAATATCCGGTCAATTTGAACTACGTCCAATACGGTATTTACCTTTTGGCTACTCACTTCTGGAGATTCTGGCGATGAACGAGTCTTATTCTGCTGCTTCTCATTGATCTTAGCGATCAACTGACTCTTCAATTTCTCTGTCGTAGAGTTGGCGACGACAGTTTCTTGCACTGGAAATGCATTTTGAACTGTTGTTATCATTTGAATTGGTTCGGCATAAATTGGAATTATTGAGGATTGATTGATGATCAGGGTCTGGGTTTGAGCTTCTTCTGAAAACCCTTAAAAATAGCGGAGAAGCTTTGGACTGACCTTCAATAGGAATTTGAAATACTTGAGCAGGTTGTTGGTAAACTGTTTGAATTATCGGCTCCGGGCGGATACAATTGGTATAATAGTCGAACTCCTTCATTATAAGATCTGTGATCTTTTCACTCGGGCTAGAGATGTATTGAAATCAAGCGAAGAAAACTTTTCAAACCTTCCAACGAAATTTTCATCCTCAGAGAAATATGCATTTGAATAGTCTTGAACAGAACTGTCAGGGGTAGAGCATGATGGAATTTTTCGAACATCACTTCCTCTCATAAAGTCCCAATCACCTGGTAAAGAATATGGGGAGGTAGATGCTTTGTAGTAGATTTACCTATACTTTCGAAATCCATGGAATCAGGTGTGTCTGGTCGATGTGGCGGGGCAGTGTCTATTTTTAGGGTCAATTCGTGGAAGAGATTTCGGAGAACAAGTTTTAAGCATAATTCAAGAATAATTACAATTAAAGCAAAGCTGCGAAAATCTCGTACACTAGATTTTTATCTTTCGGTGACCCGTAGCTATAAACTCGCGGTAGTTCTACTTCTAAGTTAGCAAAACGTGTTAACACCTGGTCTAATTTATCACTTGAAAACGCGCGAATGAATTATTCTAGTACTACTACAGACTAAAGGGATTATTTCGAAAGGAAAAGATTTTGCTAACTCATTAACCTTTTGAAATTCGTCGATGCCCAGACAGAGGCGATCCATAATTGGAGAGGCATGTTTCTTATCTTTGGATTTCTTATCGTTCAAGACTTGAACTTTGAGTACTTGCGCCTCGCTTTTTTGTCTAGCCGTCTGAAATTGAAATCCTAATCATGTCGGATTCAAGAATCTTCTGGCAGCTAGGCTCCTCCAGCTCTGCAAGCATCGGATCGTCCGAAGAAAATGCAGTTTCCATCGAATCGAGCGAAATTTCCTCGCTTGTTTGACTCATATTTTCAAGTTCATCTCCATGAACAAGATCTTGAATAGAAATCTCGAGGTTCTCCTCGTTGCCTTCATCGATTTGCTGAACAGTGCTGTTGAGGTGGTCTTCGTAAAAGTCTGGCAGTTCTTCAGAAGCTTCGTCCTCAGTTTCCGGCAGATGGCAGTACTCACGAATTGGATCGACCTACAATACTTTATGTTAAAATGGCTCCAGAATGAACTCTTGTTTCATTATTCAATTTATTATTTGCCCAAAAAGTCTTAAAAATTAAGGAAAATGCGGCTTTACTTTAAGATTAATGCGTCCTCAACAAAAAATCGGGTCACCAAAGAACAGGTCAACATAGAAATCGTAAGTAAATATGGCCTTTTCTTTTCCTAATCTACGTTTATACTGATCCAGGTGCACTAAACTATCTGTCTGTCAAATTTAAGCCGATGTCTGTTTAGAGAAAGACCTAATTTTGAAATAATTACTTACCCATTCCATTATTTCTATGGCAAAAGATCTCTCACAAGCATTTTGACAGATTTCACGAGTGGTCAAGCACTTCGAGCTCTGCGACAAGCCTGTTACATAATGCTTCTTAAACTTGACCTTTTCTGGCAACTTTCTCAACTTTTTTCAATGATATTTATTTAGAGGCAATGATTATAATAGGTTGTGAAGCAGGTAAATGGTTGAAGTGAATGTTTTCGAGGTGAAAATCTAAAATCAATTGTCATATTATAATTTTGAAGTCAAGATCTACCTACTGTATTCTAGGCTATGTTGAGTCTGAGCAAGCGGTCTTCATCCAAAATCCATTCCATCGTTCTAACAGGAGCGTGAACATGTTGGAAGAAAACATGATCCTTCGTTACCTTGTAAATAGAAGAAGATGGCCCGGTTGCGGATAAATTAGATGGAACATTGGTTTGGACATTTGGGCGCATTCGCTTGTTCGCTGGCTCGTCAGATTTGTGAATATCAACATCAGCAATTCGTCGTCTGTCGATTTTTGAGTCATTTCGCAAGTCTTAATATTTATAAAAAGAGGAGGGTGTACTTTCTCACCGTCATGTTCACTCGTTTTGATGTCAGCGCTTTCAAGAATCTTGTTTTGGACACATTTTTTCTCGCTTGTGCTTTTAATTTTTCCTTCTTCTTTGAAACCTATAGAAGTTGTTAGCTAAATAGCTGTCATTTTTTTTTAAAACCTGGAGTTTTTTTAGATTTTGGGCTGGAACATGTTAGCTCTTCAAAGAACTCGGTAAGCGGTGGAGCAGAATTAGAAATTCTTTCTTGTCTTTCTCGTTCCCGAAGACTCATTGATGATTGTCTTCTAAAGGTATAAATCCTGTCATAATCTGTATCGACAACTCCTTGCTCAGGTAAGCCGTGTTCGTCAAAGTCAAAGAAATGATCATAAGCAGGCTGGTCATCGCCTTCAACTTCCGAGTCGCTGCCGAATGGGCTAGTGTCATATTGACTGTTTTCTTCGCTTATATTGGTAGAATCACTATCGTATGAATCGTCATTGTCTCTCCGTTGCCAGGCATCTTCGGTTATATCCGGCTTTGATAAGGAAATTTAAACTGGCGAGTTTTCTACAATCTTACTTGTACTCTTTCTGATATGTTCTCAAAAAATCTTCTATTACAGCTTCCTCTAGCGATTTCTGGTTCCTCATCCTGCGAATCCGGATTGTTTCTATCGTTTTCTCTTTCAAAATTTGAATTCATTTTTTTCAAAATCAGGCTTTTATCGAAATTTTCTACCAAAAGGACGAAAAAAACTTTTTTCCTTTTATATCTAGAGAGTCTTGTAATCTTATAAAGACGCTTCTATTCTAGCGTACGGGAATCTATTTTAGCTTTTGAAGATATTTTTTTATTTCAGTCTTAGAAATATTCTATGGAACAGTCAGAAGTATTTTGAGGCAGTATTTACACTGTTAAAGATGGTTAAGATTATATTGGCGGATATATACAGTATGTTAATGGTAATGTAAACGGGTTCAATGTACAGTTGAACTCTTCAAAACTTTTTCAAAGGAAGAAGAATTGAGGCTAGTTTGGAGAATAGCACATTTGGCTCTCTCTCTATTCAAGTTTATATAAGTGTTTAAAATTATATACAGTTAATACAGTTTGCGATACTATTTGCATACATGCGTTATAGTTGTTTCTTCTACCGTATCACACTCGACCCTGCAGCACCAAACGTAGCGACAGTTGTAATTGTAGTTGATCGACGTCTCAATGACCTTTTTGTGACCTCTTCCACAGCAGAGATGATCGCAAGATCCCTCGCCATACGCGTTCGGATCACAAGTTCTGAAAGAATCCGTTAGTAACGAGAAATAAACAACAAATTTGCCGGAGCTAATTTGCTAATTGAAATGTATCAATTCCGCGGCCACTAATTAGTCGGTCGCCCTTTATAGGGTGCCGTTACAGGGTGCCTGGATAAAAGCCAGAAGCCGAAGAAAGAAAACAGGCCTTTGTGTTACTGTCAGACTCGCAGAAGAGCTATTCAATAAACAGTATCTTTTCCGTATTGTTTCACTTTTGAAATTTGCATAATCTCTTGTCTAGCTTACCTTCCAGCTGTTCCGGCAGAGCCAGATCGTCTATCAGCCTCGCAGAAGTCATTTGACTTGTCGACATAGTACATTTGCAGAACTGAACTTCGCTCGACGCGGTTAGAATCGTCGTTTCGTCGTCGCTTTGGCAGTCTGACGGAGCTCTCGTAAAGATTCTTCAAAGATTCCGCAACCCTAAAAAGACCTTGGTTAGCATTTGCAAAGACATAATTTCCGGGAATAAACAAACACCTAGAACGCCCCTTGAACAGATTGAAAGGGTTATTAACCCCTTTTGAGCATCGCCGGCGGTTTATTATCTCGGCCCTTGGGTTTGACAGAACCCTCCGACGTGCATTATGTAAATAGGAAAATATTTAACCCCAAACAGGGAGACACAGGGCTGCGCATTTGGCGAAAGGTTTTAACTCTTGCCAACAAAATGTACCCGAGCAGCAGCTGGGTTGACACCCATAAGATAACGAAAAGGTTTGCTAGGGAAACATGAGTTGTTAAATGAGGGATTAAATGATTTGCAATTGTATTTCCCCAACCAGATTGGTTAAATTTGAGTACTTTTACTATATTCATCAAACTGTTAAAATTTTCACACTTACTGTTCAACCGTGGGTGACACTTTCCAGCAGGTTTTCTCCGTGCAGCTGCCGGAGACGCCGTGGCACTTGCAAACTGTCTTCATGCTTTGAAGTGCTACCTGAAAATAAACAATTTAGTAAACAGTTTATGTCTTTTGCGACGATTATTTTATTTTGTCTTTTTTTTTGGTGTGAAAAACTTCACTCGGAAAAAAAATCTCGGTGCTTCTTTGATTTTTCTTGGGAGAGGGTTGAAAGACAGGATAATAAGGGGACCTCCTTCAAATTCAAGATTTTCAAGATTTTCGAGGAAAGTTTATTTAAACTCCGGTGCCTCGCGTAGATTTTTTGATAATTTTTCAAGAGTCACGCTAAAATTAGGGGTTATCGATCAGGGTTACGGGATATCCTCGCGGGGTCAAAATTACACCCGAGGTCGGAAGTGCCAAGGTAGAATCGAGATCGATTGATAGCGAGACCGGTCGAGCTCCGACTTGGAGACCCGCCCTGTGTCCGTCCTCACTGGGGGTCTAGGATTATCCCTTTGTTGCAAGAAAATTACGGCCGAGGTGGATTAAGACGATTAGACTGATTCTCCGGTAAAAAGATTGGACTAATTAGCAATTGGCTGTCCATCGATTTGATTAGCAATAATAGTTTGGCGTTTACCGGACCTAGTGAGGGGTAAAATACCCAAAATAGGGGTAATCAGGTTAATTTTTACAACATTTACGAGTCGCGCTTTTTTCATGCATCGGTGCGAGGCATGCAGGTGCAGGAGAAATTTTTGTGTTTCTATTTTTAACGAGGGCGAAATTACAAGGTGTAATTCCAAGAATGATGGCCTGGATCCGGAGTTGAGGGGAAAATTAAAGGGGGATGGGCATCCGCTCGTGCGGGCCTTGAGCTACATTTTTAGGGGGGCCAGTTTGTGCAACCAGTTATTCTTGTGCGTCTCACCTCTCGACCAGCGTTATTGTCAGCTGTGAACATTCGCTGGTATCGTTTCTTGGCGTCGGAGCGAAGGATGGGCGCATCTGTCCACTGTTTTGAAAACTCGTTCGCCCATTTCAGGTCGTGCTCGCATGGCTTCGAGACCTAAACAATTGTTGTTGATTTGTACTCTGACACGTGTACATTCTATTTTGTATTTTCTACTCTGAAATTTAGGGATTGTTAATCCGGCGGAGGGATGAAGCAGAAAGTATTGTCCCGCGCAAGTGGTAAAAATCAGATCAATCTGATCAAGGTCAGCGGCCTGAATTAGTCCCCATTAGGCCCCTTTCCCGACCGTGTTCGACATGTTATAACCAGGTCCCAAGATGTCTTTGATGAAACCGCTTGTATGAAACAGAGGGATCTCGGCCTATTCTGGCGGGTGATCAAAATTTTACCCCCTTGCCGTCACCAAGTCCCGCCAACGGAGCCCAGTACATTGTATATTATTTACGTTTGTTGGATTTCGCGCCGTGGCGGAACCGCGATTTCAAGCTATCCAATTTGATAACTCTGATTCCTGCCAGGGACATTTACACTGTTTACAAGTTGTCAACTTATTGACTGGGTGCCGTTCTTTTGATGTAACTTTCTTATCTTCCTAAGGGATTAGGATAGGGCACAAAATTTTGAGAGCTCATCAATTCTACGAATTAATCACAAGAGAGCCTGTTTTTCTTGGCAACGGGAAAAATATGCGCCGCCTTATAATCCCTCCAGAACCGCAAGGTACATCCTTGACCTCCCCAAATTCCATTTTCGAAGCTTCAAATTTAGGAGTTATTTGCGGTGGCTTACCGTAGGGTCCAAGTACTCGTCCTGCGGTCGGTATCGGCAGCCGCACATTCCCATGTCGCCCCTGGCACAACGATTGGCGATGTTGATCGAGACAGCGGCGCTGGACAGGGCGTGAACGTAGGCTCTTTCGGAGGTGCCTTTTCGAAGGTCTCGCTTGAATTTGGGAGCAGATTTGAGACTTTCGCAATTCCAGCGTTTGTTTGCCATTGCTGACTAAAATTAATGATAAGTTTATGTTTATTAATTCCGTCTGCTTGAAAATAGAAATTAAAAGGCAACATGATTGTCTCGTAGAAGCAAATATCAAATGGCGACAGTTCAAGGTTCTTTCTAGTCCTCAAATCAAGTACGAGATTCTCGCATAAAAAGGGATTATTCTCGCTTATATCAAGTGCGCTCTGCTCAAACTTCAAAAATCGCGACTTTCGGGTTCAAGAATTTTTCGCCGTGCAATCCGCTTGAAACGCAATGTTTATCCTGTGCGCTTTATCCGCCCGCATGCATTCCCGGAATCCGAGGTTTTATCGGCGAGTATTGGCGGAATTCGCGGAATTTCTAAACTACTAAACGGCATATTTCCGTTTTGGCCAAAACAAATAGGGTTTTTTGAAGGGTTAAGGACCGGGAATACATGGTAGCGAAAGGCGGGGATAATCGACGGGTAAATCCTCTGACAATATTTGAGTAATTGTTGACCAGAAAGGGCGTTCCTTTGATGGTACTTACCGAACAAGCATTTGTTGTTTGGATTGTGGCTGTGTGGATAGCTTCCATAAATCCTTTCGTCTGGTGATTTTTCGAAAATTTGCGACACAAGCGATCTTGCAGTGGATCACTCAAGCCATCGCACAAGTCATCTTCAACAGCTTTTCCGTGCATCCCTATCCAGTCGATGGCAAAAACGCCCGAGAAGGACAGGAAGGATGAAATCTTCATAATCTTCTAGGTCTCTTTTTAATTCTACGCGATCTCTGTAGTGGTTCTTTATCAACCGGTGGGTGTTGACTTTTGAGTCACCTTTTTTGATTTGTAAAGGTAGATTTGCGTTATGAAATCTCGGAATCGAGCGAAGGAAGTGGCCATCTTGCGCGCGGCCATCTCGGAGGGCGCGAATGGGCTCCGCGGCGCTCGCGCTCACAAGGGGCTCGGTACCGATAAGGATCCGCTTTTTCACCTTTTTGGGTGGGTTCCTTCCGACAATTGAATTTAACGCGTATTAATAGAAATTTCCTCAATCGAAGTGGTAAACAAATCAATTACTTTGCGTAATTGAAATCAAGGAAGACTATTCTAGTCGACAAATTTTACGAAAACCGATGAAATCCTCTTTACTAAATGGGCTAAAATATATTCTTATCAATATGTATCCTTTGATCTATCTGTATGTTAAGACATTAGCGAGTGATATTTACTCTCAAATAAGAAAAATCCCACACCTTTCCGATAAGACCAAGGTCATCTTATAATCTTTCATTATTTCCTCTGAAAAACTCGCTCTCTGACGTTTTACGAAAGAACAAAAGTGCTGTTTGCTCGCTGTAGTTTATACAGATAGCCGCGTAACCAGGAGTTTTTACAAACACAAAGATATTATTTTTATGTTGCTCAGAAGTTCTCACGGCCGCTGGAAACGATTCCCTTACGATTTCGATTTGTGGACTTTTTGGAGATGGCTTGAATTTATTCAAAACGGAGACAGCTCGTTCGACAAACTTACGAGTGCAGTGATCGATGGCGTAATAAACCTAGAATTCAATCACAATCAAAGGACTTCGTCTACAAGTCCACAGCGAGAGTAATTTCAAATGCTGGGTATTCATAAAATGAAGCTATCACTGGCAGTTTCCTGCTGCGTATTCTCCCGCAAAGGGATTTATATTTACGCTGATGGCCATTGTGTCCCGTCTTTTCACCCCTGGAAATTAACATCTGTCTCCTTTGTAATTACTTCTTAATTAGCGGGGCCACAATGGGCCCAAATTCCAGGTCACGAATAAAAGAGGCCCACACGGGGGGAATGGGGCTCATGAAATTTTCGCAAAAAATTTCCTTTGAAGCCGGCCGCCGGGGTCTAACTGGCCATCGATCGGCATTCCGAGCGGGTATAAAAAGATATGGGTAGCTAGCATGGTCGGATGGTATTGACTCGTGTCAATACCTTATGGCTAGCGAACGGGTTGACTTAGATTCCTTGCCGAGTACAAGTAGTTTATGGTCCAGCCCTACTTTTCGCGGAAGTAACTTAGTATTGATCAGGGGCGCGACCAGCTGGTGAGTGTGTAAAATAAGAAATCTGTTTGTAAATTTTCGAAATTTCAAATCACCTCGAAAGTTTTTTCGCCGAAATTCGCATCGGCAAACAGATGGGCCAGGCTTAGTTTTGACGCGCGGCTACTTGATCATGCTTGCTATCAGCTTGTTTCTTGGGGAATTATCATGAGCATATGAGCCAGTCTTGTTATGAAATTTGGAAGCTTTTTGGCCCCTTTTTCGCAAATCCGAAATAAGTAGTTTTTATTCCTTTTCGTCAAAATACTCTTATCTTATCTTATTTTCATATGATAACCTAGCAGGATTATGAGATCTAAAGCCAGCCCTAAACCCGGGCTAATACATCACCATGTTTTAATAAACACTGTCAGAAATTAGTACTCATTTGTGAGCTCCGGAAGCGCTTTGAAATGTTTCATTTACCGAAACCAAAAACATGTCACGTGATCATTTCTCCATTTTTGAAGTGATCAGAAGGCGCCGGATGATGCATCCAGGTCAGGGCCCCTTTCCCGCTGAGTTGAGAGACGATCTGAATTGCTTCCGGTTTCGACGAAGAGGAAGTAGTCAGCAGTTCCGCCCGATTGTTATGCAAGATGGTATCTGATCGTGAGATCACTCGGACTAGAACCGTAATGAGCATCTTATTAGCTTGGCATGAAAATTTAACGATGCTCGTTTTTCAATAGAAATTCAAGAAGGAGCGAAAGAAACTGGCCTTTCACGGTTGCTGCTACTGGACTCATCACAGGTGCAAGTTGTGTACTGCATTTCAAAGGCGCTCGTAAATATCTTTGACAAATTGGATCGATGGACTTTTTTGCACATGCCGTTTTTTCGAATCTCGGTGGGGAGAAAGGGCACTTTGCCCATCCCTTTGTCGTTACAAAATACCTGACTGAAGTCTTCTTGGCGGCACCTTCGGAGGGAGGTCGAACACTTTGAGTGTCATTAAGGGTGTCCTTGACGCAAAATTCCCAGAATTCGCCTTGCAACTTTATGCAACCTAAGGAGGGGACTTTTCCTTTTATTATTTATTTCGTCGTTTTATTTGCTGTTGAAATTCTTTTGTGGTTTGCTGTTTATGAAAACATTCCGTCAAAGTAGTAAAAAATTAGGCGCTCAATTTTCGGGTTCAGTGAATGACAAGATTTTTGCGTTTTCGGGGTTTTATTGGGGTTGATTGGGGTGCCATGGGAAACCGAGATTTCCTTCCAACAGGGGCCCAATTTAGTTGTCGGTTTTCACCTCGTAATTGTTGTAATTTTAACTTGTTATCAGATTGAGAGGCGGAAGCTCGCTCCTAAACTCGCTTTGAATATTCAGTTTTCCGCTAGATCTGTCTTATGACAATTCCAGTGCTCAAGAAAAATTTGATACGGTTGAAACTTTGTCCCAATGATGCTCGGAATAGGATTGAAATACACACCGGTGAGAGGGTGTTTTCGCGGGCCGGTACACTTTTTGAGAAAATGCGTGAAATTCGGATGAATAAGATATTTTTCTTGGAAAATACAAAAATTCTAGCAATCGCTTTTTGAGATCCACTTTCGATATTTCAGACTTGCTTGAAACTTTGTAGCTAGTAGTTCTGCAAAGACGAAAGGCCAATAAATACAAAGTAGAGTTTTTAAAAGACGAAATTCGAAATTCGAACATGAAATGATGACCACATTAGTCAAGTTTTTATAAAATTAATGTGTGTTTTCGGGTAAATTGGGCCCCATAAACACCTTGTTGCGGATCTTGTCCAACTAGCGGCGGCTCCTTTGAAGATTTTCATCCCTTCTTATGGGATCGCGATCAGTCGAAAAATACAAGAGTTGGCCCAGATAGATTCACGCGGTGGGCCCGCTTGCCGACGCCGTTTTCAAGTTTATGAACTTGATGTTACTTTTTTAGATGCTATCGGTTATTTGGACGTGGCCAAGGCGGTTATTTTTGGAAACACTAATAAAGCCGGAAGTACGCCCTAAATCGTGAATAAGCGAGACGAGCGAGCGGTTAATTCGGATAGATATTGAGATAAACGAGAGCTCTAGATTTTCTTCTCCTTCCCTCGAAATTCATTAACGTCTTGAATCAACACTGAGATAAATGCTCCAAGCAGATGGGTTCCTAAAATAATCTTCGTGATACGTATGAGAGCCTGGGGATTTCCACATGAGCTGGTACATCTTCGAATTCCTAATAGACATATGAACATCAAACTGCCATCTTGAAATTGACGACAAATTCCCGACCGGTTAGGTAATACCCGAATGTTGTCACAAATGTCCCGCTCCTTCGAAATTCGAAAACTTCAAATTCGGCTGTACAGAGTGCCAGCTGTAAGGCGAAATAACATCAGCCTTCGCAGAACCACGCCGCGAATATTTTCGCGACAGTAATCCACCACCGCCACTGAAGCAGAAATCAATTCGATTGTCAGTTAATATAATTGTATGTTGAGTAGGATAAGCCCAAATATTTTCAAGGGGATTTCACTTGAAAATTCTTTCGAGATTTTTGGATGAACGGCAAAATTTTTGAGGGTGTGAAGAATTCGATAAATTGAGGGGTTGAGTTCATGGGTTGTTGGTTTGTTGTGGTACATTTGATTAGGCAGAATCTATAGTTTTGAACACATGAAAGTAATTTTAAAGCGAGAGTCTTTAGAAATGCCGATAAGCGTAACCTAAATCTCAAGAAATTGTCCGAAATTTGACCTTTTTAGTTTGACCGTCTTGCGCTAATTTTGCGATAAGAAATTCCGGCCACTGTTCCTATTTCCGTCCAAGTTATCTATTGCCCCGTCGAAGGAATTCTACTTTCCGGGCGAAATGGGATGAAAAATGCCCTTTCCTGGGTGATATCAGCGCCTCATATCTTTCTGTAGTTCGACCCGCGCGAAACGATGGTGGTGGTGCCCAGTTCAGACGTCGATCAAGTGGGCAGTGGACCGTGCCATCATCATTCTTGGTAAATCTTTCAAACCGGTCACTGAAGAGTTTGATCACTTCCGCCTGGAACACGGTAATATTAGAAGCACGCTGGTTAAAACATCAAATTTCAAATGCATGATATTTTTTTCATTATTGATTGTCAAGTGTTTCCGTGTTTTCATTTTCTCTAGGTCGAAAAATCGGCTGCGTGGTCAGTTCTTTGTTATCATTGGATGTTGGTTTCGGAACTTGGGCATGACCATCGTCATTTTTTCAACCGTCTCGCTAAAAATAAGAGACATACTTATTGATACTAACACTTTTTCTTTCAAAATCTGCTTATAAATAATAAGTTATGACGTTTGTCAAAGAGAAAATTGATTACGAATATTCAGAATGGGTATTGGGACCATAGTAAACGAAACGAAAAAAAGATTTCTGAACATTTACAAGTACGTTCGCGGCATTTTTGACACAAAATTTCGACAAAACCGCGGCAGAGCTACACATACTTCTCCTCGCGGCAGTAACGATATTATATTTTTACCTTAGTATATATCATTTTTTTAGGCACACATGAAAAATATTTCGGGGGGACGGCTTTTGTCCATGAAAACGCGGTAAACATGACAGAGTCCGTACAGGACGTATTCAACATTGATAACAGAGCACTTCACATGTTTCCGGGTAAGGAATTACACCTTTTAAGAAAAATTAATCGTTTAAGATACTGTCATCCCATCGATAGACCAAGTGCACCAATTTTGCAACTTTTCAAACTACCAGTAAACCGACAATACGTACGCTAAATCCCATAAAATATCAACGCAATCTTAACTTTAGCGGCGATGATCCGAGTCATTTTCTAACCGCGGCCTAACAATCCCATGCAAAATATGGATCGCTGTACGAATTTTGGATGCTTTACAAATTTTGATAAAATCAAATATATCCATTGTCTTTTATATTGTTCGTTTTATTGGCATGAGTCTTTTAGGGCAAGCAGGAATCTCAAGTGAGCCTTTCGTCCAGGGATGGAAGTAGCGTTGCCTCAAGTTTTGACATACTTTTTGATGCGTTTCAAAGGCAATTCTGTACTTCGAAAGTGTATATTCTTTTCCGAGCATGACTTCTTCTCGCTTCGCATCTGATACAGTTTGCCAAAATTTTTCTTCCTCCTCCGCCATAACTTTCGTCCAATACTCTTGATACTTTATCCAAAAACCCATCGATTTCTCCTTGAACATATTGATAAATTATCTTCATCAATAGAAAAAGGAAGAGTACCTGGAATAGAAGTTCATCGATAACTTCGATACGGTTGAGCCCATGAAACTCGCATCCTTTATAGAAAAAATTTCCAAAAGTTGTACTGAACTCATCTTCTGCAAGAACAGGCAGGTTTTCATTGATATTCTCGTACTTGTACTCAGCCTGAATTTTCCGAAACTCGCGAAAGTATATTTTCCTTTCTTCTTGGACATACTTTGCTAGATAGAATTGATAAAAAGATTAGATAGTCACACCAACCTTTGAAGTGCTGAACAAGTCGATCCTCAAATGTCACACAAAATTCATTCTTGAACCAATCTTCCCAAAATTCTTCATATTCCTCAAGGATCTCTTCGTTGTCTTCAAAATGCTCAACCTCAGTTTCTGATATCGATCCATACTCTTTTTCAGAGAGCAAAAACTCAACATCTTCTTGTATTCTTGGTGAGCCCATGACATCTTCAGGCTCGAAGCAAGGAACAATTAGGTGAGGGTACTTCGTACGATTTCTTAGCACAGCTTCCATTTTTGAATTTCTGAGGAAATAATCAAACTCGCGGATAAATTCTTTTTCCCAAACATCATTGAATGTATCTAAGAAGATCGTACTTTATTCGCTGCGGGCATTTTACCTAAAACTTCAATAGCCGTTGAGTACTTCCATCTGAGTTTTCTAACTGTGGACATTTGAAGATTGATATCGTAACGGATTCCCAGTTCCTCTCTTTCCTTAGTTGTCAACTTTAGAATATCTGCTGATTCCCAAATTTTCTTCTCTCCACTTTCCGTTGTTAATTTATTCGCAACTTCTTCGTAGATATCATCTTCTTTTTCAGCAAGAAAATCATTAAGAAAGCCTCTTGAAACGATTGAAGTGACTGGCTTGAAATCGAACTGCAGTTGTTTCCATTGCTCGATATCGGCTCGCAGCAAAAAGGGATCAAGTTGGGCAGAATGAGGTGATAGAAATTTTGGAATATAGAACTCTTTACTCCACTTTTTGATGAACTTCTGTAGCTTGGTTTCGTATTCGTTGACTTGTTTTGGATCGCTGAAATCAATTTCCCGTTTGAGGATGATCATCTTTGAGATCGCCTGTTTGAACTTTTTCTGCTGCGGAAGATTATTTCCGAAGTAACGAGTGATATCTTGATAATCAAGAAGCTCATTCAACTCTTGGACATCTAGGCCGCCGTTCACTGCTTCTTGAGGATCATGATAAAGCCTTCCTTTCTTTAAAACTTCGAGGAGCTGAGAAGATATCAGTTCTTCTCTAACTGTTGGAACTTCTTCTAGCAAGAGAGGTATCGTATTTTTCGGCTTCAGAAATGCCGAATGATATTCTCGGAAATTCTCATCAGAAAGCCGATCTATTTCGACGAGGTATCGTAAGTGAATTCTCCAGTGAACCTCGCCTTAGAAAAAAATGATCATCAGCGCCAATTAACGAACCTACTGTTAGTAAAAACTTCAGTGTATCGTCGACATCTTACAAGTCGATTCATATTTTCGAAAAGCAACTAGATTTTACGTTACCCTTCGGTGCATCATTCTCAAATATTTCACAAGGAGTCGGAGGCTTATCAATACGAAAGATGATTTTGAAAAATTTTACAAAAAAAAAACAGTAATTGATTCTCTGGAAGGGGAGAAAACTCCCAGAGAGGATCGAATGAAACTTCGTCTTGTATTGGTCAAAAAACAAGTAGGAGGAAAGCAGAAATATATACAGTCAGACAAATGGTCGTTCATAATTATTTACAGAACATAAATTATCATTAATATCACAATGAATTGAAGATAAAGGTAGTCAATATTTAACAATTACAATAAAGAGGTAGATTTTACAAGAGTCATTCTCGACTTTTGGGCAGCAGCAGAAGCCTGTTCTAGCTGTGCAACAGAAAACTCACGCGCGTTTTCTAGCTTCCAGGCGAGATCCTCGCAATCTGCTTCAAGAATACCCTGCTGGTATTCGAAAAGCATCTTTTCTTTAGAAGCATCCATGAAGTACGCTCGAGGATAAGTGAATTTCAATGTGTATCGACACTGCGCCAGAATTTTTCCAGCTCGTTTCAGATGCTCCCAATCGATCCAGGTTCCGTTCGATTTCTGCACTTCCTTCTGCGCAATCTCCTGTAGATTTTTCTGGAAGACCTTTTCCATCTTTAGCGATCGAGAATGATTATCCCAGCGCTGGAAATAATGAAGATATTTCGACAAAGACGCGCGGGTCTCGTTTTCTAGCTCTGCTCGAACTGCTTCTGGGTCTTCTTTGAACCTTGAGCATTCGTAGTACTGAAAATCAATGAATTTCTACCCACATAGAACTCGCTATACCTGAGCTCCGTGTTCTTTCCAATCTCCAGAGCAGACCCAGCAGAACTCGTACTTGCAGAGTCCACAGATCACATGGTTGCACCCTCCTGACTTTTCGATACAACTAGAGCACATCGGACAATCCTTTGTCTTCGTAGCGATGTAATCAGCTGTTTCAGAGTCGTCCGAACATTTCTGCAACCAGACTTTGATCGTTGAGCATTCAGTTGGATGGTGAAAGTCTAAGCCGCATTGGAAGCAGAATTCAGTAGCACAGGAATCGCACTAGAATCGTCTCATAAAGACCAAGGTTATTTTTTGCCCCACCCGAACTCGTTTGGGAGAGGATTCTTCCAAAGCCATGACGATCTCTGAGCAATCGGGGCCAGGACAAAAGCGTACTCCAGGATAACTTATCACCATGCAATCAAACAGTATCTCTTCAAATTTCTTCCCTAGCGATCCTGGCACGAGCGGGAGCACGGCTGATTCAGTGAGAAGAACCTCACAGCCGTGGCCCATGCAACAGACATCAGATCGCTGCTGGAGTCGCGTTCGCGTATGATATCTCCAACAATCCAGGCAAAATTCGTGCTGACAAAAAGTCGCGTAGAGGTCTTTTCTCGGTTCATCACAAACTGAGGTAAGTTAGAAATCTGCTGTTAGTTTCCAGAGTTACCGTCACAATGACTTTTTCGAGTTTTGACGAGTTTGTCGCCGTATTTAGATTTCGACAAAACTTTTGAGGCAGTGCTGGTGTTCCATTTTGATTTCATCAAAATCGTTTTCGCAACTGAAACGGATATCTTACAGGAATTTGCGAAGGCAGACGCTTCTTTTTCGACTTTCGCCTTGAAGATTTGAGAGCTAAAACGTTCTCAGTCAGAAAACCTCAAAAACGTGGTGTACCTGATAAATAAACATTTGAAATTCTCGATGGCGTCAACATTATCTGCCTTGTCGAGCTCAATATCTTCCTCGAAATCGTCCCAAGATTCATCCCCTGAGCCGAAGTCTTCATAATCTTCTGAGTCAGACATTCTAAAAATCAGGAATTAAGAACATTCGTTTCGTATAAAAAAATATTCTGTGTTGAGGGCGTATAAAAAATAGAGTTTCAGTGAAGGCAAGCGTACAGATTTTTGAATAAAAAATATTTCCTAAGATTAGTACGATCGATTAGGGTTTGGATTTTCCGTCGAGATATCCACGATCATTGTGAATTCTGCAATTTCGAACTCGTGGAGGTTTGATTGTGGCTTTTGACGTCCCTGGAACATCTGGGTCTTCTTCGTCGCTTTCTTCTTCCGAGGACGATTCTTCCGACGACGATTCTTCTTCAGAAGAGCTGGATTCTTCGTCATCGACAGCCCTTTAAAAATGCGTTTATCTCTGCTTTCTCGTGTTTCTCTTACTCTCCAAGTTCAATGGCTTGTTCCAAAACTGGCAAATATTCTTTGGCAATTTTGTTGCCTGGATCAAATTTGAGCATAATGTTAGCTAGCTTGAGTGCATTCTAAAAATAGAAAGATCAGCTCAAGTACCTTTAGCCGACCCTGTACTTAAAAAGTACAGGAAAGAGATTTGACAAGCGAGCAATTATTGACCTCTCGATAGAAGAAAAGATAAGGACAATTAATTGCTGCCAATGAAAAAAACGTTACCTTGTATTTTTTCCCAACGACGTTGTAAACAAACTCGGTCTTCAATCCGAATGGAATATCTTCTACATAGTCTTCATCTCTTGGCGGGGCCTTGAAGTATGTTTTTGAGGAATGGAATGAACAGAGTGTAGAATTCTTACCCGAAGTCCGGAGTCAGCTGTTTCTTCGCCTTCAGATGTCTCCGTGCTCACCTGGGCAGCTGGGCGTCCGCTGACCTGGAAGTAACGGTTATCACTTTTGTGAGAAAATTTTCATATGCGAAAATGAATATTGATGAATTGCTTATGTTGGAGGTGCTTTTCTTCAAGATTTTGATCATTTTCTCGTTATTGAAAATTTCACAAAGATTAATGATTTATGAATAAATTACTACAGTAATTTGTAAATACTAAAATTACCTCGGGTGTTTTATCTGTAGTATCATCAAGAGTCAGCGATTCTATCTTCAGATCTTCCGCTTTATCTCCCATTTATCCTTTTTTTTCTGGGAAACGATTTTCAAAATTTTAATATTTTCTGACAAAAACAAATCGAAAGATTTTTCTGCAGTGATTCTAGTGACACTAGAATCGCCTCGACTCGAGAAAGATCTGAATTTCTCGCCACCGCGCCACGGCCAATAAGCGCGCGGGAGATTTGGAGAGAAAGACTGGTTTTTTAGTTTCGATTGCGGCGATTTTTCACGAGAGATTGGAAAAAATGTCGGGAGAAACATTGATGCCAAGGAAAGTTGAGAGATTTATCAGTGTAACTCTTTCACTCAGCAGATGTATTACAGACAGAAATGCCTTTTTGATTCAAAAGTTTGAGAATAATTGAATTGAGTATATTTGCGAGAAGCGGTACCTTTTTCGGAATATGACTCAAAATCTCGCTAAAAGTCGAGCTCGTCGATCGAAACCCGCCGTTTCTCAAGTTCTCGACAGTCAAATCACCAATCCAGAGCGTTCGTCGCCCGTGACCCCGGATCGTCGGAATAGATATGACGCTGAAAAGGCGAAATACGACGCAGTTCCATCCAGATTTGAAAGTCGACAGAGAGACGTTGATTTCAGACCACGACAAAGAGAATCCTATGGCAATGGATCATCTCGAAATGACAACAGATCTCGAGGAAGACCTCGATATAGCGACCAAGGCTCTGGATTCAATCGTGGTCATCAAAATTCAAGCTACAACGATGGCCGGAGAGATTCTCCTGAATCCCCAGATGAAGAGCATGATGTTCCTGAAGGAGCGTTGCTAATTGGAGACAGTATGCTTAAGTCCTGTATATATTACATGGATACTGTTCCACTAAAGGATTTTTTCGCGTTCTCCTACCCGGGAATCAGAGCGGAAGGACTGGTTGAAGCGTTGAAGTCAGAATATCTTCCCCCGGTAATCCTACATTTTCAAAAATCTTCGAATTATTATTTTTAGCCCCGTCGAGTCGGAACAATTCTACTTCATGTTGGCACAAATAACGCCTCCCAATCACGCGTTAAGTCTACTGTATCCGAATGTGCCCAGGAAATCATCGAATGCATCTACATGGTTCGAAAGCTCTACCCAGCAGCGATGATTTTCGTTAGCTCGATTCTCCCTAGACTCGACGAAGATCATCTACGAGCGGTTGAGTGCAACAAGATTGTCGGTATGTCTTATTCGATGAGTTTTTTTTCCTGAAATTGCTTGAAGCTGTGTATGTGAATACAGAGATGACGGACGATGAAATGGTCAAGGTCATCGATTTCTCCACAGACTTCTACTTTCAAAACGACGGAGAAAATGCTCTAAAAGAATATATGTATCGCAAAAGCCAGATCGAGCAAAAAAGCCCTGTTGAAGGAGAAGAAGTGTACGTCGATAATGTCCATTTGAGCGACGAGGGAGGGCAGCGCTTCATGGAACTGATTCATCATTCTTTGGAGGCTGCTAAGTTTGATAACAAGAAAAGAAAGGTTCTTGGATCGCAGCTCTTGAAATTAAAAGATTGGAATACGTTTCGGGTCCAGGAGTTCGGGATGTTCGGCGAACATATTCGACACAGGTTGAGAAAAACTCGCCATTTTATAGCTGACTTCATCCTTTTTAGAGAGACAAATTATATGGCGGCTATCAAGAAAGACTACGCGCTTGAAAACTCAGACGAGCGACTCAAAGAAGCACGTAGATCGGAAGACTGGTACGAACGAAACGAGGATGACGATGAAGAATGCCAGAACGAGCCAGAGAAAGAAGAAACGAATGAAGAAATGAATGAGCGAATGGCAGAAGAAACCGAGTTTCAAGCTCCGTTCGATATTGATGAAGAGTCGCTCGCTTCGTCGGAAGTCTCAAACTTTTCAGCGAATAAAGAAGGAATGATTGATTGGGAAAATAAGGACGAGTTTGATTACGATTACGATGACGATCTTTTCGGGAAGGTTAAAACTTGCATATCACGTCATTCTTTCATGAAATATAGCAGTAAAACGGCAACTTTGAAAACCTTTGAAAAGCTGATGCAGAAAAACAGCGAGCAAACGAAAAGATTCCAGAAGAAAACGACGAGAATGACACGACTCTCGTCGATGAGCCGAATTCGAGCGAAGGCGACAAGGAGCCAGAAACAGCCGCCGATGATGAGAAAAAACCTCCAGGGGAGGCGGGGACTCCACCGCAGAGTGCCGAAGAAAATCTCTGCACTCAAGTTAGAGGCTTACGATTTAGAGGCATTCGAAGTAGAGCTTCGTATAAGATTAGTCGGGAAGCAAGAGCTTTGAGATGCAAGAACTACCTGAATTAGAATTCTTCATCTGATAATAAATTTATCAGCCCTTTTTCATTTTCGCACTGTTCAAATAATATCTGAATAAAATATTTTACTGCCACGGAATTCTTTCCGCTCTTCTTTATTTCCTGATTGTTTATAATTTATTAGTTATAAATGATGGAAGAAATTAAAAAGTAAGCCATAAATAGCAAATGTACAGGAAGAGTCATCCGCTGAAGAGGAAAAAACACCTCCTGATTCTCTTTACGTTGACATTGACAATCATATCGACCAGCCTTTCCGCAACTCGCCAGTTATTGATACCGCGAACTTGCCGCTCAGCGATGGTATGTCTGACGCTTCCGACGAATTCATCATTGATGAGGACCTTATGGAGGTCCCCAATCTCGTGAAGAAAGCTCGTAGAAATAGCAACACGAAGCCCGTCCATTTTCGAGCACAGCCGAACAGCCCTCCTCCAGTTCCGAAGGTTCAAGCTTTAGTTCCAAGGAAAGGATTTATCAAGCAAGATAGGTTTAGGGCGTCCAGGTTCACAATTGTAAACCTGGCTCACGATCTGCATCAAATGAATGGTCCTGGTTTGATAGGGAAACTCATTTTTGAGGTTATCAATTTTCATTGAGTCACTTTTCGAACTTGTTAACCAACCGATCGTGAACTAGCGCGGCCGCTACCCATCAATAGACATCAAAAAAGATTTGTAAAGGAGAGAAACTTACTCGTTAATCCATTTTGGTAAACCTGAAAAAGCCGAAAACGAAAAGCAAGAAATTAAAGACCCAGCAACACTGTGGCACTGCCTATCTTCTACAGATACAATCTCATTTATCCTAAGTTCACTGAAACACTCACTTATTGTAAATCATACCAATGCGGTATATTCTGAATTGAAAAAAGCCCACTTATGTATACATATTTATAATTATCTTTGTGTTCCTAGATTGAAAAATTGCCGCCATGGTTAGGGTAAACGCACAAAAAATCAGCTTTTTTTCTAGGGGTCGTAGAAACTTTATTTTAAGTGACGTGATTGCAAAACATGAGAAAATACTATTTCAGAAAAAAAATTTTTGAAAAAACCACTTGGCATCATTCTAGCGCCCTCTAAAGAGGTCCAAAAATCTATCTTTCGAGTGGGTGAAGGTACGGAGTCGTGGATAGTCTAGTTCGAAGCGCCTCGAAATTCTAATCAATTTGAGATAAAAAAATTTAGTGACCATGCCTCTGATCGATCAGGAATCACCTGGAGGACCTCCTGTTTCTTGCTGGAAGACCAGTAATTTGCTGGAAGAATAATGATTTTTGTTATTTAGTAAACAAAATCCTAAATTTTTTATAAAATTTATTGACAAATATCACGTGATCACACAGAGAACTTCTGGAGGACTTTGTCCGGTTGAAAACATCCGGATGATGGAAGAATTCAAAATTAAGAATTTTATTTTTTTTAATAAGAAATTTTTGATAAAATTTTTAAAAATGGGCTTCGGGCCGTCTCAGCCCCGTCCCTGGCTTTTAAATTGAAATGGGCTTGACGGCCCTTCGGGCCGTCTCAGCCCCGTCCCTGGCTTTTAAATTGAAATGGGCTTGACGGCCCTTCGGGCCGTCTCAGCCCCGTCCCTGGCTTTTAAATTGAAATGGGCTTGACGGCCCTTCGGGCCGTCTCAGCCCCGTCCCTGGCTTTTAAATTGAAATGGGCTTGACGGCCCTTCGGGCCGTCTCAGCCCCGTCCCTGGCTTTTAAATTGAAATGGGCTTGACGGCCCTTCGGGCCGTCTCAGCCCCGTCCCTGGCTTTTAAATTGAAATGGGCTTGACGGCCCTTCGGGCCGTCTCAGCCCCGTCCCTGGCTTTTAAATTGAAATGGGCTTGACGGCCCTTCGGGCCGTCTCAGCCCCGTCCCTGGCTTTTAAATTGAAATGGGCTTGACGGCCCTTCGGGCCGTCTCAGCCCCGTCCCTGGCTTTTAAATTGAAATGGGCTTGACGGCCCTTCGGGCCGTCTCAGCCCCGTCCCTTAAATTGAAATGGGCTTGACGGCCCTTCGGGCCGTCTCAGCCCCGTCCCTGGCTTTTAAATTGAAATGGGCTTGACGGCCCTTCGGGCCGTCTCAGCCCCGTCCCTGGCTTTTAAATTGAAATGGGCTTGACGGCCCTTCGGGCCGTCTCAGCCCCGTCCCTGGCTTTTAAATTGAAATGGGCTTGACGGCCCTTCGGGCCGTCTCAGCCCCGTCCCTGGCTTTTAAATTGAAATGGGCTTGACGGCCCTTCGGGCCGTCTCAGCCCCGTCCCTGGCTTTTAAATTGAAATGGGCTTGACGGCCCTTCGGGCCGTCTCAGCCCCGTCCCTGGCTTTTAAATTGAAATGGGCTTGACGGCCCTTCGGGCCGTCTCAGCCCCGTCCCTGGCTTTTAAATTGAAATGGGCTTGACGGCCCTTCGGGCCGTCTCAGCCCCGTCCCTGGCTTTTAAATTGAAATGGGCTTGACGGCCCTTCGGGCCGTCTCAGCCCCGTCCCTGGCTTTTAAATTGAAATGGGCTTGACGGCCCTTCGGGCCGTCTCAGCCCCGTCCCTGGCTTTTAAATTGAAATGGGCTTGACGGCCCTTCGGGCCGTCTCAGCCCCGTCCCTGGCTTTTAAATTGAAATGGGCTTGACGGCCCTTCGGGCCGTCTCAGCCCCGTCCCTGGCTTTTAAATTGAAATGGGCTTGACGGCCCTTCGGGCCGTCTCAGCCCCGTCCCTGGCTTTTAAATTGAAATGGGCTTGACGGCCCTTCGGGCCGTCTCAGCCCCGTCCCTGGCTTTTAAATTGAAATGGGCTTGACGGCCCTTCGGGCCGTCTCAGCCCCGTCCCTGGCTTTTAAATTGAAATGGGCTTGACGGCCCTTCGGGCCGTCTCAGCCCCGTCCCTGGCTTTTAAATTGAAATGGGCTTGACGGCCCTTCGGGCCGTCTCAGCCCCGTCCCTGGCTTTTAAATTGAAATGGGCTTGACGGCCCTTCGGGCCGTCTCAGCCCCGTCCTGGCTTTTAAATTGAAATGGGCTTGACGGCCCTTCGGGCCGTCTCAGCCCCGTCCCTGGCTTTTAAATTGAAATGGGCTTGACGGCCCTTCGGGCCGTCTCAGCCCCGTCCCTGGCTTTTAAATTGAAATGGGCTTGACGGCCCTTCGGGCCGTCTCAGCCCCGTCCCTGGCTTTTAAATTGAAATGGGCTTGACGGCCCTTCGGGCCGTCTCAGCCCCGTCCCTGGCTTTTAAATTGAAATGGGCTTGACGGCCCTTCGGGCCGTCTCAGCCCCGTCCCTGGCTTTTAAATTGAAATGGGCTTGACGGCCCTTCGGGCCGTCTCAGCCCCGTCCCTGGCTTTTAAATTGAAATGGGCTTGACGGCCCTTCGGGCCGTCTCAGCCCCGTCCCTGGCTTTTAAATTGAAATGGGCTTGACGGCCCTTCGGGCCGTCTCAGCCCCGTCCCTGGCTTTTAAATTGAAATGGGCTTGACGGCCCTTCGGGGCCGTCTCAGCTTGACCCGGGCCGTCTCAGCCCCGTGGCTTTTAAATTGAAATGGGCTTGACGGCCCTTCGGGCCGTCTCAGCCCCGTCCCTGGCTTTTAAATTGAAATGGGCTTGACGGCCCTTCGGGCCGTCTCAGCCCCGTCCCTGGCTTTTAAATTGAAATGGGCTTGACGGCCCTTCGGGCCGTCTCAGCCCCGTCCCTGGCTTTTAAATTGAAATGGGCTTGACGGCCCTTCGGGCCGTCTCAGCCCCGTCCCTGGCTTTTAAATTGAAATGGGCTTGACGGCCCTTCGGGCCGTCTCAGCCCCGTCCCTGGCTTTTAAATTGAAATGGGCTTGACGGCCCTTCGGGCCGTCTCAGCCCCGTCCCTGGCTTTTAAATTGAAATGGGCTTGACGGCCCTTCGGGCCGTCTCAGCCCCGTCCCTGGCTTTTAAATTGAAATGGGCTTGACGGCCCTTCGGGCCGTCTCAGCCCCGTCCTGGCTTTTAAATTGAAATGGGCTTGACGGCCCTTCGGGCCGTCTCAGCCCCGTCCCTGGCTTTTAAATTGAAATGGGCTTGACGGCCCTTCGGGCCGTCTCAGCCCCGTCCTGGCTTTTAAATTGAAATGGGCTTGACGGCCCTTCGGGCCGTCTCAGCCCCGTCCCGTGGCTTTTAAATTGAAATGGGCTTGACGGCCCTTCGGGCCGTCTCAGCCCCGTCCCTGGCTTTTAAATTGAAATGGGCTTGACGGCCCTTCGGGCCGTCTCAGCCCCGTCCCTGGCTTTTAAATTGAAATGGGCTTGACAAAGGCCGGGATAAGAAGGCAGTACTAAGGTGATCAGTCTCAGTTTTGTCCCCAACCCCACCCTCTCCCATTTTTTACTTTAAGCATACCCTCCCTACTTGTTTTGCTTTTATGGTGTTCGTTATTTGGAATTTTTTTTTTGTTTTTTTTTAAAGAAGGTAGTTTTTATTAAGGTTATGATCAAGATTTTTTCTGTTTATTTCATTCGAAAATTAATTTTTTTTTCAAAAAAAAAAATTTTTTCCAGCAATGCAATGTTTTCCTTGAAAAAGTCTTCCGCGAGCTCCTCCAGAAAAAGGGATGGAAAATATTATTACTTTTAGGGGTTGAAAAATAGTTAGATTTATTTCTTTGGTCCTCCAGAAATTATTAGTCTGAATTTGTGTTACATAATAGGGTTACGTAACAGTTTTCGGCAATTCTTGAGTCATCGGAGGTATTGTCACTAAATTTTTTTTTATGAAAATGATCAGGAGATCATTCCGCGTTGATCTAGCTATTTTAGAGCCTTCGAACATGATCCACTCAAAAGTTAGCCTTTTGCCAGGCTTAAAAAGGTTGAAAACCTTGAAAAATTTTTTTGAAAAAAAAATTTTGAAAAGTACTTTGGCATGATCTATCACCATGCCAAGTTTCAAGTCAATACTCTTTCGAGGGAAAAAGTTAGTTTTTTTGTGCGTTTACCCTAGCCATGGTAATTCTTGAGGATATTTTTCGCGAATCGTTGCCCTCAATCAATCCGAAAACGCTCGTTTTGGATCATCTTACAAGAAAATCTTTCGCCAAAGAAAAAGTCTTCCTCATCGGCTTCGGGAAAGCTGCTGCTGGTATGGCAAGTGGAGTAATCGAGTACTTTGGAGATTATGTCGCCCAAGGGATCGTCTCAGTGCCTTTCGGAACTAGAAAATCCATGGGTAAGCTACTGCTCTATCGTTTCGTGTGTCAATGAATTTTAGAAGAAAATGCGGGTGCATTTTCTGAACGATCGAGTATGTGGCCCGTTCACGAAAATGTCAAAGTCCTTGAAGTCGCGGAAAACAACCTTCCAGACGCAGCTGCTGTGGGCATTGGTTCAAAAACGATAGAATATGCGTTCTTCGACTGGTGATTCGTCGAAAAAACGCTTAGATGGAGAACCATTGACGAAAAGACGCATCGAACAAGATTCTTGAGTTCGTGAAGAATCTCGAACCAGACGACAAGCTGATAGTTTGCTGTTCTGGCGGCGGTAGCGCGTGTTTAGCTTGCCCTGCTGATTCGATATCGCTTGATGAGAAATTAAGAATTATCAAAAAGCTTCAATCAAAGGTTCCTATACATAAACTTCCTATATAATTTAGTTGAACTTTTAGGGCGCTACTATTCAAGAACTCAACGCTGTAAGATCACTTTTGAGCAAGACGAAAGGAGGAAGGCTTTTGGCAGCGACAAAAGCTTCTGTGAGAACTTTTATTCTCTCGGATATCATTGGCGACCCGGTCGAATTGATCGCGTCTGGACCAACTGTTGAAACAACAATAAAAGATCGGAGCTTTTATGAAGGGTTGCTGAGACAGGATTTAAAATCAATATATGAATTCAGCTCAAAATTTTAGCCTCAAATTATATTAGCCATATATGGCGCATATTTAATTCTGATGATCCTCTTTTAAAATCCTCGATTCTAAAGAAAATTTGATGTTGACTTTGCCCTTCCTGAGGAAATTTTCAATCAGAAGACTTATCCCTCGAATACGGTTGAAGTTATCGGCAATAATCAAGTACTAATTAAACGAATCGAGGAAATATGTGCTCAGGGAAAAGTATCTGATAGGTAAGGATCGTTTTATTGGATACTTCTCAATCAAACCGCAGACCGATTCCTTACTTCTCTCTTGGAAACGAAATTTCCGGGGAAGCCCGTGATCTCGCCAAGTTCTACGTTTGGATTGCGAAAGCTCTTGCTGACAGGAGTAATCGGAGCAGCATTCCAGATTTTTCTAACCTCCAGATAACTACTCCTGACGTCTCTGACTTTTTCGAAGAAATACGCGACATTTTCGATGAAAATGGCGAAGTTCTCGTAATTGCCGGCGGTGAACCTACTGTGACTATCCTTGGGAACGGGAGAGGAGGAAGAAATCAAGAACTCGCACTGGCTTTTGAAATTGAAGCTCAAGGAAAGCTAAATGTGGAGTTCTTATCTGCTGGAACTGATGGACAAGGTTCGTCTTATCATTTTATTTACATAGGGACAATTAATGCGTATGCAGCATAGCCTGTGCTGCATGGAGTATGCTAAAGAATAATAGTGCTCGGAGATTATTCGCAAGAAATTCTTGCTTTACAGTAACATTTTTTTATTTTTAATCCGGCAATGACTAGCTCAGTTCGTGTAGGATTTCTTCCTGTGTAGTAGACGATCCTTATCACTTGATGCTCGGTAGCTGAGCAGTGAAACAGGTCGTGTCTTCTGTGCCTAGAATTTCTAATAATTCTCGGAGAATTGATGGATTAAATAACTTACGGGGAGTGACATTGTCCCTTGCAGTAGCCAATGTCAATTAATTGGAGATTGTGTTTGCTTCCGTCAACGCTTTCTATGTAGACGCTGAAAATTTCATAAAAATTCATTCACAGGTCTTAAGCTTTAGTCATAAAATTAGTGATGTCAGATTATTTGAATTTTAAAATGCCTACATTGACGTTGTACATTACGTATGTTGGAAGGATTTTTGTAAATATCAACATTTGCGGGGACGTCCTTGTTCAGCGTGCTGACGTTTCGACTTTTAGTTTAAATATCAATATGTCAAGACAAACTGGTGTACGCTCAAATAGGACCTAAGTACCCAGAAAGCTCTAAATGACTACCTGCAGAGTCTGAATGTCACATTCAGAATGTGTCAGGTTTACAAAGAAAAATATATCTTTAATTTTTGAACTAATTTTAAAATGACTCAAAGAATACTGATATTTTTATTATGAAAAGACTTTTCGTAAATTTTGAATCAACGAATTTTTTGTCAACTCGTAGAAATTGATTTGAATGATCACTACCTTTCACTCTCTTCAATAGCAAGTCCATACGCCTGGACAAGGACTTGGGGACTCAACCATAGCGATTCCAACTGACAGCCACAGCACTCGTGCTCGCAATTCGAGTAACTTCGTGTACGATGCAAGCGTGGCGAGTATTGGGAGGTATAGGGGACTTTGTCGCGAATTAGTTTGCACTCATGATGTTCTTGATTTGCGTAGCAAAGTCGCACCATTTCCATCAGATCATGGCCTTTGAAAACAGCCGCTATTTTGGGAAGTAAAGTGAGAAGGATTAAAGTCGTTGTTGATTGCCTTTTTATGTTTTTGAATTTCTTTCGTCTTTAGTATTCGTTTTCCTTTCGTAGTGGAATGTTTTCATTTCCGGAGCAATTTATAGGGCTAACGATCTTTCTAACGCCACCTTCAGATGGTCCCTGTGATGTCAGTGGCGCTTTTGCGGCGCAAATGACGGCGCGCGCGACGGTGCTATCGAGCTCGCCAGATCTTTCCTAGAAAAGTCCGATAGCTACAACTACTTCAAGAAGCATGCTCCTCACAGACATGTCCGAACTGGGGAAGGGAACATCACAATACATTGATATTCAATTAGATTCTCAATCTATTGGTTCATTTAATTTATGCTATTGATAGATTTATATCTTTTGTACCCAATAGAAGGCTCACATTTACGAACGTGATGGACATTCATCTTCTCTATGTAAAATCGTCTGATTGAAGTCATTATTCTTTGCTAACCTTTCAAATGCAACTGCTGTTAATAAGCCTTGATTTTTAGTACGAATCACAGTTCCGATTATGCTCAAGAATTTTTTTTCTAAATAATAAAATTATATTTTGTTGCCAACTTTATTTGAATAAATTCGAAGTATAGCTGAATATGGAAAACTCAGCATTAAAATACAGTTCATATTTAACCATTTCATCTAGGGAAATTGAATGAATCAATATTAACGTCATTTTTACCTAAATTTAGGGCAATCAAATACTCTGACGCTCCTTTTTGGACTTTGTCAGAGAACGCGTTTCCCGGATTATTCCTCGGACATTTTCGTCATATTTGAGACTTTTCGACCTTTTCATGCGTTGAGAAGCTCCCTCTTTCTTGAGAAGATCGTTCACACGTCTATATTTACTCATTATCAATAAACTAATTGAAAGAATAGAACTAGACTGTCACGAGTCGAAAATGTCGGTTCTACTTGAAACGACGATGGGTGACATCGTCATTGATCTTTACACGGAGCACCGTCCTCGATGCTGTGTGAATTTTTTGAAATTATGCAAGGTCAAATACTACAACTACTCCACGATCTACAATGTCCAGAGGGACTTCGTAGTCCAGTGTGGTGATCCTACTGACAAAGGTAGGACGGAGAAATTCGGAGCGACTATCAGTCCTGATCTTAAGGAAATCCGAAAAACGGGTCTTCAATCTTCGAGCGTACAAATGGCGAAGCTGCACGTTTTTTTGAAGCCCAAAAACTTCCAATTATTAAGCATGATAAGGTCGGTCTTGTCTCAATGATCAACAACGGCAAGGGAAAATTTGGAAGTCAAGTAAGTTTACCATCAGTCGACGATTGCTAATTTTTTAAGTTTTTGATAACAACGGGCGTCAATTGTGATGTGCTCGACGGTGGCCAAGTGGTATTCGGAGAAGTAGCGGAAGGGCTCGAAGAATGTCTTTCAAAAATCAATGAAGGTAGAATGAGAAATTGAAATTGAAAGATAGCCTCGTTTTTAGTTTATGTTGATAAGAATGGTCGGCCACAAATCGACATCAGAATCAATCACACGCATATTCTCGATGATCCATTCGAAGATCCAGATAATTTAGTCGTCCCTTCAAGATCTCCATCACCGGATGCCGAGCGAATTTTCGGTGCAGGAACTAGAGTCGGTGCGGATGAACTTCTCGATGAAGACGAAGGGTTGACGGAGATCGAGCAAAAGGTAACACTTGTTGAGAGTCTTGACTTGATTCTCCACCTGACAAACAAGTCAAATTCTGGCTGCCAGAATCTTTCAGTTTCTGACTCAGTTCAAGTCCGCTTTAAACTTGACAAGGGCACATTTAGCGAAATGTGACACTTCGCTTTTTGACAGTTCTAAAGTCCTTCTGAGATAACCGTTCAAAAATTCTTAGAAAAATTTAAGGAACGAGACGCTATAACAACAGCCGAGCACCGAGCAAACGTTCTTACAATCGTCGGTGATTTGCCAGCTGCGGACGTTGAGCCTGATAAAAACGTTCTCTTTGTTTGCAAGCTCAACCCAATTACGACTGACGAAGACTTGGAGCTCATCTTCTCAAGATTTGGCGAGATCAAAACCGCCGAAATCATCCGTGATCGTCGAACTTTGCAGTCGTTGCAATATGCGTTTATTGAATTCGCGACGGATGAAGATTGTGAGCGAGCTTACTTCAAAATGGACAACGGTAAGCTTTAATGATTCATCTGTTCCTTATTCTTGTTTAGTTCTCATCGATGATCGGCGAATCCATGTTGATTTCTCTCAATCAGTCGCTAAAAAGTGGCGCCAGTGGAAATTTCAGGGCAAGTACCGAACCAAAGAAGAAATGGATGATCGAGATGAGACGAAAACAATCAAACGAGAACCACGAGAGTCCAATCGAGAGCGCGATCGTGATCGAAAAAGACGAAGAAGTGGTTCTCGCGACGAAAGCCATCGACGAGAGCGGAAGCGGTCAAGATCCAGAGACCGAGACAATCGCAGAGAAAGAAGACGATCTCGATCGCGAGATAGGCGACGATCGCGGGACCGGGATCGATCTTCGCGAGACCGGGATCGACGTCGATCGAGAGAACGCAGACGATCAAGAGATAGACGAAGATAAACGTAGACCAATTTGTAACACTGCCAGTTTCTTCTGTTCTTTATTGTCTGAAATTTATTTGATCATGGAATTTAGCTCAATAAGTTTTTTTCAGAACATGAGCGATAAAGAAGATTACACAAAAAAGAAGGCGTCTCTCGAGTCGTTGCCAAAGTTCAAAAAACCAATGCAAGAACGATACGACCAGGCGTTTCTTGGAATTCTCCAAAATGAACAAAGAATCGAACCCTTTCTCGACTCTGTTATGTCGTTCCTCTCCCGAAAAACTGACTTTTTCCGAACATTGACGGACGAATCTCAAGTCGGTTTCCCACCAGGCGTCGCAGAAAATATGGTGCGTTGCTATTTCATGAAGTACAATATGCAAGTGAAAGAGGCGGAAGATAGAGTTAAAAACGAAGAACTGAACATGTCTCAAGCTCCTAAAGCAAAAGAAGTAACAGCAGCTCCAGTTAAAAGAGAAAAACCGCAGCCAAAACCAGCTCCATTAGAAAAGAAAAGCCTTGAAAAATTGACCCAGGAGCAGTGGCAACTAGAGCCTGACAGGTAAAATAACTCGTTTGGAGATTCCTCTATGATTTTGTAGTCATAATGGAGCGCGACGCGAAAACTACTCCTGGAATCAAAACTATGATGATGTTGATATTACCGTGCCAACAACCGTTGCTAATACAAAATTCGTAAGAGCTCCAGTTCATTCTTTAGTCATGAACATTGATTTTAGATAAAAGTCAATATCAAGCGAAAACATTTAACGGTCATAATCGAAGGCAAAACCATTATCGACGGGGAGTTGTACCAAGAAAATAAAGCTGACGAAGCGACTTGGTCTCTTGAAAAGGGAAAATGCTTGACAATCAGTTTGACGAAAGCAACCGAGCATTGGTGGAATAAACTTATTGAGGGCGAAGGTAACTTTTGAAAGAAGACTATTTATCTATCTATAATTATCTTAGAGGAGATTGATATGAAAAAAATCGAACCTGTCCGAAGCATGGGCGATCTTGATGAAGGAGAAGCCGCAACCATCAATCAACTCCAATTTGACGAGATGCAGAAACGCATGGGAAAACCAACGAGTAAAGAGCTCAAAGTCCAGGATATGCTTAAAAAGGTGAAGCCCCCCGATTTACTTTGTATCTTTATTTCGTTCTAGGGCTGGGACGCTGAAGGAAGTCCATTCAAAGGTCAACCATTCGACATGTCTCAATTCAACATCAACCCGGATGCAATTCAGATGTAGATTACTTTCCCACATTCATTCGTTTCATACCTAGGTTATTATTAAACTGCCTATTTACGCAATAAATGTTAACGAGAAAATATAAAAGAAATCAACAAGGAGAGCAAATAAAGTCCATTCAGCAGACATTTATTTGCTTGAGAATCTGGTCGATCTAATTTTTAAATCGCTTATTGTAGCAACGTCTAAAAAGTCTACTGTTTTCTTTTTTATAAATAGAGAGCATCAAAAGCGTAACGTTAAAATGTCGTCAATAAAGATCAATGAGCATTAAAAGACTTTAATTGATCCTAAACTTCATCCTAAGATAGTTTTGTTTACGAGCTTTGTTTTGAATTGTTGCACAATCCAACTTTCAGAAGGAATTTCTTGAAGTTTCCAGCGTGTAAATTACGCATAAGTTACTGCTAATCTTTTGTTATCCAGACCAGACTAGCGTTTTTTATCCACAGTCTCATTACACGTGAGTAGTATATAAATGTCAGCCTTGCCGGACGCTCTCAAGTGGAAAGCACTTGAATTCAAGTACTTTCAAGTGCCTGCACCTGGCACCTAAATAAACAAACTATTGTGACTTGTTTCCGGTCAGTAATTGTCTTGCACTTGAAGTACTTGACACCTGAACATATTCTGAGCGCGAATTTTGAAAATACAAAGTGAGCGCACTTGCGCCAGAACCAGTTGACCGTAACCGCGAGTATAAATCCCGGTTGATAAATCAGGAGCCCCAAAGGTCACCAAAAATGCAAAATATAAACAGTCCAAAAGCAGAGAAATAATTAAATGAGTTTATCAATATCTGGAGAAGTGTGCAAGGATTTAAGATTTCCTTATCCTTTCAGAATCCTTTTTTCTGGATCATCACAATCTGGCAAAACTCATGTGGCTGGTAAACTTTGTGAAAATTTCGACTTATTTGAAAATGAACCGAGACGAATAATTTATTGCTATCCGAAATACTTGAAAGAAAAACCAGTTGATTGGGACGAAAGCGATAAAATATCCATTCCAATACAATTTACAGTTGGTTTACCGACTCAAGACGACATTGATTCACTTGAAAGCCACACACTTCTTATTCTCGACGATCTCTATGATAAAGCAGCCAACTCCGAATGCATCGATCATCTGTTCAGAGTCACATCTGGGAAGAGAAATCTTAGTGTGATGATAATGACTCAAAACAGCTATTCAAAAGGAAAATATGCACGTGACATTGGTAACAGCTGTAATATGCAAGTTCTTACTCGTAATTGTCTGGATGCGTCAATAAATTTACGAAGATGTCGAGCTGTTGGACTAACTGAAGCGTATAAAGCTGCAGAAGAAGATTCGAAATTCGAAAAATATCCATTCTATGTGATTAATCTTTCCCCTCAGGCTCATCGATCAAACTATCGTCTTTTCACGGATATATTTAGCGAGTATCCCAAATGCTTTTCAGTGAACGGAATGAAATCTTACATTATCAGTGAAAATGATTTTCGGCGATTTTTTGAGATCAAAGAAAAATACAATTCAAAGCAGCCAACTTTTCATGCGACTGTTAAGAAGCTTAAAAAGAAGTCTGCAGACCAAGCGAATAAGAGGAAAAGATATCAGTCTTCCTCTGACAAATCCAGTGATGATTCAACAACAAGCTCAGAAAGTGATTACTGACTCTGATTACTTTACGTGAAATAAATGCCCCTGAGCTTCTTAAAATTTGATTTATCAAAGATTGTTTGTGTTTTTTATTTCAATGACAAATCAATCGAGAAAAATCCGTTGTTCTTGTGGCATAAAAGCAAAAATAACCTATCCGTGGAGAGTTATCTTCAAATCTTTCTTTGCTTTTAGAAAAAAGTATGAGAACTCGCAACAAAAAGAAAGCTCTGACAGCAAATAAAGGCACTCAAATAAGTAATGATGACAATATTGAGCAGATATACTCAAATATTCAAAGTACTCCCGCTTACTCTGCAAAATTGAATGATTTCTTGAGAAAAAATGCGACTCAAAGCAAACATGGTAGAATCGTCAAGAGAGTTTTTCCAAGAAGAAGAATTATCGTCAACCACCCATTTCAAATTTTTATGGCGGATTTGATAGAATACACTCGTAGTAGCAAGATGAAGTTTGCGAATAGAAACAATGTCTACATTCTGATTGTGATCGATTGCTTTTCAAAATATATATGGGCAAAGCCCTTGAAGAAAAAGAATCAGAAAACTGTTTCTGCTGCGTTTTCAGAAATTTTTGATGAAATGAACGAGTACCCAAATACAGTCATCACTGATGAGGGTAAAGAATTTTATAATTCTGATATGCGGCGACTGTTTGATGCTTTTCAAATCCATCACTACAGTATCAAAACGAAAACCAAGGCATCGATGGCAGAAAGAGTCATCAGAACTCTTAAATCCCGCCTCGAAAAATACATGAGCCATAACAAAACAAGAATATGGATAGACGTTCTTCCTGATATTGTGCGTGGCTACAATGGAACTCCTCACCGTTCAACGGGGATAGCCCCAAGGGAGGTGTCTGATGATAATATTCCTTTGGTATTTAAGAAATTATATCCAAATTTGAAGCTATTAGCACAACCTCGTCTACAAGTTGGGAACATTGTTCGTATTTTACGAAAAAAGAGTCTTTTCGATAAAGGATACAAACAAAATTGGTCATCAGAAGAGTACAAAATACGAGCTATATCGCAAAAAGCTGGTATTGTCTGGTATAAACTGTCCCATTTTAACGACAGTAAGATATCTGGATCGTTCTACTACTATGAGTTACGAAAAATTGCCAAAGATCTTAAATCTTACAACGCAAAATAAGAAAACTCTATGGCTGTTCGACGAAAGGCAAAATTTTTTTGCCAATGAGGAATCATTCTGGCAGATTTCTCTTAATTCTGCTGGAATAATTATCGAAAATTTACCGCGAAATCACCATTTTCACGTCAAAATATCACTGTTGGACACAATTGGAAAAGTACAACTCGCTAATTTTATCATGTCCTCTGGGGCATACAATTATCAACCAACTCAAGAAACTATAAATACACTCCGATCTAGAAATTTGGATTTCGTATCAATTGAAATTGATATTGAATCGCTCTCTGACTCATCGGTTAAACCAGAAATTAAATTTGGCTATATCAATTTGAAACTTGAGCAAAATGTCCAGCATCTCAGTCAGTCTGAGTCAACGAGAACAATATTGGCGGCAAAGAGGGATAAACGATGCTTACACCGATCAGAAAAATAAGAAACGTAATCGACCAATAATTAAGAAAAAAAGAAGAAAAAAACCTAAAAAAGAATACTGCTAAATCAAAAATAAATATATCGGAAAGATATTTTATTCATTATTTCTTATGCAGAGGAAATCTTTTTTACTATATCCTTGTCAATCTGACCATATTCGTCGATAGAAACCTTCACCATATCTATCGTCCAGACTACCAAGCTCAAATTTTTGTCGACAACATCCTTGAACTCCAGAGTTGCACTAACCCAGCCGGAATTTTCTTCGTTTTCACCTTCGAACTTATGCGCAAAGAGGAATGCTTTTTTGAAATCGAAAATTGAGTCCACTTTATATGTTTTGACATTCATCAAGTTTCCCATGACATCTTGATATTTCAGATAGGGCTCGATTGGGAAGTCTGCTTTAATTTTCTATCCAAAAATTAGTCATCAAGTTTTAGGACTGTTTATCTTACCATAGGATAACCCGTGCAAGATGATCCATTAATCGCTAGATCGAAGCTGAGTAGATCATTTCTCGTAAGACTGATTGATTCGCCCTCGTTATCACCATCGATGCAACTTGTAGGCATGATGCCTGCAAAAAGGAATGCTGGGGTTTTTCCTCCAAAAAGATTTTCCATTCTCACTATCTTTTCGCCCTTTGTCAAGGATCTGACAATTACATTTAAGTCATCATATACATAGGAGATGCTGCGATGTTCAAATAGCTCCGTTCGCAAATGCTGGCTTGAAATGTATTCAACTTTTGCATAGCAGTCCTTGAGTTCGAGTGCATCAGTGAGATCTGGTGTATTTTCCGAAATTTTCAAGGTCGAAAATTTTGCATCTTGCCGTCGAAGTGTAAGCTTCATCTCCTTATTTGGAGGCAGTGGCTTATTGTCAAGAAGAAAACCATCTGTTGGAATAATCATCAATTGATAAATGTATTTTCCGTCTTTTCGTTGACAGCCACTTCTACGACTGCTCACGAGGTTCTTTTTTGCTGATTCGGAGAGTTCACTGTAGTTATAATCGTCAAAGTACCCTTCTGTCAGAAAAAAAGTTTTCATATACTCGGCGCTGAAATTTGTCTTCTTAAGTAGCCAATCATTCAAATAATAGTCTCCACGAGTTCGTGGAGCACTCACAAGCTGGCTCTGTAGTTCGACATCAACTGTGGAAAATTGTTTTGGTCCAAAACCATTTTCCGGGATGTACTTTTCGTCGAGTTCAAGAGTAAAGAAAATTTGTATTTTGTTTTTGACGAGGCATAAATTTGGATCCGCGTCAAATATAAAGGATAACCTTTCAGAGCAATTATCCTTTGGATAATGTGTTTTGACAATTTTTCGATCCGGTCTAGTCATTGTATTTTTTGTTAGAAAAAAAGATTTTTTCTCCTTATATTTTGAATTTTTGGCGACCTTTGGGGCTCCTGATTTATCAACCGGGATTTATACTCGCGGTTACGGTCAACTGGTTCTGGCGCAAGTGCGCTCACTTTGTCTTTTCAAAATTCGCGCTCAGAATATGTTCAGGTGTCAAGTACTTCAAGTGCAAGACAATTACTGACCGGAAACAAGTCACAATAGTTTGTTTATTTAGGTGCCAGGTGCAGGCACTTGAAAGTACTTGAATTCAAGTGCTTTCCACTTGAGAGCGTCCGGCAAGGCTGACATTTATATACTACTCACGTGCGGACACGTTTTATAAGCCTGACGACAGTAACCAAAATTATGAATAATAATATGCAGACTCAAAATTTCCTAGAGACAAAATAGATTCACGGCTCATTAGTTCGAGAAGCAGCAGAATCATCAGAATACACTCGAGAAAGAAATAGAAAAAGGCGTCGGTAAGGCAGCAGTAGCGCCTTGTTTTTCACTCCAACAACTCGCCCTCACCGTTGGCCATGAAACACCACCACTCGAGCTCTGTAGGCGTTGACTATTCCTTACCTTTTGCTTAGTGTCTCTCTGACGTTATTACAGAGCTTGAAAATTTTCAGAATTTTTTCGAAAACTTTAAAATATTTTTCACCAAAAAGTTTTTAGAGAGAATACAGTAAGTCTCTTAAAGCGCTCCTAATTGTGATGAGTATGTTTCAAAATCTAAACTGCCTTGAAGATGATTTATGGCCATCTGATAGCTATAAACATAACTTCCGGCCTAGATTCCGAACTCAGCTATTTTTTACTTAGCTTATTCGGTTAGAACACAGGAAACACTGGAAATTTATGCACAAGAAGTCATCGAAGAGAGCGTGCCCTTGCGCGCGCGTTTCACTCGCACGTGAGTCGCTTTTTCGAGATGTTTTCGAGTTTTTCACGAGAATGCTCACAGAAAGAAAGAAAGCACGCTGCTCAACTTTTTTTTCTAATTTCACTTTCGAATAGGGCTTAAAAAAACAGAGAATGCAAAGAAATCAAAACTCAGAGAGTTAAAAAAATTCAAACCTCTCAGACCTGCCAACTTGGGCCTCGCCTTTTAGTTTCCAATGTATGGGCCGTACGATAGAATCACGTGGGGATCCAGGTTTAACCACGTGATCATCTTTCGTTTTGATTTAAGCATATGCTGAGGGACATAAGGCCTGGTACAGGTGGGACCTTCGACAATTTCACGTTTGTCAGTTTTTCTAGATCATTTCTTATTAAGAGGTACACCTAATTAGAATTCTTAATTTGAAGAAATCAGCACCGAGAAAACGAATCAGCAGAAATTTTGCCATAAGCCCCTCCCTCTCCCCGAAGCGCAAGGTCAACTCGGTCCACCCTGAATAATTTCACTTTGCCTACGTCTAAGAATTTTTCTCTGTTACTATTTGCGCTCGTCCTGTGACCCTGCTCATGACTTTTGATTTGGCCGTTGGTCGATGCTTCGTACAGAGCAGCTCATAAAAAACACGAAGACTGGACTAGCAAGTCCAAGAGAAATTAAAAGCAGTCTGAAAAACAAATCAATACCGGATAAAAGGGTAGATATATAACTTTTTGTCACTTCTTTTCAACAAAATCATGGTTATTTTTTCATGAAAACTAGCTTGAACTGGTAGAAAGAGTGCATTTTTTATGCAGAATTATAAGCGGACAGAATTTGCTTGAGGGAAAATGCCCGAGCTCACGAGGAAGAAAAAAAGCACGTGATGGACCCTAGTCATTTTCAGTATACGCTTGAGAGACCCAGCTTCAAAAATAGAGAAAGAGAGAAAAGCGATTTTTCCGCGGCCAACTGAGTCTTTGATAGTAAAGCATGGATTGAATGAGAACAGCTTCTTTCTATGCTGTACTGCAAAGGCTCCGGTGGGGATAGCGCGGACGCTCGACGCTAGACACAACGTGGGCAACAGTGAACTTGGACAGAGAGACTCTCCAGATTCTTTCATAAAAAAGTGACATGGATTTATATTCTTCTGGCACTTGTAAATAAAATTGACGAAGAAGCAACTTTAGTTGTTTGTTTTTTTTTGTATTGAGTGAAAATATAACTGGCAGTGAGTAAAAATTAAATAAGAAAAACAGATGTATAAAATGATTTTAGTACTTGCATCAAGTTGGAAGTTTGCATAGATGGAATGATAGGCTTAGGAATTCTTCTTGCTCAGGTCTTTCTTTGCTTTATCTTTGAGAATTGTCTGGACGATGTATTCTTCTTGTTTGATCATGTTCTTGAGGCTCTGTGGCTTGTTTGGGATGAGCCAGACGATCAGCCAAACGGTAAGGAAAACGGCATGCTAAATTATCAAATAAATTTCTCATTCGTTTTGCTATTTTTACCTCGTATAAAATGAAAAAGAGAACTCGTGCATAACGATCACTCCAATAATCAATCGTCGGCTCCAAATTCTCGTCTCGGTATCCTTCGTAGCTAAAATCATAAACGTAAAAACGAGGATTATGAAGAAAACTTACTGGCATTCAGTGTAATTCTCAGGGTTACCGCCGACAAAGTCATCGGGGATTTGATAGACGGAATAAATAGATCTCGCAAAGCCGGCGAGTGGAAGGTCTTCATTTTCAGACTTGCCCATGGCAGCGTAAACAATTCGTGGGACTGTTTGTGAAGTTATAGCAAGCTGCAAGCCCTTCAAATTTATTAAACGTGGCTGTTCGGCTGGGATCTGAACTTACATTCGTGATGACAGCGAGAATTGCTAAAAATCTAAAGATCGGTTCCCAGATTCCAATGTTCTTGGTTCGCTCTGGAATCGGTCGCTGAGAGTACTTGACGTATTTTGCCGCGTCGATTCGGATTTCCGCGATGTTGTTCAAAAATGCGAAAAGTGGTGCAAGAGGGAAGGCGCATGAAAACAGAACTGCGAACCCAAACTGAATCGCCAACTCGATGTAGTCTATTTGAAATATTTAACTATCCATTATTATTTTTGAAATTTTAAATCAGTTAAACATACGAGTGATGGAATCAAGGTTGTGAGTTCTTACCGTTGAGATAATTTACATCAAAGCCTGAAAGATGATTCGTGTTAGTACTACATTCATGCGGTCTACGATCTGTTACCATATTTGATCTCATTTGAGGATGAGAGCAAGGAATCTGCTTTCCATCGAGCATCAATATTAAGTCCAAGATTGTCTTCCTAAATTCATGTTTGTGAGATCATTCAATGGATTAATAGCTGGCTTACGTTTTTCTTCCTTGTCCACCACTTTTGAAAAGCCGGAAGAAGTATTTCAATCACATTGTTTATGAGTTGCTTGCCGACCATTGTAATTATTAACTGAATAGCAAGCTCATAGGAGCAACCGCCATCGCAACCAGCCCATCTGTACTCCTTCCCATCGCTTCCCTGTCAAGGGGTGAAATCAACGAAGACTCATTTCAAAATATTATTTATATTTTTACCCCCTTCCTTGATAGATAAATAGTTAGTGGGGTAACCAACGAGGGTGTCCTTGAAAAACGCGATGTAGAACAAGTTTGAGTAGTAGTTGACGAATTGGAAGCAAAAAATCTTGAACGAGTATGAATCGTCAAATTCTTGCTGAGTTCTGGGGACTTCAAGTTCTGTTAATTTGGCGGCCGCTTTGTGATAGATAAGATTGAAGCCCATGATCAGGATTAGTGAGATCGTTGAAGCAGTAGTTGTGACGACAATGGAGGGAGTGACAACTTCTCCAACTGGAGAATCTTCCGCGAAACCTAAGTCGTTGACAATAACGCTGAGCACCATACGGTAAACGATGACTGCGACGACGGATGCAATTACCAAGAGGATGAAAAACAAGACTACACTAAGGGATAGCAGCTTTCGTGGATAAATTGTCGAGAGAGGGATGTAAGCTTCTTTCTTGAACGTGACAGGATTGAGACGATTTTGAGGTGCCACAGCTTGATAACGCGCTCGAGGAGGTTCCATATCTTTGTCGATTTTGGTCAAATCCCATTCGTACTCGAGGAAAAAGTTCTTTCGTGCCCACAGCTCTAGGAATGTCATCGCCCAAATTGAGACCAGAAACGCATAACCAAGTGTGAAGACATTGTCGAAAATATACGTGATTTTCAGCGGTTGACAAAGATCCGAGGCTTTATCGAATGTACAATCGAAGCACTTTGGACAAAGAATCACGTCAGTCATGTTGCATGTTTCGGTAATTACAGTATCAGTTTGAAACGTCGCCAATCCATAGATCATAACTATCAGTCCAATAACAGAAAACGCAATTAGTGAGTTCGTATAAAATCCTAAGAATCCAAAGTACAGCGCAATCTTTTCTCCAAAATAGTCTCTAATTTCGTCCAAAGGCTGACTTCTGTAGAAGTTTTTCCAGCCAGACCAATTTCTATGAAGATAAGCTCTCAAACTCTTCTTTGGCACGAAATCTTCTTCGTCGCTGATCTGTGGCTCGTTGAAAACGCCATCGTGGAGTGGGTAATATCCGAGAATTGCTCCTTCCTCGTTCTCAAGAAAAGCTCGAATTCCGATTTTCCTCGAGTTTTTTCCTTCCCACTTGATGTTATTCAAAATATTTGCGACCATTCGTATTCTCTGAGAGTCAGTGAAAAATTCTTCTTCGTTTTCTGTCTTTGCAAAATAATCATGAAGATCGTGTCGATAAATTGCTGTGAAGTAATCTTCCGGATCCGTGTCCCAGATTTCCTTGACTTGGAAAAACCCCTCGCTCTTTTCGATGAAATTCGACCATGTTTCTTTCGTTTTAGAGAAGAAGTTTTCCAAGCAGCCGGAATCTTCATCGTTGTCTTCGTCATCTTCATCGTCAGAATCGCCTTCAAGAACTCCACCCTCGATTCTTTCTTGTACTTGAGATGCAATCATCGCCTTGAAATGGTAAATTGATAGTCTGGCTATTGACTCTTACTTTGATATCTTTTCTGCTTTGGAGTCGACAGTTTATGCTTAAAACTTCAGCTTGCTTCTTCAGTACAACCATTGGTGCGTGAATTTTTATAAAATACTTTTGTTTTTCGTCAATATTTCCTTCCTCATCAGTTCGCGGTTCGAAGTTTTCGTCTTCGCTTGCGTCTTCTACGATTAAATTCTTGCTCCTTAGTCTTTGCTTGAGAGTTCTTCTTAGAGACTCGTGATGGTTCCGGCTCTCAGGGTCGGCAGAAAAGTTGTACATGATGATGAAGTCGATTTTCTTTTTGATTCCGTCTTCGGAGGACTTCAGGAAGAGTGTCTCATCTCTCTAAAAGATGTTTTTAGATTAACTGACCAAATTCTTCGGGAAAGGAGGATTTACTAACGGTTAGAAAATATTCATGCATCTCCTCTCTCGAAAAAACGCTGACTATAACAGCAGCATTCTCCGATGCTTTCGGACGGCAATTAGCATTATTGTTCAAGAGCTCAATTTTCTCTGACTCCTTGTTTGACGACTTTGACATTCAAAGAGATTTTTATTCTATCCTTTTCGAGAATTACTGTATTTTCTCTCTCGCGACTTTATTTCCAATTCTTCAACAATTAAATGTCACTATTCAATTTTTCCTCTATACTTTTGAACTTTGAAAAACTTGTCAAAATCTGTGCATCGATTTTGTGATCGATGCGAACTCAGACATCATAAAAAGCTTGTCAGCCGGGACGGTTTATTATCTTGTTCGAGAACTGTGCCAGTTCAAAAATGTCACCTAAAGTTCAAGAAACTAAAATTTCTGTTTTGGTAAAAATTTTTTAATTTTTCCGCCGGGTGTAAAAGTCATTTGAGTAAACATTGATTGTCTTACCTCTTGCGATGGCTCTGATGATTGTATATCCGCAGCCGACTGAAAGAAATATATTAAAGATCTATAAAAGATTATAAAAGATCTAATAATAGATTTCTAATAAAAGATTTCTAATAAAAGATTTCTTATGAAGTACCGCTAGCTTGAAAAGCTTGTTAGCCCCCAAGATCGTTTTCCCGAGATTTTTAAATTTTTGCTCTTTGCCTTCATTTGCTTCAAGATATTTATCCCTTTTAGCTTTTCGCTCAAGCAAGTGTTTTTTATGCTTTGCTCGTTGGATATCTAATGATTTTGTCAAAAAAGCTAGGTGTCTTCTCTTTCTCATTTTTGCTTTACTGCTTTCTGGGATAATGCTATTCTGATATCCATGTCTTTGATAAAGTCACTGATTGCTTTCTGCTGATGTCGGGACTTGGTCTTCTTTCCCATTATTTCTCGATAATTTGATTAAAAAAAACCCAAAATTATTGCAGCTCATTTTGATCTAGAATATTTTTCTCCGAAGTTACCTTTTTGATAGTTCCATTTCGGGATATATCAAAATTGATTGTCTGCAGCACATCTTTGATAACATTATTACGAAAAGAAGCGATCTCTCGTTGAAATTTCAAAAACCCTCGCGAGTGGGGCCTCATCTTTTTCGTAAATGCACAGTTTGCGCTCAGAATAATAGAATGCCCTGCCTTTTGTTGTGAAGGAAATTCTATACAACAAGCTACCGAATATTAAATTATCAAAGAGACGTTACCTTTTCTGGCGCCTCATCTTCTTCTGGAATTATACTGTTCCTCATTATATTGTTATCAAATGTTGAAACTGTGCTCTCTTTTCAGGCGGGTTCAGATTTTAGGGTGTCCTTAGAAGTGTTTTTTCTCAGTTTCTATTTACTAAAGGTCAATGTAAATACACTTGAGGTCTCAAATAATTATTCAAATGGCCGATAAAGTATCACTGATATTAAAACCGGAAAATTAAAGCTAAAGCTCATGTAGAAAGCAAAATTGAACCGCTCCGTCATCGTAAAAATCTCTTTTAGCTCCAAGTTGAAATGCAGATAAGCTGTTAATTTTCACTATCGGCGCAATTGGCGGCAATCTTGGATTTCCTCTTAGTTTCTTGTTGCTGCTCTCTTCGTTGTTGTCATCGCCAGGTGTAATTTTTGACATTTATTTTGAAGAGGCTTATATTTAAAAGATTTTTCTTTTATTGTCTTAAAAGCTGTAGATTTAGCTTTCAAGTCAATGGTATCTATGGAAACGCGCAGAAGAAAAATGTCAAGCGAATTCGAACACCCGTAAAATTCTGGTCTGTTTCGATCAAGTTTTCACAGTCAAACAAAGGGAAGAAAGAACATCTTGGCATTCATGCTCGATTGATTGCTTTAGTTTTTATAAGATTTCTGTATTTGAGGTTATTCACGCCGGATGGATGGCCGAAGATCTAACAAATTTCTTATACAAATAGGCATTCTAAGCCTTAGAACTTCTAAGTTAGAAGGCGAGTCTATCAAATGTTACGCAATGTGTTGTGTCAAACATCCTGCTGAGACGAAACATAATTTATGCTACATAAAGGGCCCTATTTTGATATTAGCATTTATTCCAAAGTTTTTGAAGATACACAGAATCTCATCAAACCCAAATCGGGTCAAAAAGTTTCTTATATGTTTCTTCGCCCCAACTGAAGCTTTCTCCAACAGCGACCGACTTAATCTTTTCGAGGAATTTTTTCGCTGGGGTAGCACTAACGAGCTCATTTCCAAGTCCGATTTCGTCCTAAAATCTCGTTTCTTGGTAAAAACCCAAGCGCCCTACGTTTACAGTTTCTCCGATTTCGGGCTGCGGTTTTTGTTCACTTGGTGTTCCTTCTATAGGTTAGAGATATGTATATATTTCAGAGAGATAAGAATGTCTCTAACCATCCCTTTTACGATACTGGCTCTGCTGGAATCATTATCGCTCCAGTCCGAGCCACTCAGTTCGTCGCCAGATCCAATCTCTACTTGTTTTGCAACAACAACTGGTCTTTATCAAGTTCATAAGCTTCTCGGGGAAAAAAACGGGAGAATTATTATGAGCGTTTCCTAACATTATCGTAGAAAGAAGGCGCACTTCTATTCGGAATCGTACTTGCTTCTGAATTCTGCTGGTAGTCTGCTGGAGGCAGAGATTCGATAAGAGACTGCTGCGGTGGAATTTCCTCGTCAGAAGATGATGATGAGTCCTCGATGTTTTCAGAAAGCTTTGATTTCGGCATCGAGTCCATTTGAGACAAGGGCAAAGAACCTCCAGTTGCTTGTAAGTCAAATGATCCAGCACTTTTGCGTATTTTTAAAAGGGTTCTTAGTATTAAAATCTGAATTGATAACTTTATGAAATCAATGACAATACGATCCTTGGAAGTTCCTGAAATTCCATTGATGGAGGATTTCCTTGAAGATGATTTACTGCTAGCTCTTGTTCATCTTCACTGCTGCTGGAAGAAGATGAAAGCCTATTGTTGTTGGTCTGTATCGACGGCTGAGCAGAAGGTGGCTGAAGTGATGTTGGCCTCACTGCTTGATCTTCCTCATCTTCAGAACTGCTTGAGCTGATAAGTGTGTCTATTTTACTAGCCATGGAAACAGGACCGCCGCTCATAACTCCACTATTTGGTGCGTCAGATATTTTTGTTGGGATAGACCGTTCCATAGATGGCTGAGGAAGGTTGCAAAACCATTTAAACTTTCAAGATACCTTTACTTGAACAACTTCTTCATCGCTTGCACTGTCACTGTCAGAGCTTAAGTCATTAAGTCTACTAGCCAACGAAGCTGGACCAGAAATAACTCCTGCCGGAGCGTCTTGAGTTTTGGTAGGAATTGTTGACTCAACTGTTGTCGGCGCCGTGCTTGAAGTCACAACGGCAATTTCGTCTCCTGAGGAATCAGAATCTGAGCTTGAGTCCATCATGCTATTCAACTTGCTGCTCATCGATGCAGGGCCAGTAAAAGCAGGCTTTGTTGGCCCATCGGATGTCTTTGTTGGCGAAATCGTTTCGTTCATCTTTAACTTTGAGGCATTTGGTCCTGGGCGCATTTCAGAGTCCGAATCAGAATCTGACGAGCTACTGTCGTTCAGGGTCTGCATCATACTGGCCATTGCAAGACTTTTAGGGCCACTTGCGTTTGATTTTGGACCTTTTCAATGAAGTCAAAATTGAAAACAATCGAAAACATACCAGGATTGAATTTAGGAATTGCCGCTGGACTATCATCACTTTCAGACGAGCTCGAAATGTTGAGAAGCTTCATTGACTGCATTTTTGAAAACGGAAGAAAAGAACGACTTTAAAAATGCTTCTCTGTGCTCGTTTACTCAGTGATGGAACCCGCGGCACTGGATCGGAATGCAAAGTTTGACATGACCTCATTTATTTGCACTATCTTTATGTCATGCACAGTTATCGGATTTTATTGTCATGGGACCATGCTTTAGCCAATATGTACTGCAAAAATAGACTTTCAAAAAACCTGGCGGGCCCAACCAGGAAAGATCCGGGGATCTTTTTTCGAAGACATCCATTACATGAAAGAGTTCGTCAGTTTCGTACAAAGCAAGGGCCTTCCCAGTGTCAGGAGAGTCTGGAGACTGTTTCTAAGAGAGCATGTTCTGCTGGGTCTGTGTGTGTGTGATCGGCACATGTGGTCGTGCAATGAGCAACAAGGACATCTGAGTCGGTCTGAAATCTGAATACGGATACATCGTCTAGCCACAATAATGGAGGGACGCTTCGGGATTCGAACCGACGGGATCAGCGACGGCCGGGAGGACGCGCTGCAGCCTGAGCTACAGACGCGCCCGGTTATCTCGCGAAAAACCGGTTGTTTATTTCAATCCTTATCAGTACAATCTCAGTGAGCGCTCTTTTCGCAAGGCAAAGATTCGAACGCCTGTAGAAATCGTTCGAAATCTATCGTCTTATAGAAATTTTACGAGTAGAAAATTCTCATGTAGGTTTCTTCCTTGATTTCAAATAAAAAGGAATTTTTGAAATAAGTTATTATTATTATTACAGAGAAAGTAAAGCAATAGGTAAAAACGCAGTGGTGAACTGTGCAAAAGTGGTGTTTTTGAACCGCGATGGACAAAAGGCAGCTGGTGAGTGGATTGTACCGAGCATATCCGAAGTTCGGATTCCGAACTTCAGCGGGAAAACTGCGGTATTCCTTCAATTGATTGGTAACGAATCGCTTTTTTTCATCTTCGTAGGTTATTTTTCAGTTTGGAATTTATCTCGATGAGAGCTGCAGCAGTAGGTAACGGTAGATGAGGGCAGGACAGTGGTGGTAGAGCGAGAGGCGCAGATTACTAATATTTTCTTACACGCGGATTAGCGACGGGTTGAATGGGTCGCCAGGGTTGCAGTCCGCTTCCAGGATTGACATCACCATTCCCATGGAGTCGTCGGTCAGCGTCTTTTTGGGGATCAATTTTAGCCCTTTCTGTTATTCGAAGGAAAGCATTATTTTGTAAAAAGATTTCAGAACTTGAAAACAAAGAAAAAGTTGATCCCATAACAGAGGTATTCCATTCAGCCCATCTCTTTTCTGGAACTGGTTGATTTTATTTTGCAGCTGCTGTACGCCCTGTCTGATAAGCTCGTTTTCTTGGCAAACGTGCTCATTTGTCAGCGAAAACGTTAATTGATCTAAAAGGAAAGTTCAAAAGAAGTTCAATATTTTACACATCTAAAACATAGAGATATTTCAAAGGGATCTTTACCTGGATCCGATGGGTTCGGACTCGATTTGTAGCCGGACTCGTTGCTCGCTGGATTCGTCGTAAATAACCCTGCCGCTTTCGGACTCGCCGCTCGCGGTAACGGTGGAGTTTTGATCTCACTTTCTCGCTGGTGCATTTCCTGCGCCACTAGATCACCAAGTTTTGAGACACTAAAACAATTGTTTACAACCGCAAGATTCAATCGCAATCGAATAAATCGAGTATCAAACCCAGATGGTGATCCTGAGGATGTTTGTCCACCAGTAGCGCCTTCTGATTGCAGAAAATCTTCGAGCGCTTCTTGCGACGGGCATTCGCGGACAATTCGTCTGCCAACGTCTCGGTCATTTGGCTCTACCGTCGCAGCGCAAAGAATCAGCTGCTCGACCTGTAAACGCACGTTGAAGGTGGAGATGAATAAGCTTATTTTACCTTCTTGGTAAGTGGATTTCTAAAGGCGGCAGCTTTCGCCCTAAACGGCACAAATTCTCCGTCTTTTCTTCTGAAGCGAAATACAGACGTCAATAATTTGTTCTTGCTTTGTAGCGCCGCTCGATGACACTGTAATTTGGCAATGAATGAGGGGAGGAAATTGTGGCGAAAACTTACCTCGACGATTCGCGGAATGTCATTTCGATGGAGGTGGTCGTAGATCGACGTGCCTACGACTTCTTGTGGCACAAGATCAAGAAGTCCCTTGATCCGCTCGTCGCAATCGAGCACACGCCCAGAGGGGCTCAGGCGGAGCACAAACTCTTGGTCGCGCGTCGGGCTGAAATAATATTGATAAAACTTGGTGAACGAAGCAAAAAATGCTTAATCGAGAAAATTGTTTATTTTAAGGATTGCGGTTACCTTTGTTGAGTTTTAGGCGGCGCAACGGGCCGCACGATGCCGCAGAAGGCGGTGACTGCTTGATCCGGCGCGGGACCATCTTCGACCTTCACTTGACTCGTTTGTTCCTGCAGGCAGCTGAAAAACGATATTATAAAATAATCCCAAGCGATTACGGGCCAAGTCCTATGATCCGATTATAATACGATATTATAATGAGTACTCGTGACATGCTATGCTCGGAGAAAACATGATCAGCAGTCATGGAAAGATTAAACAATGGGACGCACTTTGATTACTGAATCTTTTAAATGATCCAGGAAGAGACTTTCTTCATCATTTATTCAAGAAATAATACCGGAGTACTGTACCTTGGAATACACTGAGAGCTCGGAAAAGTTCGTATGTATCCCGAAACTTGAACGTTAATAAACTCGACGCTGTTTGGATCATCCTCTGATGTTTGCTTCTTCATCCGGCAGAAAAAGCTTCGCTTAGCGCCGGCCGAAGACAGGAAGGATGGAGAGGATTCAGTCTTGATCGAGACGCCCGTTTTGATATCTAAACATGTCTTATTGCTGTTTCTGGAACCAAGAAAGTTGATATGTTTTATTATTACCGATAAGGCGCTCTCGTGGGCCGTGTTCGGCCGTCAAAAGCTGTGATTTCAGCGTATCGCAATCGTCTGTGTGCAGCAGGTCGAAGAGCGATCTGAAGGGTAATTATGAGCTCTGGTTGTTGATCCCGCGCAAAAGTTCATCGCGAACGGTATTTATTTTCTTACCTTCCGAGCATGTCTTGAGGTGATTGTGAGAGGATCTCAGTGGTGGAATTTGAAGTAAAAAGGACGCGACCACGATCGCAACCGGCGACTAGCACGAAACCGTCGCCACTGTAGGCCATCAGCTGTTTCAGCTCTTCGTCGGAAACGAAGGAAGGCTTGTATAAAGAAGCAGCTCCAGCAGCAGGCCGGGCAGAGCCAAGTAGGGATTTTATGTGTTGCAACGCGAGTCGCAAGACAGTAAACTGAAAGTTTATATGAACAGTTTGTTGTTAATCTGTCTTTTGGGCCCTTTTAGCTTAAAATTTTGGCTTTAGGGAGGGAGGCTAGTACCTGTCATGTCAAATTTGACATTTGAGCTCAGCCTTAAATCAATGTTTTTCTGTCTAATCTTTTTTGACTAACTGAGCTTGTCAAAACGTATAATTACAGGAGATTCTTACCTTATCTAGTTTATTCGTGTTAATTGCGGCACACATTGGCACGAGCGCTGCAAGTTCATGAATATGAGCCTTCATTTTGTCCCTCCTTCTCTTTTCGATCAAGCTATGATTCGGCCGGGATTTCTTCGGCAATGGTCGGCCAGAGCTGTCTACAGAGTCTGCCCTCGACTTCAGGTCAAAATCAAGGTCGGAGTCGGTGCCATAGCTCGTATGAGAAGGTCGCTTGAGCTGATGGTGCAACGAAGCCAATTGATCAGCCATCGCTGCTCCAAGAACTTCATCAGCTGTGCTGTGGCTCAAATCGTGATGGCCGCCTTGTAACGTGTTCATTTTAGTTTATTTTAGCTGCTGTAAATAAAGTTCACTCTTTTGATTAACAAGTTATGAGATCAATCAAGTGGGCACTATATTAAGCTTTGTTGATGAAAGAGAAGCGATTAGATAAGGGATCCCGACTATTTTGGGTCAGAAAGATATCTGCGACTTATTTTGCTGAGTGGTTTGATGCAATTCATTTGAAGAATCGGTTCTACTCAAAGAAAATCGTATTTGAAATACTGTTTTTGATAAATATTGAGAACATATCTACAAAAGTGACTATTAGCAATTGATAACCAGTTGAAATGGTTTCATGATAATTGACTACTACAATTTTGGCAACAGCGTCTTCTATAATTTATTGTTGGCAAAACTTCGTGACTCAATCCTAGCGGCTCTTTACAGAATTGGCGGTATCAGTGCAGTGGAGCAATGAGTTCTTTAAAATTCTTGTAAAGGGATGTTGTTAGAACACGATCCTGAGGAAGTGACAGGCGGAGGGAGCATGCTTCCGGACCCAAGGAGACTTTCGTGCCCGAATCCGGCAAGCATACCCGCTGGGTAGAGACCGGACAGAGGGAGATGCCCCCCGCCCGGGATATGATGCCCGTCCAGTTTCGAACCTTATCTGCTGCGACGACGACACTAAATTTTTCGTCGTTTTTAATTCTATAGATAGAAACCCCATTCTACTAAAGTAGACCCGTCCTGGTTAAAATATCACGAGCTTATTTTGAACGTTGTCTACGATAAAAACACTCTGATGAAATTCAATTAAATACGACCTCTCGGTTTGTCTACTTACAAAAGCGGAAAGTTGAAGGAAATCCTTCGTGAAAGCGTTTTATTTAGGTCAGTACGAATGAATCGCTTACAAAAATATAGCATTAGAAAAATAATGCATTCTTATGTATCAATATGGAACTCGACTTCGATTTTATAATTTATAAATTTTACATTTACTGAAGGTCAGAATAATAATTTACCAATAATCCACTAAAATTGACTACTGGACTAATAGTATTGGTTCAAAATTGAATTTTTTTATACCTTTTCTCTATATTTCAAATGATTTATCGTAGACAAAAGACAACAAAAATGATCCATATTCAAATATGTTACCATTCTTAGGGTAAAAATAAATGAGATTATTAGCAAAAACAAAGAAAAACACCTTATTTATCTTGATATTATTTCCAATGTTTTATAGCGCATAAAAAATTCTCATGATAATGATTTAAGATATAAGTTTATTCACTAGAATACATTTTATTCTCTATTATTTTTCTTTAAAAACCCCGAAAATCAAATGATATACCTTTATGCTCCTAATTGTTTTCATAAAAATATTTCTCTGTCTTCTTATCTCCCGATTTTTAGCTGTCTTCTTTTCCAATCTCTACTGAACTTCTTCGATCTCTGTAATGGACGTTTTTGATGTTTGAAATTTATTTGTTGATTTATAATTTTAATTCGCTCTTCAGTAAGAGTTAATTTCTGGTTAGTGGAATTTGTGGCAGGGCGCGGTGGCGTGGCGCGCGTTGCTCCTCCAAGACCGAGTGGGCGGCCTTAGATTAGAGTATAATGAGTATTTTTCTTCCGTAGCGCGAGTTCCATTGGCGGCCGAGGGGCAACGCGAAGGTCCAGCGATCCGCGGGACCAAGAACTGCGCCACCACCCACGCGCTAGCCTAGCACCACCACCGTCAGCCCACGCGCGAGCAGATATTGCACCACCACTGCTTAGCGGAGCTAACTCCTCCAGAACTTAGCACCCAGGCCTAATTAGTAGCACACGTTGTATAACCATAACAAACACTAAACGGGACGCGCAGAAAATGACCGTTCAACTAAGGGGATACGGATGGACATTCCACATTTTCAAACTGAGATTTAAAGAACTTCCTACTTATTTTGTTCACTCCTGTACTTATACCCATATAATCAAGAGCACCAACAATTTTATGCAAATATTACTGGCGTCAATAACAGTTGCGAGACAAGCATTTCTAAATATCACCACTTGATTATATCCTTACAACAAAGTAGCTGCAAATCAAACAGTAGCTGATTGTTACGAAATTGTAAGAACCAAGAAGTCCAGTCCTAACCAGCTCGTTCAATAAAGAAGTCAGATTCCACCGCGAACTCCCTAAGGGAGGAAACATCGAGAGGTTCAGAGGAACACGATGAAAGATTCAGCCGGACGCGATGAATTATAAATCCTCAAGATTAGCCGTTCGGACACCTTGAAACTTTATCTATTTTTCATTTGAATTCAAGAATTTTGCAAAATAAAGTTTTCAAAATTTATTATAAAAAACTATAACAATGATAAGGATGTCAGGTAAAGATGTAAGTATTTCGTTAAAGCAGGACGCAAGCTTTGGATTCAGTCTTCTTGTTCTTTTTCTTTGCAGGCTTGACCTTAACATTTTTATTTATCAGGGAGCATTTGAGGTAGAACGCACCTTTTTCATCTTGATAGGTTTCAGCTTTTCACTCGCTTCAGGGCATTCTTCATCCTCGTTTGTGCACTTTCCTTCTTTGCACTAGAATTTGAAGTGCTTAGAAAATTTTGTCTAGGAATTCAAGCTCACCTTCTTCTTTTTGTCTTCACCGATTTTCGGTAGATTGATAGGCATTGTTTTCCTTACTCCAATCCTAAATTAGTATTAGCGCAAGTTAAATGCATCGAAAATTGAAACTTACAAGCTGCGCCCCAAAATAACCTGCTTATCTTTTTTCGTTTCTCTCAAACTCTCTTGAAAACTCTAATGAAGAGCATTAGCCAATTCGAAAATCTCCAACTGCGCCACTCAAGACTTTCAAGAGCGTTAGAAACCATGGTAATCTTTCAATTCGATTGTGAATAGGTTCGATTCCGGAATGAAACAATTGTGAGACTTTGGGTAGACGCACGTGTTTATTAATAGACAATTTTATTCAACAAGATTTTTTCAAGCTTTGTTGTTGTTTGTTGCTTTTTTCAAGGCGTAGTCGATATCCTCGATGATGTCATGAACGGCTTCCAGTCCGATGGAAACACGAATCATGTTCTCGGTAATGCCGATTCGGTCTTTCTGCTCTTTTGACACAGCTCCATGCGTAGTAGTGAACGGGTGCTGGGCAAGAGACTCGTATCCACCAAGGGAAACTCCATGGGAAATGATCTTCAGTGATTTTAGAAATCTCTCCGCTTCGCTTCGACCGCCCTTTATAGTAAAAGTCACCATTCCGGAAGGAGTGCGGGAAATTTTCTTTAGTAGCTCAAATTGAGGATGAGATTTCAGCCCTGAAAATAGACTATAGAAAAATTACATTTCAATATTTTACCAGGATAGATCACTTTTTCGACGCAAGGATGAATTTCAAGCCATTCAGCGACTTTTAGAGCGTTCTTCGCGTGTCTTTCCATTCGCAAGTCGAGCGTCTTGATCCCTCGACTCACAAGAAAGCAATCAAATGGTGAGGGAACACCTCCGAGATAAAGTTGCGCGTTTTTCATTTTTCGCGCAAGATCGATTTTATTTGTTGAGACCAAGCCACAGATAGTATCCGAATGACCGTTGATGTACTTGGTCGCAGAATGCAAGACGATGTCAACGCCGTAGTCGATTGGTCGCATATTCCAAGGCGAAAGAAATGTGTTGTCAACAATTACTAGAGCATCTTTATTCTTTTCACGAACTGCCTTGACAACTGCTGGCACATCGACGACTCCGATGAGTGGATTGGTGATTGGCTCGAAATAAACAAGCTTAATTCTTATTTATTCTATTCTTTTTTTAAGTCTGACCTTTGTTTTTTCGGTGATCGCATCGGTCACATCCTCTACTTTCTTAAAATCAACCGGGCTGACGGGGACATTGAATTGCACTTCCAATTTCTGCAAATAGGAAGTCGTGCTACCATACATATCCTCGCTACAGACGACATGATCGCCAGATTGAAGAAACGACTGGAAGCAGGCGGTAATTGCGCTCATTCCCGATGCAAAAGCAAAGCCGTACTTGGCGTTTTCGAGCTTCGCGATGCATTTTTCCAGAGAATCGCGTGTAGGGTTTCCCAATCTTAATTACATTAGATGTTGGTTTTAGGTCTATCAAGAAATAAACCTTGAATAAATAACAGGACCGGTGAAGATATCATCGATACCGACTTCAGCTAATTGGTAGGTAGACGACATCGTGATCGGAGGGACAATCGAGGGATCGGATTCATTTGGATGGTGTCCGGAATGAATAGCATCTGTTGCAAAGCTCTTGTACTCACTCATTTTCGCCCCTTCTCTTTGAGCTTGAAAACACGAAAAAGGATCTTCAAAGGCGTACCTATCGTAAATAAAAAGAATAATTGTTTTTGGTTGTCGCCCAGCATTGTAATTACATTTGAAAATTTATGAGAAGAAGCAAACTTAGAAATAATTAGACGTCTAACATATCCATTGCTCGAAATTTTATTTATTTTGTCAGAAAGTACTTTCCACGATGAGTTCTTGCGTTAACTTGATACTAAAAAAGCAAAGCAAATACGTTTGATTCTTCAATTTCCTTCGCATATTTGCCCATAACTTTCATACATGTATAAAAGAAAAGTCAGCTCTGTTCTTCTCAGTACTAGAGAGAAATCTATAAAAAATGGGCAAAGTCACCAAGTGGGTGGGAATTGCCATTGGCATAGCTGTAGCTTTAGGTGTTGGAGTTACTATCGGTTGGTTTAGTAAACCAGAAGCTGAAGCTAAGAATGCCGACGATTTTGATTTCAAGCTAATTGATAATTTCGTGAATGCTGTTGACTCTCAGAAGTTGGAGAAAGAGACCGAATATTTGAGTGGGGTGATTCGATGGGCTACTAGTCAAGGTAAGCGGTTTATTTTTTGAATTTCACTTTTAAATTTATCAGGTGACTATGAAATGGCAGACTACATCATCAACAAATGGAAAGATCAACTAGACGATGCTTGGTCGATGGACTATCAGATCCTCCACTCCTACCCTGACGAGCCTAACTGCTACGCAAGACTTTCAGGGGGATTCACTCTTCGTAAAAAAGAAGATGGAGATGAGTTCCAAAACGATGATCAAGTGTTGATGTTTTATAATGCCTTTGCTCCTCCTACTGAAAATCCCATTTCCACTTCAAAACTCGTCTACGGACATTACTGTAATCCAGACAATGTTCAATGGCTTCTATCTCAGGATCCTGATATTTTCCAAGATTCAGTCGTCATCTGCAAATATGGTGGCGGCGCTGGGCGACCAGATAAAGGCAGAAACGTGAAACCTTACGGTGCTCAAGCAGTCCTCATCTTTTCTGATCCGCACGATGCATCTGATGAAAACGACAAAGTTTTTCCCGAGGGTCCCGGAATTCCAGAAGATACTGTTCAACGAGGCTCCGCGAAGTACAAACGTGGTGATCCGACTTCACCGGGTTATCCATCAATCGAAGGGGCTTATTTTGACGATTGGAGAGACCTCCTCAACTATACTAGAGAACAAATAGACTCGCCGCACATTTGGGCACCACTTCCATCTCAGCCAATTGCTTGGGGCGATGCACAACACTTGCTTTCTGAACTGGAAGGTGGACCTGTCCCACAAGAATGGAAGGATGAGTCAGCAATGGCTACTCTTATGAATTTCGGAGGGAGCATCAAGAACGGTCAAACTTTTGACATTCAGATCGCGGTCAAGTATGAACGAAAGAAGTCTCAAGATGTTATTGGAATAATCGAGGGATCTGAGTACCCAGATGAGTATGTCTTGATTGGAAATCATCGCGATTCTTGGGTGCACGGAGCTATCGACGCAGGAGCTGGAATGACATCAATTTTTGAGATTTCAAGACTCTTCAAAGAGCTGAACATCAGGCCAAAGAGAACTGTCATCTTCTGTTCGTGGGGCAGTGAAGAACACGGACTCATGGGCAGTATAGAATTCGTGGAGGAATTCCTGGCGGTACTCAAAGAACGAGCCATTCTTTACATCAACGCCGGTAGAATATAAAAAAAGATTTGACGGATACAAATTCATTTTAGATGTTAGTTTCCAAGGAAACGAGTACTTCAGAGCAGGAGCCTCTCAACAAATGCACGAATTTGTTTTTGAAATAACCGACTACATAAAGGATCATAAAGATTCAAGCATGAGCGTTACCGATCGGTGGGTAGAAAAGACTGGAGCTGATGGCAGACCAAACATTGGGAATCCTGGTTTGAAATAACATGCTAGCCGGTTTATAATTTTATTAGGTCTCGGGTCAGACTATGCTCCATTCCATCATTTTGGAGGCGTTCCGGTGATTGATGTTGGCTTCAGCCAGACAACAAGAAAAATTGGAATCTATTCAACATACCACACTGGTATTTTTGCCATATATAAAGCAAAAATGCAATATGAATTAAATAAAAATATAAGCTAACGAATCAATAAGGATACGACAACTACGAATACGTGAAAATGATCGACCCAGGATTCGTTGCTGCAAAGAAAGTGACAGAAGTCACCGGTGCATTTCTTATCAGAGCTTCTTGTTCCGATTTCTTCCCCATCGATCCATCTCCAATGTCGAGATACATCGATAACTTGGATGAAAAGCTCCCTGAAGTAGGCAGCGAGATTTCCTCGAACCAGCAGAATTTGATAAAAAGAGCAAGTGCGTCGTTAAAATCTCAGGAATGGTTGAATTTTCAAATGTCACATCAATATAAACTTGCAATCTTATCAGCCACGATATAGCTCATTTCTGCAAAAAATAACTACGATACGAGCGAAAATGCAGACAAGAAGCGATCATTTATGCGTCTACTGAACTTTTCGAAATATCTAACGGATCAAAATTGCTGCCACCCGATTCAGCAAGATCTTCAAAATGTAGTTGTCACCAGTAGAGCGGAAGGTGGACCAGCAACTTATCCGGGACTCTCAAATTACTTCGCTCTTGGCGACAAAGAGGAGATCCAACGACAGGTAAGCAAAAATAGATGAGCTACAATGACATGCATTTTAGGTCGGAATTCTGATAACAAGACTCAATGCTGCAGCAGATTACCTCAATCTAAAACCTTTCTCTGTTCGTGCAAATAATCAATGAGCCATCAGATTGTTCAAATAATTAATTTTATTTAAATAAACTCGTAAAACACAAAATAAGTGAACAAGTATAAATGCCTGATCGAGTGGCAGTAGAAAGTGTGACGTGGCAGTAAAATAAAAATTTTCTAACAACGTTCTTGAAAGACTCTGATCTTTCTGTTCCCACTCTTCGAGGGCAAGACCTCTCCGTCGACAATCCTAGCTTCATCCATGTCTGTCTGAGTAGCGAAAGTAACAAGCCAATCATCGCCATCTTTGTTGATGTTCTTAGTTCCGAATGTTGCAAACAGGCCTTTGACATCATCGAGACTCCACTTTCCAAGATTCTTGACTCGAACCATGTAGCATTTCTCAGGAGCTTTGCTTTGAGTGTCCCAAGTTGGTAATTGAAAATGACTCTCTAAGTTATTTGGTTTATTTTGAAGCTCTGTTGAAGTCCTACCTTCTGTCTTTGGCGTTCCTGGTTTTGATGCATGCACATCGTTTGAATTCCAACCGCCGCATCCTTGTCCTGGCTCGAAGTGAGTGTCAGCGCGTTGGGGTCTTCTTTCGCTTTGATGCTTTAGTCTCAAGTCTATTTTAGAATCACCGAACGAGTTACTGCCATGCCTAAAAGTATGTCTGAAGTCTTGGGATACCTGTTGCATGCTTACTTGTACCCATAAGGAAGGCTATTTTTTCGAGCGAAGTCTTCGTAATTGTTGCGATTCGAATTACGATAGCCACCTCGCTTGTTGTTGTATCCAAAGCCGTAGTTGTTGAAGCCACGGTTGCTGTTCCAGTGGTGATTCTTGAAGTAACCATTGTTATTCCCTCGAGTCTTGAAGTTGACTGATGATTTGTAGCCACGGCGATCCCGGAATTCGTTCCTAATGGTGCCGTAAGGATGTCTGTCGTCGTCACCAGAGTCAATTCTATAAAATGATTCAGATGCTAGAAAGCATCTGATAGTTTACCTGTTATGGTTGTAATCAGTTCGGTCACGATTCGTTTCGTATCGTTTCTCAAACGGACGACTGTCATAGCTACGATTATCGTAGTTTCGATCATCATAGCTTCGATTATCATACGATCGGTCATTTCCGCGATCATACCCACGATCATATCCTCGATCATAACCTCGATCATAGTCTCGGTCATATCCACGGTCGAATCCGCGGTCATCGTAAATTCTAGGGCGCTCTTCAGATGGACTTCGACCACGATATGAAGGTGCATCATATCTCCTCGGAGATGGTGACCTACGTCGACGAGGTGGTGATGGACTGCGATCATCATCGGAACGGAAACGAATGTGAACAGGTCTGTCCCGACTATCTAGGCGGTCCCTGGATGTAAAAGAAGCTTTTCGGACATTGTTCTCGGGAGAGGATTCATCCCAACCTGACTTTTTCGCCATCGCTTTGAGCTCTTGAGCTCTTGCAACAGCTGCTTCTTTTTCCTGCCGGATGAGTTCAGATTTCTTCATAGGTGCCATAGAAGGTCGCGGTGGAAGGTCAAGGGGAGCAGCATGACCTTAATGATTTTTAATGATCGACAATCCCAAATAGTCAATGACAAACCTTGATAAGTTGGAACAGAGATCGTGTGATACTTTTTCAACTGCTCCATCGTCACAAATTCAGCACGTCCAGTCTCATTAACTGTAGAAGATTCACCTCGATTTTCAGGCACTTTTATTCGGCTGTGGTCATCCTTTGAGCGCCGCTTCTCCTTGAGCTGCGAATCATGTTTCTCTCTGTCCTCGTTCTGCCCACGATCTCGATCTCCAAACTCCTGCGAACGTGAACGAGAGGCTCGATGAGGAGGTTGGTATGATGGCGGCTTATCCTCGTCGTTTGTCGCGCCGAACTCCGGCCTAGATTTATTTCTCTGGACAGATTGCCGACCATATATCTTCTCAGAATGCCGTGATAAATTCGACTGACTCGAGGTTGATCGTTTGGGAGGTGGATAGTACGGCTTTCCGGTCTTATTTTCCTGGGGCAATGGCTTTGATGGGTTCACGATTCTATTCATATTTTCAATATTTATCTAAAATTAAGTATAACTTTTGAGAACTCTGCCTCGTCAGCCGCATCTTCTAATCGTTTAGCTCTCCATTCGGGAGTATTCGAATCCTTCACTGAATCTTTTTCGTGCTTGAAAGTATTTGAAGCTGCTTGGTCTGGCACCTTAGAGGACAACTTTGCTTTCGAATCGCGTCGGACATTTTTGCTCATCTTGGCCCCTTCCAGTTGTGGGTCACTGGAGTCACGTAGCGGATGTTTTGGTGCTTTTTCAGCATGCTTGGATTCCTTGTCGACTGCCTTCAGCACCTTTTCGACAGGCCAAGCAAGGACTTCTTCCAGAGAGATCTTTTTCGACATCTTAGGCTTTTTCTTCGGGGTTACTTTTGGCGGTCTGATTATTCCCTTCGCGGCGTCGAGTTTCGCCTGAAGAGCTTCTTCTTTTTCTCTTTTAATTTTTTTCGCAGCTTTCTGCTCTTTACGAATTTTTTTCGCAAGCATTTTCCTTGAGTACTCCCATCTTTCGATGCTCCTCCATTTGTTAGGCACCGACATATCCTCTTGCAGCTTCTTTCGCTTTACCTTCAAGGGAACTTGGTTGAATGCATCCTCTCGCCAACCAAGCGTACCCTCTTCATTGTCTTCATCAGTGCCAGCGTGTTGATGCCGCAACTCGGCCTGCTTTTTGAAAGCTTGACCAAAAGAGCAAGGCATCTCAAACGCCTCAAAGAAAACTAAAAACTCGGAATGCTCTATCTTCACAAATTCCAAGAGAGACTCGCGTAACTTTCGCGTTCCGTTGATATCCCAAAGAAGACGCTCAGTTTTGAATCGCTTTTGGTGATTCATGAGTTTATTCTTCGATGGCTCAGAGGGTCCGAAAAAATAGTCGTAAAACCGCTGGTACAGCTCTTCATTTTCCTCGACAAGAGATCGGAACTTGTCTCCAGAAAACTTCGATGTTGTCTTTTTCGTTTCTTTGCGGAATTCTCGTCTTTGATTGACACTCGCCACGTGGACGATGCCGTCCTTGTCTTCCAGCGAGACATCCTTATCGTTAATCATGTCTGCGTTTTCCCACCGCTCAAGGTCCGTCATTTCGTAAAGATACTTGATGGGCCCATCGACCGTGCTCGGATCTATTACTTGTAACTGTTTTCTTATCACATCTATCTTCAGCGGATTTTCGGTAAAGTCATATGATTGGCGAAGACTTTTGTACAATAGGGATTTTCCCATTTTGAACTTCTTTTCTTTCTTGTGCCGTGTCGGTATTTTAAAACTGCGTTTCTGGCTCAGCAAGTTGAATCGCTTCTTAGTCATAACCGGAGCCTTTTTGGCAGGCGAAGAAGTTGGTGGACCAGGTTGTGGTTCTGAATCAAGCTGGAGCCTCCCTCTTTTCTTAGACAGACCAGGATCAGGAGATCTTCCTTCTGCAATCATTGAATAAGTCGTCTCAAAATTAGGATTGCTGGGAACCCTTACTGATGCAGGCAGTTCATCATGGATCTGGTTCTCTTCTATCTTCTCCGATGGACAATCACCGGTTTCGTCAACTGGAGAGTCGATATGGCCATCAAATCGACATCCAATCTCTTCGGGTTTTTGTAAAGCACTGTTAGATGTATCCATTTTATCATCTTTTTTCACCGTGGGGCTCGAGTTATTGCCCCAGTCTTCATCACTTTCTTCTTCCATTTCACTCTTGTTCTCTACTTCACTTTCTTCTTTGTTTTCGTCGATTGATCGTCTTGTTGCTTTATCGCTGGAGTCACTTTCAGACGAAGAGTCAGTGTACTTTTCAAGGTCCTCGCTCAGTTTTCTTGTTAAATTAAACTTTCGCAAGTTCTTCTTGTATTCCATTTCATCAGCTACGTTCTTCATATCTTCATCTATCTTCGCCATGCCATCTTCGATATCAGAAAGCTCATCTTCAGGAAAAGGGGCAATCCCATCCAAATCTTTGTCAAGAAAGAGCTCATTAGCATACCGTTTGTCAAAAGAATCAAGTGCAGCTTTGAGGTCGACACTCTTCTCTTGAGGCTTTATTCTCACTGGCGCGTCTATGTCTTCGCTTTCTTCTTCGTCTTCAGGATCAGAATATCCCACGTATTTGCCGTTTTCATACTTTGGCATCGGAGGAATCGTTGAAGGCTTGAACTTCTCTTTCGCTCGTTCGAAAACGGGGCGCCCCTCGTATGTGACTTCTTCCTTGTCACCCATCATATTGAAAGTCGATCTCAAAAGGTACTGCATCGAGTGCGCTCTCACATCGTTTTTCTCCATATTCGAAGCAATCGTCTTGCTGAGACCGAGGAAAATGTCGCCATTGAAGGCCCACGGCTCCTCGCCACGCTTGCCGGTGACTTTGACGCAGCACTCTGGCTCGTGAGTTTCGTAGTCCTTGAAGGACTTGATGAACTTCTTTATGACATTCTTGCGTTCGCCCAAGGGTATTCTCGCTTTAGATCCATACGTCGCCCATCGATAGTCAACATCACACAGCCAGACATGGAAGGTAAAAGCAGGGATGTGCTTGAAGTTGTACTCGCGCGGAATCTCGTAAAAGTTGGCGAACTCATTGTTCCAGCAAGCCTGTTTTCGATGATCGTCTAGGAAGAGGACCAGTACCTTCGGCAGTATAAAACAATGGTAAAAAGGGGGAACTTACATTGTCACGTGGATTGTCAGCGTCAGGACGTCGATTAAAGACTTGTATGGCCACTCTTGCCCAGCTGGAAATGAGATTAGTTTTTACCATTTTTTCTTTGTTCTCACCTGACACCAAAAAGGGAGATCGCAAAGCTCCACCTTCCTCTGACGGCTCTAACTTGTGGCAAGTCCTTCTCGCGGCGAAGAGGCGCTAGAATGTGCGCCATGAGCTCTGGCCCGCGCTCGTCTCGAGTGCAGATCAGGTAGGGAAGCATGAACTTTGTTTGCTCGATGCTGGCAAAGTAGACTGTGTTGAACACGGGGAACTCGTCCATGGGAGGCAGCTGCATATCTTCTATTATCGGCATATCGACCTTTATAAGAGGGTATGATTAGTGGGAAAATATCGGAACTGACCGTAAGTGGCAACTGCACCGCAAACTTGAAAAGTGCTTGATCATCAAATTGGATCTTTGGAATGAGACACACTCGGTTTTTACAGAGAATGGTCCTTCCATAATCATCATCGAGCTTGTTGATCTCCTCTGAATGAAATTATATGGAGTGAATACGCAAGTAAAATTCTTACCTAAATCATAAGTACACATGACTTTCCCTCTTGCATGTTTGAGTCGCTTATATCGCCGCATTTCTAGCTTTATTTCATCAAAATACTTGTCGCACAGCAATATCGCACCTATTCGAATTTGAAAAACTGCATTAACTTCATTTCATGCTCCATACCTTGGCGTCTAATATCTCTCAAAGTCTTGTGCATGGTTGCAATGATCGTTCGAATGCACTTGTCCCACATTCTAAAGGACATCTCCCGCGTCGAGGTCAGAACGCGCAGATTCGTCGACGACATCGTCATTCCTTCCTCGATCTCATGAAGGAGTAAGTGCTTGATCTCATTGAGCTTATTCGTGTCTTCCTCACCCAGTTCAGGCATCTGGGATTCGAGTTCTTCACTCTTTTCACTCTCACTTTCAAATTGGCTCATGTCGCCTTTTTGAGGATCCATTATTCGACAAGTCTGAAACGGAAAAGATTATTGAAGAAAAAGGGTTGAAATCAAAGAAAAATATGGCGGCAACTAAGACGGTTGAACATACGTTACCGGAGAAATTTTTATCATTAATAATTTATTAAAATCATGTATTTCAAAAATACAAAATTCGTTAAATTTTAATGGGGACTCCCCATTGGGGAGGCTTTTTGATAAAAATACCAGTAGTCTTCAATGATTTCAACCTTTTTTCTCTGAAAAAATTGTTCTCTAAAAACAGCGAAAAAATGTAAAAACGCAGGAAGAAAAACATAAAATGCCGGCAAGTGAAACGAAATCTCGAGAAAGAAACTGCTATTCTCGAAAATATAAAAATAAAAAATAAAGCTGGTCCAAGCGAGAGCGACAAGTCGAGCGCACTCGTGGGAACTTGAGTCGAATTGTATCGAAATGCGACTGAATTTGAGAATCGCCGAATCATGATTGTTTTATCCAAGGTTGATGGTAATTCGACTAATCATGAGTCACTACTGAAATTGACGAATTTAATTTGATTCTATTAAAAAAGCTTCTGCTTCGAAATTTTAATATTTTGATTAGAAATTAGCAGTTATATTTTATTCAATGTAATCTGATAGACGCCGAATATGAACATCGAATCATCAGTAAAATACATCAACAAATAAGGGAAGAAGAGGACGCTTCCTTAGAAAAACTCGCCGACGCTGCGAATTATATCATATAATTTATATGCCCGTGCGAAGAATGCTCTGTGCCGTGCAAGAGATCTTTTGAAAAGCAAAATAGCAAGAATAAAGACTGCGAATAAGACTGAAGTAAAGAAGTTCAAAAATTCTTATTATGAGCATGTTTCAGATGATAAATTTATTCTGATGCTTTAATCCCCCGTCAAATTGTTTCAAATGCTTCGATAATACTCGTTCAAATCGGTATAAGAAAACGATAACACCTGCCCTAGTCTCTTAATTTATTGAAGAATCGCTTTATTCTTTTGATAAATGACTGTAATTCCGTCCTGACTTTTGCAGGTTTAACTCGGTTCAGACAGATAGTTGAATTCATTCGGGCAGACTAGATTTTCTCATTTTCTTGAAGCCTTTTCTATGCTTCGGTTTTCTTTGGATTGATTTTCATTGAAGTATTTGAGCAAAAATTGAAAAAGGTCTTTCATCGGATTCAGCTGGTTGCGCTTCTGCCGCTCGCTCAGATACTTGTCTTTTAGGTTTTGCTCGCCGTAGTATTGAATATAACCTGAAATTGAACTGTCAATAAGAATTTATGATTGAAATAGCGTTGTTCTGTTGCGTAGTAGGCCAGTTTAGAGCTCAAATTAGGGGCATCCCACACGTAATAAAAGTCCTTCAAGACGATAGTATTGAAGTAATACTTTATTTAATTGTTTCTGAGACTGCGTCAAAATGTGGTATAAAAATAAAGATAAGGCAAGGAACCTTCTTCATTTTCAAAGTCAGAGAAGCAAAGGTATACAAATTTAATCAGTTGTTAGTGTCCACAAGCGACCTTTACTTACAGTAATACGCCACAGATAAAATAATAATGACTAAAATATCGACGACGGCGAGGCACCAGCTGAAAATATCATCTCTACTGATCATCGGTTCCCACAAAAATTCGCTCAGGAAAAGTTCTGCGTCGTGTTGATCTTTTTCTCGGATTTATTCAGGGGGCATGTGCGGCGATTCTCATTGTATCTTTCAAGCAGTAAAAGAGGAGATCTGTACAAATTTGCAAGTGCCAGAGAGTTGACGCTAATGCACCAAATTTTTGACAGCTGAAGCTGTATTCAGTTCCCAACTTCTGATTTCTCTTCCGAATTAGCCGCTCTCAGACAATTCTGAACGATTCAATGGTTATTTTTTATTTTTGCAAGAGAAAGAAAAAAAAACGCGAAAATGAACGGACGGGAAATCGTAAAAAATACGAGGCTTGTAATTATATATCGTGAAAAAACGATTTGAAGAAGCACAAAAAAACTACAACTGAAACATGACTGTAATTAAGATCCATCTTTTTAACTAGGTTTCTTCAACTAATAAAGATTTAAATTAGCTTCTCTCAAGACTGACAATTGGAATCGTTAGCTGTGATGAAGAACGATTTTTTATTACCTGATAGCTCGATTTTCTCTTTGATGCTCGCTCCTTTCGTAAATAGATTATAAATTAAAAAGAAGCAAAGGGCGATTGTTATTCGTTTCTAACCGAGTTTAACTGGCAAGTAAGACAACTCTCAAGTTGAGAAACTACACGCGCTATTGCGGCGCGTTAGGGCGCAACTTGTTTAGCCAGACAAAGGACACACACTTCTTTCTCTCTCTTCTTCATCAAATTCGAGTCTTTTATTACAATAATGGGAGTTTACACATATTGAAAAAACAGCGAACAATTCTATTTGCAACTGTGCCAAGACTTGAGGACATTCTCTTTCTAGTTATTCTAAGCCTTTTATCTTGCCCCAAGGTCATGGTCATTTTTGGGAATTGCCGATTCCGAATTAATTAAATTGGTGATTGATTAAACTTACATTAGTAGCTTTTCAATATGCCACTCAAATATCACTTCTCTATTTGAAATGGACTCTCTCAGAGCCTACAGTATTGACACGCTCTCATTTTATGACATTTGAAGACATATTAGCACGCCAGTAAATCTAGATTCTCAAGCCCTTCCTGTATCTTGTCAAATACGCGTCCCAGTCCATGATAAGACCGTACCATGGGCCGTAGCCTGTGTTTGGCCGCTGGCAAGTCTCGTCAAAGATTGGCTCTCCATCGTAGTAGGTGTTGCTGAAGGTCTCTGCGGACATGAACAGGTCCCCTGAGGACATCGTCTGGTCGTTTTCGTTTTCTTGGTAGTAGACCCAAGAGTAAGTGTACCCAGTAGCATCGTCAGTGTAGCAAAAGCTTGGAAAGAGCTCGAACTAAAATTTCAGCAGGATAGTGTCAAGGTCAAGCCCCCTTCCTTTCCAATAGGCAGCGGGAATACGGACGTTTCTCTTCGCTGGATTATCCTCATTCATCCAGCCCTTTGTCCCATGCGTTCCTGTATAAATCCACGCGTCTTTCCCGTCAATATCTCGTTCCATGAACTTGCGGACCATACATTCTAGCTGGTTCCAAGCACGCTGGTTGAAATTGGAGCTTTGTGGCGCTACGTTTGTCAAGGTAAAGGTCGTCTGAAATTCGATCGAATAATTATAAGAGACTTTTACGATCGTACCTTCATGGCCATTTCATTTTGATTCATAATCGCGCTGGGTACGAGGTGACCGCGGTCAATTTTGATCTCAGCGTTGTTTCCAAGGTAATCCTCATCAATCGGCTAAACAACCCGGCTTAACCCGCACTTAGCCCGTGACCGAAGAACTCTACCTGCCACTGATGACAGGTTTCGTAATTTGCGGAGCCAACGCTCGCAAGATTTCCGTAGAAAGATGTCTTTGCGTCGGGTAGCTCCTATAGATTGTTAATGAGTTTGATTGATCTAAATTTGAAATCAGATCTTTAGTGGGGCAATAACAACACGATCAATTTCAAGATACTAAAAGAGAGGAATCGAGAACGTACTGCACAAAGGCCGTTGAGAAGATGGTGCCAGTTTGACGTCGGCCGAGAAAAGGTAGGCTCGTGGCTGTAACGCCTGAACTTTCCACCAGAGTAAACAGGAATCAAGTCATCGATAGAAAACAGCGTCGCGTAGTAGTGAGGGTTTCCATATCGATTCTGACAGATTCTGCAACTCTCGGATCAACAAAGATATAAAATGCTTGACCTTGCCTGACAGTTCGCCCGGCGTTACCAACAGATTCTAGCGGCCACTCTGCGCCAGGCCGAAAATAATCCGCACCGCAGTTTACTGGGTTTACACCGGGAACCCAATCTACTGCACTCACTGCTCCTGCGAGAAGAAAAACTCTCATTTTAAATAAATCTTAGATCTTTGCCTTCATGCTTCTATTTCAATGTAAAACACGTGCTTTTCTTCCCATAGTTTTCGTAATACGGTCACTGCTGAATGCTCTGAGCTACTGTCACCTGCTTCAGGAATATTATTTATTTGACGAAGTGAGAGCTAATTTTATTTTTATCAAATGAAATCAACGAGGAATTTAAGTCGAATTTGTTGTCCAAGTGGGAGTTGTTGTTTCTTCTGGAGCGTCAGTAACTTCATACCCGACATTTCGCCACACAGCTCTGGTGAAATCAATTGGCTTGACACCGTTTACTGAAAATGTAAAATAAAAAAATGAGAATAAGCTCGAATTACCTTCGAAAGTGAGCTTGTTGATCTTGGATGCGACCTTGATCAATCTTCTTGTGTGCAATTGGTGATTTATCTGGCCGCGACACTCGGCCATATATCGGAGGATCCACTTTCTGTATGCAGTGGCAATTTGTCTCCATGCCATGCCGACATCGGGCGAAAGTCGAACTGAAAAATTATTTTTCACGGATATTTTCACGGAAGCTAGAAAAATACATCTTTATCATTATTGATTCTGAAACCTTACATTTTCATTATTTAGCTTTTTCCGGAATCTCTAAAAAAGCTCTTCTGCATGTGCCCTGCTGAGAAAAGGAAGTTTCATGAGCGCGCTCTCTCGCGCCACACATCGATTCGTCAAATTATAGAAAAAAAACTCAGACTTCTGATTAATTGGCAGTTTATTTTATTTATACATTTGTAAGATATAATATTGAATAATACACGTGCAGGCAGTTTTGTTTCCTAGTCTCGGAATTTGCGTTGTGCTCGTTTCGTGAACACTGATTTTTTCGTTATTTCATCTTTGGCTTCAATTGCGCCTTCCATTAGCCAGCTGAAGAAGCTCTGGTTCCGGAATGCTTTAAAATATGAGTTTAAAGTTTTCGAGAAGGTTGTTATTACTTTTATCCAAATTTATGAGGACGAGAATGACTGGAATAAAGATCAAATACATCAGGAGAACTTTTGATCTTGGAGGAAGCCAAAGAATTGAATAAAACATTGCTCCGTTTTGTTCTAAAAACCTTGATTTTCAGAACAAATTTCAAGTCCTACCCAAAACAGCAAAGCCAAAACCAGCTGCTCCCATTTTATAGTTACAACTTGGCAGGACCATTTCTTTCTCTGATTGATGGTCAAGAATATTCAAATTGACGTAGCCTTTCTGCATTTCGAACTTCTGCTTGTTTCCATCGTGTAGGAAGAAACTCTGATGCTCGTGGCCAGAAAAGATAAGATTCGGCGAGAAATTTCGAACGATTTCGTCGCCCTAAAATCTTGTTGAAGGAAAATAGCAAATTTGTACCTGAGGTCGGCGAGCATCTGGTTCCGTTAGAGGAAAATGCGATAGAAGAATTTTGACGGTTTGCTGATAAGCCTCGCCTCGGTTCTGCGGCTGGGCGTGCTTGAGTTGCGATTTCGCACCTGGCATGATATTCGCCTTGTCAAATGTGATGAATTTGAACACTTCTTCGTCCTCGATCGGTGCATGGAACGCGTACTCGAAACGTTCGATCTTTTCTTTTGACAGATCGCAAATATTTCCTCGAGGCCTAATTATTTCCTTTAATCAATTTTTCGCCTGTTTTTTCGATCTTTCCTGGAGTCGCTCGGTCCCACCCTTCACCGCCAATGTCATTATCTCCAGGGACAAATATGTGATGTCTTTCTTCGTGATGTTTTTTGATATCAAACACATTATAAAATCTTTTGACGTACGACTTGAATTCGTGTTCTCCAGCTACGCTTCCTTCGTCGAGTAGATCTCCAAGGAAGATGATTACATCAGGCTAAAATGAAGTTACTTGAGAAAAAATCATAGTGCGGTTTTCGGTGATCGAGTTTTACCTGTGTGTAGTGGAGAGCTTCGTGGTATGTAGACTTGATGTAACGATCGATGTCGGATCTTTTGGCGGTTCTCGTATTTCGTCATTAGTATGAATTATACAGTTTATATCGCGAATGTTTACTGTATAAAATCAAATGTCGAGAGAACGGTCCTAGAAATGGCGGCGGTGATAGAAGTGGGATTACTCATATGCCCGGGTAATTGCGGGTCACTGACAAGTAGCATCCTCACTGCCTTGGGATTTATCTCGGGTATCCTCGGCCAGGAAACGTGCGAGAGGAGCTTGAAACGCTTCTTTAGAAAAAACGATTATCCACTCAAAAACTTACCTTGTAGCAGAAGAACTCGCAGTAGAAGAAGATAAACAAAATTAGTAGCATTAGCGATCTGTTAACGTGTAGACGTTTTATCTTCCTCTTCAAATTACTAAGTGGTCCTCTTTTACTGAGCTTCATTTTCTTCTCAAGTGTTCTTTGATCTCTACGGGTTAAGGTTCACGGTCGGAATAACTGTTGAGGGGAGTAACAGTTTCGAAAAACTTCACCAAAGCCGACAAGGATTTGCCCGCCGGCGCTCTCGATGTTCCGAATTCTAGCACTAGTAACTCTCTATCAAAATACAGTGCAATTGAAATAATTTATTATATAATGAATATATTTATCGTATTTCGAGTACAGATTTTTTGTCTTAGTCAGGTTCAAACAATCTTCTCTCTTCCAGATTTGACTTCTCGCTCGTGTTGAACCAGAGCGCAACAAACGCAGCAGTATGAAATACAGAAGTCACTGAATAAATAGTAACCAAAAACTATAGGAGTCTCTTACCTAAAAGCGTTCGATTTAATGCCGTACGTCTTCGATATTGTTCGCCGTTGTGAACATACAAGACAAGCACCACCCTGAATTTTTATAAAAAGAAAAACTTGAAGAATAAATTTACGCAACAGCCAGTGTATGCCATGACATTTCCACTCATGAGTCCTCCAGTGAATAAAAGAACTTGACCTGCCAAATACATTCCCACGAAAAGGAAGTATGAGATCCCACATGCGGTTGCTTTTTACGAGATATAGGCTTCGCTACGAAAATAATGGACAAATGATAAAAACCTAAAACGCTCCTTTTGTCTCATTCGAGAGTTCCTTCTCTATCGAATACACCGAGGCGCATGGGAGGCAAAGTGCTTTCATACACATTAAATCTTCTTCGCAACATCCACAAAGTTTTGAGCTGAATTGAGGAGCAGTTTTCTTTGGAGTTGAACCTGGTTGCTTAGTTATCGCTCCTTGTTTCTCATCTCTCTGAGAATCAAGAAGAATGGTTTGTTCTTCTGTGGCGCTTACAAAGTCCTGAGATATTGGAACCTCTATGGGGGTAGGCTGACTTGTCACGGGAATGTCTGCCTTTTCATCAGATTGCTGAAATGTCTCGTCGATCTTCTCAACTGCGCCATTTTCAGTAAACTGCTCTTGAGGACTACGAACTAAGTCTGGATACAGTGACCCAGATTTTTGAACATTTTCTTCGCTCGAGCTCATCTCTTATGTTCTCAAGTTCGTTGGAAAAGGCCTTTTCGAATTGCACGAAACGAAATGCAAATGTATTTAAGATTCAGGATGAATTCGCGTTGACAATCACTATTTGCCTTTCATTTTTACTTGCTTGCACCCCAAATTACTCCCCGCTAGTCACTGTATTTACAGAACGGATTTACTTTGTGGTAAGCCGGTCATTTTTATTGATTGAAGAAATTTATTGAAGCTAATCGTGTACATGCAGAACTTGACAAACATAAATTGGAAACATTGAATTGGTCTAAAATTGATTTTTCTATAGATGTGCATCAAAGTCAAACTTGACTTATTTGTTTATTGCCAAAGACGGTTGGTCATTTTCATTTGCGCAAACATCTTGCAAGCGTACGTGGCGCCGACAAAGCCGATGAGAATAACGGAAATCATCATGTGGTCAAAGTCATCTTTGAGAACATCGAATGTGCCTTTTGATGATTTAAATTTTGTTCAACAAAATGGAAAAAAACGTCATTTCTTTGAATCATTCCTGAAGGATGAACTCTCGTCCAGAAGAGGCCAGTGTCAGTAAGGCCAAGAACGGTACATGTTGATTCAAGGCCAGTAATCGCGACTAAAATGCTATTGGAAAAGTGTTTTTCGAAATCAAGCACCTTTGAAATCGTTCACTGGACCAAGATTCTGGAAATAGCTGATCACGAAATTCGGGGGAAATCGGAGCTCTGGCTGATACGGCATGATTCCTTCCTCTCTATCGGTTGGAGCTGGAACGAGTCGGCGACGGGGATCAAGAAAGACTCGAGGTAGCGAGACAATTTTTCCGGATTTAGTTCCAATCAGCACAGCTTTATTCGTGATGCCCATTTGTGACTGAGTCACAGACAGTGAGGAGATCTCCTCCGAGCTAACGAATGACTTTTGAATAGCAACAGGGATTGAAGCGGAGAGAGAATCCCAGTGAGTTGCGTTTCCATCGTCAGTACCCTGTTTTCGAGATTGAAAAACTTAAGAATTGATTTATTCCAATGAGCTGAAATCAAATCTCGTTCCTTGTAAAATTCAACAGAAGTTATCTCCGTTCTGAACATTTTTGCTGACCAGTAAGAAAACACCGCCCAATTTTCAGCCAGGACGATTTTCGCCGGTCCGTGAGCTCGCTTATGATTACTTGAGTGAATGACCTCTCCTGTAACTCCGTCCAAAAAGAATGCATTCACAAACATTTGTTCCAGATCAGTCTTTTCCTTCGACTCAGCAAGAACGGCGATCAAATTGGGATTCAGATACTTTTCCATCACCGATCGATCGGCAAGGGGTCGTCCTTGTGAGTGAATGACATCAGTAGCAGGAGCAGCAGTAACCTGAGAGATCGTCATTGAAGCTGGAATCTGGAAGGTCCAAGTATTCTCGAAAACTTTGTTTTCAACTTGGAATTTTCCTCCGATAATCGCTTGCGAGGTCGAATCGTAGAGCCAGAAAGCCGTACGCTTCAACTTTTCAGCTGTAGCAGCGTCAACATCTCCGATAATCTCGACGCCGATTTTGCCAACGTCTAGCTTCTTGAAAATCAATAGCGATGGGTTGTTTGAAGTCGCTGATCGGAGGGACTCAACTCGAAGAATATCACTTTTTGGCAAAGCAGAGTTCAGTTCTTCAACGCTTCCAGACATGATATCAACGCTGAAATATCGAACTTCGTTTTGACAGTTTCCGACGAGGAAGATGTTCGACTTGAACCGGGCTCCAGCTTCCTTGATCACTTGAGTCTTGCAAGAATCGAGTTCTGGTACGGATCTCTTCCAGATGATATCTTTGCTGAGCGAGTCGATTCCGAAGATATTTCCATTTTTAGTCAAGATGAAGATAAGCTTATGGAGATTGAATTGATCGCGAATGAGCTCAGAAGTACTGACCAAAGGATCGCCAATTTTCTTTTCAAAAAGTCGACCTGATTTAATTTTGTCTGATAATTGAGCAAGATAGGTCTGGAAAAGAGCGAGCTGGATTTGAACTCGTCGAGTGAAGCTCCACTCTGATGGGTCTTCAAGAAGGGCGTCTTCTGGAGGAAGATCGAAGATTTGAACCTGTGAGATGGATGCTAGAGATTCTTCTCGAGTCCAAGAAACAGTGGACGCTTCTGAAGATGATTTAGCGAAGGAAACGGTTCCGTCTTCTGAAAATGCGAGGATCTGAAGATGATTTTTGTTCTTCCAATTGTAGGATTTCACCCAAAGAGAGTCAATCTTTCTAGCGCCACCGAAAGAAAGCGACTTTGTTTTCTTTCCATCTTCAGCAGTAAACGTCCATCGGTTTTGCGTATCAAGACTGGCAGTGAAAATGCCAAGGCGAGAGGGAAAGACTTCCATTCTAGTTGTGTCATCCAGGACCTCGCCACTTTCTGATCGAACAATGCTACCGCAATGGCCATAGAATTGATCTGGAGCGTATCTTAATTCTTTCTGCGCGTGTGTGATGACCTTGCAGTTTGCAGCAGCAGAAATATCTTCGACGGTTGCTTCTTTGAGATTGATAGAGGTAGTCTTTGCATTTTCATCAGTGAAGACAACTCGGCCGTCGGAAACAAGGGCGAATTCTCCAATAGAGATGCTCTCTTTGGATAGGACTTTGACAGGTTCGGTAGAGAGATCATCAATGTTAAGGGTTTCAAGGACGAGTTCGCTTTGCGCATTCTTTCCAATGAGATAGGCAAGATTATTTTCTGAAGATGTTCATGATAGATTTGGTAAAAGTTGAATGAAATAGATCAAGAATAACATGATCTCAATAACATGTACCTTCGTTGGTGATAATTGCCTGGACCAAAATCGAAGCCTTAGTTTCTGAAAGCGGTTTTCGTTCGCGGAAAATCACCAGGTCGCTCTCTCCTACTTCGTTGTTCTTGGCACAAATGATTATGCTCTTGGAGAACAATCTCACGCAATCAGTCAATGAGGATGGACTAGATGTATAAAACTAAAATACGTCTTGAAAAAATATTCATTTGTAAGTGTGTTACCTCTCGGAAAAGAGCTCCTGATTCCGGGACCCAATAACGAGCAATTCCACCAGAAGAAATAGAAACGATGAGTTTGTTCGCGTAGAAGAGGTATTCAACCCTCTCTGAAACTGGCATAGTTTTCTTCCATAAGACCTGAGGAAAAGAATAAGAGGAAAAAATGAAGGATGGGTTGATTTACCGATCCATCGAGAGCTGAAACACTGGCGAGAATGTTCTGCTCCGTGTAGAGCGCAATCGCATCTGCTTGAGCATTTGCGTCGTCGAAGGCAGCGAGTTTGGGGGACCCGAGAACGTCGAGCTTCCAGTCGACCTTTCCGACTTGATCTTCGTACAGGGCAGAGATTAACCCAAAAAAGGGCAGAAACGATATCAACCGCATTCTAAAACAGATCATAAGGGAGACTGTAGAAATGAATAGTACAGAAAGTGATTTTAAGTGGAACAGGAAAGCTTTGAAGAATGATGAAGATGGTGTTGGCTTGGCTGAATATAATTTAATCGTCAGTCGCTACTATTAGCTTAACCTTCACGAGTTGATAACAGATTCTATCGGAACAACTTGGACCTTCTCTTCTTCTTTTTTCTTTTTCTCGTGTTTCTTCGAGATTTCATCAAATTTGAAAAATGCTTCTGTCGTTTCATCCTCAGTCAGCTTCACCTCGACCAGGACGCAGAATTCCTTCTGTCGGATTTCCTTCAGAGTTCCAGTTCGTTTCGCCAGGTCGCCTTTCATGACAATGACTTCTCTTCCAACCTGTGGAATGACTGTTTCTAGGTCGTCTTCGTGGAATTGAGCCTTCATTTTCGGAAGCTTTAGGTGCTGAATAACGGCTTTATGACCGTTAACTTCTTTGACGAAGCCTTTTTGTTTCTCGAATTCTGGGATCGACTTTGACTTCACTAAATTACCAATTTATCCAATTATCGTTTTTATTAAATATTTGCCTTTTACGACCGCTCCAACTTGAACCCATCGAGGCGGTTTTTGCAAAGTTTTCAAGGTTTGATGAGACTTGATTTCTATCGAAGCAATTTTGACAGTCTTTTTGTCTTCTCCAAATTTAGGTTTCTTCGCTAGAGGACCATCTAAAGCTTCACCGGTGGCTTGCATGCGCTCACGTTGCTCCTGAAAGACGATGAAATGACGATAATTGAAAAGAGAGATTACTTTTAGATAGGCTTCTTCTCGAGCTTCTTTCATTTTCCCCTCACGGATGAGCATGTCGATTTTGATCCGTTGCTCGTCTTCTTCTCGGTCTTGTTTTCTGAGCATCTTTTCAATTTCCTTCTTTCTCGCGAGGGTTTGCGGATCTCTATCGATATAGGCCAAGAACCAGCCTTTTCCATCCTAGAAAGGGTTGAACAAAGCTTTCAAAGTCTCTGAAAACCTGATAGTCGACTTCTGCGTATCCTTCTTTTCCGAGCCACTCTGTAAATTCAGAAAGCGTCAGCCATCTTGTCGCGTTCATGTGAATGTGGTGTCGATCCATGATGTACTCATTGTAAACTGTATTGTTCCAGACTCGTTTCGTGCCCCATCGACGCTTGAGAAGATAGAGAAAGTCGTCGAGAAAGGTTTTTGAGAATTTATCCTAAGTCTTGATTGAAACAAACGATAGGGAAAGCGACTCGGACCTGGAATTTGTTTGGATTCTGAGCGCAAAGAAGAAGCTGTCTCTGATGAGATTCGGACATGATGTGACATTTGAAACCGTTTTCATCTCGGCACTGTTTCTCGCACATTTGACAGTACCATCGAAGTTTTTGAAGGCCCTTTGCCTTCTGGCGATTGGCGATGTCTTTTGGTGTGCCTCGCTCGGCTTTCGGCATTTTTTACTGATTTCTAAAAAATGGAACTCTTTAGAAATAAAATTTATCTAAAAGACTCAAAGAATTAAAGAACAACAAGCTTTATTCCGCAGAATAACCTCTTTTTCGACTTTCCAGAACGAATCTTGATTGGCCAGAGCGCCATCTGTGACGTCACGATGCGCAAGTCTTCCTTGATTTCAAGTCGAACAAACAATTCAGAAATGTTTGATGGTTTTTATTCACAATATTTTACAAAAGATCTTCGACAGAAGAACGTTCATACAGTTGAATAAGTATAGGCGAATCGTGCGGAATGATTACTTGTCCATCTTTGAGTACAGAGCTAGCGTATTTGTGACAGATAGGCAAAGCAGTGTGTTGAGTGGTGATAATTTCATATTCGTCGTCAGATTCTTCCTCTGCTGTTGCATTGTCAACCTTTGGCAGTGTTTTTTCGAGGGCAGCGTCAGGCTTCTTGGAGTCTGTTGAGGTTGACGAAGGCTCGACATCGTTTTGTTCGGGATTTTCTAACGGAAGATTGTCCTTTTCACCATCGCATTCAGGCTTAGCCGCCTCAGCATCAGTAGGATCCGAAAGCTCTTCAGTAGAATCATCCTTCTTCGCCTCAAGGGAATTCTCATTTTCAGAGAAAACTTCGATTGGGCTTTTGGCTTCATCATCAGAACTTGAAAGCTCCAGGATCTCCAACACGGACAAGTCATCATTTTTCGCTGTTTTTGGCTGTTCTGTGAGCGCTTTTTCGATGATTTTCGAGATGGCAAAAGAATGATCCACAGAAACTGGTGACTCTTCATGAAGTTTTGTCGAATCTCTGAATTTTTCAGCAATTGATGGCTCTCCTTCTTCAATCTGCGAGTCAGTTGTCTTTTCATCTGGAAGAGTTCTCTCCTGTGACTTTGGAAGGGTTGTGATAGCAGCTTCAGAAGGTGTGCTTTCTTTCTCGTTCTCTTTATCAGATTCGATGGTCTGGCTTGGTGGGTTGGAGTGAGGAGATTCATCTTCGTGGTCACTTGATTCGTTGAATTCTTCCCCTCCGATTTGGATCACTTTGTAGCATTTGTCCGCTGGCATGTAAATTCGGACATTGTTCATTTTGTACTGCTCCCACTTGTGTTGCTTCGTCAGACGTTGAAAGTGAAGTCGAACAGCAGGAACGGATTTTTCTGATCGCATTGCAAGAAATCGCAATGTTTCTATCGGTGGTTCTGGTTCTGTTTTCCAGATTTCATAGAAGAAATTTTTAGTAGCAGCATGATTGAGGTAGAATCCATTGTCGTTTGGACTTATATTCCTGACAGTGGCAAAATCGCTTGTAGCAGAACGAAGACTCTCAGCTTGCTTGATAACTTTCTCGTTGATTTTGATTGTCTGAGTCGGTTTGATGATTGAGTTAGTAGCTTTTTCCTTCTTCGTTTTTTGATGGAACCAAGTCCTGACTGCACTGACCGTCCTACCAGATCGCATTGAGAGATACTCAAGAGCTTTCAGAGGCAGTTTATTTTCAATCTTCCATATTTGACTAAATAGCTCATTGCTAGCTTGACGATCGAGGTAGAAGCCAGCGTCATTTGGGCTGATGTTTTCGACAGTGTACTTCAGAGTTTTCTTGTCTGGTGAGTCTTGTTCTTCTTCAACGACTTCGAGCGGTGTGTCGATGTCGTCTTCGGAACCGGAATCATCTCGAAGAATAATTGGAGATCTTCGGCAGGCTCTCTTCGTTCTTTGCTCACAATAGTCATCGGGTGCTTCAGTTTTCACTGGAGATTCTTCTCTTTCTCGTTTGAATCGCGTGGTGATAGGCTCAGAAGGCAAAGATTTGATCGAACCAGACCGGCGTCGAGCGAACCAATTCTTGATTTGGGTAGGAGTTTTGTCCAGTTTCTTCGCAATCTTGTCGATTTTCTTGGCACTTGGACATTGATTCTTGGCATAGTTCTTCGTCAACACCTTCATATCGTCAATACCGAAGATTGATCTTGATCTCACAACGGGTTCCTCGGCCATGATTTCTTGCTTCACGTTAATCTTTGGTGTTGACTGCGCCAGTGGTGATGGATTTCGCGTAGAAGCTTGTCTTGGTGATGTACGTTTTTGAGGATTTGGATTGGAAGTTTTCTGAGCAGATGGTTTTCCTGGTGGTAGAGTTGAGTTCAAGCTCTAAAATAAAAGTTGAGAAAAAGAAGCATCGTTGAATTAAGACCCCGAGGCTTGGAACCCGTTTGATTCTATTGGCGACTTATATTTACCTTGAGGACATTTCTAAATTGTTCTTTTTTACTGTTTGCCCTGAGTCTTGCAAACTCTACTTTGACTCTTCTCTCAGTGATATGAAGGACATTTGCTAATGCAGCGATCGTCGCTTCATTTGGATTTTTGTCGTTTTCAAAAGTAGCAAGGATGAGGTTATTTTTTCTCTCGAGAAGGGGTGGGCCAACACCGCCCATATTGGCAAAGAATTTCCTGTGTTTAAAATTTGTCGAAAAATGATATGAAAATGCGCGATTATTTACTTTCCAAATATTCACTTTTTGTGTCTGTCCGGGAAAAATGGGCACAGAGCGTAAATAAGCCCGGGGTCACCAGCTTGCGGATTAGATCCCAAGAAAGCCATATGGGAAACTTTTCAAGTGCGCTGATTGTTCCCAGCTTGACACCTGTTTTTATCAAAATTCAATATCTCAGATCTGTGATCTACACTGTGCCTCTCTCATCTGCATCGTTTGCATAACCTCCCATGCAAATTTCTTACCTTTAGAAGTTGACGTGTGCATATCTTCTTACTCAAAGTATCCTGTACAATAAATCGTCGAGTCTTCATGTGTAAAATATTTTTTTCGCAATTTTGCTAAAGCTTTGCGCGTTTTTTTTTTCTGAAATCGATAAATTCGATATTTTCTCAAATGTGGCCGTGTAGCATCAGTCTTCTTGTCAATTTTGACTAACTCCAATTCTTTAGCTTCAGTCAACCGATACAATTATATCAAATTCAGGACGTAATAAAACTCTCACAAGCCCAATAAACATTCCCTTTATTCGGCCAATTTTCCTTTTCAAGTCACAAAAAAGGCATCCTAAATAACAGTTATTATCTTGAAAAGTTGTGCCTGCTGGCAAATTCCATTCAGGCAGCACCAGAGATGTCATCAAATGTCAATTGTATTTTTATATATATACAATTGTATTTTTTTGCATTTACGACAAGATAAATGTATGAAAATAAACTTTAATATCAGTAATCGAAAATATAAGAAAAAGTTATTCATCAGAGGGAGGAATCTGGAGCAAATGTCTGAGCTGGAGTGCTCCTCGAGGGCCAAACTTTCCAACCCATTGCTGTTTGTTTTGGCCATCGGTGAAGATTCCATCTCCGTTGGGCTTGTTTTGGATGAATGGACCTGAATAGCTGCTTCCGTCTTTCCAGGTCAGCGTTCCTGAAAATTTCAGAAATAATGATTTTTGTTTGAAAAGGTTTAATCCTACCTCGTCCCTGATATTTCCCAGCTTCAAAGGTTCCGCTGTATTTTGAACCGTCTGGAAGAATCATTGTCCCACTTCCCTGAATGACATCTTCCTCCCAGTCGCCTTCGTATTCGTAGCCCTAGATAATCAAAGAAATTACAGTAAGCTGAGTAAACAACTCACAGATGAAGAGACCCACTTGCCCTTCCCATGTCGTTTTATGCCATTTTCGCCGGTGCTAATAAAGTATTTGAGCAACATTTTTGCAAATAGAAAGTATGTCAAGAGCACAGTAAACTGACGTTACTGTAGTCGATAAGGAAATTCGAGCAAATAAGGAAATTGGGCTTACCAGTACTGGCCTTTATAAGTGTCGCCATTGGGAAATACGAAGCTGCCGACAAGTGGAGTGGGTTCAGCCTGGATTGAGACTTCGGGCTCGTCAGCCATTCTAAATATATAATAATCATTATTACTTAATTAAAAGTTATGCAAGAAATTATTTATTTTTGAAAATTTTGGTATTTCAGCAAAAATATACCGAAATTTATTAAAATTTTAGGCGTTATTCCGAAAAATGCGCATCCTCCGCCCCAGGGGACAAGGAAGAATAAGGCGGGCGATTTGATTGGTCGTCTGGCGCGGGGTTGGCGCAATTTTCGCCGCGCGCGTTCGCTAACTCAATTTTTCAAAAGAGAAAAGCAAAGAAAAGAAAGCAAAGAGGAAAAAACTTCTGAAGTAGAAGAGTCTTTAGAGAATGAGTAGTGTGCACAAACAGAACACGCGAGTAAAGGGCAAACAAGCCCTTGCAACGAAAAGTAGTCCAAACATTCCAGACTAGCATCAGATTGGCCGTCTTTCTGACCAAATATTCGCCAAGTGACGAGGGAAAAATCGCTATCGACCATTTACGAACAGAGTTGAACAGAAAGAATTAATGAAGGCGTACAACAGAAGATGGTTCATTCTAGCGGCCCTGCGTAAGTAATGACCGACTCATAAAGAAATTAAGGGGTTAGGGTCCCATCTTCAGAGGTGATGGGTAAATATTGAATGTTTGACAGGTGTCAAATATTTTAAAGAGGAACGTAAATTTAAAGAGGTTTTGTCGCTTAGCCCATTTGGATATTGAGTACCTTGTAAATCAATTCTTAGGAAAGAACTCTTCTTAAACATCCTTAGATTCAAGAAAAATCCTAAATCGCTAAGAAAAGCCGCACATGCGGCTCTTAAACCCGAATTGGGCTCACCGATTTCCTTCGTTGATATCAATCATTATCAGTATTGTTATTGATAAATCGATAAACAAATTGGAGCTTCAGAATCACTGGCTATAAATCCGTAAAATTGACACTAAAAATCAATAACGATCCTATTTAGTGGCTCTTGCGGGAATCGCTTGTATCTGCACATGTTTGGGCTACGAAGAGGTCTACAAAATGGACATCAAGAGAGGAAATAGCTCAGATGATATTGGAACGAGAACGATTGGTCTTATGAGCGGATCAGATAAATACAGACAAAAAACCTGGATCCACTGGCCCATCAAATGTAATCAAGTTTCTCGTGAATAATTTTTGACCATGTTTAGGTGACCTGAGCATGTGCACCGAAAGTGACCCAGATGCTCTCTATCCGATGCTCTGCTCTTGTACTGGAAATACTAGTATCGATTTTATCATCAACTCGAGTCTTTGGTGGGCCAATCTTTCCATGATTATTTTGGGGTTAGTCTGTGCGGTGTACGCATTTGTCGTTTCGGCGTACAATGCTGCGACAAAGCCTACTGTTGAATATCTAAGGTCAGGATTGATTCAATATCTAAAAAATTTAAATCGCAAATTTTAGTACTCGGGCTGTGGCAGGATCGTTCACCGCTGCCATTATCTTCGAAGTCACCGCTATGGCCCTCACTTTGACACTGTATTTTACCGCTATTCAATACGAAGATCCTTCCTATGAAAGCACCTGTATCTTGCCCGAATTTGGCGGAATGTAAGTCATTTTTTCCCCAAAAAAATCTTGAAGCTTTGAATTATTTTTAGTTCATCATTCTGGGCAAGTTTTGCTCAGGGATACGTCTGCGAGAATGAACAACTGGGCCTGTCGTTTTACATGATTGTCATTTCTATCGCCTTGTTCTTGATCTCACTTTGGTGCAGTTTCATGGCTCAAAGAGGATTCCAAAGCCTCGATCACGAGGCAGAATTTGTCGCTGAAACTGGCGATAAAAAAGAAGACATCATGATGTTCTAGTTTATCGAAAATTTTTTCTCCTGTCCCATTTTTAAATTTACATCTTGTATAACAATGTGCCTTATTTCTATTCTGAAAAAATTCCACTTCCTATTGATTCCTTCTCCGCCTCTTTTTTTGTATAAAAATATAGAAAAACAACGCCCTCAACTCTTTTCATTCAGTAAAATAATTGTTAATGGACTCGAGGACCTCAAGGTTAAATCCACTTGGGACGAGCTTTACTGAAAAGCACTGGGAGCTCTCGGACCCTGGATCAGATACTTCAGAGCTTTTTCAATCCCGACAAAGAACTCCCGTCCGATCTACGCCAGAAATACGAAGGAATAACTTTGCCGGAAGAAAAGGGAAGAATGCGCCTCCTATAGTTGGCCTCAGTCCAGGTTAGAGAAAAGCCTTGATCCAAGGGCACTGATCAACTGACCTTTTTTAGAAAAACTGGACGCAAAATGTGTCGAAAGCACAGCGAGGCTAGAAGATGTTCCGAAAATAGATTTGAACTCGTCGAGGTGCCAAGTCGACCCGTTTTACGAACACGTGAGTATTCAAAAGCCCAAAATTTTCGATAAAAGAACGAAACGAACATAAACGTTTCTTATTGGCCAAAAAGGAACAAAGTTCCATGATTTCTAGAGATTTCTAGAACATCGTTTGTTGATCATTTTTGAAATTCTATCGATCATTTGAAAAATGGCCGACTCGTTGGAACTCTGCATCGCAAAAATTTCCTTGGCTGTAAAAAATTACCCCCGTTTTTAGCTAAAATGATATTCCTTTTTTAGGGAGAAGATGATATCGTTTGGAATCCGAGTTGCGTCACCATCTTTGGGTTCGCTGAGAATATGGTGATGCACATTCTGCGACACTTTTCGAACATCGGCAGAATCACCCGCTACCAGATTCCAAAAGAAGGGACGAATTGGATCTTTGTCCAGTTCGAGAATCATCTTCAGGTAATTCTTCACCTACATTTTGATTGCTTTTACGATTTGTTAAGGCCAAACGGGCGAGGGAGAAGCACGGAGATATAATTTCCGGCTGCATGGTCGGAGTCACTAAATGCTTCGACGAAGAATTCAACAACGCCTCGAATCAAGTTGCATGCAACGATACTTTTATCATGGCTTCAAAGAGGTAGAGAAACTCTATTTCTATCGACCCTTATCCTGTAATTCTAGCTTCGCCGGCAGCTCAGGCGATACGCTGAACTCATCGACGTCCTCTCGATTCTCTGGCATGCGAAATTGCTCCGTTCTCTCTCCCTACAATCAGCGAAAACGCGTCTTAGATCCAGTAAATCGCTTCTATCTAGAAAAAACACTCAACCGTTCTTTTAGCCATTCAACCACGGAGAAGAAGGCGTGCCCACGAAATCCGCGGGCGTGTTCCAACGAGCGCTGGGTTACATATTCAACTGGTGAAGCTTTTCCTCTCTTTTGTTTAATTTATTCTAGTTCCAAATTTGATTCTTCTGTATTTTAAGTTGAACTACTTCCTAACTATGTACATTTCATTCCTGTATTTATTGTCCTATTTTCATTTCCATCTTTACTTCTACCTACTAGCTATTTTTTGTTTATACTGATCTTTCAATTCAAAGTTTTAAGTTTCCGAATTCTGTAAAACCCTTTTTTTCTTGACCAGCGTGTGTCATTTTTTCGAACTCATTCTGTAAAATATACTTCGTTAACTTTAATCCTGACAAAATGAAAACAACTGTCCTTTCTTTTGAGAAGAAAAGACAGTTGGGATTTTGAGTTAAGAAAATATAGTTATGTTTATAAACAAAATATAATATGTACAGGAGAAAAGACAGTCAGATGACTATTCCATTGGAGGCAAGCGAGAACCGGAAGTGGGTCTTCTATCAAGCTCTTTTCGCAGTTTGCTGGTTTCGGCGGAGAGGCGGGCGATTTCAGACTGCTGCAGTTCGATCGTCTTTTCTTTTTCCAAAATAATCGGTTCGACTGTGTCTGGCTCGTCGACCTTCTTTTCTCGTCGCTTGAGAAGCTTGAGTTTCGTCTCCAATTTGCTCGTGTCGGCTCTGGAGATTTTCAGCTCGCGGCGGAGGACGTTGATTTCTTGGAGGAGGACGTTGTTGTCTTGGAGAACCTTCAAGTTTTCCTGTCTGTGCAATTCGTGGTCGCGCTTGAGCTTTTCACGGATCGACTTCAAGTTCTTCTCCAAGTATTCTCGCTGGCGGACGAGCTCGACTTCAGCGTCGAGATCTTGTCCAATTTTCTGGCCCTTTTTGGAAGGCTGGCCAACGGCGAATCGTCCGTACTTTTCGTACATTGTCTTGACGATAGATCGCATCTTCGCGGGCTCTTGGAGTGAATCGACAGCTTCGTGAAGACCGGCGAGGATTCGAGAGTTCAAAGTTCGACAATCTTTGACTCGGAGGCGTTCTTCCTGAAGCTCGATATTGCTGGCGGAGAGTTTCTGCTTCAACTCGCTCAGTTCAAGCTCCAAGTTGGTGTTAGACTTATTAAATCGCTCGAGCTCGGATTCCATCTCATGAATTTGTTCCTAAACAAAAATTAAGAACTTATTAAACACTCTTTTATCTTACCTGTTGTTGACGGATATCATTCTCTCGAGGTTCAATCTGCTTTTTGAGCTCTTTGATCTTGTAGTCCAAGACGAATTTGTACTTCTCCAGTTCTTGGCACTTTTTCTTGAGCTCAATGATCTTCTTTTCCTTTTCTTGGATAGTTTCATCTCGCTCAGTGATCTCGTGCTAGAAATTCGGCTGTAGGTAAAAAATGAGAAGAGTGGCTTTTACCTTGAGTCCAGCAATATCTTTCTGGAGAGAAGCAATGAAGGCTTCGAGCTTTTGGTTGTCGGTCTGGATTGATTTGTAGTCTTCCTGGCCTTGCTCGATTTCCTTCTGGAGATTGGAGAACTTCTTCTTGAGAATGCCAGTTTCTCCCTAAAAATGGTAAGTGAGCACCATAACTTAATTTCTCGAGAGATATAGTCATTCAAGAAAATTGATGACATTTCGGATGAAATGTTTACAAAATACAAACCAGTATTTATAAATATGCTGCATAAACTACGCCACACTAGATGCACCTCGCATCAATAATTCCATCGAATTCTGAAGATTTTACCTTGAGCTTCAAATTAGAGTCGAATTCCTCCTTGAGCCTCGTCTCGTACTTATCTTTGAGGGAAAGAACTTCTTGATCCACATCATTCTCAATTTGTCTAAAACGAGAATAAGCCGACATCTGGGGAAATTTTTACCTGATTTCTTCCTTATGCTCTCGCTGAGCTTGTCGATGCTCGCCCTCCTTCTTTTCAAGATCCCGAGATCGTTCAGCTAGTCGAGCCTGAATATTTTGTAGGTGTATTTTGACAGGGAAAGAAATTTACCTCATAATCTTCCTCAAGCTCATGAATCGCCTGATCGTGTTGCATCTGCAACTCGCGCTCTTTACGAAGGAACATTTCTTCCATTTTGTGTTTTTGGTTTAGTAGTTCTTGATATTTCTCATATTCTTGCATCAGTTTTGAGTTTGCGCTTGCTTCTTGGTCAGATTTCTCCTGCGTATGTTTTTCCTCGGACAGGCGAGTTTGCTCATCGAACCGGGCGATTTCCTTTTCTTTCTCGACCCTGAGGATTTGGTTCTTCGATTTGAGCGACTCCATCTCCTGGATGAACTTTTCGGTGAGCTCCTTGATTTTCTCCGTGTAGTTCAAATCCTTCAGACGGAGCTGGTACTCGTTCTCCATCTTGAGCTCTTCCACTCGAGTTCGCAGCTCGTCGGTGAGCGCTGTTTTCTCCTCGAGATCAGCTCGGGTCACGAGTACTTCTTCGTAAAAGATGGGCGCGTCGTTGGAAGCCTTGACGCGGCCTTCCCGATCGGCAACGGACCAGACCATGACGAGGCCGTCGTCGCCGCCAGTGAAGAGGAGATTCTCTTCCCAATTCATCTGCACCCGTGTGATCGGAGCATCGTGACCAGGAGTCACCACGATCGAAGGGGGAGAGAACAGAGGCAATCGGACGCCGACAACACTGCCGCAGGTGCCTTCTTGGTTTCCACCTTAAAATCAGCAATTGAAATCAAGGAAGAGAGCGGTCAATCTTACCAAGAGCGCAAAGCAAAAGCTTGCCACTTCGCGAAAGCGCGCAACCATTGATAGAAGCAGGCAAATCCACAGTTCGAAGAATTTGGCCTTCCTGGATTTCGCGCAGGGTTCCATCAGAAGCTGAAGCATATGACTTTCCGGTTGGTGAGAACACTGCGGCGGTGTATTGGGTGCCCTTCAAGACTTGCTCGTGGACTCGGGCGCCGGTGGCGACTTCCCATTCGTAGACGGCTCCGTCGGTACCACATGAAATGATTCTGAAAGGGATTTTTTATTCACGAAATAAATACCAGTTACTCAGATTTAGTTGTCGCTGACCTGAAGTTTCTACATAAAAAATAGACATTGAAGTCAAAACTCGTTCAATGAGAAAAATACAAATCTTCTTTAAAATAATTTAAACTTATGGTTTCAACTTACTTTTGATCATCAGCGGACCAAACAACGCTTCTAACTCGTCCATTGTGTCCCTTCATCGCACTGACCTGCTCGAAAGTAACCGAGCTGAAGATTTTGATAATGTTTCCATGCACAGCGGCGAAATAATGACCCCCATTGGAAAAGCTCGCTTCTTTGCACCCCCAGATCTGGAATTCCTTGACAACTCGGAAATCGTCGATAAGAATATTGAGCAATCGAAGCTTGTCGCCGAAGCCAGCAAGGATTTGATGGCCGTTGGGGTGAATGGTGACAGTGTAGACTTCTTCAGAAAAGTCCTTCCAGTATTCAAGCTGGTTGGTTAGGTAATTCCAAATGCGCACAGTCTTGTCAAGCGACGAGGTGGCGACCAGGGGCTTTCTGACAGCAACGGACAATCCGGTAATTGGCCCGGAGTGGAACCCACCTAAATCGCAAGTTAGCAGAAAGCACAGAAAACGAACATGCACGTCGGATTGCATCAGACTTCTTTTTTCTTACCTGAAATGTATTCCAGTACATTGCTTTCTTCACCGATCGTGCTGACATTTGACAAGGAGCCAGTGAAAAGCTGCTTTGTGTCAGTGCCGACAACGTAGGTGTCATCAGTTGGGCAGACTGTAATTTGCACGATGCACTCGCCATTCTTGGACGCGTCGGAAACCAACGGGGTCTGGAGCTTCTTAGCGACCTTCCAGTGGTTATCCAAGCATTCGTAGATGAGCAGGTGTCCCCCACAACTAGCGATCAATCCTCGGTTGTAGCCGCAGACAGCGCCGACCGCGTGCTCGCCTAGAGTAAGAGTCTGCTTGAGCTCGCCTCCGTCCAAAATGTGCACCTGGCCGGACTCGTTTCCAATAACCACTCGGTCTTCACTCAGCCAAGTGTGGGCGGTAAAGGCCTTCAAGAAGCTCGAAAACGTGTTAATTCGCCGTAAACGAGGTCATTGCTGATTCACATCTAATTTTCACGAAAGACATGTTTTTCGAACTGTTCCTGAGGTTGGACCTTGTGGAAGCCCTGCTGCTTGAGTTGCCCTTCGTGAAACTTCACTTGCTTGAGCATGTTCTTGCCTGAAACCGCCATCAAGGTGTTGTCGTTAGGCGAGAAGGTGACCTGGGTGACACTTGCCGCATTTTGTGCAACCGGATTACAGGTCTTTCAAAGGGGTCCGAAAATGATTCATATAAATTTTAAAATGAAGCAATTTTGAAATTCTGTTTTTCCTCTTTTAGAAACTGTTTATATATTTCTGACCCCGTATTCTTGGTTGATGTAAGCAGCTTATTCTTCTCCCAGGTCCAAAGAGAAAGAATCCAATCCGGTGCTGTTGCTTGAGCGGCCAAGTACTTGGAATCGGGAGAAAATGCGACGGAAACGAACTCGCTATTTGATGATTCGGGGCTTTCGAGAGTCAAATAAGGTTATTCTGTCTCTACAAGAGTAGACCGTGCAGTGGCGAACGCGTGATCGGATCAAGTTCTTAGTGAGTTTGCAAGAACTCAACCATTCTTAACCGTGAATCTGATCCTCTTTCCACACGTGCGAAAAAGCTGTCTCAAGGTGACAAAGTTATTAGACTAATAATCCGTGTTACGGTTAATCTTTATTAACTTCGTTTCTGACTCTTCCCTGGTAAGCACTTTTCGCTTTTTAGGAGTATCGGTCATCAAATCATAGATAATTATCTGCGCCTTATCGTCGTGAGTCTTTTCGGACACGGCCAGGTACCTGAAGGAAGGAATTAGTTCTGCCCACAGTTTTCCTCTTTCGTTCGGGGTCTTTTAAGGGGGTTGTAGTCGCTTTTTGCGATTTCGGGTATTTTTGAACAGCCCTCAGCGAAATCTCGGCTAAGGTTGAAGGCTAAAAATTATTTCAGTAGAGGTTGAACCCTGTTCTAAAGTTGCCATCCCAGAAAAAATTTTTTCTCGCCCGCTTAAGGAGCTAGGGTGCTGTATTCACACTCCGACCTCGCAAAATAGTCATTTTGGCCTATTTTCAAACACGTTTTAATTTGTAAAAAACTTGAAAAAAATTTTAACCAAATATATTTTTGAGAAGCTCATTCCTTCGTCCTCAGTTGCCACCCAATGAAATTCAGCAACTCAAAAAAGTCATTATGTAAAACCGTCGGTCAAAAGTCGGGTCTCAAAAATCAAAAAATCTCGAGGGAGGATAAATCAAAATGGACAGAACTTCATTTTTTTCCTGTTTTTAACTGCATGAAAATACTATTTACAAATGATTTATATTATCTCTTGACTTGAAAAAAGACTACATGCACACGAATTTTGGCTCAGCGCGGCGCATCATTGCCACGTGTTGAGATTTAAAATCGATTTTTCGGCACTTTTGATTGGCGGAGAGAAAAAAAAGTAGGGACCTTTTTTGTTTGTCTTTCGTTGGGCTATCAGAATCTGAAAAGAAAATTCGAAAATTCCGACTTTCGCCGAACCGACTACAACCCCCTTAAAGGATACTGGTTTCTTTTTAGTGATCGCATGAATTTTGAAGTAGGGTACTGCTGATTATGATTTTACAAGAAAAGGTCAAACTTTGATTTTATTCAATTTGTCAAATCAAGAAAGCTGCCATCGATTAACCCGATAATTTCTCTGACAGTTAAAAACCTGAGTCATTTTCTTAGAAAACAACCTATTAATTTCAATCAGGAATAAGTTATTCCGAATAACCTTCTACCCGAGCTCCATAAGGGCGTAAACGAGCAATAACTGAACAGCGCGAATCTTATTAGAACTTGGAGGACTTTTTCGAAATTGAAAATTACTCTTTGGAATTTGTCGTCGCGCCCGCCTCTCGGAACTATTCAAACTCCAGACTTTTCATAATACACAAGGAATATGAAAATCTGGCGGCGTGAACAAAAAGGGGCTGATTGAAAGAATATGGTACACGGTACCTTAGAAGGCACTTTTAAGGGGGTGGTGGTCGAGAATTCGACCCGGATTTTCATAAACTTCCAATAATTCCTTTAGTCGAGCAATTCTTTTTTTTCGAATGGATAGATAATGGTTAAATAAGTCAGTATTAACGAAATATAAGGCTTCCCCCAAGTTAAAACCGATTATTTCGGCCGAAACATTCACAGGGCGAAGCAAAAATCCGCAGATTTCACTTTTTGGGGGTACTTTGAGCAATTTTTTTGCAAATTTTTTCAAGAAATTTTTTTATAACTCCACGCGCCCACATCCGCTTAACCTTTATCTTTTGAAAAACTAAAAGAAAATTCTAGTATCTGAGGCGGTTTTTGCTCAATCTTGGTTTAAATGAACCCAATTCTCGACCACCACCCCCTTAAAAAGAAAAAGGGGATGAGTCAAATTATTGCAAATTTACCTGTTGTTTGGCGAGAGGGCGACGGAAGTGATCTTCTGGCAGATTTCAGATCCAGGAACAAATTTCATCGTCTTCTGCTCCAAGTTGAGCCTGGCAATTTGGTTTCCAGCTGCAAAAAGGATCGTCTGCTCATCGGAAAAGCGCAATCCGCCGGGCACCTAGCGACCGGTGAATATTCAACCAACACGTGACCACATTCAACAAAAGCTGACAGTTTTAGCGACTAAAGGTCAACTAAACCTGCCACTTCCGCAAAAGTCACGTTTATGGAAATTCAAAGACGGATAATCAGTAGACATAAAGTTGTACGACTTTAGCCGCTCCTTAACGAGAAAAAGCCGCTTGCGGCTTTCAAACACAGAGCATGAGACGATATTCTCTCTAAAAGCCGTAGAATTTATCGACTTATGAAAGCAGCAAAGGGCTTTTTATTAGACAATATCTCGCCTTTTTTGGCAATTTATTTTTATTTGGAAAGGAAAATTCCTAATTGACCGAAACATGTTCTACGAAAAGTATTCCTGACGCTCACTAGCGGTGTATATTCTCTTACTGGATATCCGACTTGAATATCCGCACATTCCTTTTTATGTGTTTGCCACCCTCCGTGTCTATTTTCCATGTAAGGATGAAAAAGCTAACAATTCACCGTTCCTGAGGCCGGTAGCCGAAGCCGAATTGGGGAGAGGCGACCGCAAGGGACATTCCGCCAGCCTAAATTGGACAGTTACGATAAATAAAGAAGCGATCCTATGCATTTTCGTTGAGCGCTAGAATAGAACATAGCGGTAGAATTCGACGATTTTTGTCAGCAATGTGAGCCTAGTCATTCAACCAATGCTCGGAATATTTCAAAACGCATTTTTCGTTTGCGAATTTTCGCATTTCTTGCTGTCTTTTCCGCGTCTTTTTATTTCATTCTGATTTAGTGTTCAACAAAAATTCTAGTAACAAAAGAATGGTCTTCTAAAAGTCACAAAATAGCTCCTTCTTACCTGCTGATTATCTTATCACTGACAATTTTTCGCGCTTGAAGAATAACAAGAGCTCGACGTTCTAGAAAATCTCTTCACTAAAATCCAAAAATTATCAAAGTTCCATCCTTATGGTTTTTCTTTCAGGACGATTTTTTTTGGAATTGTGAGTCACGCAGATCAGCGCTCTTAGCAACCGGGCGTTGCTAAGGGAGTATGGATGGATAGTAATCTGAAATAATGCATTTAGGACTTTCTATTATTTCTATTTTCTTTAAAAATTTTCTGAGAAAAAACACTGGGTGGGTCCTAAAAGCATCGGCGTACCGCATTTAGAAAGTATCTTTATCAACTTCACCTTTTGCGTCACCCGATCAACTTCAGACACGCCTCGGATTTATGCAAGCCCGGTACCAATTGACCCAAATCGTAAACTAAGAAAAAAGAATAAGATAATGTATTTCTTTCTCGACGGGATGCGATAAGCCCTATCGATTGCACCCTTATCAGTATTGAAAATACTCTTTCGTTTTTTTTCTTTAAGGGTACTACCGTCGATTTTCCCAATGACCGGTTATGCTAAATTTTTCATCGGAAATGAATTCCTCATAAAATTTTGACCAAAAAAGGTCCGAACGTTTCATTCATAACGTCAAGCGTTTTCATAATAATTAGAGTTTTAATTGATTTCTGTACTAGAAAGCATTTTTTTCCGAAAAAATTTTTGGTGTCCGATTCTTTCAAATAAGGGCTCGTTTTGAAGCTCAGAACAAGATGAGGATTATGGTGAGTTCATTAATTCTTGAACTAAGATATTTTAGCTTCTAGAGACAAAAATGCGTCGCCAAATTTTGAAAAATGCTCAATTTTGGCAAAATCATAGAGACACAATTTTCAAAAAATTAATTTTGGTATTTTTCCTTTTTCAATCAAGAAAACCTTCTGTCATTTTTAAGATGAAAGTTCAATTTACACATAAAAAATAAAATCAGGCTGAGTTTTCTAGCTACTTTTCGAGCTATTTCGCCGTTTATTCAGTCTATTTTTGCAACAATGATATTTTTAAGCTACTTTTAAGTAGAAATTAGCCGACTTTTCATTGAGCAATTCAAAAACGCCTCTGACAGATTAAAGATCTAAGATAGTTTAACTTTTAGAGGCCATATGATACCCGCTATCCATGCCATGTTAAGGGTTATTCAAGGTTAAAGCTTGGGAAATCGAAGGTAGTACCCTTAAGCTTTCTTTCGGTAAAATTTACAAAATACACTCTGATTTCGAAAATCAATGATAAAAATTGCTAAATCCATGGGAAAGGGAAAAGCTCAGTAATTAGTTATCGTTTCGGCTGGATCCAAATAAAGATACAGGGAAAGTACTTCAAGTCGCTAGTTTTCGCTAATTTTCCGTAATTCCTCCCATCAGCGTGACGCCTATCAACCTCCTTTGCGGCGCTCTCGCCTCCGGGCGTATAAAACTTGGCTGAAAAATGAAATTCCAAAGTAAAAATCATGTCTTCTGAGCTGAAAACAATCATTTTAGTCGTCGCCTTCGCCAAATGCCTCGTTTTTCTTCTGCTTTTTCTTGGACTGGGTATTTTTGCTCGAAACTGTCTCCGTACGAACTCTTCCATTCTTATCTTCACATCACTGACCTTTCTTGAGCTGATTATGCTCTTTCTGTCTACATCGCTGATGATCTTCTGGCTCAAGGTCCCTGCACAGCGGCTCCTCCGTCTCGTAAGCCTCATTTCCACGGTTAATCTTTTTCTCTTCGGCTTATTGATGTTTGCTGGACTCTTCTACATTCTCATCCTTTTGTGCAAGATTCTCCTGGACGATCGTGAGGAAGACGAAGGTTTCAACGAAGAAAGGACGGACGAGAAGAACTTCAAACTTGCGATTCGATTAATTCCGGTCGTAATTTTCTTATCAGCCCTGTTATCGGTACTCGATATGGTTGTCCTAATGCAAATTTCGACAGATATCAGTCCTCACGTTTTCATCTCGTTTTCCTGATTTAATACTCGCTCATTATGAAATAAATTTCTTTATCTGGGATCATTATCGTTTTTAAGGGGGTAGAAACAGCTTTCTCGATTTTGGACTGTAGCTATATAAAAGAAAGAATAAGATTTATTTATGTTAACGGAAATTCCTCATAAATGCTCCTAGAAAAGTGATTGAGGTTTACAAAACTGTTAATGAAATTTAATTAACTATCAGGTGACTCGAGATATTCGTGTTTGAAAAGTGGCAAAAATCGAGAATTTCGGAGAGATAAGTTGTTTCTGAGCCCGCTTACTCGAAAAATTGTTGACTAAAACAAATTTCGTTGGAGATGTTCCTAGATCTAAGATGTATCTATCTAAACCTGAGGAGAAAGTTGGAAAATGTAAGATTCTCTTGTCTGTAGCGCCGGTCAAAAATCGCCTTTTTCGGAAAAAAGCTGTTTCTACCCCCTTAAGGGGCAAGTAGAGGTCCCTCATAAAAATTACTCTTAGATGCGTTTTTATCAGGGTTTTAAGGGGTCCTCCCCCGGAATTTCAAATCTTAATAACGGGTCCCTTTGTCGCATATTCAGATTCCTCGTTATCTGAGGATCATTTTTATGTATTATAGTACCCCCTAACAAACATCTTAACCCGAAATTTTGGCCTTCGAAAATTGCAAAAATGCATGTAAATTGTACTTAGTGTGAAAATCGTATTTGTTTCGACTTTTCAATGTCATCGAAAATAGACAAATAAGGGGTCTATAGAAAGCTTAGAATGTACTGATTAAGAATATAATGACCGCACAAAATTTTTCGGCCGTTATTTGCCGCTAGAGAGCAATTTAATGCCGAAAATTGGCATAAATGGACTTGAAAAGTTTTTCATGGGAAAAAAATTTTATAACTTGATTAATCATGCTAAAGCTACTTGCAACTGTAGATTAGCGTCCATTCTTCTTGATCCTGTAGTTTTAAGAGCAAAGCAAAAGCCCAATAAAAAGTTATTTCGCGTTGAAAATACCCCTAAAAGGCGTTTTTCAAAAATTCGAATTTTTCAAGAGCCCCTGAGTGCATGTTTGACATTTCAAAATGAGCTAAAGCTACTTGCGAATTGCAATGAAGGTATAAACTTCTATATGCAATTTGAATTATATTAATCCATAAGGCCAAACGAAAGTTATTTCAAGTGAAAGTTGCCGATTCCGGGGGAGGATCCCTTAAATCTTTTCTCGTAAGATAGCTCTAAGACGGTCTCCTTGAACTTTTCCTAAGAAGTCGGAAGAGGGTTACGCAAGATATGAAAAATAACACCTCGGGACAAAGAAGGTACTAGGCAGTAAGTAGGCTCTTGCTCGGCTAAATAATACTAACTCGTAATTTCCGAGTTGATCTTTGCCGAGCACAAGGGCGACTCGTGTGTGATCGGGCAGCTGTGGTGACACTATCGACAGGGCCGAACGTATCACTTATGTGTCACTGGGGAGAAGGTGTCACTTTAATCCGATCTGGCGGTGTCCGCCAAAACCAGAAAAACAGACAACCACACAGCTAGAACTGTCAATTGCCAATGTGCCTGAGCAAGCCGATCAAACCCGTCAAGTTCCACTAAATTTAACTAGCTTCCCTTCAATTTCAAAAGAGTGTTTTCTTCGATAGGACCTCAAGAAAAATAAGATCCTTCAAAATCCGAACTTTTGTCCCTCCGCATCTCATGGATATTATTCGTATAAACTTTACTACGCAGCTGCCAAGAAAGGCCAAGAAAGATAATAAAATAAACATTTAAAATCGACTCCTATTCTCTGTGTTTCTATGAAAATATCACTTGTTCAATTTATTTAAAAAGGTCATAAGGGTGTTCCGTCTTTATGCTCATTCTGATGACACGTGACAGCATACCGGTTGAACAAAACACCACCGCGCGAAGAAAAAAACAGCTCAACTTATAATTATCTAGAGCCCGTTACAAAAGTGCAAACTCAAGTGCCGTAATTTGCTGCCGTTAAGTTCGCTCAAGTTGCAGAGCTTTGGCAGATTTGAATTTTCAGAAGTTCAACTTCTTCCGTGAAATTCGGTCCATCTTGCATCTTGAGCCTTAAATAGGTAGCCTAGAGGAAATTAGTGATTTGGAAGCAAGGTTTTGTCAATCCTGCGTGTCTTTGAAACATTTTTTTCTTTGCTTTTTCTGAGTGATGCTGTGTTCAAAATACAAATCTGGACTGCGCGATACGAGCTGCGCACCTCTTTTCTACATCCACCCACTTCCGGACCAGGGAATCCGACCGTTTTTCGCAGAAATCTTTATCACTCTTGCGAAATACTCTGATTTTAACTCTCATAGAGATTCATCCTTTTTACCCTGCGAAAAATCTGAACAATGATTTAACCTGACTTAACATTGGGCGTTGCTCGCTTTCCGCCTTTTTTGTTACAGGTGCGTAATTAGCTTTGAGGTACGTATTTCTGCTGCCTGAGCGAATCTGGAAGGGCTCTAATGAACAGACTTAGCCACCGACCAGGCGTGTATAGCGCATTAGTAATCGGCTCGGGGAAAATACAGGTTTAGAACTACTCAGCTTTCTAAGAGACTGCAAACAATCACGGTCATCTTTGGGCTTCTTCCAAGTCAAGGGCAAACGGCTGTCAAGAGCAAACGGCCTTGTTGGTTGTCTACCTGAAACCATTTTTGAATTATGCAAAAAGACACGTTTTGGCACTCTATAATGCCGACCAAAAATTCAACAAACGATCGACCCAGATTTTCAGGAAAGAGGTTAATGTACTTACTGCTACTTAAAATAATCCTCAACTTATCCGCAAATCTTCATGTTTTAAACACAAACCGCCGCAGCCTCCATTTTTTCGAAATTGAAATCTTCCATAAAGAATACAGTTGTAAAATCTTCTGTTGAGCCCCTCTAAAACTTACCTTAGGTAGATTTACAACAGACTCTCCTCGTAGTCTGGATCCGAAGCGGATAATGAACAAGATAAGAAGAAACTCACTTCGCCGCCGCCCAGGATTTGAAGAAGGTATTGAATTCGCCATTTGCGTGGCTTAGTTTTAAACGCACATAATATCACCCTCCAACAGATACTGTTACTTCTCCAATTAAGAAGGAACACATTCTGGAGAGGGTATCAAAGCGGTCACGTGGGGTGTGAGCGAGATTTCAGAATTGATGTCGAGTGGCCCGCACGTCAAGGAGCCAATTTGGGAAGGTTGGTTTTTTCATCTCCGCCGGAATGTGCTTGTGGCTGCTAGGTCACGTGAAGATCCTTCTCTTGGAATGTCGATGAATTTTCTCCGAAGCTCCCCAAAACACTTTATTTGTTTGTAGAAATAGATGAAGATATCTTAATTATGTGTCTCAAATGTGTCTCAAATGTACAATAATGAATAAATATATAAAAGATTATGTACAAAAAAGACTTATGGTTAGTACCATGTGAGTATTTAGAAAGACGAACCAGTCGACCTTCGGAACAAGAAACTGTCCGCCCTAGAAAAGAGTGATCTCCTCTTAAATCATCGGAAGCGCGGAAACTGCACTATGTCCTGCACGGTCATAAAGGGTGGAGGGATTATGCGAATCCACGCAGCGCAGTGGGGGATTCTTCTTGCAATTCCATAATTCAGAGCTTTGATCATCGCGGATGTCCACCTCACCAGTTCCACCACTCTTTACTGTATTCCAACTTTCCCTGCATTAAATTTTCAAGCGTCTCAGGGAACATACTTTGTTCATGAATGCAACAAAACAAATTGCTTGTGGATGGAGACGGTGAATCATTCATAAATTGTCCTGAAAAGACTGCCAGACGGGCGGATTTCCCAATCAACCGTTGTTCGTAGTTCCCCTCTACTGTCCCGCTCAAAATCCTCATCTGGAATTTAACAGTGTTGTCTAAATTCGACGACGTGAATTTCCAACGATGAGTACATTTTCTGCAAAGTTGACACTTTTAATTTTACGAGGGAGCGTCTAAGGGGATGAAGAAAATTTTCTATTTTTGAATTCGGCAACGAGACGCAACGCACTCCTGATCTTGGAGCTTTTCCGAGGGCCACCTGTTGTTGGCTAAACGTAACGGTGCGCGAGAACGAGTTAATATACAGAAAAAAACGCGGGTTTGAGTCACTCGGAAAGCTGTTCAAATAAATTCTAGGGTGCTTGTCGCTAGAATTCATTGAACTTTCAATTTAATGCAAAAGAACTACAGTAGTTGATTATTGAAGCAAAAGTAACATCTACTGTATGAATTATCGAGCATCTGTGTTCATAAAGAACCTGGACGGAGGTACTTTTGCTTGGGTTCAAAGTATGCATGATGCTTTCAAATAAAAAATTCTACGAGAAAGCGGAAAGTCACGTGAATTCCTTAATCAGGCGTTGAAATCATCGAGGGATGTTCTCATTGACGGGATCGACGATCGTTCTATCTTACTGCATACACCAATGGAAGCTGAGTAATAATTTAGTGGGTTCATATGCTCTTAGTCTGAATATACCGTGGCTGGAAAGTTCTTCTTTTCTTCTAAAGAATTAATCTATCAGAACATCTTGTAGTCTAAGCCTTAGACTCTAAGGGTCAAAAACATCCTTTTTTTGGCTTGTGTCGATACTGTATTGTGCTTGGGATAGTCTTCTAAATGGGCGAAAGTTTGTCAGGATTGTCATGTTTAACTTGACGGAAAACTTGGCCGGAGCGATTTTGAACTTTGATACATGCATATCTATTTCTTTGCAAAATGCCTTTTCTTCTGAGAGTTTTATTGTCGATTTTATGAAGAAATTATTCCGATTAGAAGCCGTTGTTAATCAAATATGGGGAGAAATGACGCTATTTTTGAACTGGCAGGGGGAAAATAAGCAATTATCCGGCCACTAGAGTCTAAGAGGATGGTTTTGCCAGTTTTGCTCATAAATCTGTGGCGCATAAAATATGCATCGGCTGAGAAGTATAAAGCTGACTTATCTTTTCCTTGCTCGAACTAGTAGCTATAAAACTCGACCCAGTGAAATCAAAAACGACAAAAACACAAAGTTACAAAGCAAAGTAAAATTGAATGTTGGAAATGCTCAAGTTCTGTTTATTTTTTCTGCTCACACCTGGCTATGGCTACGCACCGACGTTTGACCGAAACGTTTTTGACTTTCTGAGGCCACAAAATTCTCTTCGAGAGCCGATGAAAACTTTCAATTTTCGATTGGGAGCTGCAGAAGATCAGAGAAAACCGTACTTTTCTGTTTACAAGAGAAATTTTTAAATAAAATTCAATCTTTAATTTAAAAATGCAGTCATCTTTGGATTTTATCTGCCTGTAATTAGTCCATCTCGAGCTGCATCCGATATCCTAGAATTGGAAAGGCGAGAATCGTGAAAACACGCGAGGTAGTCTCTCTTTAGAATCTCCCTGTTTTTATCGTAAAAGCGTTGATTTGACAACTGGCCATGCTTCCTGCTTTCTTGCGCGACTTTGATACCATCTTCTTCTTGTGAAGAGCCCCTTCTCTTATCACGTGCAAAAAGAAAGACCTAACGAAACCTTTTTTGATCCTATTAATTGCCCTCTTCAGAATTTCATAATATCTTCTCTGGAGAATTCATCCTTGTTTGACCCGTCTGGGATAGCAGAATATTATTCAAGAAGGAAAGGAAAAGAAACCAAGAGCCGCAGATGAGGTTGATCAAGGTTTTTTTTTATTTATAAGAGTACACGGTGACTTTGAACTTCTACTGCAATTCTGTAGATAATGAGTCAGAGGTTCTGCTCAAAGAAAAAACTGCTTCTTATCAGTTCAATTGAGGATGTTAATTATAACCACGTATTCAATTCGCCCCGCTTTCACAACGAAAAACGATGCGAAAATAAGCCGGTATTAAATCATCACTCTTGCTTTGATATAAATACGATGCATTCTAAAAGCGCCATGCAGGCTTTCTTTTTGCACATTTGCTGGAGCGTTCTTTTTCTGAAAGAGTTGGCGACCACTTCGGATGCCACCAGGGATGTACATTTTCTAAAATTTTCGACTGCGATGCGGTGCGAACTGCGATTTTTTTTCGAGGATTTTCTGCGGTGCGAACTGCGAGATCCAAAATTTTCTCTTCGCAGTGCGCCGCAGACTGCGATTTTCTGCGAACAGCGGAAAAATACAAAACTGCGGAAAATTCTGCGATTTTCTGCGAAACTGCGGAACATAAGCAGAAACTGCGGAGAATTCTGCGATTTTTTCATGGAAAAGTGCGAAATTTTTGCGATATGCGACTCTAGTGGGTGGTCATACTTATGACGTCTTTCGGACCGTCTCAGCCCCGTTCCATGATTTTTAAACTAACGGGCTTGACGGCCCTTCGGGCCGTCTCAGCCCCTTCCATGATTTTTAAGTTTAAGGGGCTTGACAAAGGCTTTGAACTATGAGTTGATCAATCTCAGTTCTGTCCCCAACCCACTCTCACCCATCATTCAAAAAATTCAAATTATCACTGTTTCTAGCTCAATTATGGTTTTGATTTAAAGTTTTGTCAAGTAGGGCGAAAGACGACTTTGACAGACGGAGACCACTCGTTTGACGCCTTATTTTTCGTATTTTCCAGTTACTCACAAGAGAAAAACTTGAAAAAATTGCTGGAAAATTACCGCAGAATTCGCAGTCTGCGAACTGCGAGATTAATCAAAAACTGCGGAAAATGACTGTGGAAAAATCGCAGTTTTCGAAAATTCTGCGAAAACTGCGGACTGCGGTGCGATGCACATACATGTTCTCTGACTGCGCTGCGAAGTGCGAAATTCCGCAGTTCGCAGGTCGCACTGCGAAGATTTCTGCGATTTCCCCACTGCGAATGTACATCCCTGGATGCCACAAAATCGATGTAACGATGTGTTGCGTTAGAAATGCGTGAAAAGGAAATAGACTTGTTTTAATAAAGCGTCAAGCCCTAGGTGGGTTCTATCAAGTTACCCTTAGCGGCAATCGGCATTTTATGGCTGATCTCAAGCGTTCCAAAAAGTTTTGTCAAGCATGATTTCATGTCTTTTTGCGAAATTTGCCTAGAAACAGATTGAGAACTGAAGCTCATCTTTAGATCTTGATTCTGGGCTTCCCTTATTTCTGAAAATTACGATTCGAAGATGTAAAACTGGATGTAAGAACTAAATTCGGAAAGAATAATTCAAGAGGCTGACGACTTCCGGAGGACGCGTTAGGGTTCAAGCTGCGCTCTAGAAAGATCGGATCAGATCACGTGATGATTTTTACGTTCGGAGAAATCGCCTTTCTGGTCGATTAGATCATGGACGCGAGTATCGATCAAATTTACGAAAAGAATTGATTTGGACGAATCGTCATCGCTGTTGCTTCAACTGCGGCCGTGTGAAAACAACCATTTCCAAGTTGAGCATGCTGCTTTTAGACATTCAGAATAGCAAATGCAAATATGACTCAAACCCACTGAACATACAAAGTGTGAGAAATACAAACATTTGTCGACCATGACTTTCCTTTCCATCTGAAAACGTTTCCTTTTTGTGATCCCGCATCTCCAACATGGCCAAATCAATCGAAGAGACGCAAAAAGAGATCGATGAAAAATTCAAGAGGTTGCTCATTACGGATAGGAATCAACTTATGATCATTTCGAAGAAAAGTGAGCAGTTGACAAAACTGCACGAAGAAATTCAATCAAGCAGGAAAGAAATTTCGTTGTTAACGCAAATGATCGCAAATTATGAAAACGAAGAACAAATCAAGAAAGAGCGCAAAAAACTGATTGAAGAAAACAAAGTCCTTTTTGTACCATCGATTTCATCACTTGTTTTGGTGGAAAATGCTTCAGAAAATGAAAAGATCATCGAAATATACAAAGAAAAACTGGTCAAATTACGGGAGTCTTCTCAGAACATCGAAAATGTCATTATTCTAACACAGACAAGTCTTTTACGATTGCTTGAAATTCCCAAAAAAGTGGAAGCGGTGGCAAAAGAACAAATGGCTGAGAAGCAAAAATCAAGTTCAGAAGGATTAAAGACACACAGAGGATACATCAAATGGTTCAACCAAGAACGTGGTTTCGGATTTATTGTTCAAGATGGTGATTGTTCCGAAGTTTACAGTATGTTATATATGCTCATTGAACTCTTGCAAACTTGGTTTTAGTGAAGAAAACGAGCGTTGAACAAATTGGTAAGATGCTTATGCTCAAGAATGGTGAAAGAGTCGAATACAACGTGCGACCTGGTAAGTTGTATTGAAATGTAATTCGTTTTCAAAATTTCTTCTAGGGCACAAAGGTATGGAAGCGATCGCAATCTCTGCTCCAGAAAAAGAGACTCTGACAGAAGCACAAGCCAAAAAAAGAAGAAAAAGAAGGTTGAAAAGAATTGAAAAGGCGAAAAAAGAGACGGCTGATTTGAAGAAATTCGGGAGTTTTTACAATGCAAACAAGTCAAAATCGAAGTCAACGAATGAGTTGTGCACTTTTCCTGTTATCGCCAAGCAGTTCAAAGAGTGTCAATATTAAATTCAATGAATACCATGTTTTCAGCGGACTTTGTTAGAAGAATATTTATTTGCGTTGTACTTAACCCTTCGTTAGGCGATTGTCACGTTTCCTTTGGGACAAGAAGTATCCTCTCTGGAAGGTTATCTCGGCTGTCCGATAAGAAGGCGAATTGCTCCCCAAGCGCAAATATTTGGATCATGTCATGTTCCGTACATAAGTCGCGCCCGTCCGCTAGAACCACGAACACATTAGCATTAGATACAACGAGCTGCACTCGGTAACTCACACGTTGGCCGGATTTAGATTTTCCACTGGGGGAATGTTACAATCGCAATTTTTATTTTCTTACATCATTGAATTTCCATAAATCAAAAAACAAAGAAGACAACTTTCGGATTTTGGTTTTCACAAGTTTTTGATTTATTTCGGCAGTGCTCATTCTCAAACAAATCCTCGAAAATGATCCTCAAGAAATCAATCAATAGTTCTATGTACAGAAATATGCGTTGTTGTTTACTGAAGCTATGATCTTCTTTCAGTAGATTTTTCGTTTTTAGTGGCGAGTGGTTTTGTCAAAAGATTTCAATATTGGTGATATTGCTTTGTACAGGCGTTTGTAGTTGCGCAGTTGATGGATTTTTTTGTGTCGTCGATGGTTTGGCAAGTCTAACGTTATTTATTTTCAAAACTTACTGTAGGAAAATTTCGCGGAGAAGCCTGCCAATTAGGCCTTTCGGTTGAAATTTTCGAAATTCGCGAAGATTTATTTCCAACAATTCTTCATTTCGGATTCTTCCAAATTTTGAAGAAGGCTGAAATAAATGCACCGGCATTGTTTCGATCCACAGCTTCGTTTCTTTCGGTTATTACTTATTACGGTTATTTACAGTTTGTTTATTTCTTGCATTTTGTTTTTATTTTAATCGACTTTTTTAATTTTTTATGTTAAGGGTGTCACTCCCTTTTTTGAAGAAAACGGTCAAAATGATCTTTGGAAAGTAAAATTTAAACAAATTTTTTCTTGTTAAAAATTTCGTAATTGAAATTTTCCGATAATTTAAAAATTTGCAACGTTAAAATTTTCGAGTCTCAATAAAGATGTTAATTGTTATTCCTGGATTTTGTCGTTTTTCGCATTCGTCGGCGGCCTCGCTGGATTTCCGCCGTTCCTTGCCGCTCGATCACCTTTTGAAATCGTCCTTTGCGAGGGTTGAGGATCACGTGTTCACCAACTTGTGTCGAACTTGAGTTCGCACGCAAGAGAAAAATGTGTTAAAACGTAAAGTAAGTGCATGTGCGTAACTCTAAGCGCCGGGGACATGTTATATCCGCTCATATTTCAAAATTAGTGATTTAGCACTTTTTTCACAGCTCTTCGGTTTCCTCCTTCTAGGTCAGTAAATGTACTGACACGATCATTACACGACCCGATGAGCTGTTTTTCTCAACCCTTTCCTTTGACCTTGTCGAGTTTGTACTGGTGCAGCTTGATTCGTTTTGTAGAGCAATCAGCTAAAGAAGAAAGGTTCTGCTTCAGCTGTCACAAAGGTACTTACAGAGGTTATTCGCGACGAAATCTTCCAGCTCTACGAAGACCTTTTCAAGTTCCTGATCAGTGTTGTTCAACCTTATCAAGTACCAAGACGGGTCTCCCCAGCGGGTGTTCTAATCTATAAAACGCTCGCTATCACTAAAACCCTAACGTGTTAAAGGAGCCCGCGATCGAATTTAATCCGACCTAGACGCGGTCGCCTCTCAAACAAAAAAAGTTCTTAATTGGAAGAAAAATATTGTTCATTCGAAAAACGCCATTCACTGCGGGCTTGGGCGAACCGCCGAGTGTCACTTGGATCATTTTTACGGCCAAATCATTTTTACGCGAAACGTTAAACTCATTTGCAATTTAGACAAGCCCAAAGTCGGTAAAGTGGAATCAGTGTAGAGCAGCACCGTTAAACGTTTACCGCTTAATGATATTGAAATGAACTTTGTTCTGATTTTTGCTGTCGTTTTCCGCTAAAACTCCTAGCTTTCTTTGACTGGACCGAAATTCCTGAAGAAATTGAACTATCTGGCTGATAAGGAGTTTCAGCTATTAACGGTGGTAGACCTCAAAAGTGCCGCCTTAGGAATCCACATCCTGGGATAGTGGTTTTCTAAGTACAGAATTCAGCGATACTCTTGAGAAAATTTCCTGCCAATTTTCAATTATTTATTGCTGGCTAAAGCGATCTTCATATCATGAAAGTTTCGACTACATTCCTTCGATAAATTCTCATTATTTGTTATCATCTTAGCTTTTTTATTAAAATATTTAAAGTTATCTTTTTTTACATAATTATGATTTCTGTTCAATATAAAGAAAAAGATAATTATTTTCAAGCATCATCTCATTTTTGCCGTTTGAAACAGCCTTTTTTGCAGTAAAATGACCTGAGTAATAGGTGCATTAAATTTGGGTTGGATTTAAGCAACTCTAATTGTGGCAAAACAAAACGATTAATTTCATTTTCGCGGAAAAATCTTCCACCTCCCGATTGAATTTATCTGTAAATAGTCTATCAGGCAGTTTTTTGAAGATTCTGAAAACAGATTCTGCGAGGGTAATATTCAATTTGTCATCATTAAATAAGCAAATCTCATTACTGTAACACTCCTGATAAAGAGGCTTGCAACACTTTCCTTGATCTTCTTTTGCATGTCTTTTCTGGTCGCTCTGATGTCTTCAAGATCGACTGTATCTCTTCGTTTTCTAACTGATGTCTCGTAGTCCATTGAATTCAACGGATCGAATCCTTGAAGCCCTTGGAATCCGTTTGCAGCGGGTCCGAATCCCGGTCCGAATCCAGCGGATCCAAAAGAGGGTCCTGAAATTTAAGTAGTTCAAAAATAAAATTATTGAGGTCTTCCTCTTTCACGTCAAAATAAAAAAGAAATGCGAGGGAGCATTGTTTTGTGCTTGACTCAGCAGTGGTATTTCCCCTTCATTTAGCTAGAATCTGATATCGGCAGATCGAACAAGCACTGAGAATTCAGCAGAAAAGGCAATTGAGCGCTGGAAAATGCTCTAATTGCCGCTTTCGCGAATTCCATTTCTGTTGTCGCCAACTTAGGGCCCCCGAAAACAGCCTCAGAACAGAACATTCTTCAGATTCTTAATTCTCTCTAAAATTCTAGCGAACAGTCTTGTTGTTGAACGCATGGTCGCGCTAATGCATGTTCCGGAAACAAGCCCGCCTAGTCTCTGTCTGTAGCATGAGAGAGAGAGAGAGAAAGTGAGGATCACGTGATCAAACGTGGTTTTTTTTTCGCTGGGCGGAGCTGCCCAAGCCTCTCACTGCGCAAGGCCTAAGCCCTTGTTGTGTCTATAACGAAATAGCAAAAGATGTTTCCGATTGCGGATTTGCGAAAATTTAGAGGATGAAAAATCCAGTTAAGCAAAATACCAAAACTACCCAGGAATCCAGTCATTATCGTAAATAGACGCGCTCAAGAAAAATACGAAAATGCTGAATCACCACGAGTCCGTAAATCTTACCTCGTCCTCCAAGCCGATCGAAAAAGGGAGTGTCAATAAGTCCACCAGCACTGGGTTGTCCTGAAGGGATGAAATCGTCGGCTGGTTCTTCGAAATCGACTGAAATCACAAATTTACGATTTTTGTCTTGTTTAGAGAATAGGTGCCAAATTTATAAAAAGCGTTCAACTTTGCCTCTAATCTTTGATCTTCGGATGATCTCCGGTACTTGCGGCCATTTGAGTATTTTAAGCCCGCTTGAATAACCTTTTTTTATGCAAAGCTCAAGAAGAAACCAAATCGCGTGTTATTTTGTTTTAGCATGTTTCTTCTATTCACGATTTTTGAAAAAAAAAGACGCGAAAAGGTATAAAAGATGAATTTGACCAGGAAAGTCCAACTCTGGGCGTCATTAACCTGCGCAAAGTAAGGGTTTAACCCATCGCGACACGGCGCACGACAGGTGATTGGGCGTAATTACAGTACGATATACAGCGTCGTGGTTTAATCTTTGCACCTTTGTCAATTTTAAGAGAAATCGGAGACGCGAAAGACTAAGCAAACGTGTGTTAGGGAGTCGAAGCAAGATTTGGACGCGGTGTTTGTTGAGGGTTAAACTTACGGGCACTGATTTCTTGTGATTTGATGTCGGGAAGGAAGCTCGAGTGACCGGGTCGAAGTAAATCGAAATTTTCAAACCTAAAAATTATAAATTTATTAAAATAATTGAAGATAAAAAATAAGTTCATATTTCTTCAAATTCGTCGATTTTACATACTTTCCGCGACTTGCAATGAGATCTCCTCCATCGAGAGAATCAACTTCTTTTTTTCGTTCTTGAGCAATTGCTTTTGACCCGCCCGGGCCACATCTTTTGACAATATGTTCCTGTCGTTCTTGAAGCTCCAAGAGTCGTGCAGTCAGTCTTTCTTGTGTTTGGGCAGCTGAAAAAGCTTAGTTTAATCAAATGCTTCTATAAAACAAGGTTCGAGCTCTAAAGGAGATCTGAGATTAGAAAGTCGCCCGCAGGAGCACTTAAAAGTGAGAAGTTTGTTTTTCTTGATCCGCCAAAATCGTGAATTTGAGGTAACATGCTTCGTCTTCTTTCACGGATTTTCGCTACTTACTGGCTGATTTTGAGCGGCCGAGTTTTCGAACTGTAGGTCGAGCGGTCAGCCTTTCGTAGACGAAATTGGCGATGGCTCCGTGGGCTTTGTACAGTTGCCCGAGTGATTGTAGATTCTGTGGTTCGGTGTGAATTTTGTGTGGCGAAAATTGAGGGAAAATGGTTGATCTTCGAAAACCGTAAAATTTTTATTTTGATTCGTTATTCAGATTTTTTATTTTTTTAAATATATTTGATAACTTAAATTAAAGGATTATGGAAACCCAAATCGTGCATTCGACTCATTCTGCAAGTAAATACATAATCCTCAACATCATTTAATTAAACATATCTAAACCTCCTCAAAACTCATAATTTTTTAAAAGATTTGTGGCTTAATTTCATGTTTATCAAGTTGTTCAAAATCTCATAAACCGAAATATAACCGAAATATTTTAGAGAAGCAATATTTGGAGTCTAATTTAGTTTTCGAAAATAATTTATTCACAAAACTTATTCGCAAAACCCGCTACAATGGGCAGATGTCATGTTTTGACAATCCTTGATCAAGAGAACTTTCAGTCAAGAAAATTCAGAAAACGCGTGTCGAAGGATTCTAGCGCTAGTTTTAGCGTTTAGAAGACAACAAAGATTCTAGCGTGCATCTCTTTCTGCTTTATAAATATAGCCAGTCATGTTTCTTCCCAATTAAAAATGTTTCGTAAAGAAAAAAATTGCTACGGACTAATTGCTACTAATTGAATTTTCGTCCGGAGAAACCGAATCGCTCGAACTAGAGATCCGAGAAACGTTCAATTAGGACACTTGGCGGGCAAGTACTATCCATCTTCATCCTCGAAATGTCTATCTTTTCTCTTGACAGTCAAGATATCTTAACTGACACGCTCTCGTATCGAAATAGAGCTAAAATATCAGGTGTTCTAAAAGAAATTATAAAAATTCCAAAATTTAGAAAATTTGAAATTTAAAAATTTAAAGTTCGCTTTCGAAAGAAATTCTCGAACAAGGGCTAAGCCGAATGTTGAACAAGGGAGAATGCTCGGAGTTTTGATAAGTTCCACACCGTTCCTCGTCGTTCGCAGAAGGATACACTAAAACAAAAGGTTAAAAAGGCTGATATAATAAAGGAATAATTCGTTCAAGAGTCTTTAAAGAAAAGCGTGGAACAACAGTTGAGTTGATTTTTGACCTTCAAGAAAAAACAACCCTTTTGCTTGAAAAGGGCGATAAAAATTATCATTAAAAATAGGGAGATTTCACTTCATCTGATGCGAAGCTGATCAGGGGTTCAGAAAATATATGTAGGGCTCATGATTTAAAGACTTGTGGTGTTTATTCTTCAACCAAAGTGCAAGCACCAAGAAAGAGGTTTGGAAATCCTCAGTATGTGTTTCCACGTTCAAAGCGGCTAAAGAGGGATGAAATCGCAGTCGGATGATCATGTGATCAGGCGTCCCCTTGATTGAAAAATTGGAAGAAGATTGGAACGACATGTTCATTTCCATTTTCTAGTGGGATCAACTTCAATTCTTGATTGAATTTGAAGATTTATTTGGAGGGTAAAGGATAGTGGCTTGATTCTTCTAACAACTGCTGACAAAGGTTTTGAGCTGTTCGTAGAAGAACTTGAGAGTGCTCATTTTAATTTGATTGCGGTTTTATCCTAGAATGAGCACCGCAGTCAGCGTGGTGGTGGAAGAGGCTCTAGAAATTGTTATCAGCGGTACGGGGAGTGGGGTTCTTATCGCCTTTTGAGTTGGAAATGCGCAATACCCGCTCAATTAACCGTTAGTAGCTACTCGCACTCCCCATTCTGAAGGGGATTTAGATAACACCCGGGCCTCCTTTTAGCAAGAAGACCGGACACCTGCAGGCCTCGGCTGTTAACCCAGGGTAAGACTGAGGTTCTAAAAAGACCAAGCGAGTCTTAATTCTCAAGATCGAAAGGATCAAAGATTGAGCTCTTTCGCCGCCCGCTAATAATGCTTCTTAAGAGAGAAAGAGATGGTTTGAAATCTAAACCTAGTAATCTTTGATCTATTGAACAGTCCAAAATTGGGATTCTTTTGACTTTCGTTTTTGTTGAAATAATAAGTCTTATAAAACCTTAGTTTTATTTTTGTTTAAGAGATTTGGACGTTGATTTATTTCGGGTCAGATTATGTTCATTTAGCTTCTATTGCATTTGTCATTACTGGGGTTTTTCATAAAATAAATTCTAGCTGGAGATTCTATTTCGGGAGAATGTTGATGCTCAAATTTGAAGAGAAATGATCTTGCCTAGTGAGATTCAAGAATTGCTAATGCGTCTTGGAAATATCTTTGCATTGAAAATAAAGAAGAAAGATTTTTTATTTCAAGATTTCTCTGAATAGAGGAAGAAGTTTAAGAAATTTTTGCCCATAACGTGGAACATATCGGGCCGTGCGATAAGTTTTCCTAGGAGCGGGCTTAGCACTGATAAAAGCGGCCCGGCCACGTATTGGCCCCAACATCCCGTGACCCGCACAGCATGGAACGACTTAGCATATGAAATCTGTATTTGAGTCCTGGCAAATCCAATTTGCCAGTTTAAACTTATGCGCTATGTGGAAGCAAAATTCTATTTTCATTTGTCCATGATTACCAGGCTGGTTTCGAAATCACCAACAAAATTCCTCTAAAAGCGAGAAAACAAGAGATCTGTTAGAATGGCTTTAGGACAACCATTGGAGCTATCCCTTGATTCCAACTGAAATCCAAGTGGATCATCCTCCAGATCATTTGACCGAGAGCGGCGTGGAAAATCGCGATCGAGAAAATTTCTTTCTTTCTTTTGTTTGAGGATTGTTCTGTTCCTTTTCGCTTCTTAGAGAGATGAGAACTTGACCGCGTGGTAATTCATTAATTTGAGACGTGAAAATGAGATCAAGAATTTGGCAGAGCAAATTAGCGCCCGTGTAGAATTGAGTTAATTTTTCTGGCAGCGGGTGAGCTTTGAATCGCAAGCGTTATAATTCTGATGATGGGTTAAAGTCTTTTCTTGTTTTTTTTTTGGATATTTTTTGACCAAATTTACCGATAGGTTCAGAGTTTCGATGAATTAAAAAAGAAGTTTATTTGCACCGAAGATCTTTTGGTCAGAAAAGAATTTCTCTGAGTCATCAGAAGCCGATTATTCACGTATATTCCCAATTTGGCACATGGTGCGACAGCAGGTTAAGTCCGCTTGCGGCATTTTTAGCTTGTCGCAAGGCATTGTGGCGACCACAAAGCTGCTGCGCGAAACGCGAAATCCGACCGTCAATAGTACTAACACTGTTGTGCACTTCTAAAATTCTAAACAGTATCTTTGTTTATAATTCACTTAGTTCTGAAATCATTCCTATGCTCGCTTACTATGCTATCATCACTTATGAGGGAAAATCACCTGACTTTTTTCAGAAAAAAATATAAAATAAATAATTTTCTAAAGAGTTATGGCTCCTGCCCAATTTGTCGAGCATTTCACTTTAGAACGATTTGACGAACGATTTTGTAGATATATAAAGTTAGGGGAGGCACTTTGCTTTATGCGGCGGAGATTCCAGTTTCACGAAAAAATGGAATTCACTCGCCGCCGAGCTACGAAGTGGCGCGCCCGCTAAAAACACGCTCAACATAACTCGTTTTCTTCGCCCGGGCAGCTTGCCGCTCTCAAGAAGGTTCACTGATTATTTTGCCTTGTTTAGTTTGATGAAAACAAGTTCTTCAATTTTTAGACAGAAATTCTCAAAAAAGTAGAACTTTAATATTTTCTCGCAGAAAAAAATCGGGATCTTGGATTTTTTGATAAATGATTGCTTTTATGTCGAGTTTTTTGAATAACCACCCCAAAACGCTATATTTCTTGATATTCAGCAAAAGTGACGTGGCCTGGTCATTTAAAATTCGATCAAAAAGTAGTCAAATATGAAATCCATCCCGTCAAAATCTGTAAATTCGCAGTCATCAATCCTAAAATCACCCCAAGTAGACAACTCCTTATCTCCAATTTTTTGCTTTGCCAAGCAAAATATACTCCTTTGCGTCAATTAAACCAACATCGTTCGTCAGTTATTCGACAGGGTAATTTGAATTTTTAGGTCAATTTTTACGATGAAAATTTTCTCATTTTTTAAGAAGCAGGTGTAAAAATAAGCCACAAAATGGTCTCAAGCATCGAGCTCGAGCAGCTGGCAATTACGGTTCTGTTCACATCATTTTTTGTGGACGAAGGCGACCACTATCGAGCGAATATAATTTGTGATTTTTTTCGTAGAAGTGTGAATTGAATAATTGGTTCATACGAAGGGTGGCCTGAATCAACACCTAGCTTGTAATTTCCATAAGTTTTCTTAACGCGGTAGGAATCATGTGGCCGGGATCAAGCCATCTAATCCTAAGGTGCCGGATACTTGGAAAACCACAGTGTCAATTCGTAGATGTTAAACCAAGTTCAACTCAGTTTTTTAAGCTTCAAAATCGACTACTTTTTTGAGAGAAAAAAATCTCTCCCTTGACTCCGAAACCTGTGTAGAAAACCTGACTCAGGTTTTTACTCAGGTTTTAGAGCCCAGCCTCACTCACTTTAGAATTCAATACGAACCCTTGTCGTATTGAAAATGACATTTGATAAAGTCGTTATTCACAACTAGAATTAATCATCAGTTCTACATCTAGTTGTTGTTTAGCTCAATTAACAAGCACTTTATTGCCCGATAATCTGTGACGCCACTTCTCAAAAAGTCAACAACGCTTTTTCTTTCGCCTGCTTGCTGCTTCGTGTTTGCTTGGTGTTTTGATCTATACCCGCAGCTTTCTCAATTTGTGAAGATTTGGTGTTCACAAATTAGAGGATTTCAGCGTTTTTACGGCATTCGGTAATTAGATCTGGCAACACCACGTTTGAGCTCAGCTGTCCGCGGAGGTGGCGATTTTCGTGATCGCGGCCGAACTCCGAGAAAAATAGAAGCAGCTTATTCAAAATCGTGTTTATTTTTTCGAATGCTGAAAGTTTCTGCTCGGCGTTTTTAAACTTGCTGATGAGTGACTGCGCTCTCATGATCTTATAAACAGAGAAGTCATAAAAGAAGGTCATTAACTTCTCTTTTGGGAAGCGCTTTCAGCCCCCGGGAAAATGGTCACTCACACCCTGTATTTACGAGAACTTGAGGGGGAAATTTCCGCGTAAAATTTGAAACTCTTTTTCTAAGAAATAATCTTTTAAAGGATCTTATTGATGAAACAATGCAGTAAAAGCCTTACAAAATCAAGCAAAAAACTAATTGGCAGCTTGATACGATCCAGACCGGACACGGTGATCTCAGACACCCCCCGGTAGTTGCTTTTTACGCGCGTGGCTCAAGTGATGCTGAGAGTTGCAGTGCTCAAGATCTCGGTTTTACGCGGCGCGGAAGGCAACACCGTGGCGAAAATTGACTGAAATCGAAGCCAAGGGTACTCACACCTCGATTGGAGGCGGAGATTACACGTGCCTTTGCGCCACGATACAGTTACGGTTTCAATGCCGATGCCTGCTGCATTTCAGCGGAGGAAAGGAGCCCCGCTTCATAATTTTGCTTATCATCAGAAAAAACTGTTCCACAGAAAAGTTGTCTAATTGATCATGTAAGACGCTAGAAATTCTTTTACGTCAGATCTCGAGTTACATCTGGACAAGTCTATCAAACTCGCTGTAATGACATTTTCATTGCCCAAAATGTGACAGCTGTAGATTATCGTTTTGACACATCACAAGGAATGAGCCCACTTGTTGGAACTCTTTCTTCCCTCGAGTGAGAGCAGCGTCAAAGGGTCATGTTTTGGCCTAACAACTCCGCTCTCTTTGTTTGTGTTTCATCACACATTCTATTATCTTCTGCAATTATCGCTCCATAAGAACAGCAATCAGCGGAAGAAATGGGTTAAAACGACAGCCAGAGCCAACTTAGCGTCGTTTTTTCGCAAAGAGTTGACTTTGGGCGCAACAAGATCAAAGTGGATCCCATGCGGCCCGGCCACGGAGCCAATTCTCTTTGCATAATCAAAGGAAGGAAGAATGTTTGAAGCCAGAAAAATGCCTATTATGAAAAAATAAATAATGCGCCTCTTCTTCGATTTCAAAAAAAGGGAAGATTCAACTCGAAGTAATGGTTCTTTCGTCGCTAGAAAGTACCGAAGTGACCCTGAGTTGTTAATTAGAAAATGAGTGTTGGAAGTGGTTGGTTTATCAGATTGTGTTTTGGATGCGCAATCAACAAGCGGAAGGGAGAGATTCAGAAGATCGTGACAGCTCATGGCGTCCGGACTCCATTAAACTGGAGATACGCGCAAATGCCGGATTTAGACTCACGTGGAGACACTCAATACACTCGGAGGTGATATCAAAATCGACCGTATAAGCATCAGTTACTGTTACAAGGCGTGGATAGGCCACTCTCCTTTCCGGGTGAACATTCCGTGCACGTTTCTTCTGCGGCGCTTTCTTCGCGCTAAAAAGGCACCAGCTATGCGGCAAACATTTTGGCTCAGCCCGAGAAAGAATGCCAAACGCGTAATTATAAACACCCTTTATAAGAGATTCCTCGAAAAAAACGGGCAGAAATTTTAATTAACGATTTTCGTGTCCGCCTTTGTAAGTGTCCCTTTTTTCGTCTTTACGCTCTCTTCAAGCATAAAAAATACGATAGCGTTTGTTTTGGCAAAGTATTCTGGGCTCAGATCGAGCGCTTCGTCAAAATCTGATTTAACAATGTTATGCCAAAAGCGTGAAATCACCGATAACGTGTACTTTCTACTCAGCACCCGCCGTTATAGAACCTTCGCGGCTCTTTCTAATTCTTGAAAGCCGCAAATGAAAAAAATCTATAACGAGCAGACGGGGCGAATTTTCGAATTTGCGAATTTACGAATTTGTGAGAAAAAAAAACGCGCGTCATTGACTCATTGCACAACACGTTAATTTTGCCGTAGAATTTTAACTAGCTGTCTGTTTTTGAAAATAAGGCTTTAGAAAATTTAAAATTTAAGGGCGGCTGAAAAGAAAAGTAAAGAGAAGCGGATGTAGCCCTCGGATTTTAGGACTCTAGCTCCGGAGCTCGAATTTTCTTTACTTCAAAATAGCTTTAAAATTTCAACTCGAATTCCACGAAATGAAAGCTTGAAAAAGCTTATAGCCACTTGAAAAACTCGTCATAGCTAGGATCATTCAATACTTGCGATAAATTATTTTTTAATCCTAGATTTCCTCTTCGCTCGATACTTGATCATGAAAATGTTATGTTGAACCAGAAATTGGCTCAATTATCGCTTCCAATTTCGGATTTTCAAATTGAATTCTTGTCAAGTCGTTATCGCGTGATCAAAATTAAATAAATTTTTATTTTCATAAAAAATTATTTTTGTTATTTAAAATTTTCATTTTCAGTTTTTGCATTTCTTCAGAAAACTCATCACTTTTTTTCTATCTGTTACGCGATCCGAATAAGTCAACCCTATCTGCGGATCAAAGCCGAGTTCGGGCCTTCTTGAGAAGTTTGAAGTAAAAAAAAGTGAGACAATTTCGAAAGCCGTTTTTCGCAATTCTGAGTGCAAACTGCACTGCAGAATATCCTCCTTGTATCGGACAAGCTGTTGAGATGCTCCCAAGTACCCGACTCATTTGTATGTATGTTCAATTAGCAGCGAGTGATGTCACTAATTTCAAGGTGTTCTAAAGCGTTCCAGAGCTCTAGGGGCTGAGTCTGCGCTCGTAGATACCCTTCGTCAGGTGGAATGGAGATTAAAGTTCATAATTGAATAGGAGTTAACCTGTTTCCCCTTAATTCAATGGCGGAAATGGAAAACTCCACGCCATGTCCGCGATTGAATTCGAAATCGTCAAGACTGATTTAATTGAGAGGGAAACGCCTTAATTGAATTGCAAGTTCTGATTTTACTTGTGATGTTAACTGACAGGGAACTGGAGCGCGTGGAACAGACAACTAGCCCGGATACGTTTTCGAATTAACATGTTACAACTACCGCAATGATCCAAAATTGATGATGGAGCAACGATGTGACATCAATCGTAAATAATAGGATTACTACAGTGGAAAACAAAATACAGTATATCATTTATTCTTACGGAAAAAATAAATAAAAACAACTAAAACGCTGTTTTATGGGGAAAAACTCAGCTAAATCTATCGCGAAATTGTCCGTTTTTCAATGAAATTTCACCTGAAAATTTGTAAAAAAATGTCGATTTTGCCTGTATTTACCGCAGAATCAGCGATTGTGGCAGGTTAACTTTAAAAAAAGGCTTTTGAAGAGACAATTTTCAACCAAAAAACTCAATCAATCTGCTAGAATCGCCGATTTAGAAAGTGATTATCATAAGAATAAATAGAAAAAGAGGTCTTTATATCCTTGAAACTTTCAAGTTGAAAGTCAAAAAAAAAATTTATTTTACGAAAAAAAAATTCCAAAATTACCAGTCCCGAGGCTCGCAAAAAGTATAGCGATCTTCATTTTAGGTCTTTTTGTTGTCTTTCTTATCGACAACTATTTGCAACTTCTTGTGGCAGATCTCTTGCGGCTCTTCTGGAATAAAAAAAAAGGTACAAAAACACAAAGTGAGTATTCAAGGTATACTTTTCTACTTTTTTGTTTTAAGGGTACGTTTTTCTCGCTTCTTGATTTCTTCTTTTTTTCGACCACGCGGTGGAAAATTGCGCCGCGGCGAAAAATGTGGCGCGGAGTTTTCGCGAGCGCAGCTCGTGTGCGCCCCCGCTCCCGTCGAAGTAAGAAATACCGATATACACTAATGTTTCTAGCAAATAGCCAACGTTTATTGGGACTAAATAGCGGCGCGCAGATCTTTCTGATCGACTCAGATGGCTTAATTTTTATGAATTGTTCGGCCATTGTTTTCAGTACAAATTGAAATAACATCATCTGGAGTTTTGGAGTGAAAGAGAGTTTATTCCAGAATTGAATCAACTTATTCTTTGACTGAAATAGCCTCATCAAGTCTCTTTTTACAGTATAAGCAAAAAATGAATCGGTACTAATCAAAGAGAGTAATAATCATTTCAGACAAATTAACTAAAGCATGTTAAATGAGAGTCATTTTCAAGCCGTATTAAGGATTTTGGGCAGAGTATACTTGACCAAGGTTGTCGCCTAAAATCTGCCGCTAATTCTTCCACGACTATCGTCTAAGAAGGTCAAAAAAGCTTATTGCGTGGTTAGAAGAGAGTTGAGCGTTTTCTCGCCCCCGTGAACTTTTCGATTGACTCCAAATTAGATCTGCTCCACCAGGACCAAATACTTTGACGGCCCGTCAATGACGGCTACTTCCTTCTTTTCACGGCGAAGTTCTTGTTCAATTAAATCGCAGAGCCTGAAAAAAGCTAAATAAATGAATTAATAGGCGATGAAATTATTAACTGGCTTTTTTCTATCATGAAATAGGGTGATTTGGAACTTGTTACGGAGAATCTTTGAGATACTATCGCTTGATAAAGATGCAACGGGAATTATGAAAACAGAATATTTTAATTAAAAAATATGTTGCTCGCAAAAAGACTGTATTTCAAGGTCTTCAATAATTACCATCATTTTTATTGCGATACATTTTCAATAAATATTTGAAAAAGCGGAAAATAGCAGATGCTTTTAGGGTGCATGATCAAATTGATTTCTCGATTCAATCATTTTCGGGGTCGAAGAATTGAGTGTTTCTCGGTTCAAATAATAACTGTAAATGTATTCCACGATCTCAAGATCCTCGAGAACCTGGGTTCATCCACTTCTGCTCCCATATCTTCTTGCGGTCGCGCCACTTGTTCAAATTAGACCACATAAAACGTCAGTCTCTTCTAGACCTTTTCCTCCGATAATCGAGAATTGATAAACTACAGGTTTACGAAAGCTGGTAATCTACGAAAGAATGACACGTGATAGAAGTGCCAGAAAATGGGCTCGGACATGGCGAAAGAATTTCGAAACGAAAAGGATCAATTCGATTTTTGAAGGGATATTCTAAAATGATCAGCTTCGACGAAATCCGAGCGATAGAACTAGCCCACGTTTTCTAATCTGATTTGTTTCGCGCGTTTCTGAAAAATGGTGATGTCAAACTCGGCACAAGAATCGGCACTCACTTGAGAAAGACTTTGTTTTTGATCCCTTTCGACGTGGAGGTCATATGAGCCGCTCGCTCTTGGAAAGACTTTCTCGAAAAGAGTCCACTTTCAAGTTCAAGAGCTCCTCTTTCATCCAATTTTACTTCAAACTTGAAACTGCTCGAAGAAAGTTCATTTTGGAAATTAACAGTCTGTTTACCCGGCCATTAACAGTCGAAGTCATTAATTTTTCAGCGGAGTATTGGACTTACAGCACTCTTATTACTGAAAGTCTGCTTTTTTGGGGGGTATTGAATCTTTCATTCTTTTTATGAGGATTTCTAAAATTTTCTGTCAAAAGAAAAATTCCCTCATCTGATCTTCTATCGGAGCTTATCGCTGTTATGATCCTTTTTTGATCAGATCTTTCGCGTGCTTTTCTTTCGTGTAAGGGGAAGTTCTAAAGCGCTTATAATTTCCATTTGTGAAATCCTCCCGAGCTCCAGGGCCGCGCCGTTTTCATTGCAATACCGGATAGACCGCACGTTTGACCACTTCCGCGCTCAGTACCGGCGTCGGGCCACCTGTACTCAGACAGATACTGAGGTTCAAAGCCAAAACAAAATGCATCGTCTTTGAAAACAGATTTCTCCGTCCCTGCGCGCTCGGTGAGAAGCTCATTTAGAGATTTATGAAAGTGAAAATTTGAAACTGTGTAACGTGTCTTCTTCCATCGAGAAGGTCGTACTCTGTCCGTAATAATTGAGGATTAAGAGGTTTCGCAAGAAAGACCTGCTCAGAGCGAAATGAAACTTCACACGGGCCGGTTTCATAAGCTTGAGAGAGTGAGAGAAGAGCTTGAAAACGAACTTGAGTTTGCTTAGATTCTCACCTTCTTGTTATCAAACAAAAAAGCCGGATTCTTCAGGAGCCTTTTTCGGCAAAAAAAACTTTGTTCTTGCTCAAAACCAAGCGTACTAGATTGACTTGAGTTACCGGTAACTGCGTCAGAATTTCACCTGTGGCATCGTCGAAGGTGACTTTTGGTTATTTTGCGTGTGAGCAGAGGAAATCGAGTTGTATTTTGGGCTGCATGCCCAGAAATATACAACACGTGTGTCTCACCGCCCAGGACTCGAGTAATCCGATTCAAGCAAAAATCCTTAACCCAATCTTCTAAACGCGCGTATTGTAAAGTGTACTCATCTTTTTTTTTCTATCAAAGTAGATTTTAAAGCCAAGGCTGTTGATTAAATTTTCTGGTAACTTACCGTCTTTGAATGCCCTGTAAAGAGCTTGCCATGCATCGGACAAAAACGGTCACAGTGTGAAAAAAAGACAACCCACGATTTCGCTAGCCCCTTTTCTTGCCACGGCCGTCCATCTGTATGATTGTCAGGGCGGGCTCCAACAAGCCATGTCCAGCTGGGCGTCTTGTCGAAAAAATTTTCCCACAAATCGGCAAAGTGTGAATTTTGAACCCAGATCTGGTGTTTAGGCAGCGTCTTTTTTGTAATTGCCAGCAAAACGTCCTCAGGTAATTACGCAAGGGTCGTTACGAGCTCGTTTCAGCCCTGGGCCCACTTCTAATCCCCACCCTCCGGATGGACCCGCTTCATCACCGAGCTTTCGGAGAATCTTATTATCCGGCCCTTCAGGAAGCCTATTCTTGAAAACAAACATATTGTCAGCTACAGTAGTACGGGCAAGTTGTGTCACGTCAAAAAAGTATGCCGGTAAATAATTAATATCGCGTCGAATCTGTTCTTAGTCTCATGATAATAATTGATTAATTATTTATTTTTCGACAGAAATCCGAGATTTATAAATTACCAAGAACTTTAATCGACAACTTTTTGACAGAAACTTTCCAGTTTACGAGAAAATGAATAACAACAGAAGTCTAATTTTTGCAATTTTCAATTTCCAATTGCCAATTTCGACCAAATTAACCTTGCAAAACGCTCTTCGACAAAAGGCTAATCTGGACTTGAGCATATGGACTTCTTTCATTTTCCGAGACATTTAATTCCAGCAGCCCATTCTGCGCTGATCTGCTTCATCTTTTTTTTCTATCCCGTAAATGGGCCGTAAATAACATCCCGTATGATCGAGACCGTGCTGCAGAGATGATAGAATTTTATATACGGGACATGTCGATTATTTTATTGAGCTGACTGCTAATAATCGCTGTTCTATGAGATGGATTATGCAAAAGCGCCGCCTTACTAAAAGGGGCCTTCTACCCTTCTTAGAGAGAGAGCTTTTCAGAGACAGAAGAGATACAGAGGTTAATTTTTAAAGCTTACCATTAATATGACAACCAAACTGATAGGCCATTCTTTACTTTTTGGAAGGAAAAATAAGGGTGTCACAGCTTGAGTATTCATTCTTTAGACTGTTTGATTCGGAGCGATTTTCAATTTAAAATTGAAGATGTTTATCGCTAACGCTATTAAAATCTTCCTGCTGAGTTGTGATGGGATTGCGGAATTACCAAAAAAGCTCTTCGTTTCGTTTTCTTTTCGTATTTTTTGAGCGAGGGATTGAGAGAACACTGGTCAACGGTGGTAATGGGCTTATACAATTGCCGAGGAGTTTTGAAATGAGCACGGTGTCTCTTTCACCTCTGGCGCAGTGTCTAACTGAGTTTAATCCGCAATCCCCTTTCAGCGTGGTCAGCGCTCAACAAGCCACCGGCGCATGGCCCAAGCGTGACATTGCCAGGTTTGAATAACTCGTAAACTCGCTGCATTTCTACAGCTTTGTTATTATCATACTGAGACACGATCCTGCCAGATGTTACCTATAAGGGATGGTCCAGAACCCACGAGTATTTACTATTGTTTATCTATCACTAAGTTCGCTCCCCTCATCCTCTTTTAGGAGTTGAGTTAATAGACTCTTATTAGTGATAGAGATTATCTTCGTTCGCTTGTAAAGTCGCACCTTGTCTAAAACTAGTACAATACGGTGAGTTAGTGATCCGATAACACGGCTAATTCAGTGAACCGTTGTCTGGAATCGCCCGACAGCGCTTGTATCAACGCATGTTCGAGAACGGGTTTATCACCTTAGCTAGAAACAGTACCAATCGCGCCATAGAATTTAAACTCGAATAAAGTTTAGAAAAAGAACTTTTGCTCCGAAATAAAACCCCAAAATAGAAAGGTCGTTTCAGCCGGGAAAAATTGCAAAACGAACTTATGACAGAATCGAAACTATTCCCCTCGGTAAGTCAATATGAGAAATGATAAATGAAAAGCAATATTTGAAAGAAAAAGAATTTACTCTTGGCTACTATCTTAGCTCGTTTATCTACCAGCATTTGAGCTTGTTACTCTGAACTGATCTGTAAATTCTACGCTGGTCTTTTTTACAGACACGATAAACGTCCTCTATCACCTTAATCAAACAACCTTTCCGAAATTCTCACAACACGCAAATCTTCAGATAACTACGACTACTACGACGACTTTTTCTTCCGAGGAAACTGAGTGCTCCCCGACGCTGGATACCTTTACTGTCTCGCCGATTCTAAACAATAAAGAAATAAGAAAAAAAAAAGTGAACATAAAACCATGCTTATGACACGTGCTGTTGGATTAGTGGTCGTCATCTGGCAAGCTCTGTCGTGTCGCCAGCACGATAAACGTTTTCTTGACACTTTAGAAATGTTCGTTAAACTTTTTTCTCCCAGACGCACTAATTTTGACCCCTCTGTGAAAATTATTTTCTACACTCTTTGCAGCACTAATTGAAAAGAAACCCCAAAAAAACGAAATAATTTGCAGGAATAAATTTAATATCAAACTATGTCGAGAAAATTCATTATTTTAACAATTACTTTCCAAAGGTGGGTTAAGATTTTCATTTTACCATCATATCATCAGAAGCAATGTAGGCCTAGTCAAAGCGGAGCCAAAAAAGAAGCAAACATTTTATGAGATTTGAAGTCTGAAAAGCGCCTGTTCTTATATCATGAGTCATGACTGATTTTATGCCCCGGCGAACATCTGTCTTGCAGTAGATAGCGAAAATTGATAAGATAGCTTGATAAAAATAAAAAAAAACCATGAAATTCAAGTTCGAGGATATTTCGATTTTATCGAGCTAGCAATATTATTAGTAGTGTAGCATAACTTTCCTTGGCAACTCGCTGTCTAGCATAGATTGCTATGACGTGGGTCAGAACCGGCTTACCAGATGTCACCTTATGTCAATTACGCGTGTGCGTATTCTCAAACACGTAACTGTTGTTCACCCCCTTAATTTTAGCTGTGAGTACATTCTACGTCTCTCATGTCAAACATACAATGTGTAAAAACACGACAACACGCGTTCTATCATGGAAGCCCGCGAGTGCGTCCTAGGCGAGTTTCTTTTTCGGCGAAAACGAAGTGGAATTTTAGAAATTCAACCACAGATTGAAATTTTTAAGAAGACTCTTTGTGGGAAGAGGAAAAAAAAGTATTGCGTTCCGAAATTTCTGAGAGGCAGATAACGAAATAGAGCTGTCGGTCGTTATCGGAATCGAACTCGTCAATGTCGTCAGCCGCTCCTTGGCCAACATCCGTGGTGGAGATAACGAACGCAACAATTTCAGGCCGTTCCATGGCGTTTCTCGGAAGTTGGTGTTTGGTTTTTTGAACGAAAATAACGAGCACTAAAGTTGAACCTTAATATTTCATCGAAAATGCCCACATTTTTGGCCAAAGATTGAAGCATCTTGGATTAACGCATTGGCCGGAAAAAATATAAATTTTTCGCCTTCGAACAGCCATAGCTCACGTTATACTTTATGAAACCAAGGGATGAAGGTATCTTTTGAAAGCTCAGATTCTGAGGATTGGGGGAACGTAAAAATCATTTCGGAAAATCGACATTTCTGATTGGCCGAAAATTTGAAATAATTATTTTTGCCAGTCAACATCAACTTTTTTCAAATGTTTTTTCTTTCCCCCAATCCTCAGAAACTGAGCTTTTTAAAAATGTATCAATCACGAGATTTCATCATCTCTAACGTGAGATATGGCAGTTCGTAGGAAATTCATAAAAATGGTCTCAGAATCGCCCCAGGCAATAAAAAAAAGTTTTTTTCAGGTGATTTCTAGATTTTCGATGATGACTAAAACGATCAACATAATGATTTTGCCCCTAGTTGAAATTTTTGTCAAAATCGAAAATATATATTTTCCGACCATTGCAGGTAACAACTTTAACTGGTCCATTTGGCTATATTTGGGGCCGAACATTAATCGTAATTATTCGGTAAATATTCCAATTCAGTTTGTTTCCTGACAAAAAATATTTTTCGGTATTTTTCTCATAATAAAATGAGAGTTAGCTATTGGAGAGTTCCAACATTATCCGCGAAAATCAGCGAAAAATGTTTCTAAACAAAAACAAAAGCGAATTCGACAAATCCAGACTCGTGTCATCTTACCTCCATTCTACCTTTATTCGAGCTAAAAAGACAAGAAATGCTTGTCAAGAAACGTGAGCTTCAGCGTGGACAGATGCTCCTTGCTCGTTTTCGTCAAAGTTGAAGATTGATAAAGCGAGGGAAACAGGTGCATCACGTGCGCCAATTTACTGCTCTCTGCTAATCTACAATGACCCCTAGCTCGCTTCCTCTTTCGTAATCAGTTCCTTTTTCGTGGATTTTTTCTTTTTGGGCCGAAAATTTGAGTTCAGAAAACTAATTTTCAACTTCTCACGAAAGTTCGTTTGATCACGTATAAATGGGCACCTTTTTCGTCGGGTAATCCTCTTGCGGCGTCGGGACCTGGACTTAGGAGTAGGTGGGGTCAGCTACACATACACCTGTCAAATCCGTTAACTTCTACCTCCACTATTTGGTTTTAGGCCGATTGTCAGAGCGATGAGATGTTCTGATAAATTTCAAAATATCATCCGCAAAAATATTTTCCGTGGATTTTCGACCTTGCTGTAGCCGGCGATATTCAGTATGATGATAACAGTACTCTCACATGGAAGTCTCACGCGTTTTAATCGAAGTTGGCCACATCCTCCGCTGAGAATATGATCCGGCCCAGCATTGAGTAAACGAAAACGGAGGAAGTCCGACCAAGATAATCGCCAGATTTTGCATCTCCTGCACATATTAATTAAACCAGAAATTGCTTTCTCATCATTCTAATAAATGTTTCTTTCAAAAAAAAGCGAATGAACTTTGATAATGAATCTCGGAGGGAGGATATGTAAGGTGGGGCTATTTACCCGATTCGGGAGAAATATCTTTGTCGTGGATTCTTGTTGGAGCATTCTTATCACTGAGCAACAAATGCTCAGCGGGGGCTTATCAAGGTATTTGGTAGTCTGTGTTTTCTAGTACACAAGGGAGAATTCGGTAAATACAAAGAAGGCGACTCACTAGTAGTAATAGAGAAACAAGTGATACTCGAACATAACCCTCTATTTTTAAGCCACGTCAATAGAAGAAATGTTCTACAGCTCCCCTACTGTCTCAAATTTCTTCAGTCCCTTCAACTTCTCCGAAGTTAACTAGCACGGCTGATCTAAATTGACATTGATAAGACAGTTTACTGTGTAATTCTTTTTCGAGGAGGGATGAAGACGCCTGGGTCGGATTGAAAATAATGCTCAGTCAAGAGTACTCATGCTAATAACGGGCAATTTGCGCGGCGTTGAAATCTTAAATTGATTTCGAGGATGAGTGTTTTGAACTCCTCAGACAGCGCGAAATTAAGTGACATCATTTATAGGGCCGTAGTTCTAGAGCAGCAGCTGTATTCGATCCTTGGTACTTACGATAACTTCGTCGTAATATCGACTTCGTAAAAGTAATGAAATGACGGTTTTTGGATTATGAGGATATTATTCGCTTTTGAAATCTTATTTGATTTTTAGAAAAGTTACCCACTAGTCATGTTTAGGTTCTGACCAAAGCTTAAGACGTTACCGTAAGGTCACGTGTTACACCTTCTTGCGGTCGAGCCGGTGTTTTGCAGCAGCGTACTTTAGAAAACCAACTTAGAAAATTATGATACAATTCAGTTCTCAAGATAGATTCTTCCTCTTATTTATTTGAAGAAATAAATGATAATAAGAATTCTGATATGAAAAATTTTCTTTTTGAAATCAAGGAAGAGCTTGGCGCTGATATTTGAAGTGATCCTACTTGTCAGTTCTTTCTTATTTTCGAATTTCGCAGGTTCGCGATTTCGCCGATTATTCATCCCCACAAAGCGGGTCATGGTTCGATTCTTTTAAGCCCCTTTCCCGCCATTCAGAAACGCCGATTTTTTTTTTGTTTTCTAAGTGCACCGAGTACCTTGCAAGTGAAATTACAAGGTCAAAAATGATTGACGAGCTAGCGATTTTAACTGCATTGAGATGGAGTGAGCCGATAGATGATCATCCTCCTGAACTTTCAAAAATCAAAATCAAAAGATGGATGTCCGACTTTTTTCCATCATTGAAGAGAATTACGACAAGAACAGAAAAGTGCCGCTTGATTGCTTCAATTGAGAGACAAGAATTCAAAAACAAGGAAGATGCATATCACTGGAAATTTTGCAGATTTCTCCAAGAAGAAAAGAAATTCGCGATCCAAAAGGATTTAACTGATGAGCCTCAAATGTACGAAATCACAGCCTTTCAAAGCTCGATTCTAGCAGCAAATCCTTCATTATATAATGTAATCATTAAACGATCGGAAATTATGGAGGAAAAGGGAAAATGGAGAATGAAAAAAATACGAAAAATTTCAGAGGGTGGAGAAGCGCTGGTTATTCCTCAAATATTCGGAGATAGATCTTATGCAGTTCGGATTCATCATTTTGATCCCTTTCTATTTACAAAGAAATTTGAGCTTGGACTTGAACTTCAAGAATCGAAAATTCGGGCGAAGATTCATTTGTCATCGAACTTCACGAAAGCAGACAGATTTACTCTAAATGAAAAAGACGCCAATGTAAAGCAAATTCCATTTCATCCCAATATTATAAGGCACTTTGTAAATATAGAACTATTTCATCCATTTGATACTCACATGAAAGATTGCCTCGGATGGATAACGATAATGGAAAAATGCGATTTAAGCATTCGCTCGCTCTTGAAATCGAACCAACTTTGCCTAAAAAGGAGAAAGAAAATGGCGACAGAAATTACTGATGGTCTTGCATATTTATCCGAAATCGGAATTCAACATTGTGACAGGAAACTAGCAAATTTTCTGCTTCTTTGGGACGAAAGTAGACCTGGATACCAACTAAAAATATGCGATTTCGGATTGGTTTGTGAAACTTCCGGCAAGCTCAGTTATCGCCAGATGGGATACGCAAGAAGAGGGGACAAATACAGATTTATAAGCGCTCTAGGTATAAAAAAATCGTTTTGAATTTCGGCAAATAATAACGTTGACTTGTAGCTGCCGGAACACCTGGATTTTCGATGCAATACCAACTAACTCTTGCAGATAGAAGTCGTAATAACTCACTGCACCCTGTTTATATTTATCTCTTTTGTGGCTGGAAAACTGCATGGAGATTACTGTATCGACCAGCCTCGGAGAGTGATCGAAACTTTATCGATAATTTAATGGAGGTAAAAAATTAAAAATGTTGCTAAATTTAATGGCCTATTGCTTAAAGAATTGTGGGGCAGAACGAATCCATGATTTGGTGAAAGGCGACATTCAAGATATTTACTCTTTTATAAATCGAGTAAAAAGAATAATAACAATCGAAAGTATCGACAGATTTTATTGTTTGGATGATGATAATCTATCTCGGTCATGTCAGGTTTCCTTTTTGAAGGAGGAAATATCAAAATGTGTTTATTCTGGAATGGTCAACCTCTCAAAAAATATCCTCAACCAGAAGTACAGTCATCTTTGCGTGCCGATTTGTGTAACGACTCTTATTCGACACAGTCTAAGGAAAGATCTTCAATTCGAGGACCGACAAAAGACTCATACACCCGAGAAAATTCTTGCCACTTTAAATTACGTTGTTTACCCTCGAAGTATGGCTGGACTGAACTTGAATCCGAGCGAAAAAGAAAACGGGTATCAGATGAACGATATCGTGAATCTGCTGGAGCGAATTTGTACCAAAACATATATCATGGAATCAGGATGGGAAATAATAAGGCGCCTTGGCCAAACAAATCTGACGCGACCAGATTTATCTTATTGTACTTATCAAACAGGTAGGCTCAGCATTAAATGGTAAAAAAACTATTTCTTAGTAACTCTTCATGAAAATTTCATCTTTGACCGCCCACTTACTGTAACTGTGGCGATTAATATCAAGGAGCGAGGAGTACATTTTCATCAGATGACAGTCGACAATATCAAAAATTGCGAATACGTCCTTCAAAACAACGAATTCACCAATGCATCGGAATCAGACTAGGTTATGATTATATTTCCATAATGCGTACAAATATTCCATCATTTATAATTACTTGAAGACAAGAATTTTTCACTATTTGTAATCTTAAACCAAATAAAAGTCCTGAAAATCAAGCAGACCCATCCTTACTACGCAAATTTGGAAATTATTTCGACGCGCTGTGTCTATGAAAATGGAGATATTGTCTTCTACGACCAAGGAATGAGACTGAAGCTTGTGAATGAAAATTTCGGAAAAACCATGAAGTATGATACATGGTATCTTTATCCAATTGCATACACTCTGAAACTCGTTAGATTTCCATCTTCATAATTCATTATTGGACAAAGTGTCCTCACAACTCTTCTATCAGTAATTACTGAATAAAAACGCCAACGTTTTAATTTCGTAACGTCACTTATTTAACTGGAGGACGTAAAGCCTATCTCAAGCTACGCGCAGCTCGATGAATGGGAGTTTATTGACAGCGGTAAATCAGTATGCGAATGAAGGAGTTAGAAAAAGGACTTGTAGATTTAGGAACGGATTTATGAAATAAAATTTAGGATTTAGGGGGTAGCCAGCCGTTTCCAAGCTTGTCACTTTGGCATGTATCGTCGTGGCATCCTGTTGTTGACCAGTGTTGCCAGCACTAGAAATTTAGATAAAAAAGAAGACAGATAAGAAGTCAAAACCTGTAGAACTCCAGAGTCATAGTTGCATTCTTGTCGAAGCTCCTTCCGGATAACGCCTCCTTTCGGATTCTTTTTGCAGTGAACGATGCTCTGTATGTATCCATTTGTACTCCATTGGAATTTTTCATCGCACTTGGCGCCGATTTTGATTGGATCCTTGCAGGGAACTGCGGCTGAACTTGTCCCTTTGCAAATTTGGCCTTTTTGCGGAACACTTTGCCAAGTTGGACGTTCTCCGACGAATTCTTTGACAGGTGGTGGTGGGGGCTTCTTTTTACCTTTTCTTCGCTTTTTAGAGAATTTTCCTTTTGGACCTAAAATATGCGTTTGCTAAAGAATCCTCTTCGTAACTGGTCTTTAGAGAAGGAAATAACGTGAAAACATGTTCTATCAGTGACACACCCCCAATAAATATTTGAATACAACAAAATATAAAGCCTAAGTTTCAATAAACACCATTGAATGAGCAATTGATAAAAACAAACCTCCTTTCTTCGACAAAGAAACCTTCGGATTTCCTCTTGGAACAGTCTTCAACCTCACAGGTGGTCGAGATACTGTAGTTTTCCTCTCTGGCTCATCGTTTTTCAACCAAAAACAACCCTCTACCAGGCCTAGTGCAAGACTGAGCTCAATAACTTTCATAAAAATCGAAAAAATTATAAAATGATGAATATGTATAAACCCTTTTTGCAGCCGTTTCAGTCTGAGCAGCTCGACATTGGCGGAGGAATCGCGCCGGCCTGGGGGGTTTTGAGTACTTTCGCTGAGTCGGACTTGGTGCAATCGCACGTTAGAATAAACCTACAGATATTACCGTGAATTATTCGGCGCTCTCACCTTGTTGAAACTGTAAATATTTTGCAGCTGCAATCAGTTTGAGAGGCGACTATTGAATTAATAACTGTTTGCTGTTAACATTCGTTTTCAGCGAAAAGCAGCAATATTATATAAATTGAGCTCGAAAAGAAGATCAATTTATTCGATAGATTTATTGGAAGACTTGAATGTCTTGATGGTAAGCTTATTAGAAGAAAATTCCGCTCATTTTGTCCAAAATCCCCCTGTTATATATCTATTTTTATCGAGTCCTTCGAACTGCTCTACGGGCGATTTTCTTGTAAGACAGGAAAATCTATCCCGCCCGTAATAAACATAAAGGATTAAAATTTTAACGTTGCGTGCTTATTCTAAGCATTTTAAGCCCTGCTTTACTCACATTTAGAAAGAAACGCGACGAGAGATTTGGTGAATTTGAATAAAATTTATTTGTTGAACATGTTTGAAAGTTTTTTTCTTTTTTAATAAGTTGGTTCAATCTGGGCTGAGAGGTTCAAGAGCGCATTTATACGCGCGCATTATAGATTTTTTCTGTGCGTTAGTTTTTCCTTCTCGAAGTTTACTGTTGTCGAACTTGTTATCCTTGCCAAGCAGCGCGATTTTATTAGTTGGAAGCCACATCCTGAATAAAATATAATCGTGATGAAGGTAGGTTGGATAGAATAAGCTCTTGAAAATTAGGGGTACGGTCAACTTTCACAATTTGGTCATCATTTTTTTTATCTAAAATGGCGGAATTGAAGGGAGGTCATGTTTTTTAGAAAAAAATCTCATGTAATGTCATGTCATCATTGTCATGCAATTAAAAAAATTGACGGAATTACGAATGCACCAATTGTAAAAGTTGACCGTAATTATAATCACACCATTATTGTTTTTTGCAAGGGTATGATTATCAAAATGATATCCTTAATTTTCGAGCGCAAATTAATTTTAATAATCACCATGTGCGCTTCTGATCGAAGAAAAGGACCAAATGATGTTGGGATTCACCCTCGAGGTTAAGCTTGTTGCCAGCCTTAATGATGTCGACGGAAGGCTGGGGGATCTCCTCGTCCCCGAGCAACAGAGGCTCCCCAGTTGTCAGCTCGGGGTTGATAATCCGCGCCGGGTACCAGGGGTAGCCCTTATCAGGGGTTGAGCAGGTTTTGACTCTATTACAGGCGCGTCAAGAAAGATAATTTTCTTGAGACTTGGTACTACAGCAAACGCGTGTTAATAAATCAAACGACCGGGCTTTTAAATATATATTTTGTTTATTAATTTGTTGCGGCTTTAGTTTGGCAGTTTTGTGACTTTGTTGACTAGGAATTCTTTCATTGATAGTTGCTTCATCGATTTGGGCGACGGGGAGGGCTATTACTGTGATTTCAAGCATTTTTTAAGCTGACCAGGATGATATTTTTGAGATTAACACGAGTTTACTGTGATACTGAATGAAACTAATGAGAAGCCTACATTTCACCGTTACTAGAATGAGCGCAAGCACACCAATGAAAAAGTATTTAATAATTTCTCACCCAACATCATCTGGTAATCGATTTTTGTTATTGCTCAACCACGACCCTTACATTTAGCCCATACTGTGTCAAGAGGCTGAAAATTGCGAAGGTCTATTTTCTTGTTCGAGGATTTAATCTCTTCTTTCGAGTCGTTTGAATCGTCCTCCTCGATAAAGCCGTTCATTTCGCTGTCGGTTGATTCTTTTGAGGTGCCGTTCACGAATTCTTTCTTCAAAGCTGGCTCTTTCTCTTCGGGAGGCTCTTGGCCGTTTTCATGGACCTCGGTGAGAGGAGTCGAGGATTCTCCTTTTTCCAAAGTTGCGGAGGGTTCATCTTGTTGTTCCGCTTCTTCTTCCACATCGGAGTCTGATTCTCCCACTTCGCCGTTGGTCTCTGGCTCTTGAGTTTCTTCCTCTTCACAACCCGCATCTGTTGTTTGTTCAGGCTCTTTAGTGTCTGGTTCAGCCTTTTCTTCAGCTTCCTCATCATTATCTTCAACCTCTTCGATCTTTGGCTGCTTCTTGACGACAGGAGCAGTCTCGAATTCGTCAACCCCCATCGTCCGAAGCCGTCGCTCGAAAATCTTGATATCAGCAGTGAGTTTTTGAACAGTTTTCTTTGAGTGTTTGGTGTTGGAGTTCTTTTGGACTTTTCGCAGGCACTTTCGGAGATCGGCAAGAATGCTGCGCACGTGAGCGACTTCGGGTTCCTTTTGGTCAAATTTTTCGCCGGGAAGGAGGTGATTTCCTGAAAGATAATGATAAGATGGGAAAAGATAATGAATGCGTAGAACGTACCAGTGACCGTGTTGTATCGTTTGGCTAACTTTCTAGCCTCGCGCAACATGGGCTGAATCTTCGTTTCCAAATCTTTGGCGATTTTGTAGAATATCGTCGCGCTGCCGTTGTAGTGCATGCAATTACGAAGGATGAGGCTTACGTCGTATTCGAAAGCGGGGAAACAGTTGTATTTACTTTGGGCGATTTTTTGCTCCATCGTGGCGAAGGCCATCGGCGAGGTGATGATTTTGGAGTAGAGAGGGGCAATATCGTCCGTTACTGGGTTGTAAAATATCTGAAAGGCGGCTGAGAATAGTTAAAGTGGTGGAATGAGTTACCGATTGATCATCAAGCTCTTTTAGTTTCTCAACAATGTCCTTGAGAAAGTAGGCCCAAGGATTTATCCTCACTCTCGATAATTGTATCCATTTTTGAATTTCAGCTGCTTTTAATCGTTCACGCTTCTTGATCTGCTCTACAAGCAGCCGAGCACGCTCAAGATCGTGTCGTAAGCGCTGCCAGACTCGCAATTGTTCCTTGAATTTGATATGAAATCAGGGAAAACGATGGATTGACGTTTCTGTACCTTGACTTTTTTCTTATCATCTTCAGTGGCATGATTGTCTTTTTCAGTTTTTTGGACAGAAAGTAATCTTCGAATCAGGGGAACGCCGTTGCGCACCATTCTCTTTTCGTTCCAAAACGTCAGCAATTGCTTGAACAAAGGGCTGACTTTGGTTGTTACACTTTCGCTCAAAATCGCACGCAGGATGCCCAACTTGTCGGATGGAATGTATGGGATGTTGACACAGGTTCGGGTTGTATTTCGCCCTTCCATTGCTTCCCGCGTTTCGTCGACTGAAGAAAATTGTAAACGAAGATCATCATGAAAGAGATAGCTACCTTTGGCTTGGAATTGATCCGCTCTATTTTTTATTTTTGGCAGTTTTTCTGATGACTTTAGCGGCCTGGGACTCCAGTCTTTCGGCGTGTGGCTGTGGCAAAAAGCAGTCTAAAGAAATAGATCGACTTTGAGCGGAAAAAACGATGGCATTACCTGTGTTACTTTGTTACTTGTGATTCCATTAATTCCATCCGACTTTTGAACTTTCATTTCCATGTACAAGCCGGTCTGCTGCGCGCAAGTAACGTGAAAGGCCGTGTAACAAGCGTTTTTGTTGCATTGAATACAGGCGCCTGCTTTTTTACAAATGTAGCACTTCAGATTCCAGCGCGCCTTGGGCACCTTCGAAAATCCATCAATGGGCTCGAGGAAAACTGGGTTTTGAAAGGAGACTTCTGGCACCCATAGCGCGCAAACTACGTGACACCAGCGATTGTCGTGCGTTTGTTTGAATGCTCCGTTGAGAGAGGGGCATAGAACGCAATCCACAGCCCGAGAAGGGGAGAACTGGCAACGACGACAGAGCCACTGGCCTTCTGGAATGTATGGCACACCGTAGCACTCCTGGTGAACAGCTAAGTTGCACAAGTCGCAGAAGAGGATCGCGTTCGTATTCGTGCACTAGAATAACATTTTAGCTTGAAATCAAGGGAGAACATCCCTACCTCTCCGTCGTTACAAACGCAGCAGACAACGTCTTCATCGTCAATGTCCCTCGTGCTCGTCCTCGGCTTGTTCCCCGTGTCCCACATCGACTCCTTCTCGATTGCATCGATGAATTTTTCGAAAGTCTCGCAGCTGAGCGGCTTGAGATTGTCGCTCTCTCTCAGTTCGTTGATGTGCTCGAGCATGACGTGGTCTTCCTCGTCCATTTGGTACTCGATCGCATTTTCGGTCGGTTCCGCTTTGTATTCGATGTATTCTGAGGAAATTTTTCTGTTTTGTAACTTCGGCACATCGACTTCTTCTACTATCGTTTCTGGCACAGGAACGCGGGGGCCTTTTTGAAGGGGAGGGAGGTCTGTTCCGTCAGATTTGACCACTTCGACGTCCTTAAAAATCACTGTAAAACGGACTAAAGGAGAGAAAATGTACCTCAAAGATAGAGACTCTGTAGATCTTGTTTGTATTATCATCCTCAAACTCGACCAGTCGCTGAGCTTCGGCCCATGTCAAGTTATCCGTCGTAATCCGCCCGTTTTCGTCAACTCTGACCCTCGTCTTCGTCCTCGGCGTATCAGAGACATCGGAGCCCCGGCGAAAGTTGGCTTTTCGTTTCCTCGACCAGGGGGTTGTTTTTCGCCGTTTGTGACTTCCAGGACCTCGGCCGGGGGTGCGGGCGTTCTGCTTCGGCGTACTGGGCCCGTTGTTCCCCGTCTCTGATCCAGAGTCGCGAGATTCACGCTCCAGTTCGTCTTTCAAACGTTCCACGCGTTTCTTTGGCTTCCAATCTACGTTTTTCGTTAAAAAAAGACCAGCGAAACGGACTTACGAAGATCGCAGGGATCATAGTCGTCAGGCGGATTGTTGTGGTCGAAACTGTCGAGGTGGACTTCAAGCATTACCTCATCCTTGTAGGGACGGCCGCATTTGGGACAGACGTAAGGGTAAACCGCGCAATCGGGGTCGATTCCGTTGATGTACTCCTGAAGTGTCCGGTTTTTATCGATTTTTTCGCTGAGTATTGATATATGAATATACTTTATTTGCTAAAATTATCACGAATGAAGACCAATAACACTTAGATGATTTAGTGAAATTAGACCTTGAAAAACTAAAAAAAAAATTTTCTCGTTATTTATTCTTTACACAAGACTATTCCCTCATTGAGAACACAAAATTAAGGCTTTCACTTTTTTTTCGATAAAAGTAACCTGCGCGAACCAATATTTACTCAACACCGAATAAAATAACGCGCCCGTTACTGTATCTACCTGAACATCTATGTCCGGATTGAGATCTCGGCCTTTATACTTTTTGGCAAGCGTAAAGTCAGCCTCCTGCTTTATATCGTCCTCCATTGTCCCATGTTACGTAATATATGAATTTTTGTGTTTCTTTAATTTTTTCGAGTATTTTTCCTTTTCTCGTGTTTTTCCTTTGCTTGCAATTCGAAAAAAGCGGCAGAAAAGAGCGCGTTTTGGGAAAAACTGTGAAACGAAACACTACTTGGCGCGCGTAGGAACAGCCGCCCAATCAGCGCGCGCGCCGAGTGAGTAGCCATGGCTGACTCATCCCCGCCCCGAAGTTTCATGTCCCTCCGCGGAACCTGCTCCCTCGGGGCGGAAAAACACGCGAATTTAGCAAAAAACAAGAGATTCCATTTTGCGTCCCCAAAAACTGACCGCGCGCGCTTTGCTCGTGATTTCGGCGCGATAATTTTTGAAAATTAGTGGAGGCGATAATCAGTAACTTTAGTTGAGGAATTTGGTGATAATTTCTACTCGAGTGATTATGGGAAACGGATTATTTTGGGCGTTAGACGCTCTTTGATCTTCAACTTGATTGATGAGAGCTTAGAAATAATGAGGATCACAACGCTTGGTTTAGTTATAAATTATAACTATAACTTATAATGCATATCATAATTATAAAATCATATGCAGCATATGATTTTATAATTATCACCATTTGAGTACTTGCAATTATCGCCATTTGACAGCAAGTATCGATTTGCTTTATTTAGTACTTCTCAAAAAACTAGCATTTATTAAACTAACTTACCTCTCAGTAAACTTGTAAGTTACAGGCTGTAAAGACTCGGATTCCCTCTTTTTTCTTTCTTTCTCGTTCTCGCTCGTTTATTACTTTTCTCCAAAAATTGAACGACAATTGAGCGCCTCGCTCGGGTAGCGAATGATCTCTTCACACAACGAGCTCTCTTTTGACCTTGGCAATCAATAAAACTCCCACCGAGGCCAAATAATTTTCCACTCGGCGACTCAAATGCTAATTTTATGCACCTGCGAGATAAAAATTCGACAAATGGAAGCTTTATTTTTATTGAACAAGAAAGAAAACGAAAAAGAGCAAAAGTGAAAACTGGCAGTTGTTCATTTTTGCACTACCAAAACTGTAGCTAACAGGGCTATCCTTACTGTCAGAGGAACTTTCTGAACTTGAACTAGAAGAATCAAAATACCAGTCATCATCGGAAATGTAATCTTCGCTGTTTGATGCGGATTCGACATTTCCGACTTGACATTCCTTTCGTTCACTTTTCAACTCGTCTAACTCTTCAGTGAGATCTTGGACATCATCTTTTAGGTCTTCTACTTCGCCAAGAAGGTCCTTGTTTGAACGCTTCAGCTTTTTTATGTCATCTTTTAGCGTTGAAATTTCTTCTTCCAACTCGTCTTTTTCTTCCTCCAGTTTATTTTTCTTCTCTTTTAGATCCTAAAGTTAATAATTAAAATCAGTCAAATACATTTTCTTCTCACAGAAATAAGATCAGCAGATTTTTCCTTTTCCTTTGTCCAGCTTTTGCTTTCTTTCCTTAGCTTCATAAATTCTTCGCTGTTTTCGGTTTTTTTGTTTCTGCATTCTTCAACCTCTTTTAGCGCCTTATCTCGTTCTTCTTCGAGTTCCTTAATATAATCAGATATCTGGCCATTCTCTGATTGACAAACCATATTAATTTCAACCAGATCATTGAGCTGAACAACATACTCTGTATTTTCACAGTCGCCACTTTCTTCGAAGATATCAGAATCATCTGATAAGGTTTCTTTTTCATCAAGTTTCAGCTTCAAGTTCTCATTTTCTAGCGACAACTCTTTGACGATTCGAGCTAAGTCCACGTTCTCCGCTTTAGTATAATTAAGTCGTTCGCCGAGTACAACTTGTTCGTCCTCCAATTCCTGAAAATATTAGTTTCAGTTCTTTGTTCGAATTCTACCAGTATTCGGACAAGATGTTCAAGCTTCAGTCTTTCAATTTCTTCTTTTGCCTCATCATTTTCACACTTCCCCATCTCAAAATCTTCAGAAAAGCAAGGACACAATTTCTTGCCCCCTTTTAGTTCTTCCTTGCATTCCTCAATGCAGTTACTGTCAGAGGAGCATATAGCCATACAAGTAGCGTAAGTCTTATTTAGTCGTTTTTCACATCTCTTGAAAGCATTTTTCCCATCTTTAGTTTTGCAAAATTCTTGGCAAGTGAATCCAACGGAACAAACTTGATTCCCTTCGACTGTTTCTGCATTGAAAACGACGACGATGCTGAAAAAAATCAAGATTTTCATTTCATATTTAACTTCTATTCTCACTTCAAGCGCCGACTAAGAAGAAGGCTAACATTTGCCCTTTACTGCATCATAAAAACAATATTCATTTCATTTCTCAAATACTTGATAGCGGCACATTATTCCCACGAACGGATGAATCGATTTGCAAATAAAAATGAACTTATTTATCTTTAAGTTTTTTTCCCAAATTGCACCAAATTTGCAGATTCATTGAAAATAATGGCCCTTTTCAAAAACTGATTGTTTTTCGAAGATAAAAAAGGAAACGCGTGAAAATTTTTCACTGGTGATAAAAAAGGACAAGCGCGGAGATTATTGCAGCTAATAAGATCAGTACCGTTCCCAGGAACGGAACCGCGCGGTGGAAATGAATTTACAAGGCAATCTGGCCGTGTTAATTCTAAAAATATCCAGCGCTTTCCATTCGCTGTTCCAGTCAATTCTATTTTCACACAAGAAAAAGAAAGTTTATGCGTTTTTCTTTGCTCCTTTTTCTTGGTTCAGAAAATGCTCGAGTTACAGCGAGAAAATGTGAAATGGAATGTTTGTTACAGTATAAAGAGGAGAGAAAATCATGCCTTCCTGGATCGCTGAATAGGAACTTGGAGATGTGTGGCAGACTTCACTGTTGCATTGACGAAGAAACAGGAGAGTGCTACAGAAGACTTCCTCAGGTCAAGTCGGGATGTGCTTCTTACTGTGACATCCCACATCGAAATGTCACCGCCTGTGATGCAGAAAATGAAGATTCATGTGTCGAAATGGGATGTTGCTGGTTTCCTGTTTCCGATCGACCACCCTGCTACGAGCCAGCAGCGTATGTTCCTCCGACAACGCAAAATCCGATCAATAGACCAAAAGCAATCGTTAGATCTCCTTATTATTACTCTTCAATTGTTTCTTCAAAACCAGCGGAGATAAAGAACCCGTTGATCGTCGGATATGCCTGGGCAGATTGGCTCGACTCAGTTTGCACAGCTGATTGCAACGGAGTCGGGGTTAAAATAAGGAGAAGAACGTGCACGGCCTACACAAAATATGGCAACTCACCGGTAAACAGGAACTTTTGCAAAGGACCTGATAAGAAAGCGGAATTATGCGTGGGTCCTCCTTGTTCGCATAATGACTTTCAAATAACGGTCCCGACAAAAACCGATTCCGAAACCAATCAGAAGAAGGAAAAACCTCTTATTCCAGGATTGGATTTGAAAATTCATTTTTTCATGAAAAAGAATTCCAATTTTCATCCAATAAAGATCTCGAGAGCAATTCGACGACAATGGTCTGCTGTGTCAACCAAGGAAAACTTTACGACCCAGGCGAAATTATCTTCAAAACCTCATGTTTGACCATCTTCTGCTCGATATCCTGCAAAGTTGATATGGAGATGAACGAGGCTTGCGATGGCGGGCAGGAACCACCCCCTTTACCAGAGGCGTGTTTTCCGTCAGAATGTGGGGAGCAAAAAGCGTGGCGAATAAAGAAGATCGTTGGAGGATCTTGGTCGCCGATGTATGGACATCCCTGGGCGGTGATGATGAAAAAGCAGGAGGGAGTGAGGAGTTTTGTCTGTGGGGCGACGATGATCTGCTCGAAATTCGTGCTCACAGGTAGAATATTTTTTATTGCTCGTCAAACAAGTTTATAATTATTAAGCTGCTCACTGCTTTGCGGACCAAACCCTCAAACCTGTCGGTCGACTGGACTTTGACACTCGAAATTACCGATTTTTCTTCGGGAGATATTTCGGCAACGACGAAGATTCGGAGAAATTCGACAAGCATCGTAAAGTGGTAACAGGCGACGGCATTGAATTCATGATCACCCATCCCGACTTCGAATACGTTGGCAAAGGAGTGATGAAGCATGACATTGGCATTGTAAAATTTCGGAACGAGATGGAAATCAACGACTACGTCAAGCCGGTTTGTCTCCCGACAGCTCGTGACGATGTTCCAAATCCAAACGAAGCTGGCTGGGCGATCGGCTGGGGAATAACCAAAAATCGAGGACCTAGCAATCATAAACTCAAGCAAGTAGGAGTTCAAATCGTCGATGAAAATAGCTGCAGAAGAAAAGTCGATGGATTCCCTGATAGTGGAAGAGGCCTTATCTGTGGCGGGGGAAGTTATGGACACGACACTTGCGTTGGAGATAGTGGCGGACCTGTTCTTGGATATAGGTAAGTTAATCAAAATATTTCAAAATTTCAATATGGAACATTTTAGGGCAAAAGATTCGCTTTCATATTCAAGTTACACCACCAGCAAGGTATGTTTCATGACTAACAATAAGCCAGATTTTACTCACTTCTACGTATCTAGGACAAAACATGGACGATTTTCGGCATCACCTCCGTTGGCGGCACAAGTTGCAATACCATTATCTCCGATGTTCAGCCTGCTGTCTATACTAACGTGGCCTATTATCTTGATTGGATCATCGCGACAACAGCCGGCTGCTGCGATTCAAGCTAGTCTCCTTTAATTTGTATGCTATTATTTCTATTATTTATAAGTAAAGTCTATATCTACAGAAGTAAATAAACAGAGAGCAAAGAATAGGGACGCTCTCGGGCGCCTTAGAAACGCGTCGAGTGCAAACTGGCAGGGTTTTCAAGGTCTTGATCACAGTCGGATTCTTCTTCGTCTTCCTCCGAGTCTTTTTCTTTCTCTGAAAAACTCTGTACCCGGAGAAACATTTCCTATTTGTACCTGTAAGTCGATTGAACTCCGAAATCCAAACTTTCATCTTGTACTGCGGCGTTCCGCACATTCCGTAAACCAGCATAAGAATTCCTCCTGCAAGGAAAACCGGCCCAAAAACTAAAGAAAGGGAATCGTCTCTAGAATTTTCAAAAGTTCAAACCTTGCATGGAAGCCAGAAGAAAATTCGAAGTCATGTCTACTTTTCTGACTTTTATCAGCTTGAGAAATGTTTAAATCTCTTAATTCTTAAACTTATACTTATGTTTTTGAGCTTTTGGCTAGAATAATTGGTTCAAGAAAAGGTCCGGTAGAATAAATTATTAATGGCTACTTGTTGCTGGTAATTAACCGCTTGGTTCCTATTCGAGGATGTTCCAAAGGCCTATGGAGTCTGATTTACTTATTTATTTTTATCAAAAGGGCACTTGAACAGCCTCTTCAACTCTCTTTCTTTTCCCGTTATTATCTCTCAAGCCTTCCTAAAGGTAAAAGGAACGTGAATGTGACTCCACTTAGCACAAAAATGCCACTGTAAGTGCGGTGAAGACATGATTTCAGCATGTTGCCGACGCTGCAAATTGAGCTCAACCTTTGCGGTCACTCGAATTTACTGCAATCTGACGAGAGCCGAATATAGTCAACAATTCACTGCCATATTTTTATATCCAATCGAGCATCAAAACACCCATGATTTATACTGTCTAAGATCATTTTTTGCAATCAAGGAAGAGGCTCAAATGAAAATCTTGATTTATATAATTATAATTGGCTCTTAATCAAAATCAGTGTTTAAAAACTTCACCGCAGTGCATGACAACCCGGGAGCGATCCGAGGGCATTTTCTTCGCAAGACATGGATTCTTGAATTTCTTCACGCAATTTCTCTCTTTGATCTTCTCATTCACTAATTCTAGCAATCTCTTTATCTTCTCAAGGACCTTCGCCAGCTTCTCCGTCTTTCTTGCTCTCTTTTCGTCACTGAGTGGCTTTGTCCTGGGAACAATCGTAAGGGAAGAATCGGTGGTAGCAATCTTGTATTTTTGGATAATTAGCGCTGAGAAAGAGCGAGATGATGGCCCAAAATGAGAAACATAAAAAACGGGCCTGATGGCGCTCCCCAGTCGAGGTTTGCCCCTCTGCCGCATTTTGATAAAGCTTTCTTGCTAATTAGGCAATCTTGATTTCAAAACCAGGCACACAATGTGGCGCGTGCCCAAGGCCCCGTCGGGAGCACTTTATCAAACACTAGCTTCTGTGACAGCTCATTTTGATCAAGTCTCGAGTCTTGTCCCGGGCAAATTATATTCTGAACTCGAATATTCTTTATTTGGTTATTTACAGAAGCTCGTAGATTAATCAGAATGATGGTGGTTGAAGAACGACAACTTGGGGTGAGTCTGGATCGGACGAGCCTGACGAGCTGCTGCTGATGATGTATTTCTGAGGAATCTGAATTCGGAAATGTGGAAATGAAGTTATTCAGCAATAGGTACTTGATGAGCGATGGGTTCAGCGCTCCGACGCTGCCTGTAACTTTCGCTCGGACGATGTTCCTGTGGAATGTCCATCGTACCGCACCTCGCGCCGGGCATTTTGATCGGAGAAAGCTTATGTGACAGAAGCACAATTAATAGAACAAAGGCTGCAGTAGCGGAGACGACAAGTGCTATGGCGGCAGCGTCGAAGGGATCAATTTGACGAATGACGGATGCTTGTCCAAGCAGGTTCGAAGCGGTGCAGCGATAAATTCCGCTTGATGTTTTGGACTTAGCGATAGTGTTTTCGTTTCTATAAACTGCCTAGGTACTTGATGAAAGAAATAATTAACAACCTTGATGTTCCATTTGGAAGTTGAATCGTTACTGTTGGCTCTGGAAAGCCAGTTGCATTGCAAACAATATTCTTGTTTGTATCAAAGTCAAGAGACGTGATTTCTGGTGGAGAGTTTGGGATGAGAATCATCTTGGCTGATGCTTTTCCTGCTGTATTCTTCGCCAAACAAGTAATTTCAACCGGGCTTTCCAGTTTTTCAATGACAAGATCTTCTTCTCCATCGTTTAGGTGTGTTGATGGCTAGATGTACAAACCGATAATAAAGAATTTCTTGGTACTGTTGATCCGCTACCTGAATCAGATGATCCTCGTCAAATTCATATCGACAAGAGACTTTCACGTTTTCGCCTCGAGCGATTTGACCGACTGACGGGCTCGCTTCTAAATTTTAAATTGCGATTCTCTGTCTGTTTTTTGCCGGAGAAAAAAAGACCAAGAGCTATTTCGAAATCGGTTTGACTCACCGGTTTTACTTACCGATTTTGATATTTTCCCTTTTCGGTGGAACCTCGACTTTGACATCAAATCGCTGGTTTGAGATGTAGTGCGATCCATTCAAGCCTAAAATAGACACCATGAACTATCCTTTTTGAGCTGTTCAAAAACAGAAATGTGAAAAATAGACGGTAACTTTACCGATAATGAACTCAGCCTCGTACAGCCCTCCTTCTTTCAGCGTCAAATTATCGTCAGATGAGACTCGAAGTTTAGACGTCGTCTTAACTCTTCCATCTGGCAAAAGTTCAATTTCTTCTTGATGCAGTGTTCGCGGAAGATAATCAAGATTATGTCGCCAGTTAACCTCGAATTTCACTTTGATACTTTGATTATTAATGAGTTCTTTCACCTGTAATGGATAGTCGAAAACGCTGGATGCTTCCAAGATCAGTTTCTTTGTAGGCTTCATCACGTGGACATTTTCTTTTGTTAAACCAAGGCCACCGGATGAGATTTTAATCGCCTTTGAATCCATTCCAACCGCATTGAATGCTGAAAACAAGCAATCACAAATTTGTTTTAATAAATTACAGACCAGAGCATTCATACGTGCCAGAAGTGGTGATATTGACGCCAGAATTAGAGTCGGACTCGTTAGATAGCTCGGTACCGTTTGCATCGAAATAGACTAGTGTTGAATCAGGATAGCCTCTTTTCAGAAGATTTTTATTCGAAGGAACGAGCTCGTTGGGCAACGTCTGTTTGATTTCATAATAAGCAGTTCCGAAAACGCTCACGGAAAAAGCAAGAAAGCAAAATTAATGTTTTATCGGAAGAAGTCTATTTAAAAAATCAAGACTGGAGGTACACAGAAGCTTGTTAGCACTGATTTCCATTTCAATCGTCGGTGGCATCGCCATCTTTATCAATTTGCTGGAACTTATTTCTTCACCCTTTACGATTGCCTGTTTTTCTGGGTCAACCGATGGCGAACCGAAGACCTGGTTCAACTGTGTAGTGACCCTGCCTGACAGGTAACGTTTGCGAACATTTGATTGAAGGATGGTTTTGCAAATATCATGATTTTCTGAGTTTTTGATCCATCTTTGTTTCTGTTATTCGCCAGCTTCCATCTGAATACAGAAATTTTAAACTGCAAGTCTAATTCCGGCGTGTCTAAATTTTAGCGCCCGCGTTACCGAGGTATTACGTAACTAGTTTCTGTTCTCCTGTACTCAAGTACCTAGATTCAAGCTGTAAAAAGGATGAACTTTCAATCGAGTAGTTCAAGGAGTCGGCATCGTCGAGAGAAGAGGAATTGAGAATACAATTGGCAATGTTGTAGTCCTGCGTTTCATAATCGAGCTCTAGGGGGTTAAAATTAGACAGCAGCAGTCCTAGTTTCCATACCTGGCGTTGCTTCCTCCACTTCTAGCTGAAGCGTGGGCTCGATGTTCGCCGTTCGATGGTGGTGTATCACTTTAAACTCGTTAGTTCTTGTTTCTGTCTAGTACTCTAAGACTCTTAGGTACCACGAGGGCGAGCATCATGTGAAAATTTTCAAACATGCCACAGCACGTGGCTCGATTTATGATTGCAATTTGTTATTTGCTTACCTGGTCGCTTGTTCGTTTTGGTTTCGCAGCTAAACTCGTCGACTTTGATTGTGGTTTCATCAGAGGATAAGACCAGCTCGCCTGTGCTATTTTTGGATGAAGACTTTATTTAGATTCTTGCTCAATCAATCTGTTTCAATCCTTGTTTCTTGGGTTTACTTTGCCAATACCATCCGTTATTTCGAGTCCGTTTTGCAGCCAGACAACTCGCTGACCCTCTGATAGCTCTCCTGGGCATTCTAGCGTTACTGATCCTCCAGTAGCTGTTAGTAATGCTCCGATAGAAAATATATAAATAAAATGTTTTATCGTGTTTCTCATGCTTTTTCTATAAGAATCTTCATCCTGGAGAACGTCCAAGAAACCGAGCTAATACGGCTAATTGACCCAGCAGGAAAGCATGACGACTCTTTGTGGGTCACACGGAGAAAAAACCGACTGGAGTCCGGGAAAACGGGCTTTATCGCATTCACGTGGGCCAAACGCGACATGCAGCGCGACTTGATTAGGACGAAACAAATCAAGAAATTAGACAGGTCCGTTGTTTGCATCGCCAAAACTGGGTTAAATTGTTGTTTACGACTAAAAATTATTCGATTTGGCCAAAAATTTGATGTTTTACCGTCAAATTTCTAACTTCATCAAAAGTCACCTTAGAACTTTGCTGATCTTCGCTATTTACTAGCTTCAAGTGCTGTACCTACTTCATGAAAAACCTTTGAAACTCCGATTTCTTACAGAGATTTTATTATTATGCGAGTGTCTAAAAAAGAGTCTTTTTGAAATAGAAATTATTCAATGCTGGCAAAAACTTACCTAATACTGTATGCAAACTTTTACCTAGGATGTAGTTTTCCAGCTAAGAAAATTCAAGCGAACACCACACAGAAATCGTAAGCAAACCTCGCGACTCTCACCATTTTCTTGCCCGCGGCGATCCCTGCCCTACTTTTCAGCCATTTCTTCGGTACGCGCTCTATCTAGGTCAACGAATATCCGGAAAACCGCTTGTTTATCAACATTATGGAACCAATATTTGTCCATGAGAGACCTCAATTACTCGATTGCGAAATCTTCTGCTGCAAAAAATCCGATATTTCGCTGACCCCTGTCTATTTTTTGCCTACTGGAGTCCGAAACATCATACACCACAATCTTGGGGTCTAGTAATTCTTTGAGATGGCACCACCAACGGCCTCCAGCGTCCTATATAAGCAATGGTGGAGGAGCAAAAAATCAGTCTTCTGGTAAGACCGGGCCCTCAGAATGAAGGTCCTCCCAAGTGTTTTGGCTTTGGCCAAATCTTCAGGTAAGTCGAGAGAAAAAAAATCCCCAAGAGAAAATTTCACCCCCTTGAATCATTCAACAGAGCTCTAATTAACATTAAGCTGCCAACCCATGCCCCTCCTCCGAGTGCTGGAGCTTCGATGAAGCTTCCGGTACTTGCAACCTTAAAGAAGGATGCGCCTCCATCAGCTGCTCTGCTGACTCGATGGAAGTAAAATTCTCTGCCGACTACTTCGGTATCGACGAGAACTCCGCCTCTCTTCCCCAACGCTAAGTTCGAAGATGGCCAATACTGCGTCCAATGCAACTTGGGTGATTGCGGTATGTCTGCCGCCTCCAACGCCGACGGAGACATCAACTTCAATCTCGAACTCACCGTCGACAGTGACTCCTCGTTCGCCTCCGTTGGAGACATTGAGCTTTACAACACCGCCAAATCTGCCTCCCTTTCCGCTTCATGCACATACGACTCCACCGTCAGCGTCTCGAGCAAGGATTACAACGTTGTCAGCGCTGTCGCCGATGGCGAGCTCTCCGCCCACGGTGATCTCTCCTCCGCCTTTTCCCTCAACCTTTTCTCCGACCAGTCCCGAACCTCTCCCATCGACGGTCTCGCTTACATCGGTGCGCGTGTCTGGGCTGATGTTGAATGGAGCGCTGACCAGGACCTCGTCCAGTTCTACGTCTCCGACTGCTCTGTTAACCTCGGTGGTGCTCGAGCTGTTTCTGCTCAGATCATCAAGGACAACTGCTACTCCAACGCCCTCGGAGTCACCAAGACTGGACCTGTCCACGAATACCTTCAGTCCAAGAAGGCTGGATTCACCTTCAACTCCTTCTCTAGCGATGCTAGCGTCAACTCCCAGGAAGTTCAGGTCACCTGTGACGTCAAACTTTGCGTCAACGGTGAGGACAATTGCCAGATCCAGACCGAGACTTGCTCCGATGCCGATGCTGAGGGTTACAACTACACTCCAACTGGTTGCGCCGAGCACGTCAACGTCCAGCAGCCCGATGAGTCTGGCGAATGCATTGATTGGATCAATGACTTCCCCAACCACGGTCTTCCAGAAATGACCTACGATAGCAACCTTGTTGATGAGAACCTTCTCCACGCTCCAGAGAACTTGAGGCGAACTGGTTTCTGCATCGACGAGAATGGCCAGGCCACCCTTACCCTCTCCGACGGTACTGTCTTCATCGGTCAGGACCGAGACGGTGTTGTTGACTTCCGAGGTGTCCCATACGCTATTCCACCACTCCACGAGATGCGATGGACCCAGCCTTTGGTCAAGCTCAACTTCGAAGGAAAGACCTATGACTTCTCTGACTTCGGTGACGCTTGCGCCCAGCACCATCATGCTGACGGAACCTCCGAGGATTGCTTGAACATCAACATCTCCGTCCCACGAGATGCTCTTGAAGAAGGCCGACTCGTCCCAATCATCTACGTCGTCCACGGTGGTGGTTTCAACCACGGTAACAACCGATGGCGATCATCTGACTTGATCAAGAAGGAGCAGGTTGCTATCTTCAACATCGGTTACCGATTCGGTATCTTCGGTTTCTACACACTCCCAGAGATCGAACAGGGCCAGAATTTCCAGACCAACTGGGGTCTCCAGGATCCAGTTGCCGCCATGGCCTTCTCCCAGACCTACGGTCCAATCTTCGGTGCTGATCCAGAGAACGCTTCCTTCTCTGCCCGATCTTCCGGTGCCGAAATCGTCTGGCGTCTCCTTACCGTCCCATGCGCTTGGCCATACTTCAAGCGAGTCAACATGATGAACATGGGTCTTAACACTGAGTACCCACTCGACCACACCCCCAAGCTCCGAGATGTTGTCTACGGCGAGCTCAACTGCTCTGACACTCCTTGCATGCGAGCCCAGGAGCACGATGATCTTGCTCACGCTGGTGACGCTGCTGCCTACGGTGCTCGACATCCAACCAAGATCACCCTCGAACCGGGTTTCGGTATGGTCGTCGATGGTCGATTCGGTCGACAACAGCTCATGTTTGACGTTCGAGACGGTAACGTTCGACCACACACTCCCATCGCCTGGTCTTACTCCGAGCACGATAACTGGGCCTTCAACCATCTTGCCTTTGCTAACTCTATGTACAAGTTCATGACTGATCAACTTGGAGACATTTCTGCTGCCAAGGCCTCCACTGGACACAAGGTCCCATACCCATTCGGAAACACTCTCATTGAGCGATTCTACGCCAACTACGATGATATTTCCGTCATCAAAGAGAACTTCTTCTGCGAAGACAACGGTGAGGACTGCAACGACATCTTCTCTCGATGGGTCAACTCAATGAACTGGGTTTGCAACACACGATGGGGTCTTAAGGGTGCCCTCTCTGACCCAGAGAACTTCCCTGAACTCGGTCCCCTTTACGTCACACAATTCTCCGCCAAGAACTGTGATCCCGATCCAGTTACCGGTGACTACCGAAAGACCTGCCACACCGGTGAAGGTCCATTCGTCTATGGTGACTACAACCTTAAGGTAAGCACAGTTTTTACTCAAATTAAATCTACATCAGGAAAAACAATAAGCTAAGCCATTCATTAAGGTCATTGACGATAACCTCGGTCGACTTTACTACGATATGTCCGCCAAGGAGTCCGTCTGGCTTGTCGACAGAATGCGATCCGCATGGGGTGAATACTTCCGAACCGGTGAGTTCCCAGCCGGAACCATCGAAAAGTGGTCCGACATCGATGATGATCAACACGAAACCTACAACGTCATTAGCCCAGCCAACGGTTACGAATGGGCTCAGGAGAAGACCTACGTCGATGAGTGCCGAGCTCTTGATCAATTCCACTATGACGATTGCGTCGAAAACGACTACATTGTCGCCACTTCCCAAGGTGGTCCAGCTCTTGACAAGGACAATGTTGCCGATGGATTCCAGATTACCGGTGCCTCCAAGGGTCAATTCGGTGGTTCTGAAGAAGCCGAAGCCGAACTCGCCGCTCTTGAAGCCAAACAGGCCCTCGAAGCCGCCAAGGCTGCTGCCAAAGCCGTTCTTGCTGCCTCTCTCCTCGAAGCCGAAGAGGCTGAAGAAGTTGTTGTCGAAGAAGAAAAGACCTACTTCGATTACCTCAACGCCGAACTCCCAGCTTCTGACTTTGAGCTCAAATCCTTCTCTTGCAATGGTGAAACTTGCGATGTCGAGACGAACCTCGGCGTCACGTTCACTTGCCTTGACCGAGATGACGTTGTCGATTGCCGAGGTATCCGATACGCTGAGGCCCCAGAAGGTGCTCTCCGATGGAAGTCTCCAGTCCTCATCAAGTACGAAAACGAAGCCGTTGACGCTACTGAATGGGGTAACATGTGCGCTTGCCACCGATGCTACGGTGTCCAACAAGAAATCTCCCAGGAAGATTGTCTTACTGTCAACATCGCTGTCAAGAAGGACGCTCTCGCCAACTCTGAAGGTGTTCCAATCGTCTACTACCTCCACGGTGGCGGAGGAAACCACGGTTTCAACCGATATGACGCTTACGATATGGTCACTGAACAGAACGTTATGGTTGTCTCTGTTGCTTACCGACTTGGTATGTTCGCTTACCTCCTCCTCCCAGAAATTGAAGATGGCCAGAAATACCGATCCAACTTCGGTCTCCAGGATCAGCAGGGTGCTATGAAATGGGCTCAGAAATACGCTCCAATCTTCGGTGGTAACCCAGCTGAAGCCGTTCTTTCTGGTTCCTCCTCTGCTGGTGAAGCAGTCTGGTGGCACACAGTCCTCGAAGAGTCCTGGCCATTCTACAACAAGGTCAATGTTATGTGCATGGGTGTCAACAACGCCGTCAGCACTCAAGTCGGTGAGGATACCACCAAGCTCGTCCTCAAATTCCAGGGATGTGACACCATCGACTGCCTCCGACAGTACTCCCGAGAAGAAATCCGAGATGCTGCCAACAAGGCCGCTGGTACCGCCCGACACTCTTCCTCCAAGATCACTCTCGAACCCGGATTCGCCCCAGTTATCGATGGCAAGATGATCGTTGACGATCTTTTCACTCTTGTCTCCAGCAAGAAGATCAAGAAGCACACTCCTATCTCCTGGTCTTACAACGATCACGACCAATGGGAATTCAACCATCTCTCTTTCTTCACCCACAAGAACAAGTTCCTCTGGAGAGAAATCGAAGCTGTCGAAGCCGCTGAAGCCAAGGGCTTCGTTGTTCCATCCAACTTTTCTGACCGAATCCTCGAAGAGATCTTTGGCCCTGAAGCCGATGGTGTCAAGGAAGTTTTCGGATGCGCTGATGATGGTGAGACCAAGGAGTGCAACGTCCAGTACGATCGATTCCTTACTTCTTACGGATGGACTTGCAACACCCGAGCTGCTCTTGATGCCCTTCGAGTAAGTTGATTCATTTTTAAATTGTTGATTAAACTCATATTTAAAATTTTCTTGACGTTATTTTAACAAATAATTTTAGGGTGATGATGACTTCGGTCCAATCTACATTACCCAATTCAATGCCCGAAACTGCGCCCCAGACGAGAACGGAGTCTTCACCAAGACTTGCCACTGCACTGAAGCTCACTTCATGTACAACCAGAACTTCGTTGTCCCACGACTCGAAGGACAGTACACTGATGACCAGAAGAAGACCGACGAATGGCTCGCCACTGCTGAGATCCAGAACCTCAAGCAAGTCATGCGACAGACTTTCGGTCAGTTCTTCCGAGATGGTACTTTCCCAGAAGGCACCGTCCAGGAATTCAACAACGCTGGTCGAACCACCGTCAACACCATTGCCGAGTCCGCTGAATTCGCCTTCGAAGAGACCTTCGTTGATGAGTGTAACGCTCTTGACAACGCCTTCGGTGGACAATACCTTGAGCGAACCTGGCGACAACTCGGTGTCAACTGGCACTACTGGGATGCCAAGCCCGTCCAGGCCGTCTGCGAAGCTTAAACAACTTAAATGTATACCATCGTAATTATTTGCCACTATCACAAGTATATATTCTGAAAACTCGGAAAAACAATAAATTCCATCATAATACTTATGAATTTATCTCAAGAAAAAAGCAGGAAAAAGCAAGAATATAGCAAAAATTATGTTTTCGTCCTTGACACCTTAGTCGATCGCAGGTGACTTCCTGTAAATGAGCCCATCCATCGACAGGTTATAAATCAACGCCTTTGCAACCGTGTTACTTCGTGCCTTATCCCTCAAAGTGGTTTCATTTCAACACAAGTACAGCTGATTCTTCCTGTCTCTTATTCTAACAGCTGATTGTCTCCCTTTCCCTCGATCCCTTTTTTGTGCCTCAGTTGAACTAATTGAGTTGAATTCTTCTTTTTTAAAAGAAATCAGATAGACACCGAAGATGACCATTACTTTGGCTGAGCGAGAGCGAATAATCAAAAAGATGGACGAGCAGTTCGAGTCCGATCTTAGAATGCGAAAGGAATCCAACATCTGCGGACAGAAGGCCGCTTCTACTTACAAGCAGCTTTCCCTCCTCCAGAAGGTTCATTCTTTTTAATTTTGCAAAAAATTAAACTCCATATAGGAAATGCGAGATACCGGAAGCCACGTTATGGATCTCAAGGATCAGGCACGACAAAACGCAAGAAACATTGGTAATTTATATTCAAACTATTTTTATCTAAAAATAATTGAAGAGGCCATCTTGAACCGAGCTGACATGAAGATGTTCGACTAATACTCTTTTCTACGCTGCAAAAATCAACTGCGTGTATAAAAAATCTTTTATGAGTTTATTCACATTTTATATATGCTGTTGATGGCAAAAATACAAAAGATACAAGAGATTCATTTTAATGATGATGTTTGCGACGCTTTTTTCTTCTTTTTCCTCTTGATTTCCCTGAAGCTGTTGATTTTAATGCCTCCTTTCTCGCTGATTTTTGTGGATCATCTGGGACGATCTGAATATAAATTAAATAAGCTTGTTTAGCTTGGATTTTTACTTTAACTTCTTGCTCGTAAATATTTCCAAATTCGTCTTCATAATAAGAAACTCCCGGCTTCGATTCGAAGATATTTCCGTATTCATCCATAATCATATTATCCAAATTTGGGATTTTCCCAATAGAATCAATCTCGTTTTCGTAAAATGCTGAATCCATCGGCATAACGACATTATTCGGGAGATGGCGATTCCTTCTATTCGATCTATCCTTTTCTTCCTTTTTCTTTCTGTCCCGTTCTTCTTTCTTCCGTCGTTTTTCTTCCCTGGCTTCGCGTTTCTCCCGACGCTTTCGCTGATTTGTCTGCATCACGCCTAGCTTTTCCCACTTTGCAACGATGCCAAGTTTCTCCGTCGCCGACTTGAAATCTGCCCTTGATTTTGATCGTCTGAGTTTGCTAGTAAAACTTTGCGCGCTAAAAATAGGTCATTTTATATTGGCCGTTAAAATACCGCTTTCTCATTAACAATAATTAACACTTACAAATTATTAATTCGCACATTTGAAAAGGCTCCTTTGAACTTGTTTCTAGCCTCCGCCTTAGCACTTATCAGTCGCTTGATGGCATTATGATTGATGTTTCGTTCTATAAAAAAATTATTAATATGCGCCATCTTTTGTGTTCCTTACGGGCTGCTGCACGAAACTTGGAGATTGTGGAATTGTTTCGAACGGTTTCAGTCAGGGTCTCCATCTTTTCTACAAATTTGTTCTTCTTAGAATGAGCCTTTCGCGCTTTTGCTGACACTTCTCTTTTACTGGCTACAAATTTATGTGATCTTCTGTCAGAGCCACTTGCTGATTCTTCGGAGTCTTTGGACATTTCTGATTGCTTTCCTGGCTTCTTATTCTAAAAATAATTTCGCATTCTCTATCAAAAATTAGTAGTTTATACCTTGGGAGCAGTGCAACAGCAAAATCTTATGCACTTGATGCATCCTATTAAAAACAAAAGTCCACTAAGAGACCCAATAATTGCAATGCCAACAGTCGTTGTCGTGAAATTAACGAGAACAGCAACAATTTGTTTGAATCCTCCTCTTCCGGGTTTCACGTCGAGGTGAGTGAGTTGCTCTTCAGATGGAATTTCAACCTTCAAAAGATCCATCTCTATGAAATGACCGAGGGAATACGGGGAGACATTATTGTTGTGATCTTCAGCTTGGATCGCTATGTGCCAGGTACTTGTGTTGACCAAAGAGCATATGAAATGAATAAGTCCTTTGTGATTTTCTTCGAAATTTTTCACGACAAAGTTGTTCTTCGATCTTTGTTCGAACGAAACATTCAGCGTTATTTCTGTTGAACCAGAAAACTGAATTCCTTTTCTGCTAAAAACTTCTTCCTCTGTGTATTTCGTTGATTTTTCGCCAAGCTTTAGCTGAACCAGAAAATTTCTCCTGTAAATATCCTTTTTGGGAATGGAATCGATGTGAAAATGAAACTGCAGATCATTAGGTTCATCATCAGCTAGAAGCGACCGTTGTCGAACTCGGAGGATGTTGTTTCTTTCTTGAGCATTGAAATATTTTTCGCGGAATAATAGAAGGTGCGTTTTGATGTCAATCACATGATTATAGTCGATTTCTTCGAGGTCAAAAAGAATATTGAGTGGTGCATGCGGCGGGCAGATCATTTCATCGTTCGTTTTCTTGATTTCCACCTTGTTTAATCTTGTCTTCACTAGAATACTACAAGCGGATCAAAAAGTGGCCTGAACTTGCGTCAAAGGAAAAAAATTGACCCGCTTTCTTGTGTCAGCGAAATCTTGTGAATAAACATGCAAAATCTTGTAGCTCATTCTTGTAGTCGCATCCTCCGAGTGCTCCCAAGATACTTGATATTCGTCTTCGTTCTCTTGTACTCGAACTCCTCGCACGTGACCAAGAGCGAAACTAGATGAAAGTGGTGTTACACAATAGAAACCATCGGCGATTTCGTCGCAGTCAGCTTTTCTTGGTTCATTTGAGCTGAGAATAAAGCATTGACTTCCTTCTTTCTCAAGCCATATTCTATTTCCATTGGCTCCAAATGCAGTTGATGGGAGTCGAAAAGCTTCATTGTATGTTAAATATCTGCCATAGCCACATTTTGCCCCTGGATAAGCAAACTTCATCCGCTGTTTTGTGAATTGTAAGCATTGTCTTTCAATTACAAATCCTTTACAGTCAGGCTTCACGTCTTGTAAAGAAAGAGTACTGTGCTTTTCTATCTTTTCGTTCTCTGATTCTGCCGTCAGCTTTATTATCAGTCCTGTTGTACACTTTATCTCGAGTCCGTATCTTGATGGACGCTGGATAACATTCGGACAGGGGAAGGGCTCAGCAGTTGCCGTGAACCAGGTATCGTTTTTATACAAATCAGAGATTTTTCCATCGTCGAGGAGCTGTATTTCTTCTCGATATAGATAGGACGCATTGACTTGATTGGAAAAAATCTCTGCAACGACCTTTAGTGGCTGGATATTCGCGAATGATGCGGTCATGAAGACTCGATTGTCAGATAAACGATGGGTGATCAGCTTGACCACTGGATCCGATGATGATGATTTGGCAATGATCTTACAATCCACTAGAAGACGTTCAATAAAATTGTTTTCCAGGTATAATGCGGATTTAGAAACGTCAACTTCGTAGTCACCAATTTCTAGCTGAAACTCTTTGGTAACGTATCCAGCGAAGATTTCACTTGGTTCATGGAGAAGCATTCTTTCCCATCCAACATCGTTCCGAATAATGATTTGCGTAATGAGTCGTTCTCGCATGATTGTAAATGCATTCATAAGTTCTTCCCTCGGCATCGATCTGACGAAACCATCGGAATCTTTGAGAGAGAAGCCAACGACTAAATAGACCGATCTGGGTGTCGATAGAGAGAATTTGTATTTCTGCCCTTCATTGGAGATGAAGGGGATGTTCATCGCGCTACGAGACTTATCATTTGCCAGATCGACGGCAAATTCTAGCGCTGAAATCTTGTTTTCTTTGATACTTCGCTTCGTCGGAAGAACAAGCTCTTTCCCGCCTGAAAGTTGGACCATGTTGGTATACCAATCGTCGCCCAGTCTTTTCCCACTTCCGAAGACGACTCTATGTATTTGAATCAATCCGTTCACCACCATCGGCTCAATTGCACTCATCACGGAGGAAAAGCGAACGCCAGGCTCTGCGTGGTCCAGAATGATCACCTCGCCGCGCGTGTCTTCATTTCTTATTGTATCGTCGAACGAGGAAGTGATTTGGTCAATAGCATCGTTAGTTGCATTTTCAAGTAGAATGTCGGACTTCGATGAATAGGGAGCGACTTCAAGCGGCAGCCATTCATGAATCTCTTGCATCTTGCGCTCGTCAATTTTCTATCAAAAGAAAGTCATCCAGAAGAATAATTAATCTCTACCTGAAGATCGGTATATCTTCCGCTAGGCCACGACTTCAATCCATCGCCTCTCATAGCAATAAGTCCAATTCTGAAGTCATCATTCTTAGCGATAAAAATAAGCACCCGAATAAAACTCAAAATTTGTGCAAAAATTTCGCCAGAATCTCCATTCAAAGGCATTGCATTGAAAACAATGACGATTTTTCTTGAAGCTCTGATGACTGGTTGGATCGTCAGCTTTTTCAGCTGATCATCGTCGAGCTTTTGTGCAAAATCGGGTTGGTTCTTGAGGATTTGCCAAGTTGATTTACGATCGCAGAACATATTCTGGGAAGTTGGCGCTATGGACACGTGATCTTCGTCCGTACAAAATGAGACGGTGTTCTTCTTACGACTTGGAAAATAAACCTCATTAGAGGAGTACATAATCGTTGGATTTGATTCAGTACATTGTGTGTTTTTCTCTTCGTAAAATCTGTCAAAGTATGAAGTTTTATTATAAATCGGGCGCTCGTCAAAAACTCCCCATTTAAACTTCGCCCATTCTTGCAGAATCTTAATCATCCTCCATTGATGATAATTCTTTGCGCCATCTTCTGTTTTTAGCTCGGTGATCTTATAGTTTCGAATAAATTTCTCCGAAATAATAATTTGGTCGCCGGGAATTTCGCAGGGAGTGGGTTTCTTTGCTTCGCAAATTTCTCGCTCAGAATCGACAATTCTAATCGGCACGAGATATCGGTCAGGTAGCTGGGTAACCTTAGGGTCGAGAAATTCAGTCGGTGGATTTTGCTTTGGATATTCCAGGAAGATCTCTGTTAGGCGAATTTGCCTGTCTGTGCTTTCATACAGAGCCGTAGCGAATTGCTGGGTGAACTGTTTCAGCGAATTGTAAAACGCTAGAAAAAAAATTTCCTAAGAATTAATGACTAAATAAGCATACATGTATCGACTTTGACATCCTCATCGATGACGACGTGAAAGTTGGAATAGTTTCCCTTCTCTACCAGTATATCAGGCCGAAATGCAAAAACGCAGTGAAAAAATATCAAGACTCTACAAGTAGTTTGCCATAATACCATTGAAATTGAGCAGTGCTTCGAAAATAGATAGTGAGTAGTGCGGTCAGTGCATTTGAGAATTTGCGTGTTAAATATTCAGACTGAGTTGGGCTTCAAGGAAAAACTCTGGTTTCTTTCAAGCCCAGCAAGTACCTGATTAATAATGAGCAGTACTGGTAATTTTTCTTTCAAAATGGAATAAGCACTGCCCGCTTTCTCACGTGGACAAGAAATAGATGCTTCAAATTTAATATAAAATATTTTTTATATTCAAATTCTCAGTGATTCAAGAGCGAAATCTTCGGAAGCAGATACGATTAATTTCCCTTTTGAATCGGTAAATATGCACTTCATCAGTTGAAATTCCTGTATTATGATGAAAGAGCGTTCTTATTGAAATGGATGGGAATGGTGGCCGTTTTTACGAGCACCTTAGCATCGGAAACTGCAATTAATTAAAGTGCCACAATCTTCTCTCTTTATTGGGGGGTCATTAGACATCGCGCGGCGGCGGGTCTCCTCGCCCGAGCTCTGGAAAGACCAGAGCGGAAAAACGGGCGGCTTCGCGTCTTCTTTGGTCTGATCAAGCGGATCCAAGCAACTATCATAAAACTTCTAGTAAAAATGACTGTAACGTAAACAGCTATTTGTAAAATGGGAAGATCTAAGAGGGGAAATTAGGAGATCAAGATTGAGATCTTGATTTGCGATTTTACTCTTGAATCCTTCTTTCTCTTTTTTTCGAATACACAATCGATAGTAAAAATATAGGAATTTTGTTTATTACTGTATTTTCATTTATTTGATTTCAGTCACAAGACGAGTTCGGAAAGCATGGAATGAGATTTAAATATCGATTCATTTAAAAAAAAAAAGAAGTCAAAAAAACGGTAGATCTCAATTTAACGTGTGTCTGAAACGATCCACCCAGGTCTTATATGTTGAGGCTATAAAATATTTTTACGGTTTCTGGGGAGGATTTAAACTTTTTCGGCGCTTTCATGGCCTCATGACTCTGAAAGATGGGCACATAATAATGACGTGGGAACGTTTTGTTCGGCTAGACTGAAACATTTGACATTGGCGGGAATAAGTGGCTAGTTTTTAGAATATTGTGGGTAGATCTGTCATAATTTTCATCATTTGATTCAGAGGAAGTGAATCTGTTGAAGCAGGGTAAGGAAAACTTTCTATCTTCCTCAATCTACAAGACACTTGAAAATCGTGTGAAAGCAACTGTACTTATACGAATGAAAGCAGCGTAATATTCCGTCGAGAAAGCAGTTTTCCGTGAGATCCCCGTCTTCCGAGGATTTTACCGAGACAAAGGAGCTCTATTTTGAGTCGCATCAAATTTTCTAGGGCGCAATTTTTCGCGATGGTTTTGTATAATAATGGCCTTGAAAAAATCGGACACGGTGGGTGAGGAGTAGCAATGGGCTAAATCCGAGGCTCTATTCTTCTGGTCTTTATTGAAAATCTTGAAAATTGGCCGATTGTTGAATTTTAAGAACAATTTATAGCGGCCTGTTATAGATGAGTAACTGTAAATAAAGCGCCAGTCAACCGAAAAAGAGCCAAACCAAGGCCAGAGACCAAGACACGGTTTACTTAGCGTCTCCCTCACCAGATCATCTAGCTACCCATTCAGAAATAAATAAAGAAAAACAGATACAATCGAATATTTTTATTGCTCCCTTTTGAAGCTCGCGCCTGAGCTACTAGAATACAAAGACAAAATTACGGGGTTCAAAGAAGAGTTCCACGACTCGAACAAGAGGGAATCGAAGAAGATTGAGGACGAGGATAATTTGGAAGAACAGGAGTCAGAAGATATGGCAGTGATGATAAGCCGGACTGGATTTCTTGTTGATCTCAAAATAGGTAAATGAAGCTAGCTAGACATAAATCGGTAGACGTAAAATCTATCATTGAATTTCGTCAAAGTGTCAATTGCGGCAAGGGATGCATAGCCGGAAAAACTCCTTGCCGTAATTCATGATTTGCCGCATCTTGAGCTTTTTGCGTGAGAAAATCTAAATGATGGTCATTCAGAAATATAAATGTTCATAATTTTCAAGTATAAAATCTGCTAGTCTCTTTTTAACACCTTTCTACTTGAATCTCTTTTCTCCATCGATCCGAAAGATAGGATATCTTAAATCTTGCCTTTAAATGCAACATTTTACGGCCGTAAATCTGCCCTAGACAATGGCGAAATAAAAATCCGAGAATATAATTACCAGCAAGATCATAAACCATAAAACACCCAGCTCCACACTCTCCTCATTTTTCATCATGTCGCAGCTCAGGATAATTTTGCTTTTTCGTCGAGAGATTCAGAAGATAGAGACTTTAGGAATTTTGTAGAAGATACTACTAGTCATCGAGTGGATTTCGTAGCTTGGCGAAAAAATGAGATTCATAAACCTAGAGGTAGGTAGTCATTAAATCAGGTGCACCTGTGCTTGGGAGCTGGTGAAGGGGCGAGTTATTTTCGACTTTTTCTGCGCATCGCGTTGTGCTACCGACGGAGATTTACGAGCGGCATCGGATGAGCTACTTACGAAGTAGTGAAAAACTCGTAAAAATCGGCAACGCGCGCGCTCACGAAAAAAATGAAAACTGCTCGCAAAAGGTTAACTTTTCTGAGCCAGTGGTTCCCCGCCTGTCAAGAAACGGGCCGAATAACATGTGGCTAAGAAGTTATTCATAGCCTCCTTGCTCAGATTTTGCATTCGAAAAGCTTGATCGTCTCAGATTTAGACTAAAAACTCTGCAATGAATGAAGTTTCATAACAAATGAAAGAGGTTAGCTGAAGTGTCTTCCTCATTTTTTAAAATAGAAGCTCGTCTTTTGCCTGAGAAAATTCTAGCCCCGGAGTAAATGATAATGAGCCTGATTTATTGCGGTCGGATTGCACCGTATTTGGAATTTATGATCTCCATCATAATTTTCCACCAGTTTTTATTGTCCTTTCCTTCTTCTGATCGGACTTGTTTCCGGTCTTCATATTCGGTTAATTTTGCCCTTGAAGCTCAGCTGGGAATATATTTTGATCTTTCGGGCTTATCTCAGCCTCATACATCTTTCTATTCTCGTCTAAGTCTACTTCTTTTCGCTGGGCCACGAAATTTTGATCAATCGACGGTTGAATTTTTGACAAACGCCCAAGACGGAGCCACGCCAATCCAGAATTAATTCCTTATTCTGCTTGATAGAGTCTGCTTGAATCAACTTCTTGATCAATTATTTCCTCTGCGGAAGCGCTAGAATTTATAAATAAGTCGCCAGGCTGTGCGTTATTATATAATCACTGTTACCCTTTTGAAATCATAAAAGTTAAGCCAACTTGGCGGATCATAAAAGCATGATCTTTGGCGGATCTTCTCAGAAGGGATAATTTACGGTTTTAATCTTTAACATGGCTTTCAAAACTTAGGTGTCAGTCGCGACTGTCTATCATCAGGAAGGAGGGAATTCTTTGATCTTCTTCTTCCTTCTGCCTCAATTTTTAGTAAAAACTTTTTACCCAAGAAAACCCAAAATATGAGGGATAAGAAAGCTTAAAACGATAAGATCACCGAGTTCTCTACATTATTTTTTTGATCTATAAAATAATCCATTTCTGTTGGTATTCATTTTATATAAATGGTAAAGAAAAATATTACACTTATGGCTTCTTTTTCTTCTTGGCAGACTCTGACCAACAATGACCTAGACTTCATCCCCTCATCAAACGCCCATTTCGAGATAAAAATACATTTACAACCTTTGTGCGAATTTACTACTTTGGTATTCAAAAGGGAAATCCGTTTCTTACGACGTCTGATATTTACTACTAGTAGGGCAATTATCCCTGCGTATTATCACGTGTGCCCTAATTATATTGCCCTTGCGTAGATTGATTAACATAGAGAGGCCCTTATCAGTGCTATCGGTTTTTGATGCTGCCGAAAGGGAGGGAGCTAGATGCGTCCTCTGGATTGGTCCCAGGATCGAAGGGCTACCGGACGGTGGCGCCCCCTGTCGGCCGGCGTCCCGCCGACGGCTCTCGACTTTTGAACGCATTCTCGCCGCTTTCCAATCATTTTTCGTTCAACCTAAGTCCTCCCTCCGAGGCAACACCCATCATTCCAGAGCCTAGAGATAGAACACCCTCCACGATTTCGTTCCTTACCATGGATTCGCCCCAGATCGCCCAGTACCCCAACGCTGGGGGAGGCCATACCCCGGTCACGGGCGGCTACGACGAGCGAGTTTATGCATCGCATTACTCTCTCCAAGGGAATCACATGCAAACAGGTAGATAGCGAGCTTGTGAGCCGTGCTCAAAGTCGTTGAAGATATTTACGGATATTTTTATCGCAATTTTTATCGTTTGTAAATTTATGAGCTTTACGATCATCAAAATCATAAAAAAATAACTTGGAAAAACGCTTTACAGATCAAAAGAGCCTCATTCACAGCCAGAGGAAAAAAGAGGCAATGAACACCAGAACTAAAGAGTTTTTCTTCAGGACAGAGCATTCAAACAGAAGCGCACCAGGCCCCGTCTGCGATCCAGTCTACCGTCTTCCCGAGCATCGGCTTTGTGAATTCCAATGGACGATATGTGAGTGTAAGAAAACTTGTAGTCTTCCTTGATTTCGAGATGCGAAATTTGTCAACCGGCATTTTCCGATGCAATTTTTCTTGATTTTCAAGATTCGAGTGAATTTTAAAATCAAAGCTTGATTCGAAAATTGCCAAATTTGCAGAGAACTTGCCTGAAATAATCATGTTTTTACAGTACGACACAGAAAACGGTGGATATGTGACGCTCCAGCCCGTCGATCGCCCAACCGCTGTAGAGTTCACATCTGCTGAAGGAGTTGAATATACTCACCAAGATGCGGTAAGTTTGACAAAAAAATTCTAGAGTTCAACGAATCATATCCGCGCACAGACACAAAAGACTAGTCAGAGCACTCCCTGCACTGTACGCGGCTCACTAATTGCTAAACAATCACCAAAGGGAATAATTGCTGCGTTGATCTGCCCAAAAGTCAGAATTATTTATTGCTAAACCTCTGGGTTACCGATTCTCATAGGAAACGTCGAAATGAATATTTCTGGTAGAACAGGGTTTATCCTGTCCGCGAAAAGCTTACCCTGTCCTCTTACTTAAGGGGGAGGTCGTCGAGAAATTTTTTACGCCTTTTCAAAATTTTGATTATATTTTTGGATTCCTCGATAAAAAAGGAGTATTTTTGGTCTCTAGCTTTTTCTCAATTTGTTAACTTTTTAATGTGAAATTTTCGATTTTAAGTCTCGAACTTGAAATTTCTTGAAAATTATTAGTTGGTGATTTCGTCCAAAAACTATCTGAAACTGATTATTATGCACTAAGGATTGTTTTAAAATGATTTCTGACTAATTATTCTTAAAAAATCCTAGTCTTTGTAATTTTTGTAGAAATTTCCATGAAAAAATGGCTAAAAATGTCGATTTTGACGAAAATCGAATATTTTTAATCAATAAGAAAAAAATTTTTATGAAAGTTACCCCTAATTTTGTGATCGCCGGTTAATTTTAAGGGGGAGGTCGACGAGAATCGGGATTTCCGTGACCAAAAATGCGGAGAAACCCGATTAGATAGGAAAATTCTGACTTTTCGGATTGAAAGAAAAGGGTTTGAAAAATTAACCGGCGAAAAGCAAAAAAAAAAAAATTTTGAAAAATTTTTCAAAAATTAGGGTTGAAGTGGGGGTGTCTCTTGACCAAAAAATCTCGAAAACCGAGTTTTTTTTTCTTCATCAAATATAATTTATAAATAGTTTAGACCCTTAAAAATTAACCGGCGATCAAAAAATTAAGGAGTACTTTCATAAAAAAATTTTTCTTATTGATTAAAAATATTCGATTTTCGTCAAAATATACATTTTTGCCGATTTTTCATGGAAATTTGTGCGAAAATCACAAAGACTCGGATTTTTTTTTAAATGATTAGTCAGAAATCATTTTAAAACAATGCCTTGTGCATGATAATCAGTTTCAGATAGTTTTTGGACGAAATCACCAACCAATTATTTTCAAGAAATTTCAGTTTCGGGACTTAAAATCGAAAATTTTACATTAAAAAGTTAACAAATTGAGAAAAAGCTAGGGACCAAAAATACTCCTTTTTTATCGAGGAATCCAAAAATATAATCAAAATTTTAAAAAGGTGAAAAAAAATTTCTCGACGACCTCCCCCTTAAATTTACTGAGGCTTGTCGTGAGTCGGACTCGGCCGGATATTATGTCTTATCAATCATAAAATCGGCTTATCTCGAATCTGCCCTTGATCAAGCTACGCATTTTTTACGATTTACAATACCCATCGGTTTCTCTCTCCAATTTGCGCTGAAAGCTTTAGAGAAACTTTTATAAGTTTTATTAGACGCGCTAGAATCCGGCCACAGGTTTTTATAACCATCCGGTTTTAAGACGCACCGCTACCGTATTTCACGGTCTTCGTAAAACGCACTTTTTCCCAAGAAGGCAATTTAGGGCGGAAAGATGAAACGGAAATCTTTAACTGTAAAAAAATCACCTCCTAACCATTTGCATTGGTCTAAAATTCGTCTTTAGAATTTTGACCGTTACTTCTTGCCGTACAGCCGCCCAGACCGAAATCAAAACAATGCTACTGCACATTCTACAGCTTCTAAACACACGGTACTAACCTTATCTCCTTCTTTTTCCTCTTGTTTACGGTCTTATTTAGGAAGGCCACAGTACCTTGGCCCTCTACGATGCTCCAAATGTTTATAACAACGGTGGATACGTCTATGTCCCGCAAACTACCTATGAAGAGCAACAGCGAGTCTCGCCAATTTCCGTGAAGACGGAAAACATCAGTCAAGATATTCAAACTCCTCGAGTTTCTGCCACCAGTCAAGCGAGTGCGACCAACATCGGTATCATCACAAAGTCTGATGGTAGCGAGGGAGCTCCGAAAAGCATTGATAACGCTGGACGATTCATGAGTCCGAATCCGAACTCGACCATGGAAGACATGGAAGAAACTGGCACACCAAGAGTAGGACGAAAGGTAATGATACATCGCTCAAAAAGATCTCTAACTTTTTTTTAAACAGAAACGACGACCTTACACAAAACTTCAAATCCAAGAGCTCGAAACCGAATTCCGTCGAACCGAGTTCGTAACTCGAGAACAGCGACAGGAAATCAGCCGCCGCCTGACCTTAACAGATCGTCAAGTTAAAATATGGTTCCAGAACAGGAGAATGAAAGAAAAGCGACTGCGTCAACGAGGACATTCTCCGAGAACTCGGGATCGTCACCAGATGGATTCTGCTGAGCAAATGGAACATGGAAATAGCCCTTCTACGATGGACGGAGAAAACTACCAAGATGAAATCGGACAAACCAGTGAGGCGATGGATGTTGTGGATATTCAACCTGCTGTTCAAGTTTCTAACAATGGTGAGTTCGGGTTCATTTTTACACTGTAGATACCCGTCACCGTGCTTTCCCCGCCCGTAGCTTAAAAATATCAGAGCTGCCAAAAGTGATGGAAAGCTAGGTACTCGCGCGTCACTTTCCTCTTCCGCAAGGCGCGCCTGGCTCCCCACCCGTTGAGAGCCATAAACCTGTCTAAATTAGGGATCAGCCAGTGTCCACCTTATTCCTGATAGAAAATTGACACCTTGTCCCGACCTCTTGTCAGAAAATCGTAAAAACTTGCTCAATCCGGTGAAATTGCGCGATCATCATTATTTCCTCGATGACCTTTGGCGCTTAGCTGCTGTCCAAATTTTGATTATCTCTTCTTTGGAGGCAGTAATAATTATAAAATTCATGGTTATAGCCCGGGCTATGTCGTTTTACGATCGCGCGTCAAGAATAAACCCTTGTTCCATTAGTGTGTCGCTGGTACACGTGATTTACATTTTGGGACTTAGTCACTAATCACTGCCTTTCTGAAGTTCTTGTAAAGATCAAACGCCGGGATCGGGGAAGAAGCGCGCAATCATGAAAGACGTCATAAAATACATTGATCCTTGTCTTCCAAGATTTTGAATTTCAAACGCTTTTTTAGTAACTGGTCAATTTCACGATCCAAACACTGGCTATGTCTACGTCATGACTACCGAGCACCAGCAAAATGCAATGTGGCGATCCGCTCCTGCTCAGTACACCCAGCAAGGGGTCGTCATGCAGCCCTTGATCAGCCAGCCCAACGGAGATGTTCTTCACGAGCAAAAGTGGGGCCAGCTCTACGCGCACCAGGAAGATCATCTGGCCCATGAAGAGCACCAAGTCCCACCAGTCGTTTCAGAACAGCACATGCCAACAATCACCTATCAAGAGGCTCCACCAATTCAGATGCAGGAAGAAACCTCTTCGCCCGAAATCCCCAAACAGCAGCAACAGCCAGAAGCAACCAACCCTCCTCTCGAACAAGCTCCTCCTGCTCCCGAAGAACAGCAAACAGACCTCCCAAAGGAGGATCAAAATGCTCTTACTCCCGTTCCCCAGTCTGTCATCAGCCAAGAATCCTAGGCGCTATTCTAAATTAAAATGCTGGCTGAATGATCTTCCATTTTATATAAAAAACTTGCCAGTGTTCATAATTAAACTTATTATATCCTTTAAACCACACCACATCGCAATGTAAATATAAAAACCTATTCAATAAATAAAATATTTGCCAGAAAATGCGCCTCTTCGTTGATTCTAGTACGAGTAACAACGGTACATAGCAAAATGTCAGGAGAATTCGGGAAAGGTTTAGGAATTTTGAGGAAAGGTTAGCAAGTGAGCTTTTAAGATTTTTTGCAATCGCGTGTTTCGAAAAAAATCCGCGTTGGCCTTTTACTCTGACGCTTGAGACATGCGCTAGCTTTTTGTCTTTACTGGCGAATCGGAGCAGTTTAACTCTGTTAGGAATGAGGCTTCCAGTTTCATATAAAAATAGCAATTTATTGCATAGAAAAATAAAAAAGGAAAACAAGCAAGAACAAAAAGAATGATTATTTCTGCAGGAGTTGAATGGCTTCTAAAAAGGCGAGTCGATTTTGCTCAAGAAGTTGTTGAAAACGCTTCGTATCTTTTGAGCGACCTTGAATTTGAGCTTGAAGAACCGCTCGAAGGCTTCGTAAATCATCCGCCAGGAGTTCGTCAGAGGATGTTCTAATTAAAAATCAGAAGTTTATCCTTTCGGGTCATTTTTACCTATCAAAACGCTCGATAAATGATGATAGCTCTTTACGGCACTCGTCGAGGTGTTCTTGAGCAAGAGCTTTCTCTCGCTCGAGGGTTTGAATTTGAACGTTACTGGCTGTATCGTGAGCTTCAAGATCCAAACTATCGCGCTCTATATTTCGCTTGACTTCTACCTCTCCGCTGACAATTGATTTCTGCAAGTTTTCATTTTCATTCCTCAATGTCTTTCAAAAATGGTTAAAATTTTAGTTCAAGAAGGAAAATACCTCGCAAGCTCCGTGAAGCTGATCAATTTGCTCTTCTTTTCTAGCGACAGTTTGCTCCAAAATGTTGATTTTTTCTTTCAAATTTTTGATCTCGGTCAAAGTTTCTTTGCTCTCAAGCTTGACAGTTGGGCCTTTTGGAATCTCGTCCGAATGAACAGCTGCTGGAATTTGTTTGATTCGCTGGGAAAGAGCCTCAATTAGTTCGTCGTCATGTTTTGTCTTTTCTTCTAGTGCTTTTTCAGGTTAAAATTGTCCAAGTGAAATCTTTTTGAGACTTTTTCGAACCTTCCCTAAAGAGTGTTCTTTCAAAACTCGCTGGTGATTCGTAAGAGTTTGGCATCGAACTTTTACTTGTTGAACTTTTTGCGTCAGATCTTTGATTTGGTCATCTTTACTGCTTATTTCAGCCTTGTGCTTTTCCACTGTTTCTTTGTGCAGTTTCGTCAATTCCTAATTCAAACGTAAGGAAACTTGCAAACGATTTGGATTACCTTCAGCTGCCCCGGAACTGCGCTTTGTTGACTTTTTGATCTTTCAAGTTCTGACCAGCTGGTTCAATTTTGTAACAGAGAACAGATTTTCTGTTGCGATATTAACTGATGAAAAGAGAAGTTTCATCTGTCATTGATGGACGCTCGCATAAATAGGCAATCGACGACCCACCAGCATCACCATTTTAAAATGAAACGTTTTAGAAAAGGTCTTTTATCAAAATGATTTTATAAATATTTTTGATGAATGCATTTTTCTACACTGAATGAAGAAAATCAGAAGAAGACATTCGACATAGACACATGCTGAATTATTATGACTTTCATACTCCGCGAAGGCTTAACCCGGACAAAGATTATTTTTCAAGCCCGAGGCAGCACCATGCGGTACTCATAATCCTCTTCTCTGCTTCAAAACATTCTTCTTATAAAATAAAATGGAAATCTATATTTCAACACCGAGAAAAACGAGTACGCTTACAATTATAATTTTTACTCTTTTGGGATTTTTCTTGAGCTCTGCAATTTATTCAAAGGTGGACGTGTGTGAAAAAAGAAAATCAAGAGAACGTTTTCCATTTTAGTATCAGAGATTTTGATTTTCAAAAAAGTACTCAAGAGATCTTTACAAAACAGTCTGTAACTCTCAGGAAAGCCTTTTAATCTCAGAAACATGGCTGTTGATTTTGAGTCCTTTGGTTTTACCCGGCATTTTTTTCCGGGCAACCCGCAGATTTTTCTACGGGTTACTCGGGCGGAGACCCGCGCGAGTAAATCGAGTAAATGGGTAAAGGATAATCGCGAGTTACTCGCGTAAATTTTGAGTAGAAAGAAAAAAATTAGCTCGTCTGATTGGCTAGAGAAAAAGGGTTGCGGGTAATCGCGAGCTACTCGGCGGAAAGGATAAGTCAAGTAGCGCGGGTAGCCCGTGAAAAGACTCTCCGTGCGAGTAACCCGCTAAAAAATCTGCGGGTTGCCCGAAAAAAATTGCCGGGTAAAACCAAAGGACTCAAAATCAACAGCCATGCTCAGAAATATAAAACGAAAGAACTTATAAATAAAGGCTTATTAAAGTGGTCAAAATTGGAAAACGCCTTAAGTAGCAAAAAATTCGCCTATCCTTCAAGTCTTTTGGCGCTAGAAACAGACGATGAATCCTCCGGTGATTCAAATTATGAGCCGTATGAGAATCTAGACTGGGAAAGCGAGTACGAAGCTAGAAAGATACGATTACGCGAGTTGTGCCAAACGGAAGAGTTCAAACCCGAATTTTCTGTCCAAGGAATGTGTTTTAAAAAGGATTTTTTTCTTGTAGACATAGATTTAATAAAACCGAAAAAGATAGTTGGAGAAATGGGTCAAGCCCTGACGTGCGCTTTGTCGTTGATGAAAACAACAAGGTACTTTACTGCGAGCTCCCGAAAGTTGGCTGCACAAATTGGAAGCGAACGATGCTTCAGCTTATCCAACCGAATACCTTCGGAAAACTAGCGTTCGATGACATAAAAGGGCCTCACGGTCACTACGGAGAAGAGGGCTACAAATACATTACAGAATGGCCGGCAGAAGAAAGGCTAAAAATGGTGGATAGCTTTTACAAATTTATTTTTGTCCGTCATCCGCTTGAACGAATCTTATCGGCTTACAGGTAATCCTTCGAGAAAACGTCCTCTTGAGTAAAAAATTCATAGAGACAAGGTTCAATACGATTTCCTAAGAAATCTGCCTTTCCAAATCCCCGGAAAAGTAAAAGATCACGACGCTGATGAGTTCATGGATCTCGACAAAGAAGGCTTTCATGCTTTTGTCAAGAAAGAGTTCAACAAAATATGAAAGAAATCTATCGAAAAAACCAAGGTGAACTCAAGAAAAGTATTTGACAAAAAGAGTAGACCTTGCTGCAGGAGGATCGCGAATCCGGCATTGGAAGAGATATGTTGATCTTTGTGGCATTTGCTCATTTGATTGGGATTTCATCGGAAAGTTAGAAACGGTCAATGAGGATTCGCAGTTTGTTCTTGAAGGTGAAACACTTCTAAATAGACGGAGGTTAAAATCTTTTAAGATATGAAAGTTAGTCATCTAGCGGAGTACCCAACGAAGAATCGGACTACAGATCACTCGATGATCATCCGATACTACAAAGGACTCGGTCGACACTGGCTCGAGAAGATTTACGAAACCTACAAGCCCGATTTTGACCTCTTCGGATACGACATCCCTCATTATCTCATCGACATTCAATAGGAAATTACCAAATAAAGTTAAAAAAATTGAACCATCCCTTTGATTCGACTTTGCAGGGCCATAATCTGATTCTGTCGACCTTTCCAGTTCCCATTCAACAGGGAAGAAGCTGAAGTAAAGTTCTCGCCAAGCTCTTGCTCAAGTATTTTCTTCTGAGACTTGATCTCCAGTTGAAGTTGTTCAATTTGAGTTTGCAGTTCCTTTTCTCTCCTTGCTTTTTCTCGCAGCTCTGCTTCATATCTTTTTGACAAGTTCTGTAGGGAAAATGCGCTCGCACTGTCTTCAAATCGGTTAAAAATTGCGCTAGAAAACAAGGAAGAAAGTACGAAGATTCAACCGTTTCCTGACACATTAGAGTCCATATTATTTTGCTTCAGTTTTGCCGCCAAAAGGTCATTTTTCGCCTTCAGCTCTCGATTCTCTTTCTCCGAGTTTCTGACCTTTGTCTTTGCGCTTTCCATTTCAGCTGTTATGTTACGGACTTTCTTGCTGAGCTCAATGATCTTTTTTGCCGATTGTCCAGCGTCGCCAGAATCGGCTGCCTTCGCTGAACTGAGGTACAGTTGCTTTTCTTCGCGGAGAGACTTGTTTTCCTCTGTAAGAAAATCGTTATAAAGAAAGTGAAGTTAGAAATGAGTACCCCTGTATTTTCTGATATCATGATCGCTCTCTTCTAGTGCTCGATACAACCGACTCAATTCCGACTGTAATTCCTGCACATTATTCAGGTCCAAGCCCCCTTCCATTCTCTTCTAAAAACTAAAGTTGAGCAAACTCGAAAATGAAAAAAGTAAGGGGACACCCGGGTTTGAACCGGGGACCTCTCGATCTGCAGTCGAATGCTCTACCACTGAGCTATATCCCCACTGAGGAAGCCACTCCAATTCGGATATTTGATTTGATTGCCCGGCAAAACCGGATCTGTTGCCACAATAAACCGGCTCAAGCGGTGAAATTTAATTCAAATAACCAAAACTCCCTGGCATCACCAGTGGGGATATAGCTCAGTGGTAGAGCATTCGACTGCAGATCGAGAGGTCCCCGGTTCAAACCCGGGTGTCCCCTTACTTTTTCAAAATTTTCATAAAAGAGGATGATTTTTTAATTTCAACTTGGATTTTTTTATTTTGTTGCTGAATTGAGTTTATTGGACCTTGGCAAGGTTCAAGTTTTAAAGTCTAATATAGCAGAAATAGAAGTTTTATCAGTCTAATTAATTTGATAAGAGCATGCGTAAATTCTAGAGCTCGTCTCTCTTCTCAGGCGGATCAGAAGACTCATTAGCCCCGTCATTTTCAAGCTTTGCTTCGGTTTCCTCGATCTTTGATTGTGATTCTTCGAGTTTAGCCTCGGTTTCCTTGAGCTTTTCTTCAGAGTCTTCGAGCTCTTTTTTCAGCCGCTCAACTTCTTTTTTATTCTCTTCGACCATTTTGGTTGCAGCTTCGTTTAGCTTTTCAAAGCGTTTTGCTGCTCTCATGACATCATTTTCTTTTTGCGCCTTCATCACAGCCGGTTTAATTACTAAAAAATCATATTTTGTCGATTTGGCAGAACTTACTTTCAAGTCTTTTCCAGAGCTTGTTTCTGATGGGCCCCATTGTCGTCTGATCCATGTGTTCGTTTGGATCTCGACCGGGAAGGGATTCGCGGAATTGCTCGTTTACCCAGAATAAGAAGCCAGTGACGTCGTTAAATTTCGAAGAACTACCGAATTTTTGCTTGGACATTCGCACCACCGAAAATGTCAGCTCAAAGTCCTCCTGAAAAATGATCAATCAACCATCAGAATTAACAGTTATCCTACCTCTTCAGCATCATCAGCTGGTTCTTTCCCCAAAGGAACGAGAATATCCGGAAATTCATCGATCATCTCAGTTGGGTAATACTCTGGAAAGACTTTTCGCAAGTCTACGAGTTGCTCAAACTTTATGAATGCGAATTTGAACGAGTCGCTGAAGTAATGGGAAATTGATCGCGCAATGGCTGGAATTCCTTCGACTTCTTTGTCGTAAAGCAAGAAGATCACAGGGAATCGGGGCTTCTTTTCTTCCCCGTAGAGGGAGTTTGTTAGAAAAGCGTCAATATTAGAAGGGTCTTCCTTAGAGAAACAGTAAAAGTAAGGAAAGAAAGGAAGGAGCTTACAATGGTTGTATCGAAGGTCAGTCGTTGAAGATTCTTGACGGGGAGGCTTTCAACCGCTTTTTCGATCGCAACAGAAAAGTCGTCAGTAATCACGGGTCCTTTCTTTTTTGCCTCTCTTGTCCAAGGATACACCAAGGCCTGAAAATTGAATATTTATCTCAAAACTCAGAAGAAAACTTACTTTAGGTTTGCCCTCGTAGCCGAATCTTTCTTCCAAATTCTCGCCCCATTTGTCAAAAAACTTTCCGAAGAAGACTAGTCCTCTGTATTTCATCGCGTATTCTTTCCAAGCGACGGGGATCTGATGCTCCGGCGCAATGACGACGATCCATGGATCCACTGATTCGAGTATTCTTTGGTCGAAATTTTGGTCAGTGATTTTCCACCAGTCAATGTATTGGTCTACTTCAGGCAGGAAATATGATTTTAACCGGGGCTTATCCAGAGTCTGAAATAAAGAAGGTAATTATTTACTGCAACAATCACTGTAAATAAATACAATCTAATAATAAAGACTAGAAAACCTACCTTATCTTTGACCGCTGAAACCACGATATTAAAGACTAATAAAGAAAATATCCCCATTTTTCAAAATCACTTCGGGCTTCTCTCTACAATTACTCAAAGTAGCACCACCACCGATTACCCGTGCCCGTCCAAATATCTCAGCGCCACCATTGGGCGCGGTAGAAAGCCCGCCAACCAGAACCTCTGGTCAACGCGCTCCCTATTTTTAACACGCTTGAATGAACAAAAGAGAGAACAGCAACTTGCCATTTATTAAATATTTAATTCTAGAGCTCTGAATGAGAGACAAATGGTTCCAGCTTGTTATCTTCGTAGTAAGTGAGAAAGCGGCGGATGTTAAAGTTGTCGTACTCTTCGCGCATCGGGTAGACTCGTTCGTGTTCGTCCATGATCACCAAATGGGGCTAGAATTTTTCAAGAAATGGAAGAGTTCAAAACAAAGCTTACCTTTGACGTATCCCAACTTGCTCCACCAATCTCCCCGTTGCGCATTCCTGGTTTCCCTGCAAAGTCCATTACATCAGCGATCGCGAATTTGAAAGTCGGGAAGTTTCCAGTGACAGACTGAATTCTATTGCACCAGTACTTCTTTTCCACCTTGAATCGTTCCTGACTAATCAAAGCGATAATCAGTGGCTTTTTATACGCTAAAAATATAAGACAATAGAGAAATGAAAATTCTTACAGTGAAGAGTGTTAGGAGAGATAGTAGGGCAGCCGGAATTCACCGAAATGTCCTGGAACCATCTGTTCATCTGCTTTTGATCGAAGCTGTCTTCATCGTACACGATCTTTTCCTCTCCCTTGATCACCAAAATCTTTCCGTAGTAACCCAAATATTCTTCTGAAACAAAGTCCGCCTTGACGAATTCAAATGTGTTTGTAAAACGATTTCCAACTCGCGTAAACGCTGTCATTTCTTCTTTTTGCGTTTCGTCGAAGAAAGCGATTGCCAGAGGAAGCTTGGAGATTTCTTTGAGATCGTTGAGATCTCGCTCGGATCTGATGGGGAGCGGGATGTAATCGACGATTTTGACTAGCCAGTTCGCCAGGGTATTTTCAAGGATGGGCTGAGAGTAGTCTCGAAGATGTTCTCCGTCCTCGTAGTAGCGGACTTATTAGAGATCGAAATATCCTTTCTAATTTTCTAACGGGGCTTTATTTAATTAATCCTTTCCTGTTGGAAATCTACGAATAGCCTCTGCCTCGCAAATGCCCGGCTGATCATCGCAATTGATTCGATGAAAGGCAACCTTTTCAAAGTCCACCTTTTCTGCCACTTTTTTAATTTCCTTCAACGCGCTCTCGCAATGATAGCAATCTTTGTCTCTCTCGAAGAAAATCAGTGTCTTGATTTCATTCTCCTGCACCCACTTGTAAGCGACTTCGTTCAAGAGCGAAAGTTTCTGTGCAAATGAAAATGGAAGAAGGGATAAAAGTCTCATTTCGAACCTGCGAAAATTGAGAAAAATCGCCGGCAATTATTTGATTTTGATAAAAAGATCCGATATATTTTGGCACTCCAGGCAAGATTCCTGCTATCAATGATACAAGGTTGGCTGATGAGATAACTTTGATTCTAATTTTTATTAAATGAAGGAACATAAATAAAGTGAGCACTATGGCAGTAAAAGTGCAAAGAAAAATAATTAAATAATTTTAAGGCAGTTCCATTGTTTTTTCGCAGCTGGTCTTACTGGCAGTCCTCAGTGACTTCAATTTTAACAGTCAGTATTTCCCCCGATTTCTTGATTTCTTGCCCACCTGGATGCGGATGTTCGTCGAATGGAATAACAGGGAGGTTCGATGGACGGCAGCGATTGTCGACGGGTGGCCTCGTTACTGGAGGAGGAAGAGGGTACGACGAATCGATGATTTCAGTCTTGCATGGGCTAGAGGATAATTTGAATAAGTTCATTCAAGAACAGAAACTTACAACATCATCTCTTTTTCTATGTGCTTGCGGCTTGTTGGAAGCAGCTCTTTAATCGTAATTTGTCCATCCTTCACAGCTTTGATGCTCTGAAAACTTTAAAAAGTGAAAACAATGAATAGTTACCTTGAAAGAGATCGGATGCTCGCATGTATGTTGGGATGAAAAGTAAGGAACGACCTAAAGTAAGAGTAAGGAGTGAGGATAATACGTATGAAACAACCTCGTAGTTCTTCGTATCATAGATGAGATCCGGCCTTTCAATGTTCAAGCGGAGTTTGTTTCGAGGATATCGTTTTGAAAAATCCTTCTCTTTGAGCACCATTTCTTTGTGTTTGACTCTCAACTTGTGTTTTCCCCGGCACTGCACTCCTTCGCGACCGCGAGTGCAGAAGATAAGAAGTTCCATCTTTGACATGTTGATATGACACGGTCGGCAGCTTCGCAAGTAGCCGTCGACATTTACGCAGAATCTAGGGTTGTTGCCGTTGAGAAGAATAGCCACCAGGAAAGGAAATTGATCTGTTCCGCGCTTGTTGACGAATTCGGAAACGACTTGAATGTCTTCGTCGACTTCCTCCAAAATTGTCGGCTCTACTGGGGCAGGAGCTAAGTTTTCTGCAGCGGAACCAGGACCAAGGAGGTTCCTCGTAAAGCTTTTGTCTGCCTCAGTCATCAATATTTCATGAGTAAAAGGAGTTATTCCAGTGTGCTGCGTATTCTCTTGCAGATTCTGTCGGGTAACTCGTTTATTCGGTGAATTTCGAGTCACTTCAATGAAACGTTTCTTCGGCGGTACGTAAAATGATGGTGGCGACAATTGTTCAGAAGAGGACAATGCAGTACTTGATCGTTTCTTCGCGCTTTGAGCGTAGAGCGCACGCAAGGCCGCTGTCTGAGCAAGTGCTTCAGGAGAAAGAGCATCGGACAAGTCTGACATTTCTTGAATCGAAACGGTCGCGTTCTCCTCCTGCTCTTCTTCTCCGGTTTGAATTACTTCTATATCACTTTCCGCTGCGGTCGTTTCTGTGATCGTCTCATCAGGGCCTTCGATGGCAGGAAGAGATTTCTGAATACTCTTCGTTTTGATGATGTTCCAATAGGTGAGGTAGGTGTCACAATTTTGAACTTTAGGTAACATAGTCTTCAAGCGCATTAAGCCCGGATCGTTCGTGGCGAGCTTGGTCACTAAGTCCAGGATCTTGATCCATACTTTTTTGTCGTTAGCTATCAACAGCCGAAACTCCTCATCAAGATCGTCGAGATCATAGTCATTTTTGCTGAAATAAATAGAAATTTAGGCGTTGATTTGTTTTGAAGAAAATCGATTCGACGAGTGTTTTTTGGCGAGTTACAGTACCTTCGATTTTCCATGGTTAAACACACTTTAGTACCGGCTTTTTCTCTCGAGAATTCAGTAACTCTGGGAAGGACTACTAAAAGAAGAGTTCGAAAAAAGGAAGCTCTAGAGAAAATATGAGCTTTTCACTACTTGTTCTCGAGACAAAAAAGCAGGTACTAGAGTCTGCCAGACGTATCGAGGTGTTTAGATTCAAAAAATGTGATTACAGAGACGAATTGTCAGGATTGTTGGTTTCTGAGGAGGTATCAAGATGAAATGAGATCTCTTTTTCGGATTTATCTTGAGTATTTACAGTTTTCTGTGGTTCATTGCCTTCGGTACTAGTGACTGGTTCATCCTCCGCTTCATCGGACATATTTTCGTCTACATCAATTCTGGAAGATTCAGCTAAAATCAAGGGTAAGATAAAGTCATTGATTACTTCTTACCAGACTTTATCGGAGATTCCGTCGCTGAGTATTCAGTACTGTCCATGAGTTCATCAGAGTCCGGCTCACTCTCTTCGTCTAAGCCGTCCGATTCTTCGTCGCTGATAGTTGTTTCTTCTTGCGAATCCTCGCCATCATCGATCTCCATTTCGTCGGAGTCACCGGACTCATGATGTGACTGTTTTGTAGAGGCTCTTTTAGGAGTAGTCCTAAGATTTAAACTTTAAAAAGGGATCTCAGAAATGATCATCGAACCGTTTTTCAACTGGAGCAGCAGGTATATCTCTCGTGTCGACATCTCTGGTGGCGTGAAGGTTACTTGGTTCTATCTCCCCGCGCTGGATTCCTCGAATCATCTACGAATAAAAAATTATCGAGATTCAACTACCGCATGATAATTACCGCTTTTGTGATGGAAACCGAGCATCCATGTTCATTTGTTTCAGATGGAAGCATCGCATATGAGTTGACATCGAATATTTTCGGATTGCTCATATCAATCGTCGCATTTTTCGTCCCTTGATGAAGAATAAGTGACTTGTCGATGACTTCCATGCTGTGGTAAACGGAACTGCAGCCGACACATTGCATTCGGAAGGTTTCTTTTTGATGAGAAAATGATCTGCACCGAAGAACTCGAAGTTTCCCAGATATAGTCACATAATATCTTGGAGAGCGCTTCATACCGATGGTGATGGCAGTTAGATGCGGAACCATTGAAGTACCATCTCCTATATTAAACTTTGTATAGAAAATAAAAAAAAGACGGAGTACCTTCGATAACTTGCTCAATCATATCTTTCGGGTTATAATTCCCAAGAAGTTTCCTCGTCTTTTTCTGTCTTCTGTTTCGTATCTTTCCGGTTTTGAAAGACTCGTCTTCATCTGAAGAGTTTTCAGGATCAGCTTTACGAGGTTTAGTTCGTCTCTCTTGTTTCTTTGACTTTGGGAATGGCTTTGGATTAGGAATATAAATCGGTTTTATCAGCTCGTGCATTTTCCTTTCGTCAGGAGATGTCATAACTTTTCCACTCAAGCAGTCATTGATATGACTTTTTATCTGCTTGAAAGGTCGCGCACAAATAAAGCAGAATGTGATATATTTGCGAACATGGTAATCCTTGCAATCCTGCTTTCCTCTTATATGAGCAATCAGATTTTTCCAGTTTTCAAATTGAACGTTGCAGTTGGAGCATTTGCCAGAAACAATAGGATGGTATTCGCTTGGAATCACGATTTCATGGCCTCTGGAGACTTTTACTACACTAGAATCCTGGTCTGCTATCGATGAATTTGCGGCAAAGAGATTTTTAGGGATTCTTGATTTTGTTTTCTAAAAATAAGTTAGTCTCAATAACAAAGAGTAGGTTTATACCCAAGGGATAATAAATCGCTCCAGAAAAGCATTGTGAATGTCGAGAGTTTGCTTCCCAGCGAAATTCCCTCCCTTTCCGCGCTTTACATCATTGAAATGCTGGCTAACTTTGGAGTAGAATTTGCTACAGATGAAGCAATATTCTTTGGTGAGGTAGTATTCCCGGCATAAGTAATATCGCTGGTCCTCCAAATGAGCAAGAAGTCCTTCCCAAGAATCGCAATTATCGTGACAGGAGCTACATTGCCCTGATTCGATCGTGTAGCAGGTAAATCCCTTCGTGCTTTGCTCAAAAATCTTGTCTTCATTCAAAGAATTTCCAAGAACTGATCGTCGTAGCTTACTCGGAAGAATTTCTACTCGGTTGACGAGTTTACTTTGCCAAGGTTCGCCAGAGTAGACTTCGTACATGTCGATATGCAAGTTTTTCATGGCAGTAGAAATCTCAGAACCGCCATTGATAGTATCTCGAAAATGCGTCCGTAATGCTTTGTGTTCTTTCAAGCAAATGAAACAGTGAGTCGCGTATGTAAGGACATACGTATCTGAGCATCGATGAGACTTGAGAATATGCTCGATGAGAAGGTCGGAAGAAGAGAATGTTCTACAGCAACCCATGCACTTTCCTGACTCGATTGATAGGATTTCTGTCGATGGTTTTGCGTTTGGATCTCCATTTTCAATCATAAGTCGCTTCGGAGGAGTGATAACACGCACGTTACTCAGCTTGAAACGAATCTCTTCGTAACTCAAATCTTCGCCAACACATGTGTGAGCTTGGGTTTTATCGAATCTTTCGAATTCGTAAAAATTTCTATTGAAAACATTCGGGCAGCCCTCGACAAATGTTGGTGCTCGTTTGCCAGGTTCCTTGGCAATCATAGTCTCATCAAGAATCCGAAGTTTAGATTTGGCACTACAGTCCCTTTTCTTACAGACAAGCGTTACACCACCATCCAAATTAAGCGTTTCCTGGTGCATTTCGTAAAAGGTATTACAAATGTTGACGTAAAATTTCGGCCGCGTTTGAACGATTTTACCAGGGGCAACAGCAATCAAATGAGGGAGGCTTACTTGACCGACACCTTCCACAACAAGATCATCTTCTTTTGACTGATTCCTTTGTCGTTCAACCGGCATATTTTCCTCGTGATCCATCGGCTCTGGATCAGTAGAGATTTCTGAAGCCGAGTAATTGCGTTCCTTTAGACAATTGGGATTTTCGTTTTTCGTCAATGACTCAAGTTTTTGATTTTCGTCCCGATTAACCATCTTTAGAGCTGCAATGATTTCCTCAACAGAACTTGTCTCACATGTATGTTCGTGACCCGAATCGTGGTAAATGACTTCATATGAAGAGCGGTCAAAACGATTTTGCGCATCTTCATTAAAAACATAACGGTCCCTACAGCCTTTACGCTTTGCAGGTCGGATAGTAGACTTGTCGACGACTTGAAATCTATGCCGGCCTTTGCATTTGTGGCCACTGCATTTTATTATCATCATTCCACTTGAATTAATTTCTTGTGGGCGCACTGCTCGAATTTTTCCATCGATGTTCACATAGAATTTCGGCAATTGTTTACCTTTAACAACAGCGACTAAATGCGGAAGACTCGACGATCCTCGCTCGTTGGAGATTTTATTGGTGAGAGCAGAGTTAGAAAGGGAATTTCGATCGTCTTCTTCGCTCTTATCCAGTTGACCATTTCTCCTCAGTAATGCAATAACCTCTTCTAGGTGAATCTTCTCACACGTGTGTTCACAAAGGGTGGCTATATTAGGAACACCTCCTAAAGAATCGTACGGAATAATTTCATATGAAGAACGATCGTATAGGCTTGGTGCATCCTCTTTTATGGCAGTTCTTTCTCGATCAGAACCTTCGCATTTGACGATGTCGAAAAGACTTTTATCCTTGATTTGAATTTTATGACGAGTTCTACATTTGATGGGACCACTTGCTCCAGAGCAGATTGTCATAAATCCTCCAGTAGAGTTCATCTTATCAGGTCGCACAGAGCGAATATCTCCATCAATGTTCAGAAAGAATTTCGGTAGTCTACCTTTCTTCCCTTTTGAAACAGCAACCAAGTGTGGTAGATTCAAAGTCCCTCGCTCGTTTGATAAAACACCTTCCACAACAATATTGTCCTCGTTTGAACTATCTCGTCTTGGTTCATCGCAGAAATCATCGATTTCCATCACAGAATCAGTATCTGAAGAATCGCCCAGTGCCGCTATCGAAGAATTGTCATTTTTTGTCAATGACTCGAGTGTTTCACTCTCATCGATATGGCCCTTTTTCTTCAGCTTTGCTATAACTTCTTCGATACTAACTTCGTCACATGTGTGTTCACAGAGAGGACTTAGATTAGAAACACCGGTAATAGAATCGTGGGGAACCATCTCATATGACGAGCGGTCGAACAGCTGGGGTGCATTTTCTTTCAGGGCAAAGCGTTCTCGACCAGCATCTCCAGCTTCAATCATGTGATAAAGATTTTTGTTAGTTATTTGAATTTTGTGTCGGGCTTTGCATTTGCTTGGACCCATGAATCCACAACATTTCGCCATAAAAGCTCCACTTAGATTAATATGGTCAACTCGTATGGCGCGAATAAGTCCATCGATATTCACATAGAACTGCGGTAGGCGGTCTCTTTTTCCCCTCGTAACTGCCATTAAATATGGTTTATTAAGTGTGCCTCGTTCATTTGAGAAAACAGCTTCTTTTTGTCGCTCGTTCTTGAGGAGTTCGTTGGCGAATTCTAGCGCATGGTCAGTTTTTGTATCTTGTCCACTTTTGAATCTTGCCGGGCGACCTCTCTGCTTCTTCCTCGGAGGTTCAATGACAACTTCTTTAAAATCATCGAAATAGTCCGGATTCTTTTCAATAAAATCAACAACGGCTTGGTCTCCGATAACTTGGAACTTCTGCACTGCTGGCTTTTCTACCGTATTCTTCAGCTCACTCCAGTGGTATTCAAAGTCGGACGTATCCTTGCATTTGTCGAGATAATATGTCAACCGCTTGAAATGTGGTTCTGCATCTCCGAAACCCGCCTCTTTGAAAGCATCTTCGAGATCTTTCAACCCTTTTTCAATAGGTTCCCTTTTCGAGGATTCAGAGCTGCAATTAAACTACCAATAAAAACATCTCAAGTTGAGATTCTAAACTCAGCCTGCTATAAATTAATCTCTATCCCTGCCAATACTCCTTCCGCTCTTTCATCGTCCGTTTGAAGTCCTCATCGATGACCGAGGCAGCCATTTTGGCTGAACAAAATAAATTCAGTTTCAATCAGCCACTTTTCGTTTTTATCTAGCCCTGAGCTAGTGATTTTATTTACAGTTTTTATTTTCCTAATTTCGATTTGACAGTTGCTTTTGGTACATGTAGCAAGTCCTTAATAATTATCGCAGTGCTTGGTTGCTTTTTGGGAGAATAAGTTGAACGCATGAATGAACGATGATGAAAAAACAAAGAAGGGGGAAATTCTACTAGACGGGGGAAGTTGTGCGTTTCGGGGATGATAGGAGAGAGTTTTTGGCAGCTTTGTGAATTAATGAGAACTTTTAGGTTCATATTAGATATTGTGTTATTCGGCGTCGATTTCACGCGTCGGAGAATCGGACAAGGTAGCGGACGGCAACCTGAAAAATGTTTATTCTCGAATAAATTAAATGGTGGTTTACCTGTTGCGGCTCGGATTCATAAATAACAACCCTGTTGCTTGGGTATTTTGATGGATCCTGGTCGACTTGAACTCGTTGTCCGAGGGATAGCTTTGCGCCTTGTGGAGTAACAAGCTATAAACGAATTTAGTAAACAAGATCTTGACCCTGGAAATTTACCTCTTTGCCGTCAGCGGCAAAGCAATCACGACCTTCGACGGTAAATGAATCGTGATCCATTGAAGGACGAGATTTTGGAATGGAACCACCGACCTTTTGGTTCTTTCCCATTGCAACCTGGCAAAATTTGTTAACACGGGATATTCATCTCTTCGTTACCTGGCAAAGGAATGCATATTTGCATTCATTTGAGAACTGGGCCGCGTTGATATCGTTGAACATTTCGTAAAAGACATGGCAAGGCTCGTCTTCCGGAAGATCCTTGTCTCTTCGATAGCGAGTTGGTGGTTTTGCGGGGGTCTGAAGACGAAACTAAGAAACACGGGGAGGTAACTGGCTTACTTTTCGCTGAGGAGAGACAACTCCTTTTCCAAGAGTATGGAAAATATCGGACAAGGATGCAGGGAGCCAAAGAAGTCTGTGGCTGTCAATATTGCTAGAAGCAATAGATTCGACATCCTCGCCGCGTTCACACTGATAGAGTTTAAATAGAAAGTGCTACGAGTTCGTTGATTTTACCTTGAAAATGTGATGAATTCTTGAGTTCGAACCAGAGTTTTCGATCAAGCTCAAAATTGCACGAGTTTCGGCAGATTTACGCTCAAGCGGGACGATCACACAGTCCAGCGCCTAAAGATTCAATAAATCTTCAGTAAATCGAAAACAATTAATCACCTCATAAATATAATCAATTGGATTTCCGTCGTTTATTCTGTACTGAGCTCCCAGAAGCAACTGGTTGGCGAATTCCAGCTTCAGAAGTCCTCGTGTGAGCTGAATGAGCTCCTCGATCTTGTTAAGATCTGATATGATCCTGATTCTGTCGAGAAGAGCGCCAGGCTGAGGGATAAGCTTTTGGAACTCGAAAGTGACGTTCATGGACTGCTCAAGGAACCACTGGAGTCTGTTTGTATCTAATACTTGCTTTAGAGACCAAAAGGACATCAAAATTTGTCTTACCAATTTGATTATGGCCAACAGGGTGGAGAGTTTCCTGCATTGCCAGAGCAATATCTTTCGCATCAAAGAGTTTTTCGAGTGCTCCCAAGAGATTTTCCTTGTTTAATCGGCCAAAAGGCATGATAGTCGAGTCCAAGAGTGTTGATTTCTGCGCGACGGCTTTCAAGAATTGGATATTTGTCAATTCAAGGAACATTTCTTGCACAGGCTCAGCGAGATTGGACACTGCGTCAGTTGCAAGGTCGAATTCGAGATCAGTAGCTGGTGCGCGAGCGCAGAGTTCGAAAGGAACGAGAGCAAACTTTTGGTGCATCGTCGGAACTCTGGCAGATTGGTCCAATCGTTACCAGTTTTGATCTTGTACTGTTTCATAAACTCGCGGATGGCGTTCTCAGGGACTTGGAAAGGAGTGATCTTTCGCTCACCTTCTTCCCCAGCATCACCGGTTCGGGTGAAGAGAACCCACTGGCGACTTAATTTGTGGCCGATAATTTGCATTCTAGTGAACGACTCAACAGCAGATCCGTCAGGCTTTGCCTCGACCTTTGCCAGAAGGACATCTCCATGAAGACCTGTGGTCAGATCTTCAATGATCTGTCCCCAATCGGCCATTTCCGAAAGTCCGTCGACTTCCGGATGAGCTTTCTTCGTTTCTGATTCGTCAATCATTATCTTGTCGACGATCGAAGCAGAATCTGTCTTATAGTCAACGTTTTTGAATGAAGACTTTGTAGTTTTGTCGAGCTTTACACCAATTGCCTTTGGTTTCTTTCGAGAGCCTTCAGGTACATTTAGAACGTCTTGTATGACTTCAGCAAGTTTTCCACTTCCACCCTCGAGTGCGTAGTCGAGCGCCGTCTTTCCATCGACGTCCTGGTCAGATGGTGAGTTATTTCGCTCAAGAAGAAGTTTGAGGATGTCTGTGTTCTCCCAATAGCCCCATCCAGAACCGCTTTGTCGACAGAGATGATGGAGAACTGTTCTGCAGTTGTCATCAGTGCATGAGAATAAAAGCGGATGCTTGGTGCATTCCAAAAGTCTTCTGACAGCCGAGATGTTGTTTCGCTCCACGGCAATCATGACTGGTGTCTTTGATTGACAGTCTAACGACTGCAAGTTGATATCAACTTCGATTGAGAGAAGTTTATCGATGATCAATGAAGCATCAGCAAACATTGCTCTGTGGAGTGGTGTCATTTGAAGATAGGAGTCCTTTGGCGGGTTCTGGTAGAATTCGATTCGTCCATTAGCATCAACCTTTTCATATGCTTCATTAGTCGGCATTGACGTGAGAGGCGTCAAAATGTCACCAGACATATCACCCATCGATCCGATGAATTCGTTGAGAATACGAACTGATTCAGAATCGTTCAAGTTCTCGTTCCAGAAAAGTGCGAGAGTTGGCGTTCTGCAGCCGTCGTCGAATGCTTCAAGGAGCGCGGAACTGTTTGGAGTTCTCATGATAGTCTCGACAAGAGAGGCAGATTTGTTGTAAGCTGCGTAGTGGAGAGGGGTGATACCGAACTTATCCGCATCATCAACACTGACGCCTTTCTCGATCAACAGATCGGCGATGGCTTTGATTTGGGCTGGGCATTGACCGAACGAATAGATGGCCAAAATGTGCAGGAGGTTTTGACTGGACTTGTTGGCTTTCTTGAAGTCTCCGTTGTTCTTCTGCTGTCTCACAAGAACTTTGAACGTTTCGAAATCACCGACAACTGCAGCGGCTTCGATAATGTTGATGAATGTGACATCTTCGGCGTTATCAGTTTCCATGGCTTCTGCTCCGCCATCAAGAATGGAAGAGAGCATCCAAGTCATGATGTTTAACCATTTGTGATCAATAACAACTTGAATTGCTGGTTTCGACTCAATTACCGCAACTGGAGCTGGCTTTCTATTGGTCCAGAATTGCGTTTCATTTTCTGTGACATCAGATTTTGGGACATAAACGATGTTGACCTTCAAGTTTGATCCGAGTTGTAAGAGCATGGCGGTGGCTGCTTCGTGCTCGTTTTTGATAGCGAGCGCAAGAGGGCTGTTTCCATCTTTGTCTCGAGCGTTAAGATTGGCATTTCGTTTGGCCAAAGTGGTGATACAGCAGATTGCCCCAGTTTCAGCGGCGAGGTGAAGGGCAGTTCGTTTGTTGTTGTCTCCACTGTCGATCTCAACGTCGTCCATCTTTTCGATTAGAAGCGTAATCATTGGCATCGGATCATGACCGGCCTGGAATGCCATATGAAGTGGAGTCTTGCCATCTTGATCTTCAGCACTTGTAGAAGCACCCGCATCGAGGAGAATTTCGATTATCTCAGACACGTGCTTGCGGATTTCGGTAGATAAGACAGCGTGATGAAGAGCCGTTCGATTTTGCTTATCTGTAGCATTTACACTTGCGTTCTTCGAGAGCAAAAGCCTTACGAGTTCAGTGTCCTGAGAATAAGTACATGCGAGCATGAGAGGAGTCAGTCCAGTTTCCGGGCAAGAAGGAACAGAGTTGACATCAGAGATTTTTTCGAACATCAGCTTGAGTGCTTGCATCAGGTTCTTCTCCGGTCCATGGATCTTGCAAGCGAAAAGAAGAGGAGCCATGTTGAAAGAAAAGTCCTTGCCAGAAGTTGGAACAAAATTGACGGACGCGCCAGCATTGAGGAGCGCAATGACATTGGCTGAATCCGAATTCCGGAGAGCATGAATCAGAGGTGTCGCTCCGGTTTTATCGGTACACTCAAGACGTGGCTTGTGCTCGAGAAGGACTCGAAGAACTTGAACGGATTTACCGGCTGCTAAATAGTGCGCTGCAGTTGTATCTTCTTCTTTGTGAGCTAGCTTCGACGACTTTGCTTTGGCGACTGTAGCAGAAGGATCAGACTTGCCAGTTGTGATGAGAGTTTCAATCAGCTCTGCTGCGTACTCGCTTACGGTCGCTTTCTTGATTTCTGGATCGGCAGAAATGAGCTTGCAAGCAAGCAGAAGAGGAGTGTATCCACTCTTAGATTTCTGATTGCAAAGCTCGCTGATTTGCTGGGGACTAGCAACAGCGAGACTTTTTATTATCTCCACAGTTTGTGGCTTGGTCCACATTCGCACCATAATGTGCATGAAGTTCTCGCCTTTCTCGTCGACAGCAGCGACATCTGGACATTTACCGGAAGAGTTCTTGATGAACATCTGCAAGAGTTCGATGTTCTGAGCTTTGGCAGCGTGGAACAAGCACGAGCGATGGTTGAAATCACGAATGTTGACATCACAGCCGTGTGAAGTGAACAGTTTCGCTGCTTCGAGAAGAGCATCAGTCTTGTCGGTTTTGATTGTTGCGAGATGGTGCAGCACAGTGTAGCCGTGTATGTCCTGATGATCCATGCTTGAAGTGAAGTGTTGCAAAATATAGTTGATTCGTTCGAGAACGCCATCGTCAGGGAGATGGCCAACGAGTCCGATGAGAAGTGTCTGTTTCTTATCATCTGTCACATTAGCATCAGCTCCCTGGTTGAACAACAACTTGGCAATATCATCTTTTCTCTTGAGAAGAGCAACAGCAAGTGGGGAAAGTCGCTCATTGTTCACGATATCGGAATTAGCTGATCCTTGGAGAAGAAGCTGTACAATGTGATACCAGCCATAAGCAGCGGCGTAATGCAAAGCTGTGTTTCCAGCGACATCGGACAAATTTGGATCAGCTCCTTTGTTGAGCAAGAGCGCGACGAGTGGGTAGTGACCATTGGCGGCAGCATGCATGAGTGCAGTTCGCTCGAGCGAGTCTCGCTTCTCAATCTTTCCGCCGTGACTAATGAGCGCCTTGACAACGTCTTGATGTCCAGCTCGAGCAGCGAGCATGAGCGGAGTCAGTCGTTGCTTTTTGATCGATAGGTGTTTGTTTGCATCGGCATTGTTTGACAAGAGCATCTCAACTTGAAGCTGATGGCCATTTTCGGCGGCGTAGTGGATAGGAGAGTAGTTGTTGTTGTCTCCACGGTTGACGAAGTTGTTGACGTTGAGCTTGAGTTTCGCAGCTTTTTCGATGATAACGCTAGAGTTGTTCAATCGGCCGAGCTTTGAAGCAAGCATCAATGGTGTAATACCGTCTTTATCGCCATCATCAATGTTGTGAAATCGACTTTTATCCTGGAAGAGTGTTTTCAGACATTCACCAGTGGTAGCTGTAGCAGCGTAGTGAATTGGTTTTCGACCTCGTTCGTCCTGATTTGAACAGGCATCTGGGACGCTTGAAAGCATTCGGCTGATGAATCCTCCGTTGGGATTAGAAGCGGCTGTGTGCATGGCCGTGATGCGCATATTCGTTGGTTCCTTCTTTCGGACCTGGGCCATATTCATATTTACGTTGAAGGCGTGGTTCTTGTCTTTCGTTTGTCGAAGCGAGCTCAACTGAAGCTCGGAGAAATTAATACCACAGCCTTTCGTAACAGAGGCGGTTTCTACGAGGAAATTCGCTGTTCCAATATGACCATTTTCAAGCGCAACGTAGACTCGCTCAAGAAGGAGTTGTTTCATACTCGTTTCTTTTATCAGAGGATAGCCTGACCAGAGAATTTCGAGGACTTCGGGGGTGCATCCAACGCTGCAGGCATAGGAAGCTATTTCAGCAGCGACTTCTTTGTCGGACCAGTCGACTCCCCAGACCATCGGTCTATTCAATCCTCTGTTGCCTTTCATTTCATCCTTTGACTTTTCGTTGTAGAACTTTTCGATCAGCTCGGATTTTATCTCAGACTTAGACGCGCTTTTTTTACGGTTGGATTTTATAACTTTTGATAGAGTTAACCAAACCTGGAGTTTTTGGGCTCAAAATGCTCCTCTCTAAAAATAAAAATTTTCCAGTGCATTAGATTTCGAAAATTAGGTACCAATTTTCCGGAAGTGATTTTAGGTACCCCTAAATGTTGTTCGATCGGGGTGAAACTAGTACCAAAAAGATCGCCAGAAAATTTCATGAAGATTGATACTATTACCAGACTATAATCTATCTTTTTGAGCATTTTATCAGTAGCTCAAGATACCCAAAAGTACTGAAATCCGATTACCGTCTATTTTGTAAGGACATGTTCGAAAAGAAGCAAGTTGGGTATCATTCTTCATGAAATTTTCTGGCGATCTTTTTGGTACTAGTTTCGTCCCGATCTTAAAATATTTTGGAGTACCTGAAATCATTTCCGGAAAATTGGTACTTAATTTTCAAAATCTAATGCATTGGAAAATTAAAGTTTTTCGAGAGAATCATTTTGATCCCAAAAACTTCAGATTTGGTTAGCTCTATCAAAAGTTATAAGAATCCAACCGTAAAAAAAGCGCGTCTTAGGCGAATTGACCAGCTGAGCAAGGAGGGGCTTGACGAATTCTTCGTCGTTGGAATCGAGGGCGAAATGAAGAACAGTTTTTTTGCAATCTGGTCCTCGGAAGCCTTGAATTTGCGCGTTTTCAAGCATTTTGTTGAACGCATCGAAGTCTCGTTGAAGCATTGGTTTGATGGCAAGAACTTCATCGGGCAAGTTGAATGGATTTCCAGACGCAGTAAATGCGGGGTCGTGTTCCAACAAGTGAATGCTTGAATTAGGCTTGAGATTCTTGTCCGGGTCCTCTGCGCTATCGAATTTGACGTAATCAGGCTCCATATCAGTCTTTGAAAAAGACCCGATCGGCGTGGGATCATTCTCTCCGAACTGAATCTCTCCTTCATCAGCATCATCTTGAGATGCGCTATTTGGGATGTACTCCGTCTCATGAATTGGTGGGCGGCCGCGACGAGTTTCCCCAGCACTGGCGTAGACTTTCTTCTGGTTTACAATTTTGCCGGTTTTGGGAGTTCGCTTCGGAGTTTCAGATTTCCTGAAATAAGCAATAAGGAAAATTCAGAAAAAGGGGTGTACTTTAATTTTGGCTTCGGAGGGGAAGTTTCCGCAGCCATTGTAAGTCCTGCTCGTGGACTGTCGCTCATGGGAATCTTCGCCAGGTATGGCTTAGGCGTTCCAAGGGGCGTTCTAGCGAAAGATCCTTTCTTCTTTTCCGTCTTTTTCGTCGACTTCTTGTTGAACTTTTTCACCGGTTTGTCTCCGGAGAGCCGCACTTCTGGCATATCTTCATCGGCCATGTCCTCGTCGGAAGAAGTAACAGGATTGCCTCCAAGGCACTTTTCTAGCTTGCGTTTTATTTCCTTCTTCATTTCGGGCTTGAGTCGCCATCTTCCACCGCTTTCTTTTTTAACTTGACCCGCTCGCAAATGATCGTCCGGTGATCGACGACGTCGTTGTAGCTTCGTTGGAACACATCTTCGTCTTCGGTTACATCAAACCATTGAACCTAAAATTGAAAAGTTAAAATAGGGGAAATAGGGAGAATTTGTACCTTGAAAGTCTCTGAGCGCTCGAGATCTTCGGCTGTGATATTTGATATGCATTCGGCGAGGTAAAAGTTGCCCTCCTCAGCTCTGACTGCGATAATTTCGCCCTTGAGATATTCACACTCGAGGACATCTAAAGTCATAAATTAGTTTCGCTTTCGAAAAAAAACTGTTGAAAATTCATCATTACTTGTTGCTCTTGTTACTCTTCGAAGACATAGTTTAAATTTTCCCGAATTATAAATTTCCCAGCGCTTAGATATAAGAATTTTCATTTATCTCTTATCTCTTTTTCTACAAAGAATGTCCCATTCTGTGAAGCAATGGATACAACCTTCGCTCTTTTCTCTCTAGAATTCATATCGGGTAAAACCACTCTTTCGAATAATCCTCGGTGAAACTTCTAGAGAGTCATATTATAAAAGAGAGAGCCTGTAGAAAATCTTATTGAAAATCATCGATAAAATTAATAAAATTTTTTTATAGAACGAACCTTCTTCCTCCTCCTCCTCTTTCTTCTTTCGACTGGGAGTCTTTGGCTTCGGCTTGTTCTTCTTCGGCGTTTCGGTCTTTTCCGCTTCTTCGTCCTTTTTCTTTGCCGGGACCGATCTTCTTGGCCGCTTGGTGGGCGGCGTGGCAGTGGCTTTCGTCCCTTCTGAAGGTCGTCGTTTCCCCTTTTCTTTCGCGCTCGGTAATTCTGGTTTTTCTAGGCTTTCTTGGCTCGCTTCTTCGTTTTCTTGAGATGCTGGTTCGGAGGCGTTTTCCTTGTCTGACACATTTTCTTTTTCTCCGTTGCTTCTCGGAGTTACTGACTCGATTGGGACCGCATCTTGTCCATTGCTTGGCTTCTCTGTCTTTACTAATTCTTCTACTTCCATGCCATTTTCCTCTAATCAAATTATTATTGAAAAATAAAAAGCAAAGAATACTTTTACCATTTTCTGTGAGTGGTGGTGGAGTAGGAGAGTCTGCTTCGAGCTCGTCTAGAACAGACGACATCTTTCGATCAAAATCCGTATCAACCCTTTTCTCAAAACTTAAAAAAATTGTTATCGTAGCAAAATATGAATTGTTTAACACTTTTTTCAATAAAAACAAAAGTCTTTAGCAAGTTGACAAAAAAATATAAAATGATCAGGTAAAAATGTCATTTCATTAATTAATATTTTTTCGATAAATATTAAATGGGAAAATAAATGAAGATTTTTTTTTAATTTTATTTCTCTCGATTCGAATCCGCAAAATTTCATGCTCATTTTAAGGAGGCTCTCGATCTGCCCCGAATCTCTTATTTTTCGTTTTCCACTTGAGCGATTTTGGGCGAAAAAGGAAAAACGAAAAATTTTCGCTTTATTTTTCAGTGTCGGGTTTCGATTTTCGCTGGCGAGCGTACGCTGGGAGGCGCTTTTTGCTCAATTCCGTTGGGACGCAAAAACGCCCGCGCTACTTCGCGCGCTCAGCCAATCAGAGTGCTCGAAACGGCCGCGGGCGGCTACGCGTTTTTGGTGAGTAATCAGACTGGTGATTTTTGAAAGTCACGTCGGAGGAGGGCGCTAATCGAAGCCGAGACTTGAACGTGAGAAATCGGCTCTTTTTTCAATATTTCTTCTTTTATTAGAAAATTGCAAGAATGAAATCGCTACTTAAACCTGATTAGAAAGAAAGATCATTAATATTCATTTATTTCTAATTGAAAGAAAATGAAATATTTTCGTTTTCTTTTTTCATTTTCAATTTATTTCTGATAATAATCAGTTGTCGTAGAGCTTGATGATCTGGCCGGCTGTAAAAGTGTTTCGGCAGATAGGGCAGTTCCTCTGAGGAAGAGCATTCAAGCATCTTTTGCAGGAGCGATGGCCACAGTGAAGAGTGCATTCCTGGCGATCGTCGAAGTTGTAGGTTTCAAGGCAGATCTTGCAGTAAGGTTGATCGCGTTCATCTGAAAAATAATGATAAGAATTAATCTCTTTTCAATTTTACCTGCAAGAGTTTACCAGTGGTCTTTTGGACATAAGAATATTCTAGCGTCAAAGTTCCTTTTCGCTGAAATTATTAAACAAGGTCCTTGCTCGCTTCTTTTTCGAACGGGGGATTTTTTATTTATGCCAGACGGTATTCTGCAAAGCACTAGGCACAAAAAGTACCTTTCTATTTTTTCAGCGAGTATCTGTTTTAATTCGTTTCGCCGCGTTTCGATTATGAAGAAATGAATAATGATCAAGAACAGAATTCTGAATCGGAAAATGAAGATAGAATCACTGTCATCGAGAATTTCGGTCATAAAACAGAAATCATAGAGGAAAAAGAGACTTCCAAAATTGAATATGAAGATTCAGAAGCGGAGAAGATCGCTGAGTGTACTGTGGAAACTCTGAGAGTACCAGTGATTTCTACCCAACCAGATCCTCGTCACTGGAAAATTACGGGTTAAATTGTTATTAGACTGACAAGAATGATTTTAGAGAGCATAAACTGTAACCCCCAAAAGACGCTAAAAGTATGATCGACGCAAAATCAGCGCTAGAAAAACGCTTCGAAGATCGCCAAAGAAGACGGCATGCAGATCGCCATAAAGCGCTAAAAAATCGAGTGGCACCATCAAAGGACCAAGTTCAAAGAAGCTTTTATTTCCGAGGAATTCATTTCAATCTCACGAATGCATTGGCGACTGCGAGAAAAGTAGAGGGAACTAGGTTGTTTGAATGCAATGATCGATGGTGCTATTGGTGTTGGCTAGGAACTGGATTTTAATTTTACAGTTAGATGCTGTATCTTGGATACAGGCGGAAACATAGATGATAACATAAGCTCATATTTGAAATTCAAAAAGACCTCTTTTGCTTTCCGATTGCAAGCTATAAACTGGGCAAATTACTGCGCTTTTCACTGCCATTCTTTCGTTTCATTTGCCTCGGCTTTGCTCTTGTCATCCTGGTCGCTCTTTGGCTCGTCTCAGAACTCTATTTTCCTTCGCCGGTGATTCGATACATGGTTTTAGCAGGACTTTGCTGTTATTTTTTGCAACGATGTCTTCTAAGGAGATCTTATAATGAACAATTAGGTTTTTAGAGGCTTTTGATTCAATTTTTGTATTTTTCAGGTCATTTTTGCTGCGAGTGGTTAGAAAAAGATCAAAATTTCAGGCAAGAAATGGACACAGGAAAGTGTTAACAAGACTCATTTCTCTTGAAAGCCACGTTCAAGATCTTGTAAACCACAATGAAAGATTGCGTTGCGGTGATTTACGATATCATTATCGCCCTGATTTGTTGGTGCGTGCCCGTCTTAGACCCCATCTGATATTATTCTAAAATAATGTTCAGCCCTTTTTGTGCAACCGCACAGGCCGCAGTACACATGGAGATGAACAGCTACTACGCATCCCCGGTCGATTCTGAAGTCGATGATCGGATGGAACTACCGATTCATGCGCTTTTGGCAATGCTTTCCCAGACATCAAAGTCTCCTTTGCCAATTGACTCAGATCCACAACACAGGTTTGATTGAAAATGTTGTACCAATCTCATTTATTAATAAGATCAAGTCCTATTCCGACAATTTCAAGAGTACTAGACGAGCTTCAAGCTAAAAGAGAAGCCGAATTCAGTAACCGACATTCCCAAGTTTAGATGAAATTGCTTGAAACTGCAAAAAAAAAAACACTCATTCAAAGAAGAAATATTTTTGATTGTTTAGTGAATTTCAGGTGGAAAGGTTGTTCGCAGACAGGAAAGCTGAAATTTGCTCGTAGCACCAGTTCTTGACGATTTCGTGTTGCTTGGAGAAGTTTTTGTTCGCGATTGTAATTTTTCTAGCAATGCTTCCTTTGGTGGTTTTCTTCGTTGTCAGAGCTTCCATCTGCGATGAGATTGAGGACTTCGTTGTTTTCTGCAGCATTTTGACGCGAATGCTCAGCATGTCGATCATCAACTCCCATTTTCTGACGGTGAGGTTGTTCTTGGTTGAGAGGATTTTGTTGGCGTGGCGGCGGATCTCTTCCTTGATTGCAGTTTTCAAATTGAGGTCCATCTGCTCGGTGAGAAGATTCAAGTTGCCTTGCAGCAGTCGTTTCTGGATCTCGATCGGGATCTTTTGAGGAGGACTCGTCGCCTGAGGGATCATTGTTGGGGAAGAGAAACCGCCATGATTTTGGGGGTCGACTTCTTGCTTTGGATCTTTGTCATTTTCGTATTTTTGATGACTTTGGATATTTCCGGCTCGATTTTATATTGAAGGTTGCCGAAAGAGGGCGCAACGTGGCGGTCTGCTGTGGAAGTAAAAATCTTGATTGCCCTTCAGATAATGCAGCTGACACCGCGGGATGCCGCCGCGTATTCGTCCAAGTAATTTGTGATATCAAGATCAAACTAAGTCCCCGTATAGTCCCCGTTCGTCTAAGCATAATTCTCAAGGCTTAATCCCTTATCACATCCTAGAACCCAAACCTGCTCTATCAAAACGCTCGTGCAGGGTCATATGTGGTCAATCTTCGGGGTATAGAAAACTGTTTCTCCCTAAACCTACCCCTAACCCGGGGGCTTCGCCCCCCGGAACCCCCCTGATAGAAAAGTACATAGTTCCTAACCGTAAGGCCTAATCCAGGGGGCTTCGCCCCCTTGGAACCCCCCTTTACACTAACATTTAGCCCGGTTACGTAACTTACCTCGAAGATTGACCGCCTATGTCGTCGTGCAGTTGCTAAGGAGGGAAATTTTGAAATGATTAGAGTTTCCTTCTTTTTTTTCTTGAAAACTAACAACACGTCAAAAATAAACAACGCAACTCGTTTGTCCCAGAGCGAAATTCGTTTATTTGAAGTTTTATTTACAGAAAATATAGAAAAATTTGAAAGAAGAATTTACAAAACAGCCCATTTTTCCTCATGTTCGCTCCATTCCGCGGCCCATGAGACAGGCGAAAATCGTCAGGACCATTTTCATGTCGACATTGACCACGTGCTCGGGCGTTGCGTAAATTCTAGCGCCGATTTTCCTTCCCATTGCAAGGGCGTACCTTTAAATTGGCAATTATGGATTTGCGTGGCTTCAAGGTTGGGCTTACTTGGCGTTTTGGAGTTTATCCTCGTAATCTGACGGGTCTGAGAGCACAACGCTGTAGTCGATGGATTGAGGCACGAGGACATCGATGACGTCTAGAATTGCCTGGGAACTGGCGATCGAGGGGTCCTAAAGAGTCAAAATAAGAAAAAGCGAGAGAATTTACGGGAATACCTTAAAACTGGAAATCTTCGACGTTTTGCCACCAGAAGCGAGGGTTTGATTCACCCAATCGACGATTTCCGCATCGCGGATTTGCGTGTTTCCACCGAGATCTGTTAGCACTTTTGTCGTGTACCTAAATTAAAACTGTAATTCTAGCCCAAACGGTGAGCACTGTGAACTTTTTTTGTATAAAAGTGGCAAGATGAACTCACCCTCTCATAATTTGCCAGACGAGTGCCAAAGTAAGAGTTCGGTTTTGGTCGTAGATATCGTTTCCGGCGATTCCGACGAGTGAGTACTTAAGTTCTTTCCCAATGTCCACTGCGTAGTTACAGTTTTCAATTCGCTTCATCATTGCGCCTATTCTCGGGAAGGGGGCGCGATTTACTCGTTCCCAGTTGACGATTCCGGGTCTGACGATGTCTTCGAGTTGAAGGAGGACGTTTCCGTCAATCAGATCACTAGAATTTTGGTCAGATGCAATAAATTTTATCACTAGATTTGATGAAATATTATAAAAACTAACTGTTTAAAGAAATTTATTGTGACTCATCAATTTTGCCTGAATAACTTACCCATATAATCTGTTGACTCTGGGCTGGACTCCCAACGAGTTCATCCAATTTCTATAAGTGCGCTCGTCGCAGGTTTCCTCTGAACATCAGATTATACGAAAAGGAAGTCAATTGACATTCAGCACATCTGATCCGACGTAGGATACGCGTCGCATTTTCTTTTTTTTTTTGAAAATTCGCGACTTTGGACTTTCAATTTTCCATGTTTGATAAGTTGACATGAAAAAACTCTCTCTTTTTTTCTTTAGGGAAAAAGTAAAAAAATAATAAACAACAAATCACGACGAAGACGGTTTAGAAAGTTGTCACATCGATAAGCATGCGAGTACCAATTATTGTGACAGGAGGGGGAACTGGGGTTTTTGCGGCTGGGCTCTTGAACTCGATAAAGTCGTATTTTGAATGCTGTGTTGCGAGAAGCTGTGGGACTATTGTCCCGTCTAAGAATCGTAAATAGAACGAGTGGTTTCACGAAGCAACACTGATTCTATTAACTTGGCCTGTTTCAATAAAGAAGAGCCACTTCTAGTAGCTCCGAAATTATCAGAAAATTCATCTTGAGAAAGATTCTTCAGAAGTCGACTTACCGATGACCTCATCATTCTCATCCTCCTCTGGCGGCTCGAGAGATGGATGATTATTGAACAAGTTCGCGACGAATGCCATGTTCAGCTTTTCATGTCCATTCGCAACATCGCGCGCAGTGACAAATGCGCGGCATCCCAATCTGTCAGCATTTTTCAACATCATTTCAGCTCGAGCAAGATCGTCACCGGCCTAAAATTAAGATAAATTGTTCGAAGAACTCGTGAAAACTGGGGTTATTATTGAGAAAAGTTTATGCTTTTTTTGTATTTTCAAAACACGTCATTACTCCGGGAATAATGTTGTTGACACCCTTAACGAAATGAGAGTATTAAGCCCAGAAAAATACAAGTGTACTGTTTTCATTGAATTCAAATTAGACTCTTGTCAAATTGGAATTCTTGGGAGAATTAAAAAAGTATTAAGAAAAGAGATTACAGTTATGTTTTCGCTGGATAATCTGCAAAGAAAACTTGCGTGAAAATCCAAGAACGAAAGGCCCTAATCCTAAAGACCACGTTCTGGCTCTGAAAATACTGTTTTTTGAAGGGTAGATCCTTTAGCGTATAAGTATGTTGTCATTATGTTGAAAGTAACCCGAAACAGAGAGAAGGGAGAACTGGCGCTTAAAAACTTCCGCTTTAGCTAAACCGGAATCGGTCTTACTAACACGTGACCTCGCTGCTGGCTCGTGTATTCAGATTAACAGTAGTTTTTCGAACGAATTTATGATAGGGCATCGTTAACTCTAATTTCTACTGGAAAACGGAGTTTTAGATGCTTTCTAGGGTAGATAGACGCATCATACACATGTAGTCGATATTTACGCACCACACAGAAGGCAGATAGAGGAGGGCTCAAGTCACCAGGCTGAATCTGCGCGAGCAAGTTGAGATAAGCGTGAGAGTCAGAGATGTCCTTTCCGAAGTTGGAAACGGTTTTAGAGTAGCCAGCGCGCGCCAAGTGATAGTTCATCCATCGCAGGAGCAGCTTTTCCGGTCCGAGTTTGTCCAAGTCCGCCAGCTCCTCTCCATCCATCAATAAGGCCTTCAGATCTAAAACAGGTTTATTTCCTTGTAAACAGGAAAAGATGGCTTACTCGGATTGAGAGCAAGATCGATGTTGGCAAAAAGACCCATTCTGATGATTTGCCATAAAAGACCGAGGATCAAATGCTGTCGGGATTCGAGAAGATCTTGAGCTCCAATATTGACAACGGTGCAGCCAATGGCAGAGGCGGAGTTGATGGCAAGGTTGAGATTTTCTTGTTTTCGGTAAACACTTTATTTTGATGAAGAAATGCTAGAAGCCTTATTTTCTATTTTAGTTTTTAAATTCGATGATAAAACTTATTTTTATTTTTTTTTTCACCAGTTCCTGAGTTTTGTCTTATTGATTGCTCTCTCATCAATCGTTTCCGGCTGTGAAAGATTGATAAGTTTGCAGAGCAAAATACCATCAGAAACTTTCTCGAACAAACTCTCATCGTCAACAGTAATGGGCAAGAGATTCTTGCAGTCAGGATCGTCCTTGAGTCTCGTATTTATCCAGTCAGCGAAGGCTTCCCGTTCTTCCAAAGAATAAGTATGCGTTGACCAAGAAGAAGCGCCAGTTTTCGAAACAACTCCTTCCGCCGCGTCGATGGTTTTTCTGAAGCTGCTGGCAATATCCTTTTTCACCTGCATTTTGGGATTTCGAAAGATACAGTAATAGAAACGTTCTTCTAACTGAAAACGAGATGTCGGACAGAATCCGGACAACCTTCTAACGCTGCTACGCGGGATTCTGACTCGCTTATTCCCCCTGATCCGGCAACTGTATGGAATAACAATCCTCCCGTGTCACTCGACACGCACGGCCCCATTCGACATTTTAGTTTTTGAAAGTCGTCTAAGCCCGCTCGGGATTAACATGGATCTCGCTTTGAACATCTCAGCAAGCGAGGAAGGGGAAAGCCGCAGCCATGTTGGGTAGCCATGTTTCGAAATCCGTTCCTGGTCATGGTAAATAGAGCCGAACTCTAAAACGTTGACGCGGCCAGATGTCTTCAAGGTAAGGGTAGGAAGCATTTGCCGGATCTTGAATCCAGGAAGTGGTTTTCCGACTTCATCTAACAATTCGCCCAAAGAGTCGATATCGACAGATCGTTCTTTTCTGAAAAAATAATAAATATAAAAATTTAACAAAAATCATTATTTTTTTTGAAACCATAATTATTGAAAAATTAGACTTTTTTCTTACTTTAATTAAAAAATCATTTGATTTAAAAAATAAAATTTCAGTATTTGATTAAGGTTAGGGTCAACGAGTTTCAATAAGCAAAACTAAAGTCCAAGGAAAAATAGAAGCCCAAAAAAGAACTCTGTTTTTCAAAGGTCTCGAATATTTGAACATTCCGTCTTTGAGTTGCTGTAATCTGGTTCGCGCCAGAAACGATCTTATGCAATCTTGAGCTCTCTCGGCTCATTTTTTATGCGCGTTAGAAGTCACAAAACATTTTCGTGAAAAATGGTAATTTTACAATAGTAAAACGTCAAAATAAAGCGCGCTTTATGACAGGAACTCTGCGACGGATCATATCATAAATCAACCTTGTCCGTATTTATTTTACCGGAGTTTAAATTTAACAACGTTACAAGTTGAGTAATAACCCCTTGTTCGGCTTCCTTTCTAAAGCTCAATCAAATCCCAAGAGCCTGATCGTCAGTCAATTTAAGTTTTTAATTTCGGTTTTGATATTTTAACTACTAGGATTGGAGAAAAGCTTTGAAAGGTAGAAAAGAGCGGCTTGAATTTCCAGCGCAGGTGCTCACTCAATTTAGTCACGGATGGAACTGACGAAAGCTCCGATTTTCCGAGAATTATGTCTCCTTATTCGGACTTACTTTTTGTCGACATGGGCGAAAGCCTCGGCAACTTTGTTGATGTCTTCATTCTCTAAGTCCAAGTGTTTGATTTCTTGAATAAGTTCTGCAACGTACTCGTCCATTTTTTAATAATTTTCTGAAAATAATCTTTCGTTAGATTAAGAATGAATCGTTCATCGGCGAAGCAGGTATAAATAGTAAAAAAAGGATAATGATTCAGCGAAAAATGAGAAGGTTCTTCTCTGGTGATTGAGAACACCCGGTAAGAAGGTGAATCACCAAGGGCGCGATAAAGTATAATCATTGACGCTTTTATTAATCACCGGCTTCTTAATCCGGTAGTAAATTATTAAATAAAGTCATTTCTCTCGAACATTTTTATTTGCCATCAGAAAACCCAAGCGTTGCTCTTTCTGAAATTCGGCCTTTTTCAACACGCGAGTATTGAAAGCCCCCATTCATCAGAAAACAAAGGACCGAATCATGGAACTTCCTTACGTCTATACTGAGAGCTTTACTAGAATAAATTTAACCATCCTTGATAAAAAATTTTTGGTAAAAAAATTCTCGTTGGATGGCGCTGTTGGAAATTTTTAAGCATTTTGATTGGTTCAAAGTAAAAAATTAAAATTTCTTTTTCGCCGAAAGTGTGAGTTTTATCTCTTTTTTGGAGCATCGTTTTTACGGGAAAAGATGATCAGACGATTTTTGCGATTGACAAAACACCCGTGTGCCGCATAAATCTATCTCTGGAGTTTATTATTGAGCTCAAGTTTACGAGCGATGAAGCATTGAAACCGAAAACGATCGTAAACGTAAATTCAGTGGGGCTACTCACTTTGGGCTTGAGTACGCTTCATTGACTTTTAATTAAGTTTTTTTATTATCTTTTCTGGAGATGAATACACCAAAACCGTAATCAGCATCTGAACTATTCATTTCTGGTGATTTATAGAGTTTTAAGGGTGTCAACGTTGATTTCCCCAAATATTCAGAAGTCTTGTTGACACCCTTAATCTCAAAGAATTTACTTTTGTTCATTTGAATTTGCGAAATTCTGGAGCAATTTAGAATGAATTTGTGAAAAAGCAATGTGTACATTTTGTATCTCTCTTTAGAAAATTGTCAGGTGGATGATTAGATGGCCGCGCGATTAGGGTTGAACTTGGGCGCAAGATTTTTTTTCTCATGGCTTCTTTGGTGCGTTCTACTGGCGTTTTTTGGTAGATATCATCATGTAACATTTCGCGGGCGATAATTAGGGCTGCTTTTAGACGGTTCAAGTTCCACGAAAACGTCGCTTTCGCTGCGTGAATTTGCGATAAAAGAATTGATGATGATTGAACTTGATTCAACTCAAGATAAACTCAAAAAATGTGTAGCCACGGGAAGGGGTTCAATTTTCACGTTTTTCCGCGTGAATTCTGTCAAAATTTATCATTTACCCTAATTATTGCTCGGCCACGTTATCGTGTTATTTCAACGTTTTCGGGATCACACAGCTAGAAATACCCGCGGACACCTTTTTGAACATCTTCATTTTCTAAATTTATTTCTGATAAAATTTTGTCAAAGCCGAAATTTGATTTTAGAAACGAAAAGATAACATACTCATTGGGCGATCTACAGTAGGGTGGATTTTTCGAAAGTTTCCAAAACATAACTTTTACGCGTTCAAAAAGCGTGTTTTACATAACATATTTCAGTTTCCCATTTCTAATTCTATTTCCGTCTCGAGTTGGACTCCCATTTCTAAAAAGCGGGAACTCGGGCGCGAAATTTCGACATATTTACAGGCCTGGACTAATTTTGAGTCGCGATAGGCGACGTCATAGCAACGCCTCAGCCAGCTATCAAGAATTCCTATCATCTGGACCACAAATCAGAAGGCTCACATTTGCGCGCGTTTTAAACTTCATCCTTGGGCCGGACGATAGGAATTCTTGATAGTTGGCTGAGGTGCTGCTATGACGTCGCCTATCGCGACTCAAAACTAGTCCAGGCCTGTAGCAGCTCGCAAATTAACCCAAAAAGTGGCACCTGTTTTGAGCTTGGAACTGACACCAGCTTGATATTTTGGAAAAAACGAGTGGAAATGTTTTTCTCATGAAATTGAACGAAACTCAGCTTTTTCTAAAAATTTAGTTCCGGAGATAAAATTCTTGTTATCCTCTTACTGGAATATCATTTTTGCCGAAGCAGTGCAGGATGTTATTAGCGATGAATTTGAATATTCTAATTATAGTTGTGCTAGTTCATAGTTCATGAAAAAACATGACTTTTCAAAGGGAGCTTTTTTTTCAAGGACTTCCTAAAGCTACTAGATAAGAGATCAACGACGTTTTTCATTCACGAAAAAAGGGTTGAAAATGGAGACACGATTGTTAAGGGGATAGACAGCATAGTAAGAACTCTTACATATTAATTTAATTCAGCTTAAAAGAGTATTTGACCCCTTTGAAAGCCGAAATTTTAGATTCTTGAAAATGAAACAGGGAGTTCTCATTTTAACGAATTTTTTATGAGTCGCCATTTTAACGGATAAAAGGAAAATGAGGATGATCTTGTGTTTAGTTTGCTCCGAACACGGAATTCGGTGTCAACTCTGCTTGGGCAAAATATTGTTTCTAATCCCACTTTGTTTCCCTTTTTCATTTATTGCGGTATTTTAACACCTAGCGTAGCGGCTGTGTTTTATTCTAAATAATAAAGTAATTGAGTTTAGAGACTGGGCCTATTTTTAAGAAAAGCTAAAAGAAGAACTGAACTCTAAATCTGACACTACTTTCAACAGGTTTTTTGGATGATTCTCTTTCAATCAAAAAAACTTTCTGATAGATGCTGTTTCTCTCAAAAGCTCTAGTAGCTCGTCCGATCGTAAAATTCACCCTCTATCAATGAAAATTAAAAAGACAGATCTTCGACTCTCTCTCTTTTTTGTTTTCTTCCTCTTTTTGTTTATTCTCTATCACCATCTGTCGGCGATTGTCTCATCATTTTTTGGCGAAAAGGTTCGAATAAAAATAGAGAGGAAACGAGCGGGCGCTCAATTTACCAGTTTACGAGGGGCATTAGAGGATGGGGATCAAAGGGGAGCCGATTTCCGGAGACGTGGTTTAGCCACTTGGGTGCCACACATGTCCCAACAAATTGGGGACGGTTTTCAGAACTTCAGAAGGTTTTCAAAGGGGTTCATTTCTTAGTACAATTTTCAGCGATAGTTTTGCGCGAAATTTCATAGTTCAGGACCAAAAAGTTTATTATTATTATTTCCTTTTTTTGAGATCATTTGAGGTTAAGGGACCCGGTTAGGTAGCGCCGCGCCGAACTTCAAGCGCTCGCCGTTATTCTTGGGAATGGGATTTTTCAAATTTTCTTTTTCCAAATGATATCTACAGCTCTTCAGCTTTCTCATTCAGTTTTCCGTTTTTCTCTATCACCACTCATTGATGAGCTAGATCAAAAAAGGGGAGCGCAACTTCAAAAGGCATCAAGTCCTGCAAATTTTATTTTGTCTTTTAGAAATCTGCACCATTAAAAAGCCCTTGAAATTTTCTACAGATTCCACCTAATGCGCAAAGCTGAAACATTACATATTTCGGATTAAAGGCTGATAAACCAGAGATCTTAGCGCGCTCAGCACGGCGCGGCGCGGCAGGACGCTATTTTGGGCTCCTGAGACATGATTCCAGCAGGGCGCGCGCTAGGAATTTTTGTTTGTATGACCCGTATCGCTTATTAGTACTGTTTCAGCTTTGCGCATTAGGTGGAATCTGTAGAGAATTTCATGGGCTTTTTAATGGTGCAGGTTTCTAAAAGATAAAATAAAATTTGCAGGACTTGATGCCTTTTGAAGTTGCGCTCCTTTTTTTTGATCTAGCTCATCAATGAGTGATGATAGAGAAAAACGGAAAACTGAATGAGAAAGCTGAAGAGCTGTAGATATCATTTGCAAAAAGAAAATTTGAAAAATCCCATTCGCAAGAATAACGGCGAGCGCATGAAGTTCGGCGCGGCGCTACCTAACCGGGTCCCTTAAAACCGAGAACTATGGAAGGACACGTCTTAGTAAAGTTTGGAGTTTGGTTCGTCAAAAATCTCCGTCCTTCTCAATCAACCCATTTGTAGGTGAATTTCTGCGTCTACTATGTAAGTCAGCTCCGGCGTGAATTCTTTCCCCTCGTCGGTCTCTTAGTCAGAGCTTGGTGGAACGCTTGAGTGAGCTACTAAATTGTAAGGTGAGACAATGCCGAATTTCTGGGTCGGGTAGCCCGGAAACCGCTGTCCGCACCACCGCTGGACATAGTATGTGGGTGCTCACGCTGACCCCAGCGGGACACAGCGGCAGATCACCGCCTATCAGCCATTTTGTTGGTCGCTTATCGCCTCTACCAAATTTCGCAAATGTTTAATTGGAACCCCTGGAACTTTCGCCAATTCCGCGGTCGCGATTCTGATCAACATTTCTCTTGAAACATCAAAATACACATTTTTTTTTGAATGATGGTCAATCCGATTGACCATCATCCTATTCTCTCTGAGATTGTTGTTTTTCGCACAATAGTGGCCAAAATGAGCCTAATTGCCCAGCACTTCGAATTTTTCAGAAGAAAAAGTGATTCTCATCGTTTTTTCGGGCATTACTGGCTTTAAACTTTCAAGGGCTCTGATCACGTGACCCCTAGAATTAATTAACTGGGATCTGAAAATATTAGCTAATCATGTACGTTTTAGGTCAATACCATAATCGATTGAATGCAAGAAAATGATCAAATCGAGTTCATAAAAGATCTTTTATGATTTCTAGCTCTAAGCTCTAGAAAGAGGGTTCAGAAATAAAGGTACCCTTTGAGGGTTTTTGCCAAATATTAAGAATAAATCTAAGCAAGCGAAAGCTGCTGTAGGTTGGCGAGATTATGAATAATAACAAATTAAATGAGAATTTAAAAGACTTAATGTTTAGTTTGATTTAGCAACTTTATGGTGTCCCATAGAAAATGAAAATGCAATTTCTAATCTAGAGATCCTCAGTTGTTAATTGTGTTTGTTATTGCTTACATGGTAATTGGCAAGTTGTTATGTCTCCTTCTAACAGTTAGGTAATCGCTTTGGAGTTTTCATAAATATGTTACGTGTCTTACTAAGGCCGCAAGAGCGTAATTGCTACATGATCGGCCGTTGTCGCAGTAGTCGTCTCCCCATTTTCCGTTGTTATTGACAATCAATTGTCGACTAAGAGGCAAGGAAGGGCTGCTATTGAATTTGCATCCAGCGCTGAGTTGGCCCCACTTTCTTGAATTTGCGCAATCGCTTTAGATTGATCAAAAATAACTTGCATGCACCCACTTACTAATTACTCGCCTTTCGCGCATGATCCTATAAACGCGATGTTTAGTAGACCTTGTCATCGGTCATTAATATTATTTTTGATTGAGTCTAAAACTACTAAAAGGCGCATTATTTTTGAACTAGCGTGTCCCCTCTCTTTATCAGGGACTCCAAAGATTCGTTAGCCGAAATTTAACTTATTAAAATGTCCGGATAACTTTTCCATTGACTGTTGACATTGACATCTAATCCTATGACTCCAATATACTAAAATAAAGCAAGATAATGATACTTATAGTTATCAGAATTGGCTCTAGAAATACAAATCCCTTCTTTTTCGGGACTTAAAAAATTATTTTATCTTGTTTTCAATAAGTTAAATTAATTATAGGAATAGAATGACTATGATTTCGATGATCTACTACGAAATCTATATATGGCTGTATTATATTCAAAAAAATATTGTCTTTATTTTTAGCTCTAGAAATTTAAATTAACAAATTTGATGGAGAATCTCAAAGATATCTAGCTTTGAAAAAGCTCAGGCCAGTAGTATTCATGGAAATAAGTCCTGGTTGGGACATGCAAATAATAATTTTTAGAACATCTTTTATAATTTGAAGACATATGATAAAATACTTTTTGGCTGTTAATTTTGTTTTTTTATGGTTCTTTAGTAATTTTTCTCAACCTAAGCTCCTAAGAAACATGTGACTTTTTACACATGTTTTACCAGGCAAAATATTTTCTTCTAACACATGGTTAATTTTTTTTGCCGCGTTGGTAGTTTCCCAAGAAATATTCTTTTCGCCCGTTATTTTATCCATTACTTGGTATTGTACTTGGTACTGCTGTTGATTATTTTATCCAGAAACAGAATCCACTCAAATACAGCGGAAAATCCACCTGCGACTTGTGTACGGCCATTTTATTTATCGTTAATATCCCTTTGATAAAATAGACTTATCTTTGTCTACTACATACTGAAACATTGAATATGATGATTTCAAAAAAATTGACCCTTGAGAAATTCGAATTTTGAAAATTAATCTTCCTGAGCTGTTCCTCGCTATTTAGATAAAGATTTGACAACAAAAACTCCTGAAAACAAAAGTGGACGAAAAGTCTAGTGCTGGAAGAGGCGATAAGGACTTATATCAGTCTGAGTCGGTGCTTACTGCGGATAAGCTTTTCTCGTTTAACTCGGCACTTATTGAGCTTCTTGCGAAACTCTAGTTATCGCGGATCCTGGGAGGACACGGCCCAAAGTGTCATTCTCTGTCAATTTCTCTTCTAGCGAATAAAATAGAATCTGAGCAGAAAAAAATGGAACAGGGAAATCAAATGAGGAAGGAGGGAAAGAATCTTTAGAAGGAAGAGAAAGGGGGCTCGTGTTCATTTCAAATTTATCAACTCGCTCATGAACTATTCACCGCTCGGTGTTGACATGACCAAGAAGGTAACTCGAACCTGATTAATTAATTAGTATTTTTCTGGGAGAAATAGTTTTCGCTCGAAAATTAAGAAATATTATATTCATCATTTGACTCGTCAATAGGTAGTAATTATCTATTATTTTGGATCAAATAATGATTAAAATAGATTACTTCTTTTGTAATTGAAAAGCACTTATTTTATTACTGTGAGGTAATTTTCTTGAAAATCGTTTTTCGCAAAAATAAAGGTGAGAAATAAAGCCACAAAATCCGCTTGGCTACCGCGCACCTGCTTTCTTCGAGATGCGTAGTTATTGACGGAGCAACCGGTTGCGAGGCGCGAACCGCCAAAGACGTAAATTGCGCGCCACTGGGGTTAAGTCTTCAAATAACTACCACTTGCAGATTTAGAGTGTTATCAACGTTAACCTTATTTTAGCCTCTCTTTGGTCAAACGTCTGAAAATGCACTTTGAAGAAAATAATAACGAAAAGTTCTATAATGTTTCCTTCAGTGTTGCTTTGGGCACGTGACATGTGGCAGAGAAAAGAGAAGAGGGTATTGAACATCGTAAGTTTCTTGCTTCATCAATAATTGAGCATTCTCAACGGATTCTCCTGTCCATGCGAATTTCTGAACATCACGAGTTGGGTAACCAGGAACGACGATCACAGATAAGCCCGTAAAAATCGCCGAGTTGTATCTGACTTGCTAAAAGAAGGGAAACACGTGGATTTGAGAGCTGTCCAAAACATACCTTGAGCATAAAACCAACGTGTGACCACTCAAAATTGTGAAATAAATAAACACCGCTCGGGCTTTGTTTTCCGCCTACAGTCAGCACTCCGTTATCGACAGAAACGCAAGCTCTTTTATTGGCTCAAGAAAATATCGTTTCCTTGTTTAGAATTTTTTTGTGCCCGTTTATCCATCTTCATGTCCTCTGAAAAATTGCTGTAAGTTTTATCTTGTCTATTGAATCAAAGAAAGTTCCCTACACTGGATGGCTAGATGTCTCAAATTGGTACCAAGAATTGGCTTGAAGAATTTCCGTTGTCGTGGAGCTTGAGTAGCTTCCGCCTTTCACTGTGTTCAGTTTAAACCTAGAGAGAGTCCCGGAGTCGAGTGTCTCCTGGAAGGAGAGGATCAAAGGACTTGTAGATAGAAAATAAAATGTCTATGTTGAAATCAAGTAGTAAAGGAAAGAGTTCTTGAACAGGTCCTACTGCGAGGAGTTGAGATTCATAGCTGCAGATCGATCAGAACAGAAGGTTTTTAAATAAAGGACATCAAGGACTTGATGAAAAATTTGCAATGTTTCGCTTCAATCAACTAAGGCTTATTTCGTGTCAAATTTAAGCTCAATTAGTTTTAATTGGAAAAAAATTTAAGCGCCGAAAATAATCCCTTATTTTGGGTCATGAATCGTTGACTCAAAACTGTTATATTGAAAAAATAGTAATGGTATCATTAATTTATCATCAATTTAAAAACCTTTTCCCAAACATGTGACTCACATGTGTTTCAGCCTCCAAAACCCTTCAAGAAAGAACCGTTTTCCCGGTGCAGCGCTGGAGAGCGCCACGTTTTTAAAAAACGACTTTCTATGAAAACCGAAAAGAGATAAAAATTTCAAAAAAGAGACCAACTTTATATTCTTGTCGAGAGAAACATTTTTGAACTTATATTATGTTCTTATTTTGTTTATTTTTAAGTGCATATTATATTTAATATAATAAACAGTACATATTATACACTTTAAGCCACAGTCGACTCAACTTATTCATCAGCTCGTTTGAGCGCCTCAAAAAACACCATCTTGAAAGTCCAGCCACGTATGGCAAGAAAAAAAAAAAAACACTATCTGGAAAGTCCATCCTCGTATGGCAAAAAAAACACTATCTGGAAAGTCCATCCTCGTATGGCAAAAATACACTATCTGAGAAGTCCATCATCGTATGGCAAAAAACACTATCTGGAAAGTCCATCCTCGTATGGCAAAAAAACACTATCTGAGAAGTCCATCCTCGTATGGCAAAAAACACTATCTGGAAAGTCCATCCTCGTATGGCAAAACGATCTATGCTCTAGTCTAGTCATTGTCATATGACAAACACTCCTCAAACTACAGTAAGAGATTTCAAATCCTCAAACTAGAGTAAGACGCTAAATACGTATAAAAGCTGCATGTTTTGAAATATTTTTCAAAGAAAAAACATTCCGGACAAACTCAAAAACAAACTCGGGCGAACCCTCACATTGATTTGAAATCTTGGGCAGATATTATCAAAAAGCAACAGCCTTGTCAACGGTCGCGAGATTCGGACTTTTTATGAAAATATATGTTTGACCTGAATTTTGTAATGTGAGCTGATATGACAGAAACAAACAACTCTGTGAAGTTTCGAATGAAAACTCAAAAGTGGTGGCGTTTTGCCACGGAGCTCATTTTGCTTTCTGATGGAAAATCGCAACAGATTTTTCAAAAAACAATGGCTGATTTTTATAGATGAGGGCTCAAGCTTTCCAGCAATACATTTACGAGAATTTTTACTCGACGGACACGTCAATTAGAGCCAAAAGTCCTGAGCGCTCTTTTTCACACTCTGAATTTGGCGCGCCGCGCGGAGCTGGATAATGCGTTGTGGTCCGATAGTTGGACCACGTGTTTTGAGCGCTTAGTGTATTGAGTTTTTGGTTCTCCCAAAATTCCAGAGTAAGTTCAGTTTATCGAACCGTCATTAGATTAAGTCAAGTCTTGCTGATTTTCTGAGGACTTACTGATCTCAACCCACTTTTGTTCTTCGCAATCTTTGATCTGTAATCAACACTTGACGCTTTCTTTAGCGAGCCACTTTGCATTGAAGTCATCCATGAAGCAATGTAGTCAGCGAATTTCGGTTAATTAATGAATTCGTCTTCGAGATAGTCTTTAGATTGATTATCGAGAACTTGGCCCATAAAATCAGCGTTGTCCAGTCGAAAGGTTTCTACGAAAAACGCGTCGTAAATTCCATACTGCGTCATCCATGATTCCAAGTTATAGTCGTTCGCTGATTTGACAAGCATATTTTCTGCGATTTGGATATTGTCAGTTCTGATACTGTACTCAAGACAGCGATGCATACAGTCGTCTTTTGATAATTGACTGACTGGGACGCTCGGATAGATGCAAAGATTGATTAGCTTTTTATAATCATTGGACGTTTCTGTCCTTAGAACGAAATATTTCGTGAAGATCTTCTGCACCGACTCCATGAGCTCGTTAATATCATAGACACTTTCATCTTTAAATTGACAAGAGCTCAAGAAGACTTCAAAATTTCTAATATTTTTGGTGACACTTGCAACGACTTCAGACGAGTATCATGTTTCAAAGTATGAGTATCTGTTTAAAATAAGCTGAGCGTATCTTCGAGCTGCATTTTTTGTCGCATCGGGTTGAGAATATTCCGCCAAAAACCGGTTACAATTTTTGTAGAAGCTGAGCCAATCCTCCAGTCCCATCGAGGAGAATAAGCGTCGGTTGGAGAATAGGAGAGAGTAACAATAATGAAGCTAGGATTTTAAGCTCTCTTGCTGAGCCTTCTTGAAGAATTATTGTCAGTGGAATGTAGTCCGAGGTGTTTTCTAATTTTTCATTTGCGAGTTCGGCGATGGCAAGAATCGAGTTCAGCCAGAGATCGTCTTCTTCGATCGAATTTCCGTGACGATCTCCTTTAAGGCATATACCAGTGGCTGGTACAGTGGCTGTGAGAGTCGGCATGATCAGTTGTTTTGAACTTCAAGGCTTCATGATCATCACAAACGCTTTCCAAATCATGATGAGTTTGGGAAAGTACTTCGCCCAGTCCGCCAGATTCACCGAAGGTCAAAAATACACCTTGGCATTTCGCAGCGTTTTCGTAAAGTGCGTTTCCATACTACTCCCTGCCCAAACGACCTATTGGCAGATACGTGGAACTTCCGATTGAAACAAAAATTGATTCCACATTCGAGATACCTACTTCTTTTTTTGAAGATTGATTTCAGTAAATCTTTCTTCGGCCCCGCGTAGTTGTCATTAGTAGATAGAATGATGAATTCAGTGTCATATCCCACCACGAATTGTCTTCTGATATCTCGCTAATAATTAAGTTGTAGAACGTGATCAAACTTTTGAACCGTCTGTTGATCCATTGTTGTAAAATTAACAAAGGAAATTATTTTCATGAAAAATAAAACGTCCTCTTCTTCACCCAAGAATCTTCTCCATCAACTTTTCATTAGTCTCCGGATTTCGATGTGTTTTGGATATCATCCATCAATTCTTTCACAAAGCTGTCAGATTTACGACTTATTGTCTTGCTGAGTAATTTATAGAAAAGACAACTCAATGGAAGAAGAAGGAATCCTGGACGACTCTGCAAGCGTGTGATGGTGGCGATGCTGGCGATTTTCGACACAAAGTGGCTCTCCTTCGACGATAAGCAGCTGATTGGCGCCGTGCCTTCGTAAAGCCTGTCCGCATCGCTGCAATAAGTAATCCCGAATGGAGAAGTCCCCGTCGTTCCCAGATCACGAAGCCACCCGCAGAAGTAAGTCCCATGCCGCTTAGTTTTATCTTACCCTTTATTGAACACACGCAAAACTGCTTAAATCCTCTCTGTACGTAAGACTCGGAACCCCTTCATTGGGGCGCTGTACGACTGCCTTCCATAAGTGCACTTATAAATAAACAAAACAAAACAAAAAAAAAAGATTGCTACTTTTGAAAAAAAGCTCTAACTCACGTTGCTCTAGAACCATCCCATGTCGCGCAATTCCTGGTTGAGCCGCCACCTCCGAAGCATAGAAAAACTATGAAAGTATGGTTTTGTCATTCAAACAAGTTCCAAAGCGCTCTTGTAGAATACCCTTATCGCGGATCGATTCGGTTGAGCCGTAGTAGCTTTCGAAGGGGAGAGGAAGGGATGTGGGGAGCTTTCTGAAAGTGCAGCCAGATTCGAGCTGCAGGATTTTCAAGTTGCTCGGATAACCGCCGAAAATGTAGAGGACACCCCTGACATGAGAAAAAATTTGATGCAAGGTGAGATTTATTTCAAAAAGTGAAAACCAGAAAATATTTATTTAGCTGAGTATACTTCTATTTTTATAATTTCGAATAATATGATTTACTCATTTATTTCTTAATAATTTTGTGACACTCATCAATCTATACTATAGTATAATCTATATAGATTCTATAGACTTAGATCTCACATCAATAAACAAAATTTACTATCTCGATTCCTGACAACACCAACCCCACTGGCACTTAGAGTTTCTCCAAGCGGCAGCTCGAACTTCTGCTCTTCATAAAAGCTTCCATCCGCACTTATCTTGTAGCTGAGCAACGGTACGCCGGTTGATTCTGATTGAGCAAGTACTGTTATGTATTTATCGTCGCAGAATATGCTTTCCAATAGGAAACATAATTTAAAAATACCTCTCATTTTTATATTTAGTAATTTTTTTTCGTCATTTTTTGTTTGATTGAGACAGATTTCCTGACTCTCACAACTGCGAGCTCAAATGTATCCATCAAAGCGCTGACGAAAAAATTTTCAAGATCGAAAAATCCGCTCTTTTGTCACTGTAAAATGCAGCTTTCAGACAGACAGGGTCATTAGTGACGATGACTCGTCGATGAGCAAAGTACTTGAGCTGCATTTTGTCCTCTAGCGTCATTTAGATATCTGACTTTACATTCGCACGCGGTCAAGTGCGGATCAACAGAGTTCATTAATCGAAAACAAGAAGTCTTAAAAATTCATTAATTCATCAGAATTGATCATCCTTGATTCCCGATTGGCATTTTTCCACGAAGTTGGAAAAGTCAACAAAGCGTTCACTGGAAGTCCCGTTCTCAAAGAGCTCGAATTTTTTCGCTCGAAAGAAAATTATCAGAAAGAAAGGATGAAACTCGCCCGTGGAATGATAATAGTTTTGGCCTCGGCGATGCCTGATTTTGACGAAAAAAGAGAGGAATTCGCGAATAACATGTTCCAGAGAATGTTTGCCGATCAGAGTCAAGACATGTGAGCTCCTGAAATTAAGGGTGTATCTTCGATAAAGCAAAATATTTTTATTGGAAATGCGATAAAACGCCAATTAAAGTGCACTAAATGCTCTCAAGATTTGCATAGTACCATATATATTCAAAAATAATCGCATCCGGAATTCAACCGAAAACGATAATGTTCTAAAAATAAATTTACAATGCATATACTCCATTTAAAAAGGTGCCGCGTAGACAGAACGGCATCAAAGTGGGTCGCCCGTGTCCCCTCTCTATATCGAATATTCATAAACATGTAAAAATAGCGGTCGAGTGGAGCCCCCTTAGCCGAAATGGTCATAATATCCGCATTTGCGCCAGCGCTTGAAGTTTTTTTTGAGGGGCCTTGTTGGATCCCAGCTAGTCACGTTTGAGATCGCCCGCGAAGAAGTGTTATCCCCTCGCTGGCGGTCGACCTGACAACCTTGCCAGAGCTGCACTAAATTCGAGCTAAGGACTGCAATTAGTGGAAATTAACATTCCAAGATAGCCTTAGATAGGGCTTGTAATCTTATTTTATGCTATCGAAAAAACGTGAGAACTCTTTTTGTTGGAAAAAATATCGATTTTTTTTGTAAAGTTCAGAAAAAGTTCAGTTAATGAGTTTATGTTTCAGCCCTGAAGAACTGCTGGTCCAGCGATTGAACTCAGGCTCCTACCGAGTGTGCGACAAGGACCAGAACAAATCACTCACAACTCAAGAGGCCTTCAGGTGATCAAAAGTGCCAGAGTTCACAAAACAGCTGACTTTGGAAAAGGAAAGACATTCTTAACACCGGCAAAAAGTCAGCTGCACCTTACAAAGAAGTTCTAGTCCTCCTTCTTCTGTCTCTTTTAGTACAATTTGTGACAGTAATTGTTCACTGGCCTTTTCAACTTGACACTCTTGATAAAAATGTTTTCAGCTGCTCAGAAGCGTACTTCAGAAGCATCGGACGTGAAGCAATTCCGATTTATAAGGAGGGTACTTCCTTTTTAACCGAATCATGATAGAATCGGTGATTGAAGAGACAAGTACTTGAATCAAGGATTCAATCACTTGAGCATCATTTTCGAGAAAGTCACTTTACTGCCCGTAACGCTAGCTAGAACGAGTAACCGCCGAACACTCTCAAATTAGAGTTCAATTAGAGACCAATTCTTTGAAGAATTTTTATCGAAAAAAGATCAAGCTTTATTTCAAAAATTATGTCTCCAAAGCCGCTTGCGGCTTTTTTATGGCTAATAAAATTCTTGAATATTTGTTAACCGTAGAAAAACTTGAAGTAAAGATGCTTGACTTCCGGATCGCAGGTTCAAGATTTCTTGAATAAATCATTTTTCACGAAGGAAGTTCCAACAAGGACTTAACCACGGGGGGATTGGCTGGCGACTTGAACGGTAAATATAATTACACTCTTCAGACGATTCTCTATGTTTTGCTCGGCGGAACGTATGAGATTAGCCGGAATAATTCCACACTGGAGAGCGAGAGAAAATGAAAACTCGGCTGACCTAGACTCAATTTGAAATTCGAATTGAAACCGAGTTAGACGCGGAAACTAGGCGAAACTAACAGTTTCAAAAGTGGCTTGAAAACGATTTGATTCAGGCGATGGTGAATACACGAGGAAAGAGTGGGAACTGGTGAACCACACTTTGACCTGGAAAATCACAAAGGCAATGCTGTCAATCATTCTGGTAAGCCGCACTTCAGTATCCAAAGGAAATTTCATTTTCCGGCGGGATTCACACTGGAGTCCCGAATTCAGGAATTGAAGTCGTTTTGTGGTTAGCTTACTTTCTTTTTCAACAACAGTTCTTTTCTGGACATCATAAACTTTAGCTCAATAAAAATTCCTCGTCTCTTTCGAGGCCGAAAATGACCGCGGTCGCCGATATCCGCTATCAAAAACCGTGTCAGAAGTGGGATTCGAACCCACGCCTCCAAATGGAGACCAGAACACTCGGTACGCTGATGCAGCGCAAGCACTTGCTTGAGTCTGGCGCCTTAGACCGCTCGGCCATCCTGACACGAAGAGTACCTCTGATTTTGTCACCCAGACTCTCAGATTCTGAGTCAAAAATCGAGGAAGTAAAACTGTGATTTCTATCGTTGAAGGATTAGGTTTTAGAGGAGCCCTAATAATTTTAAGTATCTTATCAGTATGCGGTTATTTAAGCTGTAAAGCGGCTGTCAGCCTCTTTTCAGATAGGTTTCTGGATTGGCGATAAGAAGTACTGTAAATGTAGCGACTTACTGAATATTGAAATTTTCAAGAAAGTGAAAAACTAGCTCTCGTTTCACGCGAAACTCGACGGAACTGCTTAGCATTTGGCGTTATCAGCTCTTGTTGGCACATTTTTGTGTCACCCGCCGAGTTGATATGCAAGTGATAAGGGCTGGGTCTAGGTCCCGTTAAAATGAATTTCCATCGTCCGGAATTAGCGATACTCAGTCTCATATCGTCATTGATTTCAGCTTTCGCGTCAGACGACGAACTTGGCTCAGAACTGATAACCAAAGTTATCGCGACTCTCGGCGGGTGACTTTGGATTTGGCCAAAAGTCTAAAAATACCGTGGGAAGAGCGTGGTGCATTTCCGGATAAATGGAACTCATGGAATTTGCTTCGCGCAGTTCCGGAACTTGAGATATTTTCCTCAGCATCCTAGACAATTGTATTTCGTTATCAGCTCGTTTTTATCAAAAGCTGTCTTTTCGATTCTAAAACGATTCTAAAAAATTGTTTTAGGATTGCGACGTGGCCGAAATCACAGAATCGACAATGTTAAAAGGGACTGGGTTGAGTCAAAGCGCGAAAATAACAAGCGGTAGAATCTTACGCGGTGAATAATTTTCCGCCAAAAAGGCTTTTGAGGTGCTTGACGGCGATTTATTAAACTCGCTAGCTTCAAGCTTTTTCGAGGGTCACGAGCAGGCCTTATTAGCCCTAGAATGAAAGACACTATAAGTCAGAGGTTGATATCTGAACCAGGCAACCTGTGTAGAAAACCTGAGTCAGGGTCTGAAAGATTTCTTATATGAAAGCCGTAGAGCGTATATTTGAATCATCATTTCTTGCTTGCTGTTGCTAACCCTAGAAAGATAACAACCGACGATTCCTGCGCGACCAGCTGCAGTACTACTTCCAGCTACGTGGTGCCAGAACTGAGTTATTGAATAATAACTTCGGTTGTTATACAAATTGCTCAATTAAAGATTGGCCTGGCTATTTTTAATCTTACATCGCGGAATAAAGTTTCCACACAAGCGTTACTACACAAATATCGCCGAAACTGGTCTTACGGTAATTAACTCTCCTCTATTTTCCAACACGTAGACGACCCAGAAACATGTGTTTTTTACTAAAACAATTTTCGACAAGCGGTTCTGCTCTATAACAATTTATGCGGCGCATGTTATGATTTACGCCTTGCGATGTGTTAGTGGCCGCTTCCGAGGCGCGCAAATCTATTTTTACATTATACAGTCAGATTAAATTCTCGAATTAAAATAAGTCCATAAAAATTTAACCGTTTATTTTGTGGAATTAAATAGCGTAGAGCTCATTTTAACTTTTCCTAACCCTAACTTTTCTTCGAGATTTTTCATAGTGACACCCTTAATAAATTCGACCAACTACCTTCTTGAACTAAAGAAGAAAAAATGACTCAAACGTGTGAAAGTCATTACCATTTGGAGCCACTCAACTCTGGAGAGTCATCAATCGTTTTTAGAGTTAACATAAGATGGCCTTCTTCCGACGCCGCTTGCCTCCAACGCCTTGAGCTTCAAACTCCTTACCAGGTCTAAAAGCCAACTGCACAAACAGCACCATCAACAGTTTTATTCTTTAGAAGCTGAAGCTAATCAGAGATTTCACGAGCAGCGCTAGAGTTTCCAGCGACGGTTTGAACAAGCTCGTTTACTTTGATAGCCCCTGTGAACCGCTGCCCGTAACGAGGCAGGATTACAATCAGACTTGCTTGGAGAAGTATGAATGGGCCTTTGATAACTGAAAATGAGATACTTGCTGGAACTTACTGTACACTTGAAATTATACGAACATTGACGAGTCGGCACTTTTTGTTCAGTATTTTAATTGATTGTCAAATTTATTTAACCAAAAAAATAAAAGATACTAAAGACTCTTATTTTATGGTTTTTAGATAATTTAATCCGAAGTGCTTTTTCGGTTTATAAATTGGCAAATCTCTTCGTTTGGATACCAAATATCATTTTATCTTGACACTAAAAACAGCCCGCTTAAAATTCCAATGTGCCCAGTTCTCGAAGAAAAGCTTCTAACCAGTTTCCTCGTTTCTTATCATACATTTCTGTCTGACGGCTGCGGTTCCAAAATCAGTCCGAAAACGAGATGGAAAGTGCGATCACTAAGGTGACGTTTTGTGGTTCTGTCCAGGAAACACTTTTTGGTGACTACACTTTCAAAGGGAAAGAAGATTTATTGCAGCTTTCATTTTCAAGAAGAAGATATTCCATTGGTTCGTAGGGCATCGTTGTACAGCCGTCCGATGAGTTCTTTTCGCGGAGGAAATGGATTAAGGATCACCCAAGCGATAATTTTTATGAAGCCTTATTGGTCCAAAAACGGGCTCATTTTTTGATAAACAAATTAAGAAATTATGATGATTGAGTGGCCCGGAAGATAATTTCGAGTACCCTACTTAGTTTAAGTAGTCAACTGTAAAACAGTAAGAGCAATACTGTGTCATGATGTCACGTTTAGCTCAAATGCTGCGAATTACGCGAAAACCTATTCGTTAGGTGATTATTTTGAACGCGCGTCAGTTCCGAAACATTTTGGAGCTCATTTGGATGTACAAAAATACAGAAGGGCCCTCAATTATCGCCTCCCGAACCTGCGACTTGGACGGCTTCCCACTCGTTCAAGTCCTGAAAAGAGGTCACAAAGGGCGCCAACGAAAATTCCAAAAGGCGGAGCAAGAAATGGACCAAGTCGCAGGTTCGGGAGGCGATAATTGAGGGCCCTTCTGTATTTTTGTACATCCAAATGAGCTCCAAAATGTTTCGGAACTGACGCGCGTTCAAAATAATCACCTAACGAATAGGTTTTCGCGTAATTCGCAGCATTTGAGCTAAACGTGACATCATGACACAGTATTGCTCTTACTGTTTTACAGTTGACTACTTAAACTAAGTAGGGTACTCGAAATTATCTTCCGGGCCACTCAATCATCATAATTTCTTAATTTGTTTATCAAAAAATGAGCCCGTTTTTGGACCAATAAGGCTTCATAAAAATTATCGCTTGGGTGATCCTTAATCCATTTCCTCCGCGAAAAGAACTCATCGGACGGCTGTACAACGATGCCCTACGAACCAATGGAATATCTTCTTCTTGAAAATGAAAGCTGCAATAAATCTTCTTTCCCTTTGAAAGTGTAGTCACCAAAAAGTGTTTCCTGGACAGAACCACAAAACGTCACCTTAGTGATCGCACTTTCCATCTCGTTTTCGGACTGATTTTGGAACCGCAGCCGTCAGACAGAAATGTATGATAAGAAACGAGGAAACTGGTTAGAAGCTTTTTCTTCGAGAACTGGGCACATTGGAATTTTAAGCGGGCTGTTTTTAGTGTCAAGATAAAATGATATTTGGTATCCAAACGAAGAGATTTGCCAATTTATAAACCGAAAAAGCACTTCGGATTAAATTATCTAAAAACCATAAAATAAGAGTCTTTAGTATCTTTTTATTTTTTTTGGTTAAATAAATTTGACAATCAATTAAAATACTGAACAAAAAGTGCCGACTCGTCAATGTTCGTATAATTTCAAGTGTACAGTAAGTTCCAGCAAGTATCTCATTTTCAGTTATCAAAGGCCCATTCATACTTCTCCAAGCAAGTCTGATTGTAATCCTGCCTCGTTACGGGCAGCGGTTCACAGGGGCTATCAAAGTAAACGAGCTTGTTCAAACCGTCGCTGGAAACTCTAGCGCTGCTCGTGAAATCTCTGATTAGCTTCAGCTTCTAAAGAATAAAACTGTTGATGGTGCTGTTTGTGCAGTTGGCTTTTTAGACCTGGTAAGGAGTTTGAAGCTCAAGGCGTTGGAGGCAAGCGGCGTCGGAAGAAGGCCATCTTATGTTAACTCTAAAAACGATTGATGACTCTCCAGAGTTGAGTGGCTCCTTACTTGTAGATGTAACTTATTCCAGATGGGAAGGCAACACTTCTCCGCTGGATTTGGGCTTACGAAAGATTTGAATAACTCTTTCTAAATCACTGCTCCTCAAGCCCGAATTCTTGAGAGCTACATCTCGATCAACGCTGAATGCAACAACAAACTTGAAATTCTCGCGTTTCGGCGCGATCTAAATCAAAACTCGGCGGAGAAAAAAGACTCTAAATACCTTGGTCCCGGAGATGACCAAAATCGGAGCTGCGGTAGAATCCGCTCCAGGGGTCAGTTTTCTTCAAATGGGCTCGTTTCGCGCTTTTATCGGCAAAAATTGCCTGAGAATGCAATATTATCAATTCTAGCGTTTTAGAAGCCCGCTGACTGTTGCCATGCTTGTCCGTTGTTGAGCAAGTTTGCCATCTAAGAGTTAGACCTCCAGTTTGCCCGCAAGACGGCTCTCCTTAATTAATAGATCTTAATTAAAAACAAGGTTGGGACTAGTTCTTGGTCACATTTTTGAATTTTAATTCTTAGTACCTTCTGTGGGATAGTGCTTCCGTGTACCATCAATATATCTGTTTGTGGATAAACAACGCGAAAGAAATATACGAGCAGGTGAAAAAAGGCGCTTGTGACGAATATTTAATTGATACAATTTATCTTCCTGAGGGCTCCACGCACTGGCAAAAGTCGCTTTCACATTGAACGGGAAAATAAGTTCCATCAGCTTGGCATCGTGGCAGATCGAAAAGTGACCTAAAAATCTACTGTCAAAGCGCCTTCAATTCTTGAGATTCTCTGAGGTTTTCAAGTTCTTTACCTTGCTTCTTGATTTCTTCTAAAATACTTCATCTGATCTTGGCACTTTCTATAAGCGTCCCCTTGTTTACAGAAAATGCTCAGCGCAATTAAAAAATTTGACCCTAACATCATATTTTAATGCTTTGAGTATCTCTCGAATTGATGTGCTGGTCTTTGGTTGTTATTAGATTGAAGTAACGGCGTCTGGTCAAGTTGATATTGAACACAGTTGACACGTCCACTCTTTGACCTTGTTGATGTTTTCAATCAACAGTTTTCAATTTGTTGATGCTACCGCGTCGCCACCGGATAAATATCTTCTACTAATAGCATTTTAATTGACTACATTCAAAAGAAGAGCGCTCAAGTGAGCCAATTTTCAATAAACGAAGCTGGCTGCTATCAAACTCTTGTTGATAATATAAAACGAATTCTTACTATTGGTACAAAAATAAAACTGCGGAGATCGCAGCTTTTTCAGCTGGGTGCTCCAAGGACTTGTCATACTGCATAAGAAGTGAGCATCCTAAGATACTGAGTTCTAGTGTAGTCGTCCTGCTCAAGGTCAAATACAGAATTTTCTAACTACTGATAGAGCTACAGAATTTTGCAATACAGCAAGGCCTCACTCGTGAGAAGAGCCCTGAATATCTTCGAAAAACAAACGACTCCTTGTCGACCAAATTGAGTGGCGAAAAACCACGAAGGGCATAACAGGCCTAGTCCAAACCAATCGCCTGGGACCGCAGACGACTTCAAAAGTACCAAAATTGTTGCTTGAGCAGTTTTTCCATCGACTGAATATTACGGAAGAAATCAGACAATTGCAAGCTTTCCATTTCCATTCTTCGTTTCAGAGATAATGAATAAATCGCCATTTTCGCGGCTTTTCGATCGCTCCTTTCTGACATTCTGCAGGAGATAACTTCCATAATAGAACTTGGCTCGGTTTCTAGAGCTCAAATCAGATTAGAAGCGCGCTTTCAACTCTTTCCAGCTCATCAAACATGTTCAGCAGGAGCGCGGAAATCGCCCAATTAGAGCGATCGCTGTTCAACATGTTCCGATGAATTCTCGACCAAGAATGGATAATACGATTTTTGGCTTTTTCTCATTAGGTTCAAATCGATATCATCACTTTGATCTAGCGCAAAATCAAGCTAACGCAATAATGTTCCTCCTCGTTTCCTCAAATCAGCTCTTTATCAAATCGAAATTTTATTTCTTTTTTGTCAACGATGTGCTGCTACACCAATGATAGAAGACACTCCTATCATGTCCCCTTCCCTGGAACCTCCTAATTGTGAGCAGCCCAGCAGAAAACAGAATCGCACGGGCAAAAGTACCAACTCGTCGCAACCAAGAAACATGCGCAAATGCTCACATTGGGATCCAAATATTTAGCGAAAAAGCTAAATATTCTAAAAATCGGTTTAGCCACGTTCGACACGGCTCCGCTACAAATCGCTCCTCTTGAGTTTTACACAACCCAAATAAAAAAATAAGCATGCCATGTCGTTTCTTTGTCTGGGTTCAAGAAGGCTAGATTGATAAGTCGGAATTAGCGACAAATCTCCTGACAACGAAAAAGAGAGGCAGTGTTTTGAAGTTTTCTATTCTTGGAACGTCTCTAGAACTCGCGTTGTTGTCAGGGCTCGGAGAGCGCGGATCCTCAGTCTTCGGATTTTTCCGGTCCGAGAGCACAGAAAAACAGGTAAAACTAAGATTATTTTGGATTTTTTTGTTCAATTTAAATGTCGAATTTATGTCAAGAATTAAATTTTAGATATCGAGGCGGGGTTGTGAGGGAGGGGGTCACTGCACCTTGTACCCCTCGAAACGTTCCAGAATCTTGAGAAAATGATGGACGTTGGAAAACCAACGACACTGCCGATATCCGTCCTGAAAAGGAGGGATTCAAGTTTCATGCAAAGTAATAAAAACCTATCTTCCTTAAAATCTCCTTTCTCATTTTTGCAGGAATTTCAACTTGTTGTAGCTTACAGAGCAGGCAAAACACAAACAGCGGTTCTAGAGCTTTGATTGACGGTTTTTTGAGCGGTTTCTTTCGGTTCGAGCGTAGTGTTATTTTAGAGGATTCCTTGTAGTTGAAGACTTATCTTCAAAAATCATTAACTGCTGTACCCTCCGCATTAACAAGGGAAATTACCGGTCGATATCCGATTTCTCTCGTGTCCTCGTTGCCGCCGGTGTTATGTGATGTGTCGTCTTCCGGGAACGGTTCAAAAAAGAGACGTGCCATCAGGGCTCCAATTTTGCTGAGCGATGGAGTGGATTTTGAGCGGAGTGGAGTGGAGCGTGAGCGGAGTGGATCCACTCCACTCCACTCGCTCAGCCTATATTTTTAGTGTCCACTCATTCGCTCCACTCCACTCCAACCTGTAAAATATGCTTTGGAGTGGATTTCGAGTGGATGGAGTGGATTTTGAGCGGATGGAGTGGATTTTGAGCGGATGGAGTGGATTTTTGTCTTTAGCGCCCCTTTTCTCGTATTCTGATTGGATACCGAGTTTTGTCTATCTTTAAATGAAGAATCAAATTCTCTCAGGGGATAATCAAGAGAATAAATCACTGATATAATATCAGGATCAACCTTTAATTTAGGACCAACTTCTTCATAAAAGTTTGATGATCAGACCCCCTCTAAAATCCTTTTTATCTCGAAAAATGAAAGGCTTGCTCACGGCGTGCAAAGAAGACTTCGGTTTCTGTCTGCTCGTGGGGGCCCGACCTCTTTCAACCTCTCTTCTTTACGCCCCTCTTTCTCTTCCTTTCACCCCCTCTTTCTTAAAACCCCTTTTTCAGAAAAGGAAAGGCTTGCTCCCGGCGTGCAAAGAAGACTTCGGTTTCTGTCTGCTCGTGGGGGTCGAACCTTTTTTGTTCCTCTGCTCTCTTTTAACCTTTTTGATAACTAAACCCTCCTCCCCCCAACGACCCATTATAATGGATTTAAGAATGAAACGACCCTGTTTGTTCCTCAGTACCTCATGAACTTCAAGGTTGCTAAGAATATATCTTCAATGAGTCAATGCTTCCGAGAATATAATTGTAAATTGACTAAAAATATAAGAATGAAATCTTTAAAAAAAAAACCCGGCCTCTCGACTCTTTTTTGAGTGTATTGTACGGTGCATGAAATGCAAAAAAAATTTTTTTATCGCTCAAACTTCCCTAAAAATCCGCTCAAAATCCACTCAAAATCCACTCCGCTCACCCACTCCACTCGCTCAACCAATTTTTTTGGGCATCCACTCACCGCTCCACTCCGCTCAAAAAAATTTTTGGGCTATCCACTCATCTCTCCACTCCACTCCAAAATTTTTTCGGCCAAAATTGGAACCCTGCGTGCCATAATGCTCGCGCAAAATCGTTAATCGCGGACGCAGCGTTGCATGATGCGTTGCACATCTTCGCCGCAAATATTCACAACAATTTCATCTTGAGCGGTCGAGCGGGCGAATATTTCACTGACGAAAAAACACTCATTCGAAATTGCAAGAATCTGCGTATTCTGGGCCATCGTAAACCCAAGTTCATAGCTTTTAAAGCGAGAAAAAACCGAATTTTAATTTGATCATCTCTTCGTGGTAAGATGTGGAAAGATTTGCGAGAAAATCTTGTGCTATTTTTTGTTTGCTAAAAGATGAGGAAAAATTGGAGCCAATGCGCACGTGATGCGATTTTTCATCTTTTTTCGCGAAAATCTCGTAATCGGCCGAGGCGAGACGACCGCGAAGCAACGAGTTCTAATGCCGTAACTAGCGGCGGAGGATGACAATGAAATATTCACGCCTAGTAAAGCGGGGACTAATTGAGTGATATCAAATCAATGCTGATTCTGTAATAATTCATTGTAATTGCTCGTGGTTTGAGCGACAAGTAGGTATGTTACGGTATTATTGAGTGCTAGTCTCGTTAATTCTTGCAATTATAACTTTTCGTAACATAATTATTTCCTGGCAATATTTATTAAATATTCTCAGTGAAACATCTGACGAACCTCAATTTATTACATAAATTCAATTATAAGCGCGGTAGATACGGTACATCAACAAAACTCCTGAAAGAGTAATTGGAATCGCTTTTAAATAATTTGACCACTTTGACCTTCGAAATTTTGGTAGAAGATTAAGGGTTTCGACGATTTCGTCATTGATCAATTGTACAGCAATAGGAATAACTGGAACTAGATCAGGGAAGGGATGATATCCTTTATGATTAAACGGCAGTACTGCAAAAATAGAACTTGCCGCTATTGAGCTATGAAATGAAGCAGACGGGTACCAAGATAAAGAAGGGTCTGAGATTTGACCAATTCTTGCTGAAAATATTGAAGGATTCTCGTTCATCAAACAGTGGCACCAGTAAACGGCATAAATTGAAACGACAGAAGGCAAAGAAAGCATTATGAATACTAAGACTGATTTAAATTCTTCCTGAAACGGCCCACATATTTGAAGTCGAAGAAATATCATTTTCTCTTTTACGAAGTTGAAAATTTCATTTTTCTGAAGAAGCAAATAAAAGCGGGTTTCATATTATTTACTTCGGGTAAATAAAACTGTATAGTAGTAATGCAGCTTTCATGAAGACTTAGACAAGTACTGATTACAAAATAGAGAATTTTTTTGCCAAGAATAGAAATATTCTTCGGAACCCATTTTATTGCATAAATTCAATTTAACCGTACATGAACAAAGCTCCAGTAAGAGCTCCAGTTAAAGGAAGCCTTAGTCTAGTATAAA